ATCCGACGCTCCACTGCTTTCAGCAGCATGAAACCAGCCTGACGTCAGAACATTGTAATCTAAAGGCTCTTTTCTTACTATTGACTTGTTGGCCTGGTCGAGGATCGTCTCGCGGGAACGGTGACGGTGACCACAACGACGACCGTACAAAGCCAACCGAGCACCGTTATTGTTGTCGTTCCCGAGGAAAATCTGACCACGGCAAAGCCTTCAAAGGCTCCAAAGAGGAATGTGACGAAGGCGAAGGAAGCACCTGCTAGAACCACGAGCCCGCCTCCTATCGTCAATGTCAGCAATGCAACTTCAAACAGCACTGTGGGAGACGCACTCGGACTCTACCCAAGCGATTGGGCAGTGATTGAGGCTTGTATGCATCGAGCTTTTCTACACAAGATCTCCGCCTTCTAATGATGTTGTGCATTGTGCTGATGACAAGTTGAAAGAACAAGAGAGGAGCAACACCACTGAGGGATCGCTTATCCTGTTGGGCGTGCTAGTTGCCCTCATCACCATTTACAGCCGTGACTTGGTTGAGGAGAAGGCAGCACGTATCGGAGAGAAATGTTAGCGTACTTAGGCACTAGTGCACACTGCGTATGCAGTCGGCATTTCCTCCGAGGTACGGTGGTATCTTGAGGCTGCGCCACAACGCATCCGGAGCGTAAAGAATGCAAAGGGGCTCCGCAGGGAGTAGTGCCTTGTGAGTAGTCCTTGACATGTTCACGCCTTCTTTCTGACACTCCGAGCCTGAGATAACCACGTCATGCGACAGCCAGAAAAGAACCGTTCTGGACTTGCGGCATTGATGTCACAATCAGCTCTCCTCAGCTGCCTTGGGAGATGCCCTGTGCCTGAAGTCGGCACGGCCAGGCATTTGCAGTGCTTTGGCTTGGGAGCATACCTGGAATCGAACATGAAGATGAGGGCCTTGAACAACAGGCCCCGAGTTGTTCGGTTGCGTTTCCGATCATGCTTGGGAGACTCAAAATGGATTTGACAGGTGGACCTGCCCTGTCTGCAGCAACATTCTGAAGCCGCACGATCTTGTAGTTGGCTGCTCAATGTGTGATGCGCACTGCTTGGTCCGCTCTGTCATCTTTGTGTTTTTTGGTTCACCAAGAGTTCACTTGCACACCCGTCAGAGTCAGTTGAGGTAGAGAATGTTAGAGGGTGTGCAAGAGACTTTCGCAAGCGCTATAAGCCGTTCCCGGATAAACATGCAGGCATGTAGAGGAGGCGGGGGAGCATGACATTTATCAACGCAGTTAACGTCAAGCACGGCTTCCCGGCGCCATGGGTGCAAGCGCCAGTTCAAGTCCGCCGGGCCAGCAGGACCTGTTGCACCATTCAGAGGGCCACCCTAATGATGATGCAAATTGTGCCAGTATGCCTCCCTTCTTTTGCGTCCCTGCACAAGGAGGACGGGGCTTGCCATGAAGTGAGCGTTGCTGCCACAGCAGCTGGGCAAGCGATTAAGCCTGGTTGAAGGTTTGTATGGTTTGTGTCCGACTTGACCTGTCTCCCGACGTTGAGATGCCTAGCTGAGTCTAGCCAAGGAGATCATCCGAGTGGCGGGCATGTCTGGTTACCACACCTCAATCATCGTTGACAACCTGGAGTACTTCTTCGATGCGATAGGTATTCTGCAAGCACCTCCTCTTTTCAGTCACACGTTAAATGAAGCCAAGAATCCGGATGGCAGCAAGACAACTGTCACCTTCATCGGGTACAGCCACTATGATGGCATCGCCATGGTGGAAGCACTACAGACATTCTTTGAAAGAGGCCTGCGTTGAACACCACTTGTTGATCTGACCGGACCATCATGCTGGTTGTTGTTGTATTGCACTGGAAGGCTCCTATGACGTGTTCTACAAGAACTGCATCCGGGTTGAACACGTTTTGACCGAATTTTTGATCCCTTGCCCAAGACCCTTCTTGTGCTTTTCTCCTGTGCACTTAGGCAACACGTTCACAGATGCAGCCCTGTACATGCTTACCAAGACGCGAATTCCTGGGACCTACAATCGAATAGAAAGGTTCGTGACAGCGACGAAGCCTGTGTCCATCAATTTGCTTAACAGCAGCTCGGCAGGTGACAGACCACAGAGTTGATACAGCCTTTGACACACATTGGTGATCTCGACATTGCCACGCATTGGTGCCCGTAAGTCATCGCATTGCACCTTTCGCTCTGGCAACCGAGGGATCTTCAAGGCTCTCGTGGAGTCTTCTGGTGTGACCGTTCAGGGTGACATATACACACCCAACCCAGTCTCGGCCGACTTTTCAGTGGACGGGGTCATTGCCTCGCTGGAAGGCAGCTATGCGGTGAATCCTAAAGTGACCCCTGAACGTAGCACACAACAAGCTCACCCCTTAGAAGAGACGAAGGAGACGATGAGTCTGAAGAGTCGGAGGACTCTGATGAGGCAGGTGCAGTCGATGCTTCACTAAGGCAAGCATCCCTGCTTTCATAGGTGTAAGTGTGCATATATTTATGTATCTTTTTGTCGCAATTGACTGCAGGAGTCAGACTAAGAAGCTCGGGAACGAGATCCTGCTTCACCAGTACCCCTTGTCGTTCACAAGTGCTTGTGAAGTCCGATGCAAACGATGAAATTCTGTGAATACAAGAAGCACTGCTTCGCAATCGTCGAGCAGAGCAACAGACGGGCCGCTGTCGAATGTGCTTGCGTGCTATGTGCTAAAGCCTGCCCTGAGATTTCCGCACCCGTGGAAAAAGGAAAATTCTCACCTGGATCTCGCACTCGGGCGCTCACGCGGGGGGGGGGGGGCTTCCGGGCCTCTTCAAGCACAGCAGAGGAAGAGAAACGAAATAAAGAAATAAAGAAAGAAAGACAGAAGACGGAAAGAAATAAAGAAACCACGAAAAGACATAATAAAATACAGAAATAAAGAAACAAAGAAACAGAGAAACACAGAAAGAAATAAATAAATGAAGAAATAGAGAAATAAAGAAATAAGAAATAAAGAAATAAAGAAATAAAGAAATAAAGAAATAAAGAAATAAAGGAATAAAGAAATGAAGAAATACAGAAATACAGAAATACAGAAATAAAGAAATAGAGAAATAAAGAAATACAGAAATAACGAAATACAGAAAAAATAAATAAAGAAAAATAGAAATAGAGAAATACAGAAATAGAGAAATAGAGAAATAAAGAAATAAAGAAATAAAGAAATAAAGAAATAAAGAAATAAAGAAATAAAGAAATAAAGAAATAAAGAAATAAAGAAATAAAGAAATACAGAAATACAGAAATACAGAAATACAGAAAAAAAGAAATAAAGATATAAAGAAATAAAGAAATAAAGAAATAAAGAAATAAAAACATAAAGAAATACAGAAATAAAGAAATAACGAAATAAAGAAAAAAAGAAGTAAAGAAATCAAGAAGTACAGAAATACAGAAATACAGAAATACAGAAATACAGAAATACAGAAATACAGAAATACAGAAATACAGAAATACAGAAATACAGAAATACAGAAATAGAGAAATAGAGAAATACAGAAATACAGAAATACAGAAATACAGAAATACAGAAATACAGAAATACAGAAATACAGAAATACAGAAATACACACATACAGAAATGCAGAAAAATACAGAAATGCAGAAACACAGAAACACAGAAACACAAACACAGAAACACAGAAACACAGAAACACAGAAACTTCAGAAATTTCAGAAATTTCAGAAATGAAGAAATGAAGAAATGAAGAAATGAAGATATGAAGATATGAAGAAATGAAGAAATGAAGAAATGAAGAAATGAGGAGATGAAGAAAGGAAGAAATGAAGAAATGAAGACATGAAAACATGAAGACATGAAGAAAAGCAACAAAAAGAACTTACGATAGATGAAAGGAAATACAAAAATACAAAGAAAGAAAGAAACAAAGGCAAGCAAGAAAACATCAGGAGTATCATAAACACGACCACAAGAAAGAACGCAGTAAAGGGAAAGCACGAAGAAAACAGCCAGACCTACATGTATGGTGGGAAACTGGAGGAAGCGGCACGAGTGTGACCACACCCGGCGACAAGGGAAAAATCATGTGCGAACCAAGAGAAGATCGAGAACGAAGGAAGAAAACCTCAGGCGTGGAAACTTCGACGAGGAAGCAAAGACCAATAACAAGGTGGGACGAGGCCCACGAAAACCGTAGGAGAACAAAGCGCATGTCCTACCTGTGTTCCATGTAGAAGCGAGCAGCGGGACGAAAGGGGACAATAAAGACAAGCAGGAACACAAAAAAAGAAGCAGGGCTGCGGTTAGGTTAACCGGATGATGTTCCGTCAGGTTCTCCCGGACTCCCCCTGTACTTGGATGTTCCAAAATGAAGTCTGTTCCCAACAATCTCGAAGACACTTTACCGCACGTACTCATTTTTCTCAGCTAGGCATAGATCCCACACTCTTTCCTACGCTTTCTATCGCTTTCTCCTTTGGCCCCAGATAGAGAAAAATGGCCAAGCCTTGTGAGCAAACCCAATGTTTTTGCCCGTTACATGTAATCTGCTTTCACCGCACATGAGTTCATGCCCCTGTATCTTGTCAATATTATATCGTCGGTGCTGCTTGTTGCTTTGGCACGTATCTAGTACCGACGTCACACGCATCACCGAAGTCATTATGTGTCCAACCAAGGCACACCCAACAAGCACTGGTAGGGGAAGCACGTAATAGAAACACAAAGATATCATGCTGCGGAAACATATGGGTGGATGGACGCATAGTTTTAAGATATGCAAATATGATGCGGTGGCAAGCACATTTGGCCTCTGTGTGCGGCCTTCCCCGACGGCCTACCAAGACAAAACGAAAACGCGTTTTGCTGATCGCGCCAGCGGCCGTGTTCGAGTTTGCAAAGTATTTGCATGCGTGTGTTTCGCTCTCTTCTGCCTCCGCATAGAGGTATCTCTGTGTAACTTGGCTTGGAAGTCCTTATCTTGGTAGTGGTCTTTCTTGCCTATATAGCCAAGCAGGATGTGCCCACTGCTATGTAGCCCTGCGGAGTTGCAGTTGAGAACAAAGCTGGCAAAATTTGCCAAGCTTGATGTGGTAAGCAGGCCCAGCGCTTGGCGACCCGATCCTCTGAGGGTCTCGTGCTGTTAATGGCCCACAGTCATCAGCCTTCGAGTGGCGAGTTCGTACCATGGAAGCTGAGCGGGCGTAAAAGAACCGCGACTGCTCGATGTAAGATAGAATGCGTGAGACAATCATGGTGTTGACCAAGGTAGACAAGTACGTGCAGCGGGTCTTGTCGGAGACGCCGGCCCACGTTGAAGAGGTCATTATCGAGAAGGCGAGCATGGCGAGCTTGGGAATGATCGAAGACATGAACATGAAGTCGTTTCCGCTGCAGGATGGCACCTACAGGATCGTCGAGGATGAGGAGGCAGTTGGCATTTGAGCTGGATATTCATGTTCTTTGTGACGTATCTGGTGTGTTTTTTGGGTGTGTGTGTGTGCACGCAAAACATGCCCTGAAGATGTAGACCGCAAGCCACAATCAATGTGCCAGGAGGCAGACGCTGCTGGCAAGGTCGCTTCGGTTGACTATGCCGTTGTATGGGGTCTGTCGTGAAGCCTGAAGAACCGAGGACGGCAACAAACATGACGCAGACGATGCTGAAGAAGCAGGTGCGAAAGACACGCCGCCAGGATCTCGAGATTGTTCTTTGATTTCGTGCTTCGTTTGGGATGCATCTCCATGCTGCGGGCCAGCCGAGGATGGCAGATGCAGACCACCAGGCCTGATCATGCTTCTGCTGTGATTTGGTCTTTTGGTTGAAGTTGTTTTGTTGAAGCAGCAGGATGGCATCAAGAGACAAGGAACTGATGATGGGATCGAGGCAGAGAGAGGAGAGCTCATGTGTCCAGGGTCGTTGCAGCTGCAACTCGCTCGACAGGTGCCCTTGTCCAAGCGCCAACGAAGGCGACAGAAGATTTTGGAAGCCCGCGGCGAACTTCCTCATGCCATGGTGCCCAGCTCCACATGAAGCTTTGTATCACAATATGACAGTCAGCGGTGCAGCTGCAGCAGTGCAGCTGCAGCAGGGCATCTGCGCAACATGAACCGAACAGGTCGATCAGGACACGGTGCCTGCTGCAGAAGAAGGGGCTTCCTGAACCTGGAAGCCATCAAAAGTGCTAGGGTAAACTAGCCGCAAAGTCAGCCTAGAAATGTTGCAGGCTTGGCAAGGATGGTACACAGCTTCTAGGTGTCCTTGTGCAAGCTTTACAGTCGCAGTTTAGTATGCATTGGATGGGTGATTCTGGAGCAGGATTGAACTGCGTCGAGCCGGCATGCAACAAAACAGCCATGACCGGTGTTTCCAGTTGCAGACCCTTGTGTGCGTGCTTGTATGCGTTTGCCATTATTTACCGCTCTCAGATGCTTCATGCCGCTATCTGCCGCTTGTTGGCTTTTCTTTCACGGGGTGCTGCGTTGAAAAGCAGTGCAGCTGCGGCCCAGACTTGCTTTGCCAATCCAGGCACGAAAGCGTGTAGAGTCCATGTAGAGTCAATGCAGAGCGGTGAGAGGGCGAGAGAGAGAGAGAGAGAGTTGCCCAAGTTTAGCAAGCACTGAGACGCAAACGGACGGGGGCGCGCACCTGCGCGGGGGGTCACCCCCATGCCCCAACGAAAGAAAGAAAGAAAGAGTTGCCCAAGCCCCTAGAAAGAAAGAAAGAAAGAGTGTTGTCCAAGCGGGCTTGATTTGGGGGGGGTTTCGCTGAAGGCCTCAGGTTTGAGTGGCAGGCCGCACGCGGGGATTGCACCAGGGTGTTCGTAGGGAGATGAAACTGTGACGGCACACAGTGCGGAACACAGTGCGGAAGACAGTGTGGAGCGTAACCGAACAAGAACGACCCCTCAGCGGCAGGTCTGGAACCAGATCCATGGAAGCCGAGGCGGGTCAACGTAAAGCCTGGCTCAGCACAGCGGCGTGATGCTGTGCGAATGCTGCACAAATGGGATTCAAAGCTATGCTCGATCTTGCAGGTCAGAAGGCCGCCCAGCACGCAAATGGGTCGTCGGAGCCTCACATGAGCCTCACGAAGCCAGTGTGCAGGAAGCTGAAGTGGCGAGAATTGCACATGCCGAGACGGCCAATCTTGCCGAGGTGATGACAACAGTTTAGAGGAGGCGGCACGCATTGAATTAGTGCAACACTTGATCAGTCGTTCAACGCTCGGCAGGGCGTATTACCCAACCGGGCCAGCCCAGCTGCCGTTCGACCAGGCTGATGGATTATTGGACAGTCCGTTAGTCGGCCATTCTCGGAGCCCATGCAACAATGCTCAATTCGCGAGTGAGCGAGTGCCTTTGCAGGGACTTCGTCGACGTCTCAGAACAAATCCGAGCCCAGTTCGATGGTTTTTCCACAGTACTGGGGAAAACAGCCCATGCGCCCAGGAGATCCATGTGCCGATGGATCTTATCCTTCATATGCATGTCCGACAGCCCGGATAGACTGCAGGTGGGAGCAGACATCATTTCTTTGGTTCTTCACGTAGACACGGAGTTTGGGTGTCTGGCTAGTTTGTAGCCGTACTGCTCTTCGTTGCAACATGAGGTGCCAATCCCGGTCCCACATAGACCCCTGCATGCAGCAGCTGCATTGTCTAGCACTGTGACTGACCTTTCTAAAGCTCGTGCGGCAAACTATGTAGACGTTGAAGATGGCGAGCCCATGACAGGCAATAAATGATGCTTCCGACACAAGCTGCGACAGTGAAACGATTCCAGTCGCGTATGATATGGGTGCTTTAGGGGTGGTCGGGCTTCCTGGTGAACCCTCCTCCCCTCCTCCCTTCTTCTCCTCCCCTCTCCTCGCCCCCTCGTGGTCGGAGACTCCTGATTGTCCCGCGGATGCCCGCTACTGGGAGAAGAGAATGCCAGGTGCACTACCCACCACGCTTCAAAGTCTTATTGACGGTTCCTTGGCAGAAGGAGTTTTGAGGGTTCAGAATTTAGGGCCCAGGCGGCTCACTGCCCGTAGGGCTTGCACTGGATCTGTCGCTGCCTGCCGCTACATGCTGCTAGTTGTACCTGCCGCTCCTGAGTCCAGAACTTTCATGCGAAAAATCACAGAGATCGCAAGTGTGTTGTGGCAGACCTTTCATGTCAAGCGTTTCTTCAGCAAGGTGGTCGTGATCATGGCCATTGCATGGATCACAAACTTTTTCATCAGCGTGCATCCCTTGCTAGAGGCAAGCTCCACATAGCTGTTTGGAATTTGTCGGGCAGTCTGGCAGTCTGGCGGCTGTGATGCATCGGGAGAAGCCTGAACCCAGATCCTGATTCAGGAGCACGATGATCCCCCGGAGTGCAAGTATGCTCTCAACCAACTCAAGTGCCACAACTTGTTGACTTTCAGACTTGCTTTGTGAAGCGCCTGTGTTCGTGGGTTGCGGCACCGGTTGTGAGCAATGCTGATGCCAGGTACAACGCCCGTGTGCTGTTTGTGTACTTCATGTGGTTCAGCATCGCCAGGGCTTCTCTGTTCGTGTGGCTTGGCTTGTCCACTTCTTTGTATAACTTGTATATGTTAATGTGCATGTGCCTCTCATGCTGGGAGGCCTTGTGTGCTGGCACGAGTAGGCCTGAACCGCAGCTGCTGGTAGCCCATGTAGAACACGTTTCCACTTTGACTCTCTCGCCAGCCACCGTTCAATCGCGGACTCATGGATTCTGCAGAACGTGCGCCTTTAGCATCCTCCAGTGTCTTGCAAGTGTGGCTTGCGCTGCTTTCGCTGCTGTGTGCAGCGCTTGGATGTCAGGTACTGCGTGCATTTGCTCATTCGAGATGGGCCAATCTACATATTTGTTGTGTCCCGGCAGCATTTTGAAGAGCCAGCTTCTGTGAGCTTGTGAGCTTGCAAGCTCCGAGGTTGGATCTGTGCTATTTTGGTTCAATATCCTGCGCTCACCTAGCTGTGAAGACAGGAGAGGGGTGCAAGAGGTTGCGGCTTCAGCTCTGCGTATGCCCGTGTTGCTGTCTTGGCCTGCAGGAGTCCAGAGTTGATACTTGGCCGCATGTAGCAGGGACCACCTGTCTCCGTATTGTTGTGTGGTTGTGTGGTTGTGTGGCATTGTGGCATTGTGGCATTGTGTGGTCGTACTTCTAAGGTACTCCAGACTGAAGATGTATGCGGTTTGTTCTTGCCTGTTCGCTCCCTGGTAAGTTGCTTCTTACTTCTTCTTGCGCTGTGCACTTCGAGAACCTTCCGCTGGCGGGTTTGAGGTTGGCTTTTGCTTGCATTGTCGAAGTCTATTGGCACAACAAGACGCTTGGGCAGCACTGAACCATGGGAAAGCAGTCAAAAGACTCAACAACATTCAGCTTGCTTGAGGCTCATTACGAACACCTTGGAGTTTTACTCCGCATGGGTGCCAGAGGCACGAAGCATTCGGTGCGACCTAAAAACGGCCTACCATGACACTACCATTACATACTACATGCCACTTTACATGCCACACTACATGCCTTGCCCTCCGCCCTCTTTCTTTGCCCGCCGTTCACGGAAGCGGTCGGGGTGGGGAGATCTGATCTGCAGGTCTCACGGAGAGCCGGGATCCTCAGCAAATGAGCAACTCATCCCGCTGTTCGCTTGATTTCGCTTGTTGGAGTCCCCTTGCGCTCTTTCTGTGCCTTTCTTTTGTGAGATAGCTACTCTGTTTCAATCACATTTTCTCTAGGCGCCGCCGGAGACCTTGGAGAAGCTGGAGACCAGGAAGTACGAGGAGCAGGCCTTTGGAGACGAGGACGATGGAGCAAATCGTGAATGAGAAGAGTCTTTGAGAGAGACAAGGGGGGCCACTTTAGAGATGCACCTCCAGGAGGGGAAGCAGTATCCCTCCGAGTGCGCCATCTGTTTGGGCAGCTGGGAGTCCGAGGATGTGATCAAGGCTCGTGGCACCGATTTGCATTTAGGAGTCACAGCTTTCTGGTGATGCATCTCTCACGGAGGTAACTCCGTGTGGACATGCTTTCCATCAGGTTCGCTGCAGCATCTTGCAGTGGTGTTTTGTTGCCCTGTGCCGTGTTCACTCTGCAACTCGTTGCAGGAGTGCATTGGCGGTTGGCTACAATCCGCGCGCACTTGTGCTCTTTGCCGGAAGGCCTTCCAAAGTGCTCAGCATCCCATATAGCATGTAAAGCTATGGGAAACTGTAAACAAATTTGAAGAGATATGTACATCTGTGTACTGAGAGTCTCAATGTACTCGCGAAGCATGAAAGATGCTATGGTGCAGGACCTTGTCGTGCTTACAGCGGACGGCCGGCAAAGGCCCGCCCATTCTTCCTTCCCGCTGTTCGAGAGCCTTTCCATGCTTTGGACACGCCATGGTACTTTCGACTTTCGACAGGCAGCCAGAGATACTAGGGAACTTTGGAAACAACGACATGGTAGTGGTATCCTGAGCGCCGCATAGAGTATCACGGAGTCAGCTTGAGATCACCAGCTAGCAGCTAACCAGCTCAGGTCGAACACAGGTGAGCCACCTGCAGCTCTGAAAAGCAGTCATGCTGGTGTGCCCTTTCAAGACACTTGGGCTCGTTTCTAGACGGATGATGCAAACGCAAGTATGGTTTCTGCCGAGAAGTGCACTGCCCATCTGTCTGTTGCAACTTGCCTCTCCATGAAGTCTCTGTGGTGGCTCACAGTGGTCCTCACGGCACGCAGCGCGCACCATCTGTCTATATGTCAGGCTTGAGGAAACTTGTCTGCAGCGTTGTGACGTGCTGGGTGCTGTTTTTGTGGGCCGGGACAGCAGGAGTTTGATGGGATTGACCTTGTCTTCTATGCGTCACTTGCGTACTCAATCGAAGTGTGCCGTGGATTCTGGTCAACCCTGCGTTGCAGAGTGAAGCTCAAAGAGCGAAGCACTCTGTTGCCACTTCTTTGCGAACTCAGTGATGTCATGTGATGTCCCTGCAAACTTGGGCTAAGCTCGAGGAAGCCGGGAAAGTTCTTGCTTGGAGGAAGAACTGCAGTCAATGGGCAACGACAGCATCATGGTTCGAGGAAGCCGGGAAAGTTCTTGCTTGGAGGGACGCATTGCCATCTGCTCGCCAGCGGAAGGTTGAGCATGAACATGAGCACAGGCAACAAGAGCGCATCTTCTTCCCCCAAGCCTGATGATGTGTTTCAACGTAGGTAGGCGGATCACACCTGTTGATGCCGAGCGTCTCTCAGAGGGAGGCAAGCAAGGGAAGAACTCCTCAATTTCTGGGTGCTGCCCTTTCAAGTGATGGGCCCTGCGAGCATCCAATTGCAACTGACGTCCTTGCGGATAAGATGGTGTCTGGGAATGTGACATTCTGTTGTTACAGTGCCGTCTATAGTGTTCAAGCAAATCCTCACAGAGAGGCCAGACAAAGTCTTTCCTGACACCAAGCGCGGGCTGAATCATTTGCTAACCTCACGAAAGAGGTCTGGCCATTGGACCCACTAGAAATAGCTTTTCAAAACAGGAGGCGTTCTGAGGGAAGCCTTCACAGAAGGCTGTCACACACCCATGCAACATGGCATCCTGCGCGTTTGTGTCAGGTGCTAGTTTTCACACCAGTCAGCAGAAGGAGATTCCACATGCAGCTGTTGGCTTGTGCCCGCTCCAGTCCACTTCTTCAAAAATGGGAGATGAGGAGGACTGCTTCTGGCCCCTGCGGTTCGTCGGGCTACAGAGTACCTGAGTGTAGTGAGAGGAACGGCAACCCCCTGGCGTGCTGCGGGCTTGGTGGTATTCATGTGACGGAGCGTGTGAGAGCGAGTGCTTGTGTGAAAGCATTCCTAGGTACACGCTGGTGACAGCAGACGGCGAGCAGAAGACGTCAATTGGCTTCACAGGCAAATGGTTGTTGTTTTGCACACTGGAGTTTTGGTTGTTTTGCTGTTCTGGTTGCAGGCAAAGCCACAGCAAACTATGCAAATGGAGACATCTACGAAGGTTTGTTTGAGAACGGGGTGAGACAAGGCCAAGGCGTGTACACGTGCGCCATGGATGTGACAACCTGCATCTACAGGGCAGCTTGAGCGAAGTGGAGTATGGCAAGGTACTTGAAGGGAGACGTTTTTTCCGGAACCTTCGACAACAACCAGAAAACTGGTTTGGGAAGAATCGTGTGCCCTGTGCTGTTTCGTGCCCGATTTTGTTGAGTTGGTCCCAGCTTCGGCCTTGCCATTTCAGCCTGAGTTCAGCGAGTGGCCATACCTTGCGCAACTTCAAGCATGGAACCCCGGCATGGCCTTCAAACTAAAACCCCATGGTGCGCTGAGCATCACTACTCTGCAGTCAAAGTTCCCTTAGGCCCTAGATGTCTTCTGGACTTTTCATTGATTAACACAGGTGGGGACTCGCAGTCGCCATGTGCCACTGCTCGTATGACCCAATCATGATGGATCCAGTGCTGACAAGTGCAATGGCGACAGATGGCGACAGAAGGCGACAGATGGCGACAAATAGCAACATACAGCATCAAATTACAAGGGCAAGCGTGAACCGTTAATTGAGCCCGTCCCAAAGTCGAGGAGGCCAACGCGGCAGATTGAGGTGGTTCTTTGCAGCCTCTCTGCCACTTGGCAGTCACATGCTCAGGTACAAGAAAGGAGGCTACTACCACGGCCACTTCAAAGACGGGAAGCGCGAGGGCGAGGCCCCGGACACCTGAGTAGTTCTCTTGGAAGAGATCCGACGAATACTTCGGCACAGTGCTGATGTTTCAAAGGGCACCCTGCAGTATGCAAATGGTGACATCTACTCTGGCGGGCGCTCTCAGTTTGCTCCGCAGTACCCCAGTTTCTTCAATGACTATTCAATGTATCCGCTTCTGGCCTCGGCCTAGGCTACTGGAAGGATGGCAAGAAGCATGGATCCGGAACGTGCCACTGCTGGCTCGAGAAGGCGCAACTCTGGCTGAAGCGCAGCCCGTGTAAGGTACGTCTTCAACAAGACCAAGTATGAGTACAAGGGTGACTGGAAGGTGGGGCTTGCCGTTTTGAAGGGGACAGCACGGGTACCGGGTCAGTACGGCATGGCCAGGATGGGCAGATCACGACAGGAACGTGGACGCTCACCGCTGCGCCCTAATTTTGTAGGCATCCTTAGGCATCTTTAGGTGAGGAGCACAAAAGACAGTGCAGGCACTCTGTGTGCCACGGGGAAGAAGCTGAGGATGGCACCCAGTACCAGGGAGGCTTCCAGAGCCAACTGCTGAGTTGAAAAGTGTTGTCTTTGGCTCTTCCCCATTTTTTGGATGTGTTTTTTTGTTTGGGTTTCGGAGATGTGTGCGTTTGTGTGTAAGGCCAGAAGCCATGTGGCGATGCCACCTGGAAAACTCGTCAAGGCTGGCCAGCTCCAACGAAGCTAATGCCTCCTGCGGCGACATGCAAAAGAGGCCGTGGGATGATGCGATTCACATCTCACAACAGGTACCACTGTCGAGGGATCCTACGTGCAACAGGCCAAATGCTGCTGTTCGCCTGATAAAGCTGCTAAAGTTCGTGCGCCGTGTGCAAAGGTTGTGCCATTGGACTCAGCACCGCCAGCCAAGTGGCGTGCTCAGAAATGCATCGGTCATCGTGCCAAAGCAGTGCCATGGCAGTGACACTGTGGTGCCAGATAGTCGCATAGTTCTGATAAGTACTACATGCTTTTTATTCGCATGCTCTCTTCTTGTTTGCTTTGTTACACACAGTCACGTGCCACTTCTTAGCAACGGTTTTGTTCCATCTCGAGGCCTGGCGAAGCTCCGGCTGTGGCCACGCGATGTTTCTGGACGACTGCGGCCTTGGCAGCCTGACTTCAGATTCGCTTAGATTCGCTTGCCCCACTGGTTCCGGATATCAAGGCTTTGAGCTTTCGACCGCAGCGTAGAATCGGCTAGAGCTTCCTATGGATTTTTGGGGCTCAGGTGGCTGCAGAAAACTGATGGCCTGATGGGCCACTGCCAGACGACTTCAGGAACTGCTGCCGGGGCACCCGTGTGCAGCCTTCCAGTTTGGCACCTACAGGAGGTGGAAAACTCACAAGACCTGATTTACGGGTGCAGCATGTTTCACATAGACTTCTCGAGCTGGACTGGTTCTAGAATTGGAAAAGCTGCTGCACCCTTCCAAGCGGTTTTGCCAGCGTTTTCGATGTGCATGCATATGATGCCCACAAGCAAGACTTCCAAGAAGAGAAATAGACGACATGGCAAAGATCATTGATAGGTTACCAAAGGTTATTCATCAGAAGCTCCCGGAAATTGGTAGGGAATCATCCTAAATGCAGGATTTTTTTTAGATGTAAACTTCTGGATATCAACATTCAAAATACATGTTGTTGATAGAATACGAACCTTCTCCAATTATAGGATCAAAGAAAAGTGTTTGAGAATGAAGATCACCCAATATTGACAGGAGCGTACCCAATAAGATTGGTAATGTTGAAAAAGAATGAAAGCTAAATCCGATTCAAAGTTGCTGTACAAAAGACAAGAGATGCACGACATGAAGATATTCCAGAGATTAATAATCCAAATCAGCGGTAAGATGCCCGTGAAGATGAAGCGGAGACAAAGGACTCATGAACTCGCCTACCACGGGGGGCTCACTGGTCGCGTCTTTTGTCTCTTGACCTTTCATGCGAAGAAAAGACCATGAAAATACCGTGAACCGTGGTCCAACATCGAATTTTCTTTATTCCCTCTGTTAGATATTATTGATTCGCTTAGAAAGCCAAGATCTTTGCATGTCTTTCTTTTTTTATGATTTCGAGTCTTACTTTTCCTTCATTCCTCTTTAATTTAAATGGTCTTTATGGGGGCCTTTGGAAGTTCTTTTCATATTGACAGGTCTTTTGGACATATCAGCTGCCTTAATGGTCAAGAAACCTCGCGTTGAGAGTCACGCATGCTTCGCAATGGCTCTGCAATGGCTCGCAGTCGCTGTTGTTCAGCTACTTCTGCATGGAGGAGCATGGAACCTAAATTCATTGACATTGATTTAGGGATCATGTCTTCGTCAGGCGATGCCTTCGTTCCTACGTTGGTCTTCTAAGCCGACTGCAGTACAGACAGAAGTTGCAACCACCACAACCAAGAGTCAACGAATCTGACGAATCATGGGCTCCTCGTGGTCGTCATGGGATCCGCTGTCTGTTTGCACTGGAGGTCCAGAGCCTTCGCAGCCTTCGCAATCGGATGCAGAGCATCAAGTGAATCAAAGGGCTCAGGCGGAGTTCGTGAGACACGCTGAAGAGCTAGAAGAGGCCATGATGCAAGAGGAGCGGCGGGAGGGATCAAAATGCAAGGGCAAGGAAAGGCGCTTGTTAAGGCGCTGTTGCTGAGCTTTCTCGTTCGCCGAAGAGGGGTTCAGAGCAGTCTTGGGGACTTTCAATTCTTTCAACTAAGTCAGCAGTCCAACACAAGTGTTCGCATAAAGCACGCATAACTTGTGCGAGCACTTGCTGGTCGTTGGGACAAAATTCTAGATAACAGTCAGTCCAATCGGGTCCAGCCCTTGATGGAGAGAGTTCACACCGGATCTTGTCACAAGCAGTGTGGCGAGGCAATGTACCAAAGCCTGGTGCACGAGCACGAGCCGAGTGAGGTACACGAGGATGCTGATTTACAGGAGGCCCTTCAGCAGAGCCTTCGGCCGGCAGCGCCCCCCGAGTGCCCCACGGAGGAGTCGATCCGGTTGCAGACTCTGCTGGACTTCCTGGGAATGAAGCGGCTGGATGTTGGGTCCACAAACCTGAGTGAAGGTGGATCGCTCTTGAGCAACCAGTGCTTCTATCTTGCAATAGCCAGGAGCTGGCTTGCCTCTGCAGACAACGGAAGTGGGATGCTGGTTCGGGATTCTGCGCTGCAGCTGAAGCGAGAGATTGAAGCGTGCGTCTTCTGCGCTCGGGGCGATGCAGGTGAGCTGGGTGACGAGGCGGAGGCTTACACGGACTACTTGTCATGCGTGGTTCAAGGGCAGAGTCCGGCATCGGCTTCGGCCATTACAGACCTGGCCATTGCCATTTTTGCATCGAGCCTGGGCGGGATTGAAGCCTACGTGGGAAAAGGCGTCACAGCTGTTCACAGCTGTTCAGCACACATATGTAGCTGTCAAAGGAGCCTGTGTATCAAGGAGTCTCATGAAGTCTAAGTCTCAGATGACTGCCAGGTTATTCATCTCTTCCTCGCGAGCAGCAGGTTTCGAATCTGGCACTCGTTTGGCACCGTCCGGGTCACTTCGAGGCCGTGGTCGCCATTAACGGAGGCCAGTAGGATCCAGTAGGTGGGCGGGGTTGCGAGATGTTACCACGTCTGTGTGCAGGCAAGATGGACATCAACCTGGGAGAGCTCATAGACATTGCGCAAAGTCAGTGGCTGGACTGTGCAATCCCAGGTTCGGAAGTGGTCTGGTTTGCAGAAGCTCTAGGGGGGTGATGAAGGCAAGGATGGGCAATGAGGGGTTTGAGGCGCAAAATGTAAAAGGCCTTGGCTTCCGGGGCCCTGTCGTGTTTGTTGACTGCGTTGCTCCTGTTGCACATTCGAGACCAGTTTCAAGGACAACCCAGCTGTGAATCATGCACTTCTTGTCGTATCAAGGAATGTCGTTGCCGCAGTCGTACAAGCGTGAGCTGCTGTCTACAACTGCCTCAAAGGCACTGTGTGCAGTGGTCTGAACTTTTGCTGGTGTGATGGGAAGACGAGCTCAACTCGAGTTGAACCGTCAAAATGCAGCCTAGCAAAGGCCAGCATCAGCAGCATTGCTCTTTTTCTGCTCCCAAAACTTCACAAGGCATCAGCAGGCTTTCTTTAGAGGTCTCTCTCTATCAATAGTTGCACAGGTTTCCGCGGCCAGGATCTTCGGACGTGGGGCTTGTTAGATTGAAGTCAGCCATGCTCCTCACCTCCTCAGTGTCCCGTTTGGTCTAGTCCCTGGAGTGCGCACCCCGAGAGCCTGCCGAGAGTCGCTCGGCGAGTATTTCATAAAGCGTCCACCGTCAGAGTATCGCCGGAGTGCCCACACCCCAGAGAAGTCTGCAGAGAGTCCTGTAGCCTGCGGAGAGTCCCGCTGAGTAAGCTTGTGTTATACAACCCCCCGTTTGTTCACGCCGTGCGAGCTTGCGATAAAGAACGCACTGCTACGAACATTGCCATGCAACATTGCTGCAATATCACATGGTACCAATATTGTATTTATTGTATTAAAAATGAACATAGAGTCATGACTGCAGTATAATATACATCAAATCAAAATATATGCTGCAGTTGAAAATGTTGAAAAGCAAAGGAAAAAGCGACACGGGCACGTGGAAACATCGAGAGGGTCGTCGTTCGCCCATTGGAACGCGCACATCGCCTACACTTGCGATTTGGTACGTGCACAGCGCCTAGGCGAGAGAGAGACAACCTAAACAAAACAATTTCAGCAGAAACAAACAGAGCTCCTCATTGAATCCGCGCCCATTTCAACGGCACTCAAGTCGTACCTCCATCCTTTTGAGCGTAGTAACTGGGAGTTCCGCTCCAGCACGCAAGGCGTTCAGAGGTTCCAGGTGCACAGACCAAGGAGGAAGTATTATCGATAACAACACAACAAGTCGCAGAGCTGTTCTGGGTCACCCAGCGGGTCGGCAGATCTTAAAGATATTGCACGTGCCCTCTGGGGCAGATGCACACCCGGTGCAGATGCAGACCCGGTGCAGATGCAGACTCGGTATGGTTCGCTGTAACTGCTGCAGCTGGCACGTGCAAGCGCAAACATGTGCTGCAAGTCATTTTCAAGGGAAGCGTTTTCCAAGGATGTCAGCCCGGCATGGAAAGCGGACATCCCGACGACTGTAGCCGCAGCCGCTAACCACAGAGGACGTGCCCTCGCAAGCTGCAAAGCGCAAGGTCTCAAAAGAAGGCACATGTATATGGTCTGCTATGAGTTATCCGGTTGATCCAAAGTTGATATTTGCCGGTGGACTTGGTTCTGCAGATTTCAGGCGAGCGGGTCATAGGTTGTGAACAACGCAGAACAGCACTGACTAGAACTAGCATTTGCGAAATTAGCAGGGCAAAACAGGACTTTTGCAATGGGTGTTCTCCGTTCTTTGGGATGTGCTGGTGCCAGCACTGTCGAAGGCAGGGGGGAGTCGACTTCAGATGAACTGATGAACGTGAAGATTGCAGAGCTCTTGTGCCGAGGTCCATGCTGCGCAGAAGGCTCGGCATCGACCGGGTGGCCACGCGGGCACCCCCGACTCCTGCAAGGAATTCGCCCTGCTGAAGCGGTGTGGCTGGGAGACCTTGTCCGTCTCCGCCCACCTCGCCATCAGCTGGCATCTTTCCTGAAGGTACCAACCAGCTTCGAAGACGAGGAGGAAGCTGCCAGCAAAGCTGAAGAGGATGAGGTTCCACGGCCTCCAGACAGTCCGCACGAGCCCTGGCCGTGCCATCGTTCGGGATAGTCCGGCATAGTTTGCAGCAAAAAATCGCCAGACACTTTTAAGCCGAGGTTGAACAATTTAGCGAAGTTCCGAAGCAAGCACGCCGTTGCCTCAGCTGCGTGCGGCAGCATGCCCGGTGCACGTCACTGATCGTCACTGATTCGTGAAAGGCGCGGACGCAGGACGGATACCTCTGTGCCGCTGCTGGAGTGAAGGATGAACAGGCCCAGAGCCCACTGAGCACAAATGAGCACAAATGTGCACAAATGAGCGCAATTCACGAGAGCTAACTGCTCAATCTCTCTGTCCCTCTCTCTCTCTCTTCTTTTTTTTTCTATTTCTCTCTCTCTCTCTCTTTATTTTAGTCTTTTTCAGTCCATCCCAAGCTGTGGAGCCCTGGAGGCTTTCACAGGCTGCACGGACCTGCCGGCACCAGATGGCACCAACATTGGGAGGAGCCCACCCTCGGAAGCGCAGCTCCAAATTTAGCTTTGACAGAAGCTGAAACCAAAGCGAGGGCAAGAGCGGCCACGGACACTGCAGGAAATGGTGTTACATCGAACCATCTCAAGTGGAAGCGGCAGGTGTGGTTCTTAGCGCAGGAGCTTCTTGCTTGCTCTGCTTCCGTTTCTGCTTCGGAGGCAAAGAGTGGGGATGGTGCCGTGCCCTGTTCTCAGTAGATGTTTGCTCAGTTGTGCTGGTCGTTGTATCATGTTGACTCAGAATGCTGGTAAGCAAACTTTCTCCAACTCATCGACATCTGCCAAAGCCCCCTTTTAGACCCCAAAGCTCGGGCGACCTCATCTGTGCTCAATCAGTCATCGGCGTTGTTTTTTGAATACGTACGGACACTCTCATTGTTCTGACAGGGATGCTTTGGACCCAAGTTCTGTTTTCAAGCCCCACGGTCCACAGTGAAAGTAGTGACTCTCAAGAGGGCCTAAGGGCAGGCTGAGCTACGCACACATTTTGAAGCTGCCATGTCTTGAAGCTGCCATTTCGTCAGCTATTTGCGGTGTTCAGAACGCAGACGCGCTCGAAGCCACATGCAGGCATAGGACTTTGCGACCCTGAAGGGAGATACAAAAAGATTTGATGCCATCATACAGGGTTTCCCAATGTGAGCTATAGTAGAATGGACAGATCAAGGTTCTCTCCCCCAGAACGGCGACATGTACTGGGAATTGTTGATTGTCATGGAAGATGACTCGAAAGTGAGGCTTTCCCCAGGGTCTCCAGAGACCGACCAAAACAAATACAAACGACAACACACGAAGTTCGATCTGGTTCAAGGAAGAGGACCATTTAAAGAGGCATTGGATTGCCTTGTGCGCTGAGCTGCACTGAGGCCTGGTCAGGATGGCCAGACATTGTAGATGGCGTGGAGCTGCCTGCGTAGTCAGTTTGACTGAGCAAGTGGGAGCCCCAGGAAGGAGTGTCGAACAAAAAGAAGCTCCTGCCGAGCGCTCTGAGGCGACCGCCCTTGAGAAGCCACAGCTGAGGATGCAAAGGTCTCTCGGCTGTCTCGATGACAATTCCGGTTTCAGGAAAACGAACTGCTGGAAGACGAGAAATTTGAGCAGTGTAGCAGTGTAGCAGGCAGGAGTGCTTCCATCCAATCCTTTAAACTACAAACGCCGTCTCCCTGGCTCAATGTTTTTCTGGTGAAGCGTAGAGCGGGGAGCATGTCCATGCCCACGTTGGCGCCGCCTTCCCCGCGAGACCGACCGGATTCATGGCCTGCAGTGATCTTGCTGTGGTGCTCCCGTTAGAACTGGTCTATACTGGTCTGCATATCTCGCTGTATCCTACAAGAGGGACACAGAGGCTCCAGCTGTCGGGAACTAGAAATGATTTTACCTCAAGACTCCGGATAAAATGGATGATGTCCAGCAGGGTGGCTGGCATCGTGCGACGGGCTGCTGCCGCTCGCAGTGGCCTTCCGAATTCTTTCGTTTCGTCCCTTAAAGCATTCAACGGCGCAAGTGAGCCCTAGCTTAGATAGGCTTTATCGCTTGCAATCCAGCGACACCCGTCTCTTCGTTTGCCAGGTGAGCTTAAACTCGTGTGGCATGTGATTATGAACTGCTTGACTATTCGACCGAACACGAGCCCCAAATCTCGTTTATTCCAGAATGTTACTCCCTGCTAGCACCTATCTGAGGCTGCACTCGTCCAGGGCAGTGTCTTGTGCCTTTGACAAGCCCGGAAGGGCAGACGTGGTGTGCACTCAGGAACGAAGCTGACAGCGCGACATGTTTCTGAAGAAAGATTGCGTGCTGGACGATGATGGTCAAAAGTACTTGAGCTCCCACAACTACAGCTCCTGTTGCAGCAATCAAGAACTGCTTTTTTTGCTGATTCGAGAACAGGCGCGGGGTCCTTGCAAATATGGCAGTGCTAACGCCCTCTGACCTTTCGTGAACCTTGGGCCACGTTCAAGGTTTCAAAGGCCTGCTTCATGGCTCCAAGCCGAAGCCGAGCTGGGAGTGCCTTCGACAAACGATTGTAGGGTTTTACATGGCGCTGCTTTGTGTGCTGCTGCTTGCAAAGTTGCATCATATTGCATCTGACATGGCAGTGCTACTGGACGCCAAGGCCTGGCAGCAATGTGGTACGAGCTTGCGACTGCACCATGGCAGTGGCCGGGAGCTTCGTGTTTCGCATCGTTATGTTGGGCGGCAGCGGTGCTCGTGCTGCCATGCTGCCGAGGTTGCCACTTTTGCAGTCTCGATGGGTGCATTCTTGCTACCGCGGGTGCTGGCTGTGCTGTGTATTTTGGCAGCTGGCTACATAATCGGCAGACTGGCATGCTCCATGTTCATTCTCGTGCTGAGCGTGGCTCGGTAGAGGTTCATTCTCAAGATTTGCTGCAAATTATATACATTGCCTATTGAGGGGGTGAGAGAGCGAGAGAGAGGGTCGAAAGTGTTAAGCCTCAACCTGCATGCCACTTCGAGTAGAAGAAGCGGAAGGAGGAGCACATACTGCATAAAGCTGTTCCAGAGTATTCCAGCGCAACTGACAAAGCAGATTGACATGAAGAAGAGCAGAGAGTTTCGAGAGTACCTGCCAGATGTGTTGTGCACAGGTATTGGTGGGGAAAATCCACAAAAACCAGCACGAGCGAGCAGTTGTCTTCTGGAGTTGGCTGTCCGGTTGCAACAAATTGACTCAGCCTGCAGTGTGGGCAGAGGTGTGACGTTGAGGTACGTTGAGGACCCTCCGTGCATATTTTTTTGGTAGCTTTGACGGAGCATTGGTATGGTCGCTGCAGTCGAGAGGTTCCCATGCTGGAAGTTCATTCTTTGCTGCCTGGCGTGCCTCGCCGGTGCCCTCACTGGACATCACCTCTGGCAGAACTATTGGCAGCAGTACAGCGATGTCTCACTCCTGAAGGCTCCGGGGTGGGGACTGCCGATGTAGAGTGGGTTTGGTTCCAACTCTGGGTGATCCCTTCTGAGGCTTATCACGGCATAGATCCTTCTGTTGTTCCGGGAAGTCAAATTCAAGATGCTGGTGCCGTCGACTTTGTCGCGGCCGGTGTCGACTCTGAGCACGGAGGGTGCTTCATGAACGCGGGCACAACCTACTGCGTGGCACCGATCGTCACAAACGGCACGATCCACCATAGTGTTGGAGGTGCACCACGGTATGGAAGCTTCGACTACTTTGCCGTGGGCGTTGACTGTTGTTCGTGCCTAGGCTGAGTTGAGATCACTGAGCGACATCTAGGCAGTAGATCTTTGGTGTCTGGTCTTCATAGATGCTTTGATGAGTGCTGCTTTGCGGGTGCTTAGACTTTCGGCCAAGGTGTCCGAACATCAACTTCAGATGTGGTGCCTGGAGGCATCCTTGGGCAGAGGGCGGAATTCGTTCCACAGACTTGGAAGCCAGACCGTTTTTCCGGCTGGCCGTTGATGGCTGGGCCAGCACATACCGCAAGACTTCGAGTCACCCCCTGTTCTTTGAATGGGTGGAGTCGCCGGTGGCGCACTGGCCGCTCCTTTGCACCCGTAGTCGCCCTCGATAGTGTTTTGTGCCTCAACGACGCACATGTCGTATCAAGTGCTGTCGCAAGAGATCAGGAAGAGCCTGCGGCACCAATTCCTCAAGCGGCTCTTGTTGGCGCTGGCTATGTGCTCTGCTCTAGTCTTGGCCTTCACTCTGACATTGTCACGCGTCCTGCAGGACCCATGTGAGAGCAACAAAACCTGTAAGAGTTCGTGGCTGACTCTGTAGCTATTTGTAGCTACAATTCAGCCACTCATGCCTGCAGGCCCTGGTGGTTCACGGCTTCGCTTCGCCCTTGAATGCCCCCGCGCCGCCAGAGGGATTCGAGGCAGCTTGGGCGCGGTTCCTGCCACAGATGCTGGAAAGTTACAAGGACCGGACCACATGGATTCGGTTGGAGGTTGATTCAGGTTGACCATACCCTGGTTCTCACGTTCCGTGTTCCGCCTTTTCATGCTCTGTTCCTTGACCTAAGAAGTAGATCGTGCAGTATGCATGCGGCAGATATACGCAGGAGAGCCAGCTACAGCAGAACGCACCGTCATTCACAGAAAGCCCGGAGAGCCTCTACGGAGCTGTTGACACTTCGTCGACGAGCCAGTCTGCCTAATGCAACATGCCATGTCCTATCATGTCGCTTCTTATGGCAGAACCAGCTGACAGGCTTCCCGTGGACAAAAGTTCATAAACCTTCTCCAGCATCCACTCGATGTGCCATTGAAGGGTAAGTCGCCGTACGTAGCTGCTACTCTGCGTGTGTTGCCTCGCTTCAAAAAGCGACCCTCTCGGCCGGGGCCTGCCCGCCGGCGAGTCCCCTGGTCCTGATGCCAATGCACCGTCCGCTCGCGACACCTGCCAGCTAGTAGGGGGGGTACCCATTCCAAGCAGAAGTACCGAGCAAAAGGTCGCAAACACGGCTGAAGCGAGATTGGAGGTGGGGTACCTGCTTATGCATTTTATGCTACCGTATGCTATCCAGATCCCTACGGCCCGAGGCCACGGCGGATTCAGTGCGTCCTGAGTCCCAACATGAAAGCGCCAGATTTGGATCGCACGATACACGGACACGGACCCTTCAACTTTTGGTGTGTGGGGATTCGGGCATGACAAAGGCCAAACACTCTTGTTGCCCGTTATTCCGCAGAGCCTTCAAGCAGTCGAGTTGCTGCGAGTACAGCACGGGGTCAAACGGGGTTAAGGGTTTTGGGTGTGGGGATTTATGCAACATGTCATGCAAATGCTTCGGATGGCGGCTCGAAAGAGCATTTCGCTCTTTGGTAGTGAAGCAGTGCTATGCCAGGATTTTTGGCTTCCCCTGCTAGGGTCTGTTTTCGACGGATGTTAGCAGACATAAGGTATAGGTTCGGAAATCTTAACACATTGCTACTTACTTACTTGTACCTGAACCGTACATCGCTTGTCCTGATTTCAAGAAGACGGCACAAGATGCCGTAAGACAATGGCCAAGATACACATAGCTACACTCATACGACTCACGCATCACCATGGTGGGGGTCCCCCGGCCATGGCGGCCATGGCGGCCCTGGGGGCCGGAGCTGAGCCAGATGCGGGACTGCCTTCGTCCTCTCCCTGCCTGGCATCCGCTGGGCCGGCTCGAGCTGCAGACGCAGCTGCCACTTTGATCAATTCAGATGGGAAGCAAGGGAGAGACCGTGGAGAGATGGGGAAAGGCTAAGAGAGGAGAAGACTTGAAATCATGTATCTTCACGCGTCAACCCTCCCTCCCCGTCCCCTCCCCCCCTAACATTTGCGATGGCTTTGGGAGAAGAGGAAAGACGGAAATGAGTAATGAGGTGCCAAATTCATTCGACAGGTGCAGCATCTATGAGTGTTTGGACAAGGGTCTCTTCGAAGAGGTGCCGTGCTTGGTGCCTGATGTTGCATCTCTAGAGAGGCAGAAGGTGCAGAAAGCATTCACGCAGCACATTGAGCTTGTCCGTGCTTCTTGCACCACGTTTTTTCACCTCGTCTTCTGTGAGTTGATCTCAAGCTTTAGATAGAACATGCCCCTGACATACCATGTAGACTTGGAGCCACCTGGCGCAACTAGCCTCAAAGTTTGTGGCAGCGCAGAACAATCTTCAACTTATGTTACGTATAGATGCCTAGATAGTGGCCGCTGAAAAATGGCAGCCAAGATGGAGGAGCCACCTGTAATCCAATGTGCAGGTTTGTGCACTTAGATTCACCTTTGACGCGAGTTGCGTGGCCTGTCGTGGCCTCGAACCGTCAGGAGGAAGACAATCCTTTCAAGCTGCCCCCTGATGACCAGATCTTTGCCATCCGGGAAAAGGAGCGGCAGCGTCGCGCCGAGGAGCGCGAGAAGGTCAAGCACCAGCACGTTTGGGAGAAGCTGCCCGGGGCCCCAGCATCCAGAGCATCCCGAGAAGGAGTCAGAAGGAGTCAGCAGGAGGCTGAGCGACTGAGTATTTGCCGCATCCTACGCGAGCCTGAGGACATCAGCCTCCCGAATTAGCCGGACTCGACGGGTAGATGACGCTCAGACACACCGTATGAGTCAAGCGACGTGCTAGAGCTGCTACCAGTAGAGGCTCGACAGAAACCGTCTATGCTGAGGATGGGGTCGACGATGCGCAGGTGGCCGCCGAAGCTGCGCGGAAAGCGCGGTCAGATCCCCGCCCTGAGGGCTTGGCCATCGGCCTGGGCCCAAGAGCCCAAGAGATCCCAAGGGCGCTGAAGATCTGCGTGCTCTGCTCTTCTCTGCTCTGCTCTGCTCTGCTGTTTTCTTCGCAGGCCGCGATGCCCGCAGGGAGAAGGACCGATTGCAGAGGGTGAGAGCCACTTTGGTGCTAGGGTTGAGAGAAGAGGCAGCAGGTCCAGTAGGATTCTCCATTTGAATGGCATTGGAGGAGAACATCGCAGACTTTGTTGCAAAGAAACGCGAGATGTTCTTGGTTCAGATGAGCCTAGATGTCAAGAAAGCAGAGATCCTGAAGCTGGATGCCAGAGCGAAAGATAAAGAGGAGGCAGGACATGCAGAAAGAAAGTCCGTGCAAAGCTGCTTCCAGGGCTGCATCTGACAATCCTGGGTAGTGGTGACAGGCTCTGAACAAGTCAAAGCAGATGCTAGACAAGGATGTCGAACGATTTGATGCCTTTCTTAGCTGGTGCCTCAGGGCTGCATGAACAGTATTTGAACAGTGCCACCCACCATTACCAAACAGTGCAAGCTGGCAGGTAACAATGATGACAGGGCCCATGACGCCATGCAGAAGGCCGACAAAATGGCCAAAGACAAGCAAGATCGGGCGCTTTGACAGCGGTTTGGGTGGTGCGCCCTTTTTTGCGTTTGCATCGCCTCCGAGACTCGTGATCCGAGGTCATCCGAATCAAGCAGCTGAAATCACAACTGAGTGCAATCCAGAGCCACGCGGCGCTACACAGCCACACACATTCTGGCACATGATGGACCTTCTCAAGCCTGAGGTGAGATAGCTAAACATCGAGAGCAGAAAGATGAGTGTTTGAGGCAGGGATTGCTCTGCTCGACAGGTAGAATTCCGATTCGTGTTGTGTTGATGGAAGGTTCAAGGACTTCCTTGTCAATCTCACGCCGGCCGAGTGGAAGGAGCAGAAGCGGGAGGAGAAGAAGCAGCGCAAGCAGGAGCGACGACGGATCGCCGTGTCTTGGTTGAAGTCACGTCAACCTTTGTCGGCGAAAGGCGTGGTGTGAACTTTTTGTGGGCAACCTGGCACAAGGTGGATGCGCGAATGGGAGAAATCGAAGAGAAGATGCATGCCGAAATCGAATCTGAAGAGCAGGCATTTAAGGAAAAAGAGGAGAAAGAGAAGTGACTCTGAAGCAGTGGTGCCAAATGGTTTCAAATGCGCAAAGCACATATGTATTTGATATGGGCATGTGCTACTTCAATGCTACGTGTAGTACAGGAAGGGCCGCCGTCGCCAGAAGAAGACCGAGGAGGACGAGCAAAAAGAGAGAGACCAAATGGAAGCACGCCGGCGCCGCATTGCCAGCAGCTTGCCGGAGATCCTCTAAGGTACTACAATGCATTACAATGTATGACAATGCATGACATTGTATTACAATGTCAGTGTATTGCAATGTATTACAACGCATTACACTGCTTTACAAAGTGTTGTACTGATAAGGTGTTATGTGGTGTTTTAATGTACTAGAATTTATCATGTACCAGAATGCATTACAAAGCATTATCATGCATTATGGATTAAAATGTATTCTTATGCATTGCAATGTATGAGAGTACAGTAAAATGTATTGTAATGCGTTGTGATGTATTGCAATGCATTGTAAGGTATTGCGATGTATTGTAATGTATTGTAATGTATTGCAATGCACTATAGCGTGTCATAATGTATCATAATGTAATATAATGCATTATAACGTATTATCATGTAGAATAATAATGTATTGCTATGTGTTATAAAGTATTACAATGTATTATCATGTATTTTTAACGTATTGTAATGTAGTATGATGAATCATAATGTAATGTTTCGTATTATAAAATTACAGTGTCGTCCCGTAGTACAATGTATAGTGTGCACACTTCGCACTATTGTGCATTATACCGTGGTATAGAGTATGAAATCATAATGAGTTACAATGTATGCGTTTTGTCAACTACCACCTTCATTGAGGAAAGTATCCAACAAGGGACCAGGTGGATGCGGAGTACATTGAGTATTCCAGCGGCGAAGACACTGGGCCTTGAAGCAAGTGTTACATCTTGCCGGGCTCCGGTGGCGGGGTGAAGTGCTGATATGGTTCTTGTTGCGCAAGCCCTGTGCACATGATGCGTGCTCATTCGCCCCGTCGAGGAAATGCCCTTGTATTTTCAAGAGCCCAAGCAGCTCCTCGACATTTTCACTTCGCTTGAAGAGTCCAATCTTTTCCTCATACAGAACTCCCAGGCTGGACTTGTGACAGGTCTCTTATCTTCACCGACGCATATCCTGGCTTGTACCCTGTGGCTCAGGATACAGAGCAAGCTCTGGAAGAGTTAGAGCAAAAGTTTGCAGCCATGCGAAAAGCACGCGAGGCCGCCCGCAAGTGCAGTTCACATGCTTTCGAAAGAGAAGAGCTGAACGTGTTTCGCTTGCAGGCCATGAGTAACAAGATGAAGCTACAGATCGGGCAGCTAGAGCGCCAGATTTCGGATGAGAAAAGCAAATGCGATGAGTTGAAGCAGAGACTTGGCATTGCATCTCGTGTTGGATGTTGGTTTGGTCAGCGGCCGAGATAAATCCGGAACTGTCTGCCGATGTGCTAGCATGACTCAGGGCAATATCGCAGAAGCATGGCGGCTCCGAAATCGAGGTTTCGGAAGAAGAGTGTCTCGTTTGTCTCGTTTGTGCCACGTCCTGTCATTGAATCAACCAGGATCTTCTGGAAAAGCTTGGCGAAGGGGTCCAGGAGGTGCACAGCATATGCACCCACGAGAACCAAGATGATGGCGACACCTTGTGACTTAGCAAACTTAGCATGCTTAGTGAGCATTGGAATCACAAGAACAATGCACATAAGAATTTGAGAACAGCGCCAGCATGGGGAGCGCGACGGAGCGTTAGGCAGATGCTGGCTCGGATCGAGTCAAAGCTCGAGGAGTACCTTGCTTACCTGGACGAGGTCTCGGGTTGTAGTTTGTGTCCTGTACTCTGGTGTGAGTTTGAGACGGCCCTCTGTAATATGTGCGGTTTGACATGTCTTTTCATTTCCTCTCACTTGTTTGCTCAGAGGCGGAGGAGTCCGGGCTCGGAGCTCGCGTCTTGGCCGAAGAGCACAAGAAGGACTGCTGTGCTGTTTGGCGTAGTGTAGCGTCACTTTCTCTTGCACTTACTACTCGCACTGATCCAACTCACTGTGATCCATTCTCCTGACCCTGCACAGGAGCGGCAGAGAAGGTTGGACCTGCGCATGAGCCGCAAGTTGCATCAAGAGAAGAAGATCGAGGATCGCTTGAAGGCCCAGGGAGTTGGCCACATGCCCCAATCAGCAACGGCAGGGTTATTGGGTTGCAATTTTGCAATTTGCAAGAAATGTTGCAGCCCCTTGGCAGGCATCGTTGCATCGATCCCAGGCTCCTGTACATAAGAAGGCCAGGACCGTCGAGAGTGACCTCAGACGCACATGATGCACAGCATCTGCTCATCTGCTTTGCTCAGGTGGGCAAGCAGATCATGTTCCGCTCCGCCCCGCTCTTCCAAGCGAGCCCGCTGCCCAGAGGGTCCGAAAAAGCGTGGCGGCATCGCTGCTGAGCCTTTCTTCCAGTGCCGCTCGAGTCCCTTGAATGGAGTGCTACAAGAGAGGAGAGAAGAAGCCCCAGACTCTAAGGACGTGTCGTGCAAGAGGATGATGGCTACGAGGAGGCTGTTCGCGAGCACAATATCTTCGGAATATGGTTGGATAAGGAAGGTGTCCCGAACGCCCAGCAACCAGAGCCTTAGTTGCAAGCGGTCATTCTGGCCGGTGACACTCATGATTCTCGAATCCTTTGTGCAGATCTATGTGCTTGTGTGACTAAGGAAAAAGCGGAAACCTGATGCCGGCCACTCAACGTGTCACACAATGCCCTGGCACGAACCGCAAAATGTGGTTCTCGGTGCGAGGCAAGCAAGGATCAGGCAGCAAGACTGGGGAACAGATTGGAGCTGCATGCGTTCCATCGATAGGCAAAGTTTCACACATTGGCCTGATGGCTCCTCGCTGCTGCCCGTCGGTGATGGCCTCTGGACAGGGTCGAGGGAGTCACGGGAATTCAACGAACCCTCAGCGCTTTCCGGCTGCTCGGACTGTCACAATACTGAGACAAAATCGGCAACGGGCGCAGATGGGAGAAGGGTGTAGTGGTTCGGCGTACAAGGGGCAGGTGTGAGACTGATGCGACCTTGGCTTAACCTGGGAGAGTTTTTTTTTCTCATCTTCTACTCCTCGTAATTGCCTGCCTTATGCTTTCAGGCGCGTGATCTCTGCGAAGACTTCGCAGCGAGTGAAGGCCCTGCGGCGGAGGCGAGTGCCGTGAGCAATTAGCTTCAGCATTTTCAGGAGGCGGAGGCTGCAAGACAAACCCAACACCCGTGAGCAATTTTTTTTGCGAATTCTTTGCGTCGTGAGACGAGAGAAGCCCCTCCCAGTCTATTCGCACGTGAAGATGTGTGAAGCTTGTCTGACGATTCTGACGTTGTGTTCCTCTCGCAGCCGTTTAAGCTCATTGCTTTCCCTGATTGGATTCGTCCATCTCGTTTCAGCTTCGGATGATTGGCATGCCAAAGAGTGGCGCTTTTGGTCTTGGCCGGAGCAGTCCCACGGCTGAACTTTCCAACACAGTGGCCATCACTGATGCAAAGTGGAACTGGCCAGTGGTCGATCAACAGGTTGTGTCGCTGTTGTCAGAGTTCGGAGAGATCGCCAGGCTTGATACCAGCCTCGTCACAGTAGCAGGCTGCCTCCTCGTCACGTTCTTCGATGTTCGCTGTTCCCAACGTTTGATGTTGTCTGGGATCGCCACAACGAAGCCGTTTCCTCCCGCTGCACACGACTGCCGCACGGTCCGTGTAAATATGCTGGCCTTTGCGGAGAGAGTCGGGGAAGCCAGCGGAGGATTCAGCCAGCCCTTTCGCCTGCATTAGATGTTCCATGATGTTGCTTTCGCATGCTGCGGCTGTTGCCACGGGGCGGATCGTCGACCAAGGTTCGGTGAGCTTGCAGACATCTCTCTCCAGGGCGATGCGACTCGGAGTCACTAGGTCACTGGGACATGCTCAAGGTTGGAATCACATGGCATGTTCACATTGGAAGTGTGCCAGTCTACGAGGCTGCCATCGTCGAGTTCTACGACATTCGCTCCGGCCACATGCTGCTTGCTGCTTCACAGGGCACTGCGGTTCCCTGGGTGTGGCAGCAGCTCGTCCTGATAAGCAATGTGTTGCAGTGAGACATCAGGGGCATATTATAACCAGGAAGTTGTGATTACGAGGCCATCCATGCTGGATGCCAGCAAGATGGAGAGCCCCGAGATGACAGGCCCTGAGGACTTGTTGCAATTGATTGGTGCAGAGCCTCTGGCGGGCCTTCTTCATGCAGCGCAAGGCCAAGTTTCCCCGGAGGATGACGGTTCGCTTGGGTCACCTCAGGACGACAAGAAGGGGGCACAGGCAGCAGAGCGTGGCAATCGGCCTCTCCGCACCAAAGTGTCCAACAAAGAGTTTCAGAAGTACGACATTGATGTGGACAGGATTCAGCTCGGAAAAGATCCGCGTACAACCGTTATGGTCAGAAACATTCCCAATGGATGTAGCCGCAAGTGCTTCCTGCAGTTCCTGGAGAAGAACGCTCTTGGAGACAGGTTCACCTTTTTCTACATGCCTTGCAAAGAGCACCGAAACGTCCCTGCCGGCTTTGCGTTCATTAACTTTGTTTCCCCCATGGACGTCCTGAAGCTTTTTGTGCTCTTGAAGACCCTTGGCTGGAAGAGTCCACGTGCAACTCATCTTCTGGCATCATCTGCATCATGCTGTCATGTCACAGGACCGGATCGTGGAGCGACTTCATGAAGAACCAATCCAAAGCTCCTGCCCTCAGTTACGCGCGATTTCAAGGCCTGGACCTGTGATTGTTGCACGTATTCTAATCTTGTCGTCTCAGTTGCTGATTGTTGGCTTAGGCTGTTGGGTCAGAAGATGTTAGAAGGTTATTTTGGATCCAAGACGTGCCTTACCAAAAGCGGATGCCCTTGGCTATGCAGGTCACCAAGAACTTTCCGACCACTTCAGCAGCTCTGCTGTCCTTCACGAACAGGAGCCGTTTTTTGAGTCGAATGAGTCGAAGACACTGGCATTCCGGTGGAGTTGGTCTGTGCAACAGGACCCAGAGAAACGGCCCATCTTCCGCCCCGAGAATCTGACAAAGTCTGAAAACCTGTTCTAGCCTCAGGAATAGCTCTGGACTACTATGTATGCACTGGACATCTTTCGACCCTCGTTTGTCTGAGGGCCATGGTCACTCCCCCGGCCCTACAGATGCCGGCGTCCTTCATGCCAGGCAGAGATCTCGGTGAATATTTCCAGGCCTGAACGCTCAGCCGACTGCGTTGCATGATGCAGGCGGTTACGATGAGAATCCTGGCCTGGGAATTTTCGGGCCAGGAGAGCAGCCGTCTGACAGCGATATGGAAGTTTTTTGTGAGCACAAGCGGCTGAGTGTCCTTCTGTGTGGCCGCCTCGTAGCTCCTCGTACTCAGGTCTCTGGACAAGCTTGGCAACCTCAAGGGCATGCACGAGACGTCTTCCCAGGTTGACAAGGACTGCTCCCATGCTGCCTCCGTGGGGCTTCGTTGTGTCGATGGGATCTTTATGGATGGTCTCAGGGCAAGATCAGCGGCTTGCCGATGTACTTGAAGCCGGACAACTTTGCCATTGGAGCGTGAGCTCAAGTTTGGAGGTGCACAAGGTGCGGTCACGGTGAGGTCTTGCAGCCTTGGTAGCTTTCGGACAAATTGAGCCTGTGAGGTTTCTGTCACAGGTTCCTGATGTACGTGCGCTTCTTCGACTGAACAGGTCTAAGGGGCTCTATGTTGATATAGCTTTGCCTCAAAAATCTGTCCATGAACAATGGCAAGGGGCGAGCGTCGCTTGTGAGCCCTCTCGAGTGTCCACAGTTGCCGGGCGTTTCTCTCAGACCTGGGCGCAGAGATACTCTGTGTCTTGTGGTTACTGAGTTACTGTGGCTATTGCGGTTTGAAGCTGTCAAGCGTCTGTGTCTCTGTATGTGCGCCTCCTGCGTTCGGGCTGGGAACTACCGGAAACCAGTTTTCCGTTTCTGAAGTGACTTTTTCGAGCTCAAGAAGCTCATTAGACTTTCTTGTGCTGAGAGGTGGGCCAAGCCGTTGGGGTGGGTAAGCTTAGAAGTCTGTTGGCATGAGGTCCGGCATGAGGTCCACCTCCGTACCTTGAGAGTCTGACAGCACTGTTTCAATTGCTCGAGTGTGATGTCATCTGGAGCGATTTCAGGATGCCATTCTTCTTTTGCAGCAGTTTTGCAGCACAGTTGTGTGATGTAGCATCCGTACTCTAGGTGGCATTCCTGCCTACCTTGACGTTGGCGTACCTTGATGTTGGCGGCCGAAGCCAAGCTTCCACATGCGAGCGGACTACGAAGTTTCAGTGCCACGGGTTGACTGCAAGCTGTCTACGAATTTTTTTTCTGCTCGCAAAGCCGGCCGGCTTTGGGGCATCGTGTGCCCTCAACCCTCCCAGAAGGCACAGGCCCAGCACTGGAGGGTGAATCTTAGGCAGCACGATGCCAAGATGCCTACGAGATGACAGACTTTGCCATGGTGACAATGCGCATGCTGAATTTGGCCAATGTTTCATTCACGGCCAAAGACTGCGGCAACCAGGCCCAATGAGGCCTCTTTGGCCAGGGTCCCTCACAATAATGAGTGTGTGCAAAGCACGCTGGAAGCGAGGTCTCGAAGTCTCGAAGCATTCTTGCGTGAGCTGTTTCTCGTACAGTTTGCTCGAAAAGGGCTATACAAGCGACGAGTGCTGGCGGCGGAGTTTAGCCCGCTTTTGTCGGATGCGTAGCCTGGCTAGTACGGTAGCGTGCACTATTTCCGACCGTCCTGATCCTCAGAAGTCGGCTCTGCTGCCGCACTCAATTCTGTTTCAAAAACATCGCTCGACCCATGGATGCGCAAGGTGGACCACCAAAAGCCCGTTTCAAGCTGCAACTGTAGATGCAGTGTAGTGTGGCATTAAGCAGTTAGTCCGCTGCAACATGCCAGCTAGCTGTTTCATGGAGCAGTACATGGGGCACGATGTGTAGACCATGACGCATTATCTGTGCTTGGCTCCAGCGACCTTTGCATCGCTTTCATTGGTTAGTGTGCGCAGAGCGTACGCGAAGGACAGTGCCATGAGAAAGCGCCCCGCCACTTCCAATTTGGGCTCAGCTCTTCTATTTGTGGTGTGTGGTGCACAGGCGCAGCTCCCGGCAAGTTACCACGAGCAGCTTCAGGACCACTTTGACTCGGCCAACAACAATACCTGGCCACAAGCCTATTATGTGAACTCAACCTACTGGAAGCCTGGGAGCAAGTCACCTATCTTCCTCTGTGTGGGTGGAGAAGGCCCGCCACTGGATAGTTCTGCTGTCAACCACTCGGTTCACTGCAACCTCGCGGTGGAATGGCTTCGTGACAAGGGGGCTTTGATGTTTGCCCTAGAGCGCTTTGACTGGTTTTGCTGGTAGAGGTTTTAAAACCGTTCGAATGTTCTGCAGAAAGAAACTGACAGTTGTTGACGATTGGTGTCTAGATGAGATGCTTCAGCATCCTTTCAGAGCTGAGGCATCGGTACTACGGCTGTCACAACAGATCCGCGTGCCCTGTAGAAGACCTGGATGCTCCAGACTCTCTGCGCTTCTTGTCTTCGCGGCAGGCTGTGGAAGACGTAGCTCACTTTGTAAGGGCTATGAAGGTCCAGTACAAGCTGACGCTGCAAAACCGTTGGATGACCTGGGGTGGGAGCTACCCAGGGATGCTGGCAGCATGGTCAAGGCTGAAGCATCCTGAACTGATCCATGCCTCTATTGCATCTTCTGCACCAGTTGCAGCGACCTACGACATGCCCCAGTACCTGGACCATGTGGCTTATGCTTACACGGTTGCCGACAGCGGTGTCGGTGGCAGCCTTGCTTGCAGAGACGCAATCAGAAAAGGGCACTCTTGGGTCGAGGCTCGCTTTATGGCGAGTGATGTGGCGGCCGTCACGGAAAAGTTCGGGCTAGCTGAAGGAAGCCTCGGATCACTTGTCCCAGCCTCGGTGGCATTGCCTTATTGCTCGTGGGAAACCGGTTTGATCATCCGAGCGATTCCTGGAGGGTGTGGTACCCTAACCGGCATGACGGACGAGAGAGACGGAGGGAGAGAGAGAGACAGAGAGTGTGAGCGTGAAGAGTGGCAACGAAACACTCCAAAACACCACTGGGGGCCGTCAAGGCACGGCGCCTTAAACTTTCACCTCGGACAGAGCAGCGGGCCAGCGTTGCCGGGGTCCTCTTAGGGGGGCAGAAGACGAAGAAGAGAGTGTGAGCACGCCCGTTTGGGCGGCTTCTCCCTCCGGGGGGGGGGGCTAATTAAGTGCGACGGAAGGAAGGAAGGAAGAGAGAGAGAAAACCACTTTAGGGCCCCTCCCCCCCCCCCACGGCCAAGCGGGTTCGCGGCAGTCCAAGCTCGGTCCTCAACGGTCTTCATCGGGTCCCTTTGGAGTGGTCAGTTTCACCTAAAGCGAGCAGCAGCAGAAGAAGAAGAAGAAGAAGAAGAGGAAGAAGAAGAAGAAGAGGAAGAAGAAGAAGAAGAGGAAGAAGAAGAAGAAGAGGAAGAAGAGGAAGAAGAGGAAGAAGAAGAAAAATAGAAAGAAGAAGAAGAAAAATAGAAAGAATAAGAAGGATAATAAGAAGGATAATAAGAAGGATAATAAGAAGGAGAGGAATCAGAAGAAACGAGAGAAAACCCCTCAGACGTGGGGGCGCGCAGACTGTGTGGGGGGCTCGCCCCCCCAGGCCCCAAGAAAGAGAGAACGAAATAAAGAAATAAACAAGTAAAGAAATAAAGAAATAAAGAAATACAGAAATAAAGAAACAAAGAAATAAACAAAGAAATAAAGAAATAAAGAAATAAAGAAATAAAGAAATAAAGAAATAAAGAAATAAAGAAATAAAGAAATAAAGAAATAAAGAAATAAAGAAATAAAGAAATAAAGAAATAAAGAAATAAAGAAATAAATAAAGAAATAAAGAAATAAAGAAATAAAGAAACAAAGAAATAAAGAAAATAAAGAAATAAAGAAATAAAGAAATAAAGAAATAAAGAAATAAAGAAATAAAGAAATAAAGAAATAAAGAAATAAAGAAATAAAGAAATAAAGAAATAAAGAAATAAAGAAATAAAGAAATAGAGAAATAGAGAAATAAAGAAATAAAGAAAAGACAGAGGGAGAGAGATAGAGAGAGAGAGAGAGAGAGAGAAAGAAATCGAGAGCAGCGGCAAATATCAGCAACTGTTTTTGACAAAAAGAGCTGCCTGTCTGGAGACCAATCGCCTGAATGCTGTTGGAATTCTTTTTTATCCTGCCGGGATCCGTTCTTCCAAGGACAGTCGCATCGCCTTCGGTTCAAGTGGAGTAGCTGACTTCCCCGCCCAGGAGAATGACCCGCTGTGCACAGAGCCTGCCTGCAACATTGCCAAAGTCTGTGCAGTCATGACAAACGAGTCCTTGGGTGATGAAGTGCAGCGGCTTGTTCAACTTCGCAAGCTGCAGAAAATCTCAGGGCTTCCGCAAATGGGAACACTCCGGGTGAACCGAGCTTTGGGCCGGGCATCGTCGTTGCGCATGGGCCTCCATGGCATCTACCGCCAAGGGTCTGGGCTCCCGGACTTCTGGTTTTACCAGACATGCAAGGAGTTTGGGTTCTACCAAACATGTGCAGCCGCGGGGGGTTGCATGTTCGTTCGCGGCTTGGCAAAAGCAATAGTCTCAGATCTTGTTAGCCTTTTACCCTTCAAGGACCCGGTATGCGGTGAAACAAAGTGGATACGTGGTTGTCACGACGTACACAAAGCCGTCAAGCAAGAAGGAATAATCAACATACACTAGGCAACACACAAAGAAATGATAGTGAGCCGGTGCTGTTTGCTTCAACCATGCGCAACGCCCATAAGTTCTCCCTCGCTGTAGCGGGTTCATTATCGTTCTTGATTGTTGTTAATCACCTCGTCTTTGGTTGCATCCTGAACGCTTCGCTGGAAGGCGGTCTAGACAATGCAAGCTTCTACGCCGCTGGATGCGTAAAACAGTTTAACATCAGTGTGGCAGACGTCCAAAGCAACATCGATGCTACAAACTACCACTACGGTGGGCGGGAGCCACTTGATGCCAAGGGCAAGCTGGGCCGCTGTGTGATGTTTCCCAATGGCCAGGTCGATCCTTGGTCAACACAGAGTGTGCTTCAAGCCCCGAGCCGTGACCTTCCCATCTTGATGATTGCAGGGGCATCGCACCATGCATGGACTTGGCCGTCACGACCAGATGACCAAGAGAGTGTTATGGCAGCCCGGACGACCATCCGACAGCAGGCAAACACTTTCCTCAGACAATCTTGTAGCGAGGATTCTTTAGACAATGGCCACAGCAACAACAATGTGGTGTGGATCCTTGCGTGTGTCGTTGCAAGCATCGTTCTGCTTGCCCTCACCGTTACAGCAGTGCGGCGGTGCCGCAGGCCTCGAAGAAATGCCCTCTTGTCGTCGAACGTCAGCCTTCAGAACAGATAGCACTCCATTAGTGAGAGAGTCCAAATTAGCATCCATTGAGCTTTACCAATACGCAAGCAAATCAGCGGATCAAAGCGGTGCCAAGATGGACTTTTGTGCAAAATGTGTCAGTGCTTCTGTCACATCCGTGCATCATTCTCAGAACCTCGAATCAATACACAGCGTCCACCAAACTTGTGGCAGGCTGTCGCGCGCATCGTGTTGATGGATGTCCATCGAGCTTGGGGTTCTGCACTTTGAACTCACTCAAAGAATAGTCGCAAGCCCTGGCGCGCATGCATGGGCACGCAAGCGGCTTTTTTTTCCAGGTGATTCCATGGGTGCCATGGCCTTGGCATGCGAGGCCGGAAATACCTGTGAGCCGGTGCTCTGGGTTTAGTGCGGGGTGTACGGCAGGCCGCATTTCCTGAGGGTACGCCGGAGGCACGGTGCTACAACTCTGTGCGCAAATGCATTGTGCTTGCCTTTGTCTGAGGAGGCTGCGTTGGCATTGGCCGCATGCTACTCTCTGCTCAGTGCAGAAGGCCTTCGGACGCCGTCTGGGCATGGTCTCTTGTGCATCGTTTCGTTTATTGTGTGTGAATTCTTTTTGATCGGCTTCAAAGGTGACCTTGCCCTGATCGAAGCGGATGTTGGCAAGGCATGGTCAGTTGCCTTCTCCGTGATTCTTTGGGCGCATTTGCAGTGGCGCGAATCGACGCCAGCGGCGCCAAACGGTTCATTTGTCCAGAGTCTAGAGCAAGGACAGAGAGGTTGATGAGGTTACAAGCTTGGACGCCGAAGCCTGAAGACATCCTGAGCAGACAATCGTGAAAAAGTGGAGAGAAAGTAGAGAGGGGCTTGGGGCAAATTCCACACGCCGTTTTATCTTAGCTGGACCGGCATCTTCGCCATCACTTCAACTCCCCGACTTGTGATGCTTTGGGAGAAGTCACTACACTGTGTGATCAGGCAGTGGGTGCAATGCAACATGTTGTTGTTGGCACTGTGAACTGGCCAGGTTCAAGACATGCGTTGCCCTCAAATCCAATTTTGCGAGTCGGCACTGTTGGGCACATTGGCTTATTCGAGCCTCAGGCTGTTCCGGCTTTCGAGGAGATCCCCAGAGCCAGCGCTGGCAGAGGCTTTTGCTTGCTCACCATGCTCTATTGACTCTATTGCGTCGCCGTGACCTCGCCGTGATCTCTCCATGAGAGCAGGGGGCTGCCTTTATGTTAGCGGCGAACGCAAACCTTGCCTGCGCCTTGGTTTTTTGGAGGTTGCAATCGGTCTACTTATGTCCACTTGTTGCGGAGCTCACGATGCAATGCAGTGTTGTCGCGTCGCTAAGGTGACAGGAGCATCTGGCGCTGCTGCGCAGGCCGCCAAGCGTGCTGTCAGCTGCTACAGGACAGATGGCACGCCTGCACGACGGGGCGGCCTGCTGGGAGGGGGTTAGGGGGTCGGCAACCTGTCTAAACCTATCTAAGGTTCCCTAGACCTGGATCTAAACGCTTCAGGCCTCCGGTCTCGGCGGATAAAGGACTGGGGGACAAGAGGCGTGCATTTCACTCACATTCTTTTATAAAATGGGTCTTTTAGTAGGAATAATATGCTTACTTATCGACAACGTCTCCACGTCCTCACACAGAGTTTGCCCTCTTTGTTGTATTCGGGGCCTTCTCGCGGACAATCGCTCGACTTTACCCACGCCCGAAGATGAACACGTGTACACGGTGAGCAACAACATTGGAAAGTGATGTCTGTGCTTGGTTCTTGAGGTGTAGAGACTTACTCAACCGGCCTAGATGCGTTGAATGCAGAGTTTCGAAGCTGCCTGCAGGAGCATCGGGGACCTCAAGGGTCAGGCGCGTGCCAAGAGAACCAACGGTTTGTTGCCAGTTTGAGATTATTCGCACATGTCTAAGGCTTAGAATGGCCACCGCATCTGCAAAGTGGGAGGCAGCTGGGCTGCGTTGCCTCACTCTGGCGAGCCTCAGCGCCCAACATGCGGCAGAAGCGGTGGCAGTCTCAGAGCGAAGTTCCAGCGGCCGCCACGGCCAATCAGCTAAAGTCCAGGATTTCTACAGTTTGTGACATCCCAAATGCGCTGGGCCACTACGTGACCTTTTGCAGAAGACAGGACATAGCATTGCCTAGAAGCTTGGTCGGGCAACTTGGGGTGATTAGATTCTTACCATTTCTTAGCGCTGTTCTTGACGTTGCGTGAGGCTCAGTCGGCGAAGCTGGCAGCTTCACTTGCCCGCTCCACTGGAGACGCGCCTCGCTTTCGTAACAGTGAAGGTTGTTTGAGTTGGTTTGGTGGTTCCAATTGTCCTCCCCAAGGCTGTTCTGTGAGTTTTGTGAGAGTTGCGTGTTCCAGACTTTGTGATGTTTTCGTCACAGAGAGGTTCGCGCGCCTTTGAAGCACTTAGCAGCATGTTTCCCAAACGGGGAGCAGAGGAAGTCAAGTGAAGGTGCTCGGTGAAGGCTCCGCGCTGCGCCTGGCCGCAGAGGCTGAGCTTCGCCAGGGCGACACACAGCAGGCGAGGGACGCGAGGGACGCGAGGGCTTTGGGAGTCAGGGAGGGCTGTGGACTCTGGTATTGCCCCAGTCTATCTCTGGGTTCTTGTGCTGTGTGAGTTTGGTCCTGTTGCGGTGAGTGCCTTGCCCAGTTCGGCAGACATGTGGGATCATGGGAAGCCGCGCCATGCAAAGTTTAAGGCCACGAACACATAAACTCAAAACCCCAAGGCGCCGATTCTAGGACTCTGTATAGGGGTTCTCAGAAGGAGCCCACGGGGCAAGGCACCGTGAACTAGGAATAAAATGGCGGCCCCCCGGCCCCCCATCATAAAACTTCGCCCAGGGCAGCGTTTCCTTCATCCCCACCCCCCCCCCCCCTCTTTATTCCTTTTTGGGGCGATGCGGGAGTCTCCCAGACCCTCTAGGACTCCGCCTCTAGGGATCCAAAGCCCACGGGCCTTTCCCGGCACCGCGAATTAGGAACAAAACGGGGGCCGGTCATGAAAACCTGGCGCAGGGCAGTGTTTCCTTCACCCCCCTCTTTATTCCTATTTCTCGGCCTCCCGCGAGTACTGGCTGGGTTATGCTGGGTTCTCCCGTCCTCTAGGCCGCCTCTCGGATGCCCAGAAGGAGCCCACGTGCAGTTCACTCACGTTCAGGAAGGAGCCAAAACACAGAGCCACAACATCACCGCTGCAGGAACGCATAGTTACAAGTAGGTACATTTTCTTTTTTTGTGTTTGGAGGGGGGGGGGTCCCCCCCCCTCCGCCCCAAACCCTATTGGGAACAAATTCCTAATTCCGACTCCTCCCCCACCCCCCCCTCCCCCCCGATACACTGGCCCAATACTCTGGTAGACGTTCACCACATGGACCTGGCCAGGCTGCAACTCTGGCGCAGGACTGTGCGGCATCAACTCACATTCTTGAGATGACTTTCTGGCAGCAAGATGATTGAGAACAATGAGACAGGACTCCGCAGCGCTTTTTCGAATCAAGGGCAACTCCTTCAATGAGGCTGGCAAGATTGGAGCGACCGCTCCCTGTGGCGTGCCTCCTTTGCACCACTGCGCTGCAACTTCGTGAGCACATGTCTGCGGGTGCATGCGTTTCCTTGCATAACTGCTGTATGTATGTTGTGCAAGGGCATAGAGGATGGTACAAGTTTGGACCCCCCAAGGTTTATGCCATGGGAAGGGTCGCCTATTCTCACGGCACCTGGATACCATTGCCCGCTAAGCCAAGAGGCTTTCCACCATCAGGACGTCAATGAGCGACAGTTTTTGCACAAAACAGAATCAGATACAACCCCCCCGTGTGACGAGCTGGGGGAAGCAAACCAAACCCCTGACTGACAGGTGGGTGGGCTGCGAGCACCCGAGCGACACCAAACCTCGAGGGCCCCGAATCCTGAAGCCTTAGTGCCTTGAGGAAAGAGCGAAGTCAGAAAAACCAGGCCGAATCTTTTTTAAATGGATTCTTTGCTGATTTTGATAAAATTGAAAAGGTTCAGGGTTTTAGGATGTTTTAGGGTCTAGGGTTTTGGGTCGAGGCGTTTCAAGATTTAGGCAGTTTAGGGTTTGGGGCATTTAGGGCTGTTAGCGGTTTGGGGGGCAGCAGGGCCGGCTGGGGAAGTAGAATCCGCACCCGCAGCAAAAAACAACACGCCCCCTGCACCCCCGAGACTTCGCGGAGAGTGCCGGGACCGTGAAGCTGGACGAAAATCTCGCTCTCGCCTAGACCAGTTATGCTTCTTGAGATAGCAGGAAAGTCACAGGTTTCCTGACGTCCTAGGGCATCATGGGCCATGGGTGAAGACTTAACAAAAACCGACCCGGGCACGGGACTTGTTTCCGCAGCTTTGTCGAGCTTGGCACATGTGCTCCACTTTGGGAGCCTTAGCTTGGAGCAACTCGTTCGACCGTGGTTTCGATCTTCCGTCAGAGAGATCTTTGGCTTGGGGCATACCGTTCTAGGACAAGTGTACATGTATCGAAGTATCTGTAGCTGTTCGGCGGCACATAAATCGTTTCACCAATGTCAGGAACGGGATCGCTCCTGAGTGGGGATGCATATCCCGTTGCCACTGTAGAGACAACGCGAAGGCAAAGAGCTGCGCGAATGCCAGTACTAACCAAGCCATGATCCTACGAGACAAAGTCGTTCAGAACAAGGACATGATACCCTCAACCCTATATCCCCTACAAAGCCCAAACCCCAAACCCCAAACCTGAAGGCGACATGCGGATATGCGCGCTGCCCACCTGCGCCTACTGAGCACACTCGGCCCTTCTCTGCACGTTTGAACGGGCCGAATTGTTAGAGGGTGCGACGGCGCTCTAAGAATCAACAGCTGCGTGACGGGTGGCTCGGATTCTAGCTGCTACTTGGAGGGAGTTGGGAGTATTCATCCTTCACAAGAACCAGCCCAGCACTCGCATCAAAAAACACCAAACCTCTCCCGCCCCCACCGCACCCACAGCAAGAAACGATTCAACGCGCCCCCCCAACCCACAACAAAAAAACAACGCGCCCCCAAACCCGCAGCACAAAAAGCGCACCCCGCACCCGCAACAAACCCCTGCACCGGCAGCAAAAAACAACACCCCTGAATCGTTTTTCTACCCGAAGCGTTTGCAGACTCAGACTCGCTGGTTGTTTCCGACTCGGTTCCACCCATAGTCGACTCCTGAAAAAGTCCCATCGAGTTCCTCGTTTCTTGATGCTCAAAGTGTCTTAGTTTGTTTCAGACGAACCTGAGCCGTCAGACTGGTGGCAAAGCCGCACCCTGTCGAAAGGATGGCTGTTACGGGAGTTGTCAACTTGCAGCCTGTGCTAGTGCAGCTTGTGCTGCCCGAACCACCTGCCAGGCAGATGCATTGTTGAGTGCTGCAGCAGCTCTCTGCCTTCGAGCCCATCAGCGTCAGGCCGATGATGGTTTTTACAGAAGAGCCCAGAGACTGTTTCTCGAAGGCCCGGAGGCTCAAAAAGAGTAAACAACTCTCAGAATTCTTGAGCCGACAGGTTCGCGTGTGTTGCTGAGGGATGCTAAGTGTCGAGGCCTTTGAGACAATTGGCGCTTTGGGGGGGGGGGACTCGGGTGCTTGTGTCTCAAGAGTATCAAGAGTGCAAAGTGGATGGAAAGTCGGATCCAGGAGGGAGTATCTACCTTCGGGTTGCAGAGGGTTATTTTGTAAGAAATGTGCATCGCCAGGCGAATGCCCAGCGCAGCTCACTGGAAGCTTGGGTTGGCTTCCTACAAGAATGCTTTGCATCTCCACGTGATGCTTTCAACGCTCTCGAGGCTTCACAGGCAGCTGCGCTCGCCGACAAAGTCTTGATGATGCAGGGCCATGTCGGTTGGGATCGCGCGCACCAGCAGGCACGGCACACTCTTCCCAGTACCAACTTTTTGTCGCGAACGGCTCCCTGGCACTGATAGGTAGTGCTTTCGAAGGCTTGCAAACAGTTTCGAGGTCGATGCCCTTCTAGCTCGGGCTTGGGCGGTGCTTGTGGCCCCCAGCGCTGCAGAATCCCTGTCGCAGGCTGCCGCCGTTTTTGTTTGTTTGTTTGTTTGTTGTTTTTGAGAACCCAAGTTATAGTGCTCCCGCTCTAGGCTCTGGAGGATTCGCAGAAAGCGGAGAGACTCGCGACCGATATCTCCGACAGACGACGTGTGCCTTAGATTCGTTCTGGTTTTCTGAGTCCAGTCGCCATTTGAATGCAGCCGCGTCATGCAATGCGGTGCAATGCGGTGCAATGCGCTGCGCCTGGCACCTTCAGCGGCAGGTGGCAGCTGCGAAGCTTGCTCGGGCTCAGGTTCGGCCAGAGTACTTCTGAGCTTGTGGATGACGGATGACGGTGTGGCTTTGTCCTGCTATGTCCTGCCGTCCTGTCCAGCATGAGTGGCTTGTGCTTGTGCAGCTTTTGCCTGGCGCTCTGGAGGGCAAGATTGGGAGGCCCAAGATTTAGTGATAGTATTTCTGGTCAGTTGCAATCGCCATGTTCGGCCTTGAGTGCCTTGCAATCGCTGTATCCTTCATGGCCGCTGTGGATACGTGCTGGGCACGGCGGCAGGGCGCGATCAGTGTCAGGAAGCGCAAGGCGTCGAAGCAGACGCAGGGCCCGCGCCCACTCGTGAAAGACGTGGTGTGGGCGATGGCTGTTGGTGGCTCTGTGACCCTGAGGCTTGTCTGCGCTGTTCAACTCAGCGAGTTCCATGCGACACAACAAGGAAGTACTCTTGCAGCTAGCTGCTGGGTTTCGGCCCTGGGTTCCTTGCTGTCTTTTCTCTGTCTCTACCCTTTTCTTCCACGGACATGGAGCTTGGAGATGGCAGGGCATGTGGAACTTGCAGCCATGTCCGGGGCTCTCTCCTTGCCTCTCTTCCTGGCTGTGGCTGCGATGGAGGACTTCCTTGGATTGGGCTTTGCGCAGCTGATTCTTTTGCTATTCGCTGTCCTGAGTGCAGCTCTCATGGCAGATTCTGAAAACGTTCGGAGACAAAGCTCCAGGATGTTGGTGCTGGCTCTTGGTGTAGGTCTGGCAGCTGTAGCATGTGGCTGGCAAGCATTGGGCGACCTGTACAAGTACTCTGGACCCGTGACAGCGCTTCTGGTTGCTGGCGTGTCTGCGGTCGTGCAAGCAGGTATGCTGGCGGACCAAGCAGTGCCCGCCAAGACGGCAAGGTCATGCGAGCCTTTGTGTCACCTTGCTAGTGCCATGGCTCACATGCCCCTTCTGCTGGTTTTCATTCTCTCTGGCGACTCGTTCAAGATGCCGCGCTTGGCCGATGCACATCTCTGGATGTTCATTGCCGTTCAAGGCATCTTCTATGTGCGCAGTCTTCGACCACTAACACACAGCCTAGGCCGTGTCCGACACTGAGTTGTTGTGAGTTCTTAGTGGCTGTTTAATCTTGTTGGGTCGGGCAGGATTGGGTGCACATGTATCATTGCGCACCTCCCGTCCTGCCATTGCCTTCCCGAAGCATTGGCTGTTGAGCCATAAGAAAAGGCCTTTGCTTTATTCGGGGCGATGCCCATATTATGACTCTCGAACAGCATGATACGCTTCCCTGTCTCGCTGTTCACAGTGAGGCGCCGACCTTGGCCACGACGGCATACATGGACAATGCCCAGCGCATCCCTTCTCCGCGGAAACAACCGCATGCAGTAAGCGAAGACAAAAAACCAAAATCAAGCGCATGTAGCACGTGCAGGCACGCCGATAAGCAAAACAACCGCGCACAGTAAGTGACGAAGTGCCAGACGAACCAAAACAATGCCTTTTTTTGACGAAGGCATACCATGAAGCAGAACAACTGCACAGCAAGCGAAGACGCACCAACTTGCAGAACAACCGTACAGTAAGCGAAGATGCGCCAACAAGCAAAGCGCACGAATGAGTATGAATTAGTTAAATTAGTGAAGCCGCCGCAACCGCATGTCGTAAGTGAAGGCGCGCACCCTGTGTAAATCAACAATGATCAACAAGACCAAGAAGGTCAGATGGAGGAAGAAGAGGGATCAAGGAGGGAGAAAGGGGAGAGGAACCAGACCCGAGATTTGGACTCGCTGCCTGCGGTGTGCGCTTTCGGGTGCGTGCCGATGGGGTTGCGAGCTGTTTGAGGGCGGAGGGTAAGGAAGAGGAAGAAGGGGTGGGATCGTCAAGAAAAACACGGGGGGTGGGTGGGGGAGATGGGGGAAATGGGGGAGATGGGCGGGCTTAGGAATAGCAGCTTGAAGCCGGCTTTTGCGCCCCTAGAATCCAGGCTCGCTTGCGTTGTCTTCGGCTTGCCCTTCAAGTACATGGTGAAACGGTACACGACACACGCCAAGGTCGCTACTTTGAGCATGGTCTTGTTGGGGCAGCTCCTGACCACATTCATGATGGACACGCTCCAGGATGGGATGCCGGCGCGGCTTTTGAACATTTCTATGATTCTCTTTGGGATCTTCCTCAGTCAGCAGGCACGGTTCATACGATCGCGGTTCCAAACACACGCTGCTCAACATGTACGCTTCACGTGCGGGATGCTAAGTTGGAGTGTCTTTAAATGCCCATAACATAGACCTCAACTTGGAGGCAAGTCCAAAGTTCGAGCAGCTCGAAGAGTTCGAGCCCGCCTTCAAGCACACGCTGCAGAACACGCTGAACTTAGATGGCAGCCCGCACGCAGCAAATGAGGTCGAGCTTTCCCCGTAGTTCTGTAGGAACATGCAGGAACTGTTGGCATGCCAAAGGCATGTGAACACGAACCGTGGGCGCTTTTTTTCCTGTGAAGTGCCCATGGCAGTTTTTGAGGCATGCTGAAGCATTTCTGGCTTTTCAGTTCCTCAGCAACGCCGGCTGCAGTCGAATGTGTGTACAGTTTGGTGCAGCTCGCAGTTGTTGTGAGGCGTGCGCTTGCGAGACAACCGCAATTTGAAGCACTGCGCCAGCTTTGCAACCTTGTGCCCGCGGAGTGGGCTCCCATGTTCCGCCAGCGGGAGCAAGATAGCACAAGACAGCCATCCCAAAATGCGTGGGCCGATCAATGATCATCAGTGGTTACGCTGGAAGAAGCTTTGACAGGCGTTAATGAAAGCTGGGGATGCCTCAGCTCCAGATGTGCTGAGCGAGGTGCGGCTGGTGACAGATCAAGCAATGTTCCTGCTCTCATGTCAGCATGGCAGGCCCACGGCATGTTCCAGAAAGCGGGAGACGTCGAGGGCGCCAGATTCGCTGTCCGCGGCACGGATGCAGGAGCTGTGAGTTCAGCGGTAGGTCTGACGTTCCGAGCCGCAGCACACATGGAAGCACCGCGCTCCACGCAGCGATGAATACATTGAATGAAGCCAAGTGGAAACTTTGGCCAGTCGGTCCACAGGGTGAAGCTGTTAAGATATGCTTCTTTCCCGAACATCGAACATCGCTGAATCAACTGCCTCACGGTAAACGTCGATTCAGCGCATTTTTTTGTTTGTCTTCGGTCCTCCAAGAAACCTTGTCATCCAAACTTAAGCTTAATCGGTCGAGCAGTCGTCTCTGCTACTGGTCCATGGCTAGTGCGCCACTGCCGCTCGAGTTAGCCTCTGGGCATGAGGCACAGAGCGAGTTCAACTCGAACTTTTCTCTGATTCTGTTGGAAGCAAGAATGTCCCAGCCACGCACCCACCCAGTCACCCGCCTGCCCGCCGCCGGGGCATGAAACTAGCTGAATTTTGACTGGAAGCCGAGGCTGTGTTCATGTCAAAAGAAGGCGCTTCGCAGGCCTGCGGTTGCTCTGTTCTTGTTATTTTTGCCATGGTGCCAATCATCCTGCACGAAAGTGTTGGCACACACGACCATCGAGCAGGCAAGCTCCAAACCAGAAGACAGCCAGACCTCCGGGTGCGTGCTGTCCTTGGGATGTAGTCACTATGGCGGACCGCACTCGGACTCTCCGTGCTTGCAAAAGGCTTCAATAGACTGTTGCGGAATTGGTGTGGTCTCAATCTCTGCTCAGTCTGTAGAAGATGAAGGCTACCTGGGAGGGCTTGGCCAAGCACGCAGACCAATGGTGGGCGGATCACATCCACTTTCAGTTTGCCGGTGTGGTGCCCAGCGATGTGCAAGTTTGCTGGCAGCTTTGACATGGGTTTGAGCTAGTACATGGCTCTCAGCAAGTATCGTTGCTGTTGCAGTTATCTACGCTTTTGGAAATGCTCACGCCGAACTACTTCAATAAATTTCAGCAGTTCTGAGAATCGTGGTTGCGCGATCGTGGCAGCTATGTTTCACAGAACAGTATCATGCGCTAGTGTTGGCTTGCAGCGTGTTACAGCGTCGTCCAAGTCGACACGGTAGCGGGTGCTGCGGCCACTGCTCACAGAGAATACATCGCAGTACGTGTTGTCAACAGATTCTCACGGACTCATGGACAATGATGGCAACAAGGCGGATGCCGCCTGTGTCGGCCACGGTCGTTAAATGTTAAGTGCCCTTCATCGCCCAAGAAATGATTCCAAATCCATCTGGATCAATGTACGTAGGCAGCGGGCAGGTCTGGGGGCCAGGCTGAAACCTACACTCACTCACTCCGGTCTCCACAAGTTTTTCGCTTGTCCTCCTGCACCTTGTTTCGGCTTGTTCCCCCCACTTGACAAGGGGCAAGCCCAACTTAGGGCGCGGGCAATCATCCAAGATTCTAAGATGTGTAGCCGTTTCAAACACCACAATGTCCAGGGCCTAAATGGCGTCCTGGTGTTTTGCATCTAGGTCTACACCAAGGGCAGCGTATCAGACCCCTGTCGTCTAGATGCTATGTCTTTGGTTAATTGGCTTCCTATTCGTTCTGTCCACAAGTGTTGAACACACATCTCTGCAGCTGTTGCTTACAGCCTCGATGAGAATGTTGAAGCCATGGAGCCTAATCCGCCCGAGGCTAGTGCTCATAAACAGTCGGTCCAGGGCCGCGCGTCAGGCCTTGCGCACTCAATGACTGCCTCAAGCAACATCTGGGATGAGTTTACGATGGTGGAGCCTTTAGGAAGTGGGACATTTGGCGTTGTGAACTCAGTTTCTTGCCGCACAAGTAGGCAACGTTTCGCTGCCAAAACGGTGCGGCTTAATGAGCAAAGCGATCCCGAGCTGCTCATGGCATCACTGACGCATCCAAACATCCTTGAGCTTTACCGGGTCTTGGAGAATGGGGGCGAGAGGCATCTGATCTTGGGCCTTTGCACCGGTGGCGATCTCGAGCACTGGTGTCTTGGCTCGAGAGGAGCAATAGGGTAGCTCTTGTTCAAGTCTTTCTTCCCGTTTATATGACTGGCAAGAGTTGGTTGAAGTGTACTGCGCTTTCTGTACTCCTTTGAGATCCTTTGAGGATCGAGGAGCGGTACGAGGAAGACTTCGAAGGCAAGAGGTTCTACGACCAACCCAGCAGTGGGCAGATCGCCTCCTTGGCGTCGCAGATGTTCTCGGCGATCGACTACCTGCACGCGTCTTTCGTCGTTCACCGGGATGTAAAGCCCGGGAATTGGATGCTCGAGAAAGCAAGCTTGTACCCCAAGCTGAAGCTCTCGGACTTTGGCCTGGCAGCCGAGTGGAAGCCGTCTGACTCCGAGCCCCTGACGGAGAAATGCGGCTCCTTGAAGTACATGGCTCCAGAAGTCTACGAGCGCTCCTACACTGCCTTGTGCGATGTTTGGAGCACTGGCCTGGTTGTGTACGATGTGGCCATCGGCTCTCCATTGTTTCACAAAATCCCAGAGACCCAGATAGAGGAGGCGGTCTGCAAGCCTGTCGAGCTCACGTCGCCCACTTGGCGTTATCACAAGCCCTGGCTCAAGGCCTTTGTGGCGGATCTTCTGCAGCGGGAGGCAGGCCGACCCTCTGCCTCAGAGGCACTGCAGACAGCAAGGCAGCATGATGCCAAGTGTCGCTGTGTGATCTCTTGACCAAACCGGCGCAAGATGTCATGTGTGCCCTCCTATGCCTGACACTGGTAGCAACGGCCATTGCGATGCCCAATCATTCTCCCGAAGAGTTCGGTCCGCCGTCGAAGACGTGTTTTAGTATGCCGAGCCGCATGCGGCCCGCGACCATCCTCGCTGTATCTCGCTGCTGCCTGCGCCATGGGGCCCTAGACAGCTTTATAGACTGAAGCACTGGTGATTTTCCGGAGAAAAGGCCTCTGCAGCATAGGGAAGTTGACAGTAAGTTGAGCGACTTTGTCAGCCCTGACGGTCATGCATGATGCAAAGCTGCAGTGCTCGATAATGCCCGTGAATCCTTGCGACTATGAACTTTCACAGTGGAGAAGTTGCCAGGTCTCCAGGGGAGGCCCGTGGCGAACACCGTGAAGAAAAAGTGAGACATGTGAAAATGTGAGAAGCATTGAGAGAAGTATTTTCGAATCCGAGCTCAGTATCCGCGGGTGGATGTGAGTTTTGTAGGCACCTTGGCTCAGAACTATCAAGAGAAGTTGTCCGAACAGTGCCATGGGCTCACAAGGCAAGTGCTCTGGGTTTGCGGTGCTTGCGGTGCTTGCCGCGCTTGCAATGCTTGCGAATGCGAGATGAAAGCTGGGATGTGCGCGTGCTCCGTCTGCATCGGTACTTTGCTTTGGAGAGCCTCAGGAGCCTCAGAGGTGCTTTCTCAGCTTTCTCAACTTTCTGAACTTTCTCAGCTAGATCTGGGAGCTGCTGAGGAGCAGCTCAGGCCTTGTGCGGAGCTGCTTCTCGAACGTAATGGCCAGAGTGTCGAGCTCATGGACTGCCGGGTGCCCCTGCTCGGCTCGCTGCACAACGACCGGATTCCTGGTTACAGGTACAACGTGTCGGAAGACTGCCACTTCTGGGCAAGTTATGCAGCCAGGGACCGTCATGTCGAAGGCTCAAGCGTGTTGGACTTCACCCGTTTGGCCTCTTTTCGCCTGAGCTCACCCTTCTTCCCTCCCCTGCAACGTAACGGCACGGCCCTCTACATCGGTGCACATCGCTCGGCAGACGATGGTTTGGTGTTCCAGCGCCGCCATGGACTGCACATGCATCTTTTTGAGCCTTCGCCTACTTACTTCCACATGCTGAGGGACTCATTAGCAGGAACGCCGGGATTCACTCTTCACAACTATGGGTTGGGTGCCAAGACCCGCCGGGCGCATCTGCGTCTGAGTGGGACGGCTTCCCGCGTAGTGAACCTAGTGAACCTAACTGATGCAGCCGATTCGGACGATCTTGAAGACTTAGATTCAGCCGAGACGGGAGACCTCGGAGACCCAGAAGGCACTGAAACCGTGCTGATTCGCTCAGCTGCCGAGGCAATACCAGAGGTGTTGGCAGAAGATCGCACTGGCTTCGTGGAGTTGCTCCACGTAAACTGCGAAGGTTGTGAGTACGACGTTGTGAAAGGCCTCAGCCAGACGGGACAGTTGCTGAGGGTGGGTCAAATTCAGCTCGCAACCCACCTTCTGGAGTACACCGGCCCAGCTGCGGATTTTCAGGAGGCGCTCTCCTTATCCTTGCAGATATCTGTTAAACGTTACTGCGAAATGCACCAGATGCTTTCGCTAACGCACGATCGTGTGTGGGGCCTCCCTTGGGTGTGGGAAAGATGGACACGCCGCCTCAAAACAAGGAATGCAGATTGAAATAGAGTTACAGCGCCTTTGCATCAGCACGCAGGCATGCACTGCCGGCCCCATGAAGCCACGCCTGTGGGAAGGCTTTGGCTCTTCATTGGTCTTGTGATCAGACTGTAGCTGTAATGCCAAACATCTGCCGAGCTGATAGAGTCTTAGAAGCTTTAGCTTTCTGATCTTGATTCTCAACTCTTGTCCGCCCAATGCGCAATGGCTGGCTACCCCGGGGGCCACAAGCTCAGAGTCAGAGAATCGGTAAGCTTCGGTACCAGTCTCCGCAGCAAAGCAGCAAAGCAGCAAGGACCCGAGCTTCCCTCTGAAGCCCATGAAGCGCTTGCGATTGCGACAGAGGCAGGTTTTCTGTGGTTGGAATGCGGCGAGATGGCACCGGTATTGCCCGTTCATGTCAGGGCAATGACGACCTACCGCTTGGCACCCAGATGAAGCGATGACAGTCGGGCAGAGCAGCCGCTCTCGACCTCCCACCTCCCAGGTTGCCCGTGTTCCGCCTTCGGGATGTGCCAATGCAGCCGCTGTTCGGGAGCTTTCAGGCAAGAGCAGGGGGATCACAAAACCCATCGGGTCGTTCTGACAAGTTCTAGGCAGGGATGCCATGTTCAAGTATGTGCAAGCGACCCTCTATTCCGCAGCTTTCTCCCAGCGTGCTGTATAGGGCTTGATTCAAGCTTGAATGGATTCCGCGACGGAATGACGGGGGCCAATGGCGGATACCAGATTGGCTTTCAGCTGACACCGCTCAGTGTAGATGGCAATTTGGATGCGGCCGACTTCAAGGGAGGACCGCACCCGGTTGAGAAAGATCCAATTTACAGACTTTGTTCAGACAACCGCGATGCTGGAAACAAGTTTGTCCAAGAAGGAAAGATTGAGGAGGCCATCGCTCGGTATTCCGAGTTGATAATGCAATCTCGGGCCCTTGAAAACGAACCCGATGTGCAGTGGACAGACGAGGGTCGTGACCTAGTCCGGCATTTGCGGGCTGCTGCCTACCTGAATTTGTCACTGTGCTTCTTAAAATCAAAGCAATGGCAGCACGCTGTCAACACAGCAACGCGCGCTCTCCAAGGGGACAAGGACCCTCCTGATCCCAAAGAGAACATTCTGCCTCCGGAGAAGAAAGCGAAGGCATTGTATCGGCGTGCTATGGCCCTGAAAGATGGCTTTGACAAGCTGGAGGAAGCAGTGAAGGACTTGAAGAAGGCTCTGGAATACGTTCCCGAAGACAAGAACGTGCAGCTGGAGCTTCAGAGGGTTAACCAGGCCTTGGCGAAAGAAAAGAAGAAAGCGGACAAAAAGTTGGCAGGCTTCCTCTCGAAGGATGCGAAGGATGCGAAGGGCGGTATCTTCTCTGAGGCCGATCGCCAGCGGGACACCAGTGGCCCTGAACTGCCCAGCGAGCCGGTGAAGGTCTCGGATGGGCTTTGGCTTGTGCCAAAGGAGGAGAAGGCCCGTTGGGAAAGCGTGGAGAAAGCTTTCGGGAGAGCGTTCTCTCTTTTTTTTTTTTAAAGTGCCTCTCCTCGGTGCACAGTGCACATTCTGTGCTCCCGAGTTGGTTGATTTCTTCAGGAGGAGGTGGAGGGGGTCCAGGAGGCCAAGGATGCCGGCATCGACTTGGACGAGCTCGGCCGGGTCACTTCGACGCACTTTCTCTTGAGAAGCTAGTATGTTTCTAACGTCTCGTCTTGTGCATCGAGTGAAGCGAGCGCATCGAGTGGGACCCTTACTTGCAGTTCCTGGCTGTGCTCGGCTGTGCCTAGGAGATCAACGAGCTCAGGGAAGACAAGCCTGAAGTGTTTGGAGAGTTTCTTGTCAGAGCTTGGGCAGACTCAGCACATACCCTCAAAAACAGTCTGAAGATCAGATCTAGTCAAAACTAGTCAGAGGGAAATCCCGAGCCCTTGAAAAGCCGTTGCTTTATGGTTGCAAAGGGCTCCTAAAGACTCTAAAGACGCTACTTTGCAACCCTGAGGGACCTTTGCAGGGAACAGGTGAGGTGTGAGAGCGCATGCGGCAGGAGGCAGGAGGCAGCTGATCGTGAACTAGAAGTTTCAAATCTGCGGGTTACAGGTTGCTTAGGTTGCTTCAGGCATAGAGTCGCACGCGATTTCTGATTTCTCACAGGCTCCGGGCCAAGATGAAGACCTTGATTGAGGACCGAATCAGCGAGACGAGTCGCAGATTCATAGCACATTGGCCTCTGTGATTTACAGTATGCTGCACTCGAAGGGCAGTTTCAACTTCAGCAAACTCTGCATTTTTGTGGCTGACGCCAGTTGGAGGTTCCTAGGAAAGATGAGCCACTCCAACCCCAAGCCCTGGGATGGTCTGAGGTCGCCTTTTCGTAGTCACCCCAATCTCGAGAAGGAAATCCTGCCCACCAAAGATTCAGGAGGAGGTTGGCAAGCAGGAAAGTGATGCTGGCCCCGCTGATGCAGTGGCCGTCTTAGTGCAAAGACACATGATCAGTGCATGGTCGGCTGCCTGTGTGCTTGTGCATTTTGCGGACATACTGGGCATACCGACAAGGCGGCGCCGTAGCACCTGCCGCCGCTGCCGCCACGCTTGGTGGCGCTTTTCGGCGCCTGACGGCACCACAGCCCGATGCCGATGACATTTCCGTTAACGCCTCGCGCCTTTGAACGGCCGCAGTCTGGTTTCACACTGCACTTTCCAGCTTGCAGACATCCAAGACTTCGCAGCACAGCACGCAAAGCGTAGGAGCTTTGGGCTGAGACTTGTGTCCAAAGCCCGTTTTCAGCATGTCATCATGCTCATGCCACCAGCAGGAGTCAAAAGTGCACGAGGGAGTGGGCTGAGTTGATTCCATGATATCATGCATCGTTCGGTCTCTGCAGTTCAAAAACTGTGCGTTTTGTGCTCGCTTCCTCGAGGCTCTACGGTGGCGGCACTACGTGAGCACCGTGCAGCTGTACTGGACCTTGGGTGACGGCTGGGTCGGAGATGGCTGGCAAGGCCCAGAACGGAGAGCTTTCACAGAAGGTCACAGAAGCTTTTGATGATAAAATTGAGAATGAACAAATGCTTGGCCTTTGGGCATCTTGGAGCTGAAAGATTGGAGGCCTTACGGATGCAGACTTCGAGGCGCGCCAATGAGACCTTTGTTTTGTTTTTAATAGAACGCAAGCGAGAGTGAACACACCACCAAGTCCCTACCATCTAATTGATAAACTAGGAAGACGTTTGATCTTCGTAGTTAAGCCTCGCCAAAACAAGGCGCAAGAGGAGCAAGAGGAGGGTTCGCCAAGACATACGCAAAGGGATTATGCGACGGAACTCCTTACTTCACCTTACCGTTTCATCGCGTAGGCAACTGATAGCTGATCCTCATGCAACCGTCTCCACCCCCACAAGTGCAAGGCCCGAAATGTAGCAACTGTTGCACAGAGGGCGTGGCGAATCAGTTGAATTTGTCGTCGCCGCGAAATGTTATCACCCTTGATCGCCTTATCTGTTCACTCGTAAGCTCAAACTGCCAGCAGACTTAGGGGGAGGGCGCCTGATGAACACACTAGCTCGCTAGCGGCTTGCCCATGGCCACAGGGGGCAACGCCGCAAACTAGCACACTGGGGGCAGCGAGGAAAATCAAGACGACGGCAGGACAGTGCACAGCAAGGGCGACGGAGAAGGAGGAAAGAAGCAAAACGGGAGCGAGGCCGAGCATATCCGAGCATGATGGCGATCGAAGAGGCGCAGTGAGGCAGCGCACACGACACAGGAGGACAGCCCAGACTGGGGAAGCACCCTCCAGATCTGATTTTCTGGCAGGGGGTGGGGGCACGGGTGATGTTTTCTTTAGGGCTGCTTCTTGTTTGTCTTGGGGCTGTTTACGTTCGGAGGGTTAATGCGCCCCAAATCTGTCCACCGTGGCTGCGAGCTCCAGGTGCGGGTGTCCCCCTCCGAGTTGGTGGTGCGATGTCTGGCCGGACCACGCAAAAGTGAGGTCGCCCCGAGTCACCTGCCTTGTGAAAGTCTCGTGTCTGAGTGGTCGCCAGCAGGTCCTAGGGCCTTTGAGTGGCAGATTCTTGAACGAGGCCTTGCATCACTTGGCTTTTCGCTAGGACAATACACGAGTTTTTGTTTTTGGCAGGTGGAGCCGGGAAGATGCTGGTTTGCAGTGGAGCGGGCAGTGGCCTCAGTGAACTCGTCGCGGATCCGCACGCCCCTCATGTTCTGCACAGATCTGGTAGTTCCGATCGAGGATGTTCGTCAGCGGCATCGAAGACACTTGGTCGTTGAACTTGTCAGGCTCTCTGTCTGCGTATCGGCGGTAGTGTTGGGTGGGGTTGGACGTGTGATGGAATGAGTTAGTCCGTTGCCAGTCCGCGCAAAGATGTTACCATGCGATATCCAAAGACTCGCGCCGAGGCCAAGAAGAGTCCCGGTAGACCCTGGACGGTTCAATGCCCAGTCTTTCGTCGGTTGCAGCCTGGCGCAGCTTGGCGCAGTTTGGAGAGCCCCATCTCTGTCAAAGGACAAGCAAATTTTCAAAGATCGCTCTGAGATGTTCAACCGGAGGCCCGCCCTCGCCGCTCTTTCTGCCATCAATCTCTCAATCTCTCACTCTCTCTCTCTCTCTCTTTTTCTCTTTTTGTGTCCCTTTTTGGGTTCCATTTGCCTCGTACAGAGGTCCTTTGCTTGGACGCCGCAGCAGATGAAAGAGCACGAAGGTCTGAAGCTCGACTCCGACTCCGCCCGCACACCTGCACAGTGCAATGACGCCTCGTGACGACTCGTGGCGACTCGCATGATCGTCAGACGAAGAGTCTGCATGGACGACGCTTAAGCCTGGGCGACGACCAGACGTTCAGGAGCCTTTTCTGACTTTTTGCCCGCCGCTTCAAGTTTTCGGTGTGATGGTGGACGAGACATTGACATGCAGGACCCCTTTGTCACTTCCAGGAGTTGGCTGTGCCACGAGTTGCAGTGCGCATCTGTGAGCTTCAAGTCTGCGGAGCTGTGATGCTATGTGATGCTGTGATACACCGAGGCAGGGCCAAAGTGCTCAACACCTGTATTTCCGCATCATTCTCGACCAGCGCAGCCCTGGGATCTTTGTAAAGCTTGGAGAGTATCTGCCCTGCTGAGAATGAGGAAGAAACTGGACGAAGCGCTGGAGAAAGTGCCGTATTTCAGGCAGCACAGCGCGCCATGTCACTTTTGGAAGGAGTCTCGGAGCTTTCTCCCAGGCTCTTTGGAGTTGATGTGTCAGAGCGCTTCTTCAAGCTGTTCATTCGTGGGGACGAGTGGGTGGGCCCAGGTGCAGTTCTTGCTTCCATCTCCACTTTGCTTCTACTCGGCTTTAATTGCTTGAAGAGAGCCGAGGTCTACCCCCATCATGCTGGGAGAGCTTGGAGGAGCTTGAGCATCAGATGTAAAAGTAGACAATACTGAATGACAGTCTGTCATTACTTGACGACTACTTGACGGATACTTTGTTGCTTTAGCAACCGCGTGCACATACAGGAGCTGTTGTGCCCGACGACACGGAGGTGGAGCTCACAACGGTGACCCGAGAGGCCAAGCACAGAGTCACTGATACGGGCAGTCCCGAAAAGTCTGTTAAGTTTAGCAGTTTGGATCAACAGAGCCAAAGCATCTGCGCTGGTATTTTCACATACCTTCGCAATGAGGTCGAGGGTCATCGGATCCGTGGCACCATGGAAACCGTCCCCTGCAGTGCACTGAGATGGTCTCAGGTCGTCTCCTCGCTCTTTCAGATATTCCGCATAGCATCACGTAGCGTCGGTGTCAGTTGAGGCTTGGACGTCACTCTGAGAAAAGCCCCGGAGTCCTATGGGGAGTGGGAGTCGTTTATCCATTCGGACGAGCAGGCGCTCCTCTGTGCATGGCATGCGAAATATCTAGGATATCTAGGCATGGCTTCAGACTTCAGTCCTCTTAGAACGATGTGAATGAGCCAGAAGCGGTTACTTTGAGAGGTTTCCACTTTTCACAGCCGGGTGGCCACCCACCGAATTGAGAGCTCGCATCCTCCTAATCTTGGCGGCCTCATCTTGGGGAAGTGCGCATGGGTCTGCATGCAGCCTTCTGTGTTGGGAAACACCATGGTTGGGGGTCCCTGACGCAGCTCTGCCCCTCCACTTTGGTCCCCCCCTCAAGCTTCCACACGTCGTCCCAATAATTCGACTCACAAGTGTCACTCGATTGCAAGTTCTGGGGCCTCTGGCGTCTGATAAGCTCATGGGAAATGTCCGTGGCACGGCGTGTGTGTTTGCAGAGGCCTTGAGCAAGCCACAGGGCACACTGGAGGAGTTCGAGGCGCAAGATGGTGCAAGTATAGCCGAGGAGCTGAACACACTGCCTTCTGTGCATTGAAGGTCCGCCAGCGCAGGCCGCTGCGTGATTTGGGGGCATGTGACGGCATGTGGGGGGCGCTAGAGAGCTTTGGGGAATGTTCAGAAGAAGCCAACTCGCAAGGCGGGAGCCGTCTCCTGATCGGTCGGACTGGACACCCGATGCCGCGCACCAAGTCCAAGTGAAGCCATGCGCCAAAAAGCAGAGCCACACACACACAGACACAAAAACGCCACGTTTTTTCTTCCTTTCTTTTTTGCTCCTCCCGAGAGCCTTTTTTGTCCGAGGACTTTGCTGATGAGCAGAAGGACAAGGCCGATGCTGCTTTTAAGGAGGGCATCTACCGTCGCTGCCCCAGTGCTCTGTTGATTTTGTGATTTTTTAAAAAAGTGTCACGTTCTTGACCTCAAGCGTCTGTGATCACGAGGTGATGCAATTGTTTACTACACCCGCGCGCTGCGGCACACACCTCGAAATGAAAGGTCCGGTAACTGCATCTCGTTCCTTGCAGCGATTCTGAAAACTTTGGGAAGGTTGTTGTCAAACCGCAGTGTCGAGCTCGGACAGCCAGAGAAGGATTGTGGATGATTTTTTTTGAAATGCTTTTCGTGCCTACACGCTGCCTATCCGCCCTCTGCCCCCACCCCTGCCGCCCCTATAGCCACTCGGCACACAGTGACGGCCTCGCTGACCCAAGGCTTACGTTCCAGCCTAAAACTCCACAGCAGACGCTGATCCAGCCATCCCACCCGAACCGCCATGCGGCCGTAGAAGCGCAATGGTAATCTGGTGGTTCTGTTGCGCGACCTGGAACTGAGGTGCTGCGTACTGCAAGATCTTCAAGTACCAGCTTGCCCTGGACCGCCCCAACATTGTGTGCACCATCCCCTGCCTGCTAAAGTTCCAGTGTTAGATTCATGACAGACCTTCTGGACCTTCTGTCTCGTCGTGCTCGGCAACGTTTTTGCAACGGTTCCTCCCTGCTAAAGCCAGGATGATGTCAACCTTGCGATGGAGATTGAGCCTTCCTGGCGGAGAGCCCAGTGGTTTTGAGTGATATTGAGTCAGTGACCAGCTCGTCACTTACAGTCAATCGAATGTCGGCCAGGCCCAAGCTTCACTATCGGAAGGGCCAGGCGTACCGACTCAGAATCACTCAGATGCTGCCAGAGCGCTATAGGGGATTCCTACGAGAGATAAAGTTTTCAATTCCATGTCCCAGGCATTGCGTGGTTTGCGCCGCTGGGATGATGCCACTTGGCGCATAAGCCATTCGCGCCATGTTGAAAAACGTTGTATGGTGGTGGAGTCCAGGCCATGGCGGCTTTCGAAGAAGGACGGGACCTCGACCCTCAGAATCCCGACTGGGACAAAGAGGCGCAAGGGCCATTTTATAAGGTTGCAGTCTGCCCGCGCCTCCTGTGGAGGTGAACCGAACCCGTGCTGCCAAAGAGCTCAAGGAAGCCTCCGTTCGGAAGATCAAAGATTAGAGGATTAGAGATCCCTTCCGCTGTCCTTCGAAAGCCGCCGCAACCTTTTGATTCGTAGATTCGTAGACTTCGGGTGGCTCTGCTTTTCCTTCGTTCAGACTGGTAGTGAGTTTTGCGCAGAGCGCAGTCGTAGTAGGATGAAGCTGTACAGTTCCAGCGGCTCGGTGGACAAAGAACAGAATGAACAGAACTGGACTAGGCTCTGTCGCGAGCTGATTCTGACACAGGTGAATACATTGAATAATTATCATTGCATGCACGACCGCACTTTGCAGCCCTCGTGGCTCAGACACGAACGCTGCTACACGTCTGCAGCAGAAGTTAAGGCATTGAGTGACGGTGTTGGCAATTTTGTCGGCAGCCGGTCGTAACATGTGTGAAAGCTGCTTTGAACGATGCGACCCGGAAGGCTAGCCTACATCTGCGTCGGCGCGAAGCGCATCGCTTTGCTTAGCTGGGGAAGCCAAGAGCCCAGCAAAGGACACACACACACACACACACACATACACACACAGACACAGACTGGGCTTCTGCAACACTGTTTGTCCGAAGAGTCCGCCTCCTTAATGCAACTGTCTACCTAAGCAGGTTCCTGACAAAATGTGCGCGCGCACACAGAGGTGCGCACACGCACACGCACACGCACAGGCACAAACACAAGCACACGTGCATGCACACGCACACGTGCACGCACACGTGCACGCACACGTGCACGCACACGTGCACGCACACGTGCACGCACACGTGCACGCACACGTGCACGCACACGTGCACGCACACGTGCATGCACGCGCACGCAGTCGCAGGCACGTGCAAGCACGCACCCGCACGCACGTGCGCACGCACGAGCGCACACCAGCGCGCCAACATGCCAACATACCGGCACGCCAACAGCACGTCAACCCACCACCCCATCACCAGCAAGCAGAACAGACTTCAGCTGCCAAGCCCAGGCACACTCGCATTTTGCAGGTACGCTTACAGCACCGTACTATTGGGAACGATTGGGCTCTTTGTTGGCCGCCCTTCACAGTGGGTAGAGCTGCTCCCTGCACAAGACATCTGATACAATTTGCTTCGACCATTGGCCCAACAAGGTTCTGTGCACACGCGCGAGCATGCGCACCCGGACCGAATGCTGATTCAGAGGAACGCATCGACCGGACAGTCAAAAGTCGTGCCTCTTGCAAAACTGTCTATTGAACATTGTGGTATCAAGTGTTTTCTTGTTGGAAGCCCTTGGCACGACCTTTACAATGAAAACCTAGACGCAAACATTTCTGGGAGAGGGCTCGAATGTGACAGGGCACATCCTTTTTCGATACACCTGCGTTGCAACAGCCAAAACTGTGTTTGCACGGCTCCCTGTGGGACCGATGCTGCTTTCGTACTTGTACTTCCAATCTTCCTCGGCAGCATGGCAGTCTACGTGTCAGTCGTGCACAGACAGGCGGCAACCCAGTAGTTCATCAATCTCACTAGCTTCCAAAACGACAGGCGGACATAGGCGGACCAGAAAAGGTGGGCTCCACCAAAGTTGAAGATGCGACGGTGGAACCAACATGCAAGCTTGTCGGACGCCAAGTGTGACCGCAATCCACGTGGCACCCCGCAGCAATCCTCTTCAAACATGCTCTTCAACCAGGCAGTGTAGCTGGTAGTGAGGCACAAAAAAGATTGAGTACAATTAGAACTTGCCAAAGTTTTGGGGAAGGGGCCAGCCATGACCTGGCACACAGTGACAAACATTCGTTTGGGGACTGCGGAGCTTGTCCAGGCACAACCTGAAATGGAAAAGCCTTCCTTCACAGACAGTGCGGTTGTTCGGCCACATGCATCTTTGCAAGATGAAGATGCAAGTCTTCATCTGCAAACTTCTGGCGAGCTCTGTCTGCATTTTGCTGAAGAACTTATTGGCAAGCAACGGCAGTGTCAGTGACCTGGCAACCCTGATGTTCAAAGAACTGACCTCAGACATTTTTTGCAGCACCCCGGTATGGTTGCTCCGCACAGCTTGCCAGCCAATGACGTTAACATAGACGCATTACAGGAATGCAGAAAAACAGCAGTCATAGAAAAACGAGGTGAGATGATGCAAAGTTGATGCACAAAGATGGGGGGGTGAAGGTAGTGCCCCCATTACACCAGACGCACTGAATGGTGTAACACGACACGAAGGACGAATGATGTGATTCCCCTGCAGGGGTCCGTAGCCAGACCGATGCAGTTCGGCCATGTTCCACGTGCACACGTGCTCTTGTGTAGTTACTTTCAGTACGGTATGACTTGCCACTAAGGTCGGTTCTCAGTCGCTGCCGGGAGCTAGTCAGCCAGTCGCCGAAAGGTCGCAACTATGGGCATAGTAACTGCCAGCTTCAACCTATCCGCGATTAGATAAACTTTTTTAAAACTTCTAAAAGCCTGCTAGGCTTCGGCAGACTGAAGCTTCCGGCACTGAGCGGCGTTATCTTTTGAACTTGGAACAGCTCCCCCAATTTCCTCTGGCCTGCACAAGTAGCCGGCCATGGGCTGCCAGCGCCAAATGGAGATCACCCGCTGTGGTGCCATGCTCGGTTTGCCTGGGGTCGTTCCAGCTCGTCACACAGAAAGTCACGACGAGCAGTTTAGCCCCGCTCGGCTTCGTGTTGGTGTTTACAGGCACCTGCTCAACCCTGTCACTGTTCTTCCACATCGACATTGCTCAGTCGACCCCAGGCGAGTCAGCACCTTAGGCTTGCTGAATGTCTTGCGAGGCACAAGTGTACACTTGTTTTTGCACTTGCAGTCAGATCAGTCAGTGATGCCCAGGCACTTGCATGTCGTGGGTTCGCATGAGGGTCTTGGTGCATGGGACCCCGAGAAGGCCTGGTCGTGATCGCAGGTGTCAGAGACAAGTGCTGAATTTGCAGCACTTGCCGCAGGGAGCCCGACTGACGACCAACGAGCGCTCATATCCTGTGTGGCGATCTAGACAGGCTCTGGGGCAAGTGTGGCAGCGTTGTGAAAACGAGCCTCGCAAAGCTTCTGGCCAACCCGTGAGCCTCCACCTGTGATGGCAGATCGAGATGAGATGTGAACCGGAAGACTCTTCCACAGTGCTGGTGCTCAAGCTCGGGGCTCGGTCCGAGCTCGGTCTTTGTGAGGTGCTTGAAAGCTGCATCCAGGTACAAATACGTACTTGACCGACGCGAGCTCAAACAGGCAATGCCCTGTGTTGCATGCCTCCCAATGGCTACACACACATACACCGCATGCAGGATACATAACAAGTAGCATCTATTGTGTCATCGTATTTGATATTCTGTACTTGGCTTTGCGATGTTACGTTATTCCCCCCCCATCGGTGTGCGGTCGTTAGGTTTTAAGTCGATCAGTCCATCTGGACCAGGGCTTCCTGTGGGAGGAAAGCATCCCCGATCGCGAGGCCCGAACACCCACAAAGTCCGCTATGTTCGCTCTGTTTGACTTTGTGCGTGTCACTCCATGAACTCTGGGTAAGCTGCCTCAGCAGGTGCAGATACCTTGGTCACAGGACTGTGACTGTGCTGCTGCCTCGGACAATCTGTCTTCTGAGATCTTCTGAGAACATGCAAAAGAACGTTCAAAGGAAACACTTCTCCCAGGTTTGGCTCATCAGAGACTCAGCTTTCAATCGAGAAGGCGTAGCGAAGGTGACAAAGCTGGCCCCAGGAGCAGCCGGCACCCCAGACAAGATCAAGAGACAAGCGAGCCAACCCATGTTTCCAAGAAGTCATCTCCCAACCCGTTGCCTTGTGCCCAGAAGCTCCTGCGCTCTCCGCAGCAAGAACCCAGTGAAGGCCTGATATCTGTGCTGCCACCTCAGTATGCTATCTCCTCGATCACATGCCCGCGGCAATGTGTCGTTGTGTCTTCGGAACGAAACAATAGCCATCGAAGGCCGGAAGAGACCCCGGAGGCAGAAGAACCAACTGCGACGCCGCTCTTTGACGCCAAGCCAGCCCAAGTTGTCCTTGCACGGAACTGATCGGACAGCTTTGCTGTACATCTTCGTCGCCATAGGTACTCCTTAGTTGGACGCCGTCCATTTGCAAAAGGCGGCTTCAGTTCAGTTCGAAGCTGAGTCTGCAGGCTTCGCTTGCAAGTTCTCGCAACTGGCAGACTGGTAGATGAGAGACGTAAGGTATGGAGGTGTCGTCGAACAGCTCAAGGCCCGATGTGGCGGGAAGTTTTCGTGCGGCCAAAGAAGCTTGCACAGAAGCTTCCGATTGCGGCTGAGGCTCAGTGGGTGGAGCCGCAGACGAATTCGCAGCAAAGCGCATCGATTTGGCAGGGCCAAGCTGGCAGGTGTTGCCGGGTGCTACAATACTCCGAAGTGTAAGAAAGTTAGTGAAGTACGTAAAGGGATGAAGTGATAACGAGTTCCTCGCTTGCCTCCACAGCAAACCGGGAGTGCCAGTGTCTGCCGACTTTACACAAACGGACTCGAAGATGTGCGCAGACGATCGAACACGTGCAAAGGCAACAAGCTCACAGCCAACCCTTGCTCCAAGAGTCCAAGAGTCCTAGAGCACAGTCCTTTAAGAAGCTCTGCAATGCCACCATCATGCGATGGCTTGTGGCGGCATTGCTCCTCGGGCCGAGCAGTGCCTCTGCATGCAACGGATGTTCGAAGAGAGCGTGGCAAAATGTCCACAGTTTGGCCATCTTTTGCAGAGGCATTGGCTCCCTGAAGCATTGGCTGGAGTTTGGGGAGCTCCCATGCAGCAAGGCTCCATCAGGGAGCCCAGCACAGGCGAGCCTCGGTCGGATGTGGTGTGTGGCGGGTGGATGTGTGGGGCGCCTGCAGCGGCGTAGCTTTGGGATCCGTTTGTCATGGCTGTGTCAGATCAGTGTCAGATCAGTCTTGAGGTTCAATGTTCAGTGCCCATGCTGACCCTAAGGAGCTGTTCCCTGCAGTGCGCCAGCACTGAGCCGGTGCTCGATCAGTTCCTGAGACCGTGGGCAGACCAGGACGAGAAGTCCACTGCAGCATGTACTCTTGTGGACGGCAAAATTTTGTGACATTCGGTCAGGACTACTTGCTGCCCTTTCACGCCTTGGACCAGTATTGTGATCCTGCAAGAACGAGAACGCTTGCAGTGGCAGTTGCGGTGGCTTGGTCCAGAACGTCCTTATTTTCTTCAGGCACGGAGGCTTGTTTGCCATTGCTCAGGTGTCGAACAATACTATCTACTGGAAGATGCTTGACTGCTTAATTTGACGTGGTGGCTATTCGGCATCAGATATAAGTCGTATGATATGTATGAGCGAGTACCCTCAGGAAATGCCATGACGATGGCGAGGACATGTCAGGGGTTGGTACAGAATCACTGGAATTTGCATCATGAAGTGTTCCCAATACTTGTTATGCGGTCAGCGAGAGTCTCAGAATCTGAGCAACTTGAGACGTGGCGCAGAATTCCAGGAGGGTGGCTGTATGGATGACGGGGATAAAGACACTCGACGCTGGCTGAGGGTCCTACAGGAGATCCTGCAGGCTGGCTGTTCGTGGCACGATTACGCGTCATGACGCCCTGCAATGCACGAAGCACTTGAAGCATTGGTCAGGTGGTCCGGATTGACGGGGCGCTTCTGATAGTGCAGTGCGGAGATGACCCCAATGTCCCAAGCGACGAGGACAGGCCGGGGCAAGGAATGAGATCTGGATTCTGGATGGAGCACCTCGCAGAACATGATTACAGCGTCCTGCTTCAAGGAGCCTTTTCCAGTCTTCCATTCCGAGGGCGGCGAAGGGGTTTGGAACATACCGTGGCTCAATCCGTATCACTTGAAGGTGGAAGGGGTGCTTGAACGGTGCGTGCTGCCATTGTCGCTTGCTCCATTTTGCATGTCCTGTTTTGTTGCTTAACGCCTTGTGCTCGCTTTGGAACACTGGTGGACATGGAAGGTCCTGTTTCGTGGATTACTCGATGAACGAGGTGCTCCTGCCCGTATTCCATGGGCAATGAAGAAGCCTTTGGTGTACTGGCGCGGTGCCCTGACGGCGCCGGATGACCTCCCATTGACTGAGGCCGGCAGCAGATCACCGGATCATCTTAGACATTCGCCATCCACAGAGATAAGAGAGATGTTTTATGATTTTACCGTGTGATCTTAAAATTTTTAAGCTACGCGACCCACCTCGACCGGGGCCTGCCCAGATGCGAGGCAACCCGAACCGGAGAATCGCGGGTGTGAAGGTGCTGTTGGGCTTCAGGGCGGCTTCGTGCAACAATTTGTTTGGGGATCCGGTTGCAACAAGGAGGGGGGGAGTTGGTTGTGGGGGTGGGTTTGGGGGGGGTGGGCGTCGGGGGGGGGGGGGGGGGGGGGGGGGGGGGGGGGGGGGGGGGGGGGGGGGGGGGGGGGTGGGGGGGGGGGGTGTCCCCTATGATCGAGGTGCCGCTGCAAAGGGATTAGAGGTGGGCGCCGCCTGCTTTAAAGCAATACCTGCAGCAGCGTTCCTCAGAGGCTCAGTTTCTTCCGAGATTCCGGGTGTTCCACGTTGCATCGATGCGGCCAAAGCTGTGCCTTGGCTTGTGTCTGGGGACGCGGTGCCTGCTTTTGTAAGTACTTTAGTTCACGCTCACACTCAAGGTTTGACGTGGCAGTCATCGACATTGATCGTGAGCTGAAGATTGCATGGGGCAAGAAGGCGCGGGCTCAGGGCACTTTGGGCAGGGCAAGCGCAAGCAATGCAAACACGAGACGCCTGTTTGCATGTGAGAGGCTATTCGGAAGCTCGTGAAGCGGCATGGCGTGCGATTCACCGAGCACGAGGCGCCGAGCAACATCCATGAGCAGATTGCTACTTTCTGCAATGCACAGGCTTTCCGTCATTTTCTGCTGTGGCAGGACTTCGAGACGGTAGCACCCAGATATCGGTACTTGTTAAACTTGAACGGTGTGGTGTCTTCCTGGCGCCTCTCTCAGCTGCTCCGTCGCTTGGCACGGCTACCATTTAGCTGACTTAGGACAAGGCATGTGAACCTAAGAAGGATGAACTGAAGGAACCTGAAAGCGAGGCACTGGCTCAGTCCTCCTCCTGCAACGGTCACCGACTCACGAAGCGCTTCACTGGGAGCTGGTGCCATGGAAGTTTCCTGGAAGCACTTTTGGAGTTTGGTCCTCAGAGAAATACGCAGTTACGAAGTTCCCGACGAACAAGGCACTACGTCCCCGTCTCCTCCAGCCTAGATGATCTGTTGGAGGTGGTAACCAGACTCGAGAGCAACGAAACCCTTGCGAGAGAGATAGCACAGGCGCGGGGAGTCACAACAGCGGCATTCGAGTCGAAAGCATGGACGCGAATGGATGCCTCAATTCTCAATGCAGTGCAGGCAGGGGCTGACTTCTATGCTGAGCGCATGCGGCCTCAGGTGCTTGTCTCAAACATGCCTGAGAGTTTGGTTCTGGTTCCTCTGCAAAAACTGTTCCAAGGATGTCTACTGCTTGGCTCTTCGAACTTTGGAGGTCTCCCAGCTTCCAGAGGAGCGGGGAGCACCAACGGAGCACCAACGAATTTGTGCACCCCTGGCTTTACCTCAGTTTTGCCTTGCAGGTTTCGCTGCAGAACTTGGCAAGACGAGGCTTTGTCCCGGCACCCAGGCTGGAAGCGCTTCTGTTGCAGACAGCTCTGAGTCGCGGTGCCTACTACACTGCTACTACAGTCCAAAGATGGCACAGTACTCTCACTGGACTTGACCAGTCAACCTCATTCAGCTCAGGTTTCGGCCGAGTCTTCATTTCCCGCTCTTCATGAGCGTTTGGAAGGCAGCGTGGAATTGTGAACACTTGGCAAAGACAGAGCTCAACCGCCATGAGCTTCTTCCCAACGCTGGCGAAGCCCGCCGCGGACCACGTCGCACGGCGGATGCCGGTTGCATCGAGCTCGGACATGGCTTACGAAGCACGGCCGGAGCTGAAAGTAATTGAAAGTACTTTTGGCACCTTGGTCGCTCACTCCAAAAGCTGCAAGTGCCGCTGACATGGCTGGCGCAGCAAGGCTGAAGGAGGTCTTTGGAATTAACGCCTTGCTCTCGTGGAGCTGTGTGTGTGCTGCACGTGGTAAAATGCCTCACCATTTTCTCAGCAAAACCTAACACTTTCGTGTGCTGACGCCCTCGATGCCAGGCTGCATGTCAAGGGCAAGCGGTGCATCTTTGGCCATGGTGTGCTGCACTTACATCACTTCACGGGTTTACGGTACAAAACTTGACATGAGTGGGAAGCAGAGGCTTGCCGTGAAGTCAAAGGTTCAACCTGGAGAAATACGCCTACACCAGAACCTTCATCATCCGACCCTTGCTCAGCAGCTCACTGCTAGACTTTGGCGTGTTTTTTGTAGCTTGGCATAGGAGCTTCTGCATTTGAGAAACCCTGCCATGAGGAACATCGTAGAGTTGATTGATGCCTGGCCCCAAGTCCTTTGTAGGACCTGTGTGTTGTGATGACAGTGTTGTGGTGATTGGCTGTTTCTAAACCTCTAAGCTTCTTTTTCCTTGAGCCGAGTCATTCCACGATGACAGCAGCAAGATGGTTTCTTTGGTGCTGGAATTCTGCAAAGGCGCGACACCTACTCCTTTGAGACTTTGTGCTCGAATTTTGCTGCTGGACATTGCGGGCTTTGCCCAGCCAAGGCGGAGACTTGTTGGAAGTGATGTCACGGCATCGCGAGAAGAACAGCAAAGGCCAGGTGGACTCCGGCGAGCCATAAAGCCGTATCAGCAACGCTGCAGAAGCTTGCGATATCTTGCGATATCTTGCGATATCTTGCGATTGCCAGGACTCAGAGAATCTGCGACGCGAAGAGCCATAAAACATACGCCGCAGCCTGGAGACGACGGGGTTGAGCATGACTGAAGTGTATTGGCGACAGCAAGGTTCCAAGCACTGGCCTACCTTCATGAGCAAGGCATGTTTACTGAGTTTACTGCTGCATTTGATGTGTTCGCCCACGCAGTAGAGACACTTTGGCACACTGCTATGCGCTTGACTTGATCACTGCAGGCGTTGTGCACAGAGACGTGAAGTGCGAGAACGTGTTCAAAGTTGAGGTGTGCCTGCCATGCTTGCAGTCCGGAACCTTCCTTTCCACGCTTTGACTCGTGAAACTTGTGAGACCTGTACGCACAGGCACCCAACACCGTCGCCCTTGAGGATTGCACGTACAAGCTCGGCGATTTTGGCCTAGCTGCGTGCGTGATGCCTGACGAGGCACCTTCGCTCTGTGAGATTCTGTGAGCCCGGGGCGCACCACAAGTGTGAGACAAGTGTGAGCTGTCGTAGTCTGCATATGCTTCAAGCGAAGGTGCTGATGGACCAGGTGGGCTCTCCCTCGACTTCAGCTCCAGAAGTCGTGCGAGGGTGCCTCGTCTGGAGCAGAACTTTGCAGCAACTTTGCACTACATCTACTTATTTGCTTATTTGCACCGTTTTGTTCCATCGCTCTCCTTAGTGGAAGCTGGAGGCGACCCTACGGCAAGCCGGCCGACATGTGGTCTGCAGGAGCGGCAATCTACACGCTCCTTGCGGGCAGGAGGCCCTTTGAAGCTCGTGGGCCCAGCTCTGTGCGCTTTCCAACCACCAGCCCCAACCGCCCGACGTGACCTTTGACCTTTTGAGCCTAAGGCCTCCAGCTACATGCAGATGGTGAGGGTCATGAGCAAGGCCCTATCCTCGATCCTTTCAGCGGCCGCCAGGTAGCCGCCAGGGTAGTCGCCAGGAGTTTTCCTTGAGTTCTTGAGTTTCCCAGGTCGAGGTCTCCTTCACTGACGATGCTTGGTCTCGAACTTCGAAGGTCAGGGACGGGGGCACTCCGGTTCGATCCGGGAGCTCTTTCGCGACCTACTCGCCATACTGCAAAGCCTCAAAACGGATAAAACGGGTCGCGAAGATCGAAGATGATCAGCTTTTGCAATGCTAAGTGCAGAGTGCCTCGGATTGCTCTGCTACGGAGGCTGCGGTGGACCTCTTGGGCGAACTCTTGCAGGAAGCGCCGGAGAAGCGGCTGCGGGCTCAGTTTCGCAGTTCTTAAGACACTGTAACCCGCTGCCTCGCTCCTTGATTTCTGCTGGTTCTTGGTTTAAGAGACGAAACACATGGAAGTGCTGAAAGCCGGTATACACGCTGCCATTGTCGATTCTCTTCCGAAGTCTTTGGAACCTGGGTGGCGAGACCTAGCTTGGTGTGAGTACCCTCGCCGTCAGAGGCCTTCGTCTGCCAGTGTTCTGAAACATCCTTGGCCTGCAGCCCAGAAGGTAACCATGTGCATTGGGAGCAATTGCCAGTCGCATATCCGGCTTTGAGGTGCCAGCGAGAACATCGTGCCTGCACTACCTCCTGAGGCATGCCACTGTACTTGAAGAGGGTGCGATGTGAGAGCTGCAAAGCGGGACACAGTCAAAGCTGAACTGCTATATGAGGAGGTCTCTTACAGTAGCAAAAATCCCTTTGTATCAGGTGCCATACTACATGGGCCAAGAAGGGAATCTAGAAAACGACCCTCATGCAAGGGAGTACGGTATGCAAGGGGGGCAATGGAGGACAGTTACTTGAACACTCGCGTGCAGAGCACGGCCGCAGCTGAATGTATAGTACGCTTACAAACCTTATGTTTCCACTTCGTGAGTTAGATTCATATGAACATTGTTAACTCTACGCATCGTCCGCCCTCTCGGCTCCGCTTCGAGCTAGCATGATGGAGGATTGCGTCTCGGGTTCAGGTCTAGGGTGTAGGGTCTGGGCTTCAGTTGGTTCCCATGCAGGTTTGGAACTTGGTTGGCTGGGTCTGACATGACACCCGAACAACATTCCAGGCGATGCAACGAGGAAGTCCGGAAAGATAGGGCCTCGCGCAAGCTCTCGCGAGCCTGGCGTGCACCCTTGTTTCAACATCCATAAACTGACGATCTTGTGATTGTACGGTCTCGTGTCTGAACGCGCGTGCACATGGTGTTTAGTTGTTCCAGACGATGGGGCCGCTGGCAGCCACAAAACGCAACAAAACGCAGTGTTTCATGGACGAGTACCCGGTTGGATGGACTTCTAGTCGAATGAGTCTCCCTGGTCAGGCTTTGCCGCGTTGCAGGTCGTCCGCAAAGAAGGAGCAGCAGACGCATGCAAAAGAGGGGTCGTGATAGTTGGCCCTTGTAGTTAGTGGAGTGAAACGTATCTCTTAATACTTGCACATTCCGGCTGCTGCGTTGTTTTTCCTTTGAGTTTACAGATCGCAGCGGGAAAGACAGCAGGCAACTGCCGAGCTGCCTGCTGCCGCTAGGCTACAAGGGCTCCTATTCCACTTGTTATGCTTGATGCCAGCCTTTTAACGAAGAGCACCGACACATCGGAGTTTCGTTTGGCACATAGGCCGCACTAGTTTTGCCTTGCACCGCAGGACCCGAAGACTGGCGGGCAAGTGCCTTCCCTCGCTGTGCAAGCGACGAGGTCTCTGGCAATTGCAAATTTAACCCCAGCAATGCACGGTCTTCCATTGCGATTAGCTGTGTACTTGGGACAGCCCATTGCGAAGAAAGCCGCTTGTAGGGGTCTGGTGGAAGACCTTCTGATGCATTTACTCTGTCCATGTTGCCTTCATGTGCGACTTTGGCACCGAGATCCAACGGCGCTGGGCCTTGGATCCGGCCAGACCGCACGCTTTCTACTGTGATCACGGTATCGAGTTGCGCATTCGTAGGTGTACGGTGGTTGCTTTGCTTCTCTGAAGACAACTGCTGCAAAAGAGTAGCGGGTCCGGAAGATTTTTCATTTTTTCGCTTGTCCGACTTGGACTTTGGGCTGCGGCCCGGGCACAGGCTGTGAAGAATTCGTTTGCAGTCGTTCTTGGAGCACAAGATGAGCTGCGTGGACGTGTAGCCTTAACCAGCTCTCTCTTTTCCTGCGGATGCACGCTCAGATGTGCAGAAGCCGGCAAGGCATCGCACGGTATCGCAGTGTTTTACTCAATCCTACTCCCGGCGCCAACCTCATACATTCCAGCGATGCTGCTGCTGCTGCGCGTCTTCGGCCCGAATGTCTGAAGGTGACATCGCTTGACCATGCTAGAATCAGCTAGAACACACGGCGCGAAGCCGATAAGTTTCATGTGCTCAAATGACAAGCTGCATGGCATCGATGAAGCCGAATATTTGCGATTGTTTGACTTCTTGGCCTGCCTTCATCTCTCGCACTGAGAGCACGAGCTGTCAGCGAACAGTCTATACTGAGTCTATACTGAGTCTATACTGAGTCTATACGCCAGTGCCTGTGGAGTGTCAGGCCGTGGAATTTGTGGGCGACACACAGTTTATACAGCCACGTGGATCGCCCTGAGTCAGGTTGGTCCAGCTTGGCCTACGAGCTAGCGGAGCTAGCGATGACACAAAAGGGCCTCACAGTAATGACATTGCCACTGGCTCAGGGCAGATTCACTTGACATTCGTCCCAATGCCTTTGATACGAAAAGATTTTCGAAGGTGTGCATTAAGGTACGCCGTGCCACTTTGTCAGTCCGAACTGAGTACTGTCTGTGTACGTGCTGTAATACAGTCGCCAGACGATTGTGTCAGTCAGCCCCTGCTTCAAAAGGGAAAGCACAGGATGTGAACTGACTTCAACCAGCTTAGATGTGACATTTGAGATATGTGGGTATGGAACGGCGAAACTAGAATAGGTGAATGTTGGCTTGAAGTTACCTAACATCTTTGTCCAGCCTCTCGCCCCGGCCGCTGAGCTGCAAAGTTCGGCTCCCTTGTGGCGAGCATTCCGCCCATTTTGAAGTTCAGATGTGGTTGTCACCTGGTGGTCTGATACCGGTACCAAGTTGTTTAGAGGATGCTAGTGGTTTCTACTGCAGCTCTCAAGAATGGGCGTCAATATCACGCACGCGTGGAAGGGCTTTTTGGCACAGGCCGATTTTGCCAGTGCTTGTCTCACTTCAAAAGTTGCTCGGGACAAGTACACATAATCCGCTCTGTTTGGGCATGACCGCATTTTTGCGGCCGGTTACTTTTTGGATATGGGTCTTGGCATCTCATTGGTCGAGACTTTCCGAAGTGACCTGGATGCAGGCAGATAGCATGTGAAAATTGTTGTGGAGCTGTGAACCTGCACCAACTCAGAATTGAAGAGGGGAGCAGAGTGGGGTCGAACAGAATCATACGTTTGAAGACATGTGTTTTACATGGTGCAAATGTGCTTCGTTCTTCGGCCAAGGTGACGCGCGGCATTTGAATGTCCGACGAGAACCAGTGAAATTAAGACCTTGTTGGCATCGCTTTTCTCCCAGTCGATTCCTCAGAGAAGGCAGGCCCAGCTGTGTCTGGACATGTCCCATCACGCCCTCAAGCTTTTCCAAGGCTGCAGCCACGGACGTGATCACGTACAGCTTGCACAGCGCTCGTTGACAGATGCCAAGATCAAGTGATCATGTTTTAGCATGATGGCCCACTTGCCTCACATTGTAGCGCTTGAAGCTCCACTCTCCTTTGAAGAAGAGTGCAGCAGCATCTGTTTTTTTGTTTTTCGAGGTTCTGTTCCGTAAGAATTTCCTACCACTGACAGTTTATCTGCACATGACTAGTTACCACACCCAAGCAGGCAGGAAATCGTGATCCGCAGAACCTTGGCCGTTTGGGCCCAGATCCGGGTTTCATAAAGAAGCCGCAGTGCTCATCCCGAAATAGAATAGTGAAAAGGCCAGCCATTTGAAAATCAATTTGCATGCTTGGTGGCCACCGCTAGGATGCATGCAACATACGCAACTCGTCCCAGATGTTTCCAGCACAGCACTTGACAGCGCAAACCTGGCTCTGATTGCATGGGGTCGCAGCTGGATCCCATTGGTGCTGAACGAGCACATGGTAGGAGGTGTATAGCACAATTCAGTTGGATTCTTTCCGAGTTGCTCAAGTAGCTCACGCCGATTGAAGGGATGCGATGGTCCCAATCCAGACCCATGTTTTGGGAGGGGCCTGACATGCCAAGACAACTTTGCAGCCATCGCCATCGTTACTTTCACAATCCAGAACCTCCCAACGTGGACCAAGGCAGTCCCAATTGGAGCAGGCCATGTCAAGAGGACACGTGGTGTTGCCAAGCCTGAACGCCGGAAGCGGAAAACTGGTGCGTGAGCGCTTCACCCCAATCTCCTCGATTGCTACACCATTGCCAGCGAATTTTGTTGCTAGTGACTTGACATGAGAAGAGCCTGTCTATAGGAGAGGTTGGAGCGTTGCCTCAGTTGGCGAGACTGAGAGTTGCATCTTCGATGTGCATGCGAATCATGAGTACAGACAATTGACGGAGAACAAGTGGTACTTCTGGCCACCATTCCTTTTCTTAAGCCAAGCCCGCTGCAGATTGAAAACCCTGCAAAGCAGAACTCATGTCACAAGCAGATGCGGCGGGGGGATGTGCCACAGTGAGGCAGCGATCTGGGGTTCAGCTCAAAGTTTGTAGTTTGTCATAATGCTGCAAACATGTTTCTGAAATTCTGAAAATTGGTGCAGGCTTGGGTCGCCATTCGACATGGAGGCGGATTGCGATAGGTCGTGTCGCTAAGAGCCAATGGCCAGTGTTTATGTTATCCTGAGGCCGCGAAGAAGCCTCTTTTGCCATTGCGTCCGGTGGATCGTGAGGAGCTCCCTTCTTTCTTTTTGGCATGAGTTTCTTTTTGCCGTACATACCAGAAAAGTGACGAATATGTCCAGGAGATGCCGGAGACACTGGCAAGTGGAGCTGGGGGAGGAGGAAATGGAGGAGGCCCCGAGGCCCCGCGGAACGGAAGTCCGCCTCTGGAAATCGATGACTCTCACAACGTGTTGTGTCGCTCACCTTATATGCCTCTTTCTTGAGGATGCTGGGGGTCCGTCTCTTCAAAAAGCGAAGAAGGCAAGGGCCTTGCCCGTGGCTGCAGTACGCTGAGGGAACTCTGGCCTGCAGGATTCTTCGGCAGCCGAGACGCTCTTGAGGCCAAACAGGGCCTATGCCTCCTTTTGAGCCCAGCTGACGGTCGAAGAAGTCCGAAGGAGCCTTGCCGAAGAACCCTTCGAGACTGTCTTTGAGGTTGGAGCATGTGTGTGTGTGTGTGTGAGAGTGTGTGAGAGAGTGGGTGTGTGTGCGGAGTGTGTGTGTGTGTGTGTGAGAGTGTGTGTGTGTGTGAGAGAGAGAGTGTGTGTGTGAGTGTGTGTGTATGTCTAAGTGTAGAAGTGTGTTGTGGTGTGTGTGTGTGTGTGTGTGTGCGTGTGGGACACTGCTGTCCATGCAGGATTCACATAAAGTTCTATCAACTCGCAAGACTCCACATAACACAAAGAAAAAGACTTCGCATGTTTATGCCGGCAACGCGGCAAAGCTGCTTGCGCACCTTCATATCATACGCGTTTTCAACAGGGCCGGATGTGTTCATGGACGGCTGTGCCGTAGCCCGGGAGCATCTTGTTTAACATGGCGAAGCTGGCTTCCTGTGTTTCTTTGAGAAGCCACTGTGCATCAGAACAGAAGAGGCCTGTTGGACCTGCAAGCTCATGCTGGCAGTTCGCAGGAGTGCAGATTCGTGACAATGCCCCGGCAGCTTCGCGCGCGCGCGCGCGCGCGCGCGCGTGTGTGTGTGTGTGTGTGTGTGTGTGTGTGTGTGTGTGTGTGTGTGTGTGTGTGTGTGTGTGTGTGTGTGTGTGTGTGTGTGTGTGTGTGTGACACTACAGCGAAAGCCATGCTGGGTTAGTTGGGTTAAAACGCAAAGGGGGCACGGCGTTCTGATGTCCTGCCGGCTATGCCTTGCCGGCATTTAGACGTTTTCGATTCAACATTGTGTTGTCATGTTTTGATGGCGCTGCAGCAGCATTGGTGGTATGATCGCCAGATCAGATCCGAAGCATTTTTGCATGTCGGCATGTTAGTCAGAGGTTCGAATTGATCCAAACCTTTGAACATAGGACGGGAAACAAAAAGAACATAGGGAGGATTCAATCCAATGAGTTTGGGTTTGTGAGTGTGTGGGTGTGTGGGCGGGTGGTCTTTTACTTGGGCCAGGTTGCTTGCTACCCAAGTCGTGAAAAACTCCAGCCATCCCTTGAGGATCCTTCGGCGGGTTCTTCCAATTCCTGCCTGTTGCGGAATTTGGACACCGGCGAGGCCACTTTGGCTGGAACTCATGGGAACACTAGTTTCGAAACAGGGACGACATCGACCGCTTGTATGTGCGATTCTATTCGTCATGGCTGATTGCGGTTGGCAGTGGGCTGGGCTCATCCTGACTCAGGTCCGACCTTTTGCCATGGACAGCCTGACCCAGAGCTTTGCCGAGCGCCGAGGAATGACCGAGACTGGGAGAGCCGAAAGAGGCGAGCTGAGGAGTGAGCAACGGTGAATTCAATGAGAGCGGGGGTTTCTTTATCGGCGTTAAGCATTGGACTCGTTGGACAAAGCGGGCAGAGGGTCCGCAGGATGTCTTAAACATGTCCTGGCACAAACCCAGGTCGGTTTTCCCTCTGAACCGAGCCGGCTGCGCAAAGCCAAGCCCTGGCGGCTTTGGTGGTGCGGGGCCCTGCGCTGTCCAGCGCTGTCCACCGCTTTGCTCACTTGTGTCCACTTCGGCCTTCAGCTCCAGTAGATTCCAAGGTCCGAGAAGAGGCGCAAGGCCTGGTTCTTTACAGTGCCAGTGCCGTACCAGTGCCACGAGCTTTGTATACCTTTTGCCCTTGGAGGATGAGCGCCTGCTACAGGCTGCTGCCGAAGGCAACAGCAGGATCATCCTCGAGCTGATCCATCCGAACGATGGAGGGCCCCCAGCTGGTGTACATTCTTATTGCAAGTCAGGTGCCTCCTCGGGCAGGGGCCCTTTGCACTTGGCCGTGGCTTCAGGGGTGGTTGAAGCAGTCGAGCTCCTGCTTGGGCAGGGTGCTGATGTGAACTTCTGCAGCCGGAAGACCCGCTTGACTCCTTTGCATGTGGCCTCAGCCTACGGAAGTTCCGAGATGGTCGATCTACTTCTTGAGGCAAGGGCAGACACGCTTTCTAAGACAGACGACCTTCAGTTGGCTTTGCACTATGCCGCCGCGAATGGTCATGCCGAGGTTGTGAAGATGCTGCTTCAGCACGAGGGTACAAGCCAGCTGTGTGTGCGCAATGCATCGGGTCAGAGACCAATCGATTCCGCTTCCGACCTGCACACTGTTTGTGTCTTCCGGGAGTTTGAAGCGCGCCGTGGACATGAAACGATGGGCAGCAGACGTAACAGTGCCTCCAGTGAAGCAAGCACTGCAACTGGAAGCAGCTACGACGGGCAGTGCACAGGTGGCAGCGACATTTCTGTCGCGGTGCATCTCCTGCCCTGTCAGACGCGGCCTTGCTTGGTGGGTGACTGCCAGGACTCCCAGGATGGCTATGCCGACCGCACACCTCTCGCGAGTGGCTTCCTCTTGCGGAATGCCCGCACCGATGCAGTGCACCGCCTGATGCATCGGACCCGACAGCTCGACGAGGCCTTGTCGGAGGAGCGAGAGCGACCGGACGGGAGGACCCTGAGCGCGAAGTCCTTCAAGGCAGCTTCGCCAAAAGACTCACCCGGGCGATCCCCTTCAGCCAGCAGTGGAACGAGCACTCCAAAGATACGCACACCCTTTGCACGCATGCGGCAGGGCAGCTCCAGAGTGGAGAAGGTTGGGCCCAACTCTTTCGAGCTCGTCAACCTGCTCGGTCGTGGATCATTTGGGGAAGTTTTCCAGGTCAAGCACAAGCGCACAGGAAAAGCTTACGCCATGAAGGTACTGCAGAAAAGTCGCATAATGAGCAGCAACCTCCTCCGTTACGCAGTGACGGAGCGGAACATTCTCGCCTACATTCGCCACCCGTACATCGTTTCACTGCATTACGCTTTCCAAACACCTAGCCACCTCGTGCTGGTGCTGCAGTACTGTCCCCGAGGGAACCTGCAGCCGGGCGCCTAGTTAGTCATGCGCAATGCTTGCTTCACTTTGTTGATTCCATTCCTCTTTCTGTAAGGCACTTAATCACACGCGAAAAGCGGCTATGCGAAGATTTGTCCAGGGTCTACACAGTCCTGGCGCTTAGATGCACTGAAGAGCGGGATGCAGCAGCGTACTGCGTCCAAGAAAGTTGCAAACTACGACATGCTTCCCATGCTTCCTTGCGTCTGGCTGTGGACTGCACTCTCGGACACAAGGCCGAAATTCTTCTTGCCTTGATTCACTTGCACGAAAGGTGGGGTGAGTAGTCGAGTTGTCATGAGCCTCTGGATGATTTGAAGACCCTTTCAGTAGCGTTGAGCTGCTAGGCACACCGTTTTCCGCGACCTCAAGCCGGCACGCTTGCATGCCGACAATTCCCGCAAAGACATTTTCGATGAAATCACTGCCCAAGGACAATGTGGTCATCGACGAGGCGCACCACGCCTTACTCACTGACTTCGGGCTCTCTAAGGCGCGAAGAGTTGGGCCGTTGTGCACCCTTTCTCTCTCTCTCTCTCTGTCTCTGTCTCTTTCTTTCCCTATCTGAGCAACGGATCTGCGCTTTTTTTGGCTCTGTTTGAGCCACCCCGACTTATTATGGAAAGAGGAGTAAAGGCGGATGTATGGTACCAGTAAGTTTGGTTGTAGGTGTCGCTCGTCTAGACCGGCTTTGAACGTCGAAGCAAGGAAGATACAACACTAACTCGGCAGGCCTGGGTGAACATGTACTATTTCATGTTGCCGTCGAAACATTTTGGCTGAAAGCACTGGCTGTCGAGCCGAAGTTGCAGGAGGTTGATTCTTGCTGAGACTTGATTTGTTTGGGGCATCCTCCCCTTTTACGTTCATGTTGCGGTACGTCCCCCATCAGGTAGGCGGTCCTCTCCAGGACCAGGGGCATCCCATTTGAGCACCCGTGGGCGGGTGAGTTTAAGTCCATCCCGGTCACGGAGGGAAGGACATGTCAGGAGTATCCGGTGACCCGCGGGATGGATTTGGCAGGAGGATGCGGAGACTTCCGCACAGGGAGACAGCATGCAACCGAATGCCCCAGTTTGGAAGCATCCTTCTTCGGTGAGCGAAAATCACGATTTCTGGGCAACTGTACAGCCAAGGATGATGGCATGCCATGGAGGGGACTTACAAAGAACTGCACTTGTGTGAGTAAAGTCTGTTACGGAAATTGACGGGTTGTAACGGAAACTGCCGGCTTGAAACCGTTACAGAAAGTTCTTTGTTTCAGGGTTTAGGGTTTACGGGTTAGGGTATAGGGTCTAGGCTTTAGGGTTTAGGGTTTAGGGTTGGTTTAGGTTCAGGTTTTAGGGTTGGTTCCCGTTACACCTGCGTCTGGTTTCCAGGCTTGCGGGCGTGATTTCCGTTACAACTTTTCTTGCTTTCCGTTTCGGTTTTCGGACCTTACCCCACTTGTGCTATCTGCCACTCTTGGAGCAATTATGGAATCCATGACCCGGAAGCGTTCCACCATCCTTCCATTTCCGCCACTGCCGTCATTGTCTCCATTTTGTCTGTGCAGGAGGGGGTCGGCCAACGCGGCACGAAGTCGTTTTGCGGCTCCGTCGCTTTTCTGGCTCCAGAGATTCTCCTTCGGAAAGGCCTGACGCGAGTTTGCTTTTAGCACGGTCCGTGCATTCCAATCGGGCATCTCAATAATTGAGTCAGCGTACTGCATGTTACTTGTCAATGTCTTATTCTGGAGGCCACAACCACACTGTGGACATTTACAACTTGGGTGTGCTGCTGTACGACATGTTGACGGGCTTGCCGCCGCTGAGTGCTCAGGGCTCCACTGTCATCATGTAGTTTTGCCGCAAGTTCCCAACCATATGTGCCAAAGGTTTTATCACCACGACCGAGAAACGTTGTTTGCAAACATCAAGCACGCTCGTTTGGAGGCCATGCCGATTGCCGTCGTAAATGTTCAATCCCTTTGCTTGAAAGCACATCGGGCAAGCCTGGCAAAGCAGTTTGTGAGTTATGTCGCAGGTGCCGCTCTATGTGTCGCGCATTGCCCGCTCGTTCATTGAGGTCCCAGCAGTATCCACGGCAGCTAAAACTCAGTGCACATCAGGATACAAGGATGTATGTGCGATGGCTGCCATAGGCAACCATGGAGCGAGAGCCTGCCAAGCGAATCGGTGGACATCACACAAGTGACGTGAAGGCACTCGGCCCTTCATATTCAGCTTCAATGAAGCAGCTTCAGTGGAAGCTTGTGACCATGCAGGGCCACGTGTTCTTTGCCGATGTCGACTTTGCCCAGCTGATGCGCCGGGAGGCAATCGCAGCTTCAAGGGCTCGACACTTTGTGCGATGTTTTCGTCCTGCAGGTGCCACCGCCGGAGGCGCATCCATCGGACGAACCCTCGCTTTCCTGGAACAGGTGAGCGTGCCAAAAGCTGTGATCGAAAAGCTTAGCTCCGACGTGTCTCCTCCCTCTCAAATAATGGCCAACGTTTTCTGGAAAGACCTGCTGCTTTTGAGGGCTTAGATTTTCATGTCAATGTGCCCACGGTACGGGGCCAATCTTCTGCAAACCCATTGAGACTTTTGTCAGCCTCAGGCTTTGGTTCCGAGAAGCCTATGAGCCTTCATGAGCAGAGATCATGAGCGGAGATCTAGTTTCATGAAGCACTTCCAGCCATTGGCTGTTGAAGTGCTCCAGGGTGTTCAGACGTGTTCAGTGTGGTTCAGGGGTTAAAGATTGGCTGTGACGTTGGTGAAGAGAGAATGGCAATGTGCGGGGGAGGGGTACATTTTCACCGAACCCGAATAATGCAACCAGCAGACGGGCGTTTCTGAAAGCCTGACCTCGCAAAACGAGTGTCTTTGGAGCAATCCACATTCAAATTAAATCCTTCGAATGCAAAAGTGCAGTGAGTGAGAGTGAAACCAGATGTCGGCGAAATCCCAGAGCGCAGGCACGGCCCCTTGGGCCTGGCTGGACGAGCTCCGGAAAGTCCCTTCGCCAGAGCGGACCGTGGCTGGCGTGGAAGGCGCACAAATCAAAGAGCAGATGTTTGCCATTGTATGCGCGTGGAAGGCTGGAAGACTTCGATCGGGTAGCAAGAATCAGCTGGAGACCTTGTTTGCAGATTCAGGTATACACGGGGGCAGAACAGCAGCTCAGAGCGTGGAGTCAGTGCCTCATCTCATGCCTCCTTTACCGCTGTGGTGATGCTCTGCTTGGCCTCAACTTTGTCGTGAATTCCCGGATTCTTCCGGATGCAGGTGAGCGGCTGGGACTTCTCCTTTGTGCCGCCGACCCGCTCCTCCGGGTCCTGCTCTGGGCAGCAGTCTGCCGTCAGCGGTCAAAACGAGGACTCAGACTGCAGCACGAGTACGTACAGGCCGGCAGAGGCTATATTGAGTGACTTGAGTGGAGGGCCATAGGCAGGCCGTAGGAAATCTGTATAGGGATCATTTTTTAGATGTTTTCGTAATGAGAGAGTGCCATAGAGTGCCATCCGCTGTTCGCCTTTGACCAGGCGAGGCATCATGGTCCATCGAAGACCATCCTCGCAGTCATCACACTCCCAAGATGTGTAAGAAAATGAAAAGAAGGCCAAGAGAGCGCTTGGCGATGCTTGGCGATCTTATCCAGTATTTAGGGCGGTGCAGCAGAATCCACTGAGCACAATTGCGGCAGCCAGAAATCTGAAATGACCTGCCCGGACCTGCCCCGTGCACAAATTTCCAACTACGGCCCACACGACCACGTTGCTCAGGAAGAAGGTGGGCTTTCAAGCAAGTGACGGCGACAGTGATGCCTTGAAGCCTCAGGCAAACCTTCATCCTTCAACCCAGGACTATAAGGTGACACCTGCAGTGTCAGCAAGACTTGTCCATGTATTGAATGCCATAGATGGAGAACTCTTCAAACGCGGAAATAGCTGCAACTAGCCTCCCTCCACACCTGCCTGCACGAGAATTCGCCGATGCATCACTGCATCAGGCTGAAGTCGACTTTTCTAAGCTCTTCCGGGGGTACACACTCCTCTCTGCGCTCTGTCTGCACAGCTCAGCTGTCTGTCTGGACTCATGTTGCACCCTCTCAAATCGAATCATCGCATGTAAGCAGGCTTCATAACACCATAGACGGCCGAAGAATCCCGCTTGAGAGGCGATGCGCTTAAACCGCAGAGCGCGACTCGACAGCTGGCCAACGCTTGAAGCTGCAAACAGTCCGCTCTTCCGATGATTGAGCGGTGCTCGTGACTTTGGCTCCAATGCTGGGCCAAGGGGTGGGTGTCTCTCTGGCCTCACCTGAAATGCGTTTTGTCATTGTGTTTTGTCATTTGGTCCACTGCTTGCATTCGAGGCTTTCTGTTGTACTGTGATTGTCACGCATATCTGGTACGCGCAGCTGGACGTCGAGTGTGCATTTATTGATGCACCTTCGAATGTGCCAGCTCAGCACTAGACTTTTTGAGTCGTGGACTCCTTTGCCTTGGCACCCGTCCAGGCAGTCGCAATGCACACCACTCCCCGCCAAATCCAACCAATAGAGCAGCGGAGAGCAATTTCTACATGGTGTGTACTGTACTGATGGGTAGTGATGCTTACACTCCGGTCTCTCCATGCAGGACAGCAGTAGGAAACATGAGGCAAGCCTGCAACAGCTTCACACTCTTCCTGTTGGTTTGGCTCGGGGGTAAAGATCGAAGGCGTTTATGCCTTTTTAGCTGAATGCTTGGCTTGGCCCTTTAGAAGCCTGCGAAAAGCTCCGAAAGCTCCTCCAAGTCCGAGAGAGAGCTTGTGCACTCTGAGTTTCTTAAAGGTGCCTGCACATACCTGCAACATACCTGCAAGTCTGCCGAGTCTGCGTGGCTTCCTGGGCCCGGGTCGGCACCCACGCGTGGGGAAAGACGTTTACTTGTACCATTCTTAGCGCAGCGGGGTCATCTGAAATTCCGGAAGGGACCTTTGAAGGTATCGTGAAATTCATGTCGCGGGATGTTGCAGACCAGGGATCATGTGACCCGTTTGATCCTGTTTGCCGGTGCCTCTAGGATGCTGCGACACTTGCTGTTGTGCTTGGCACAGCAGGTGCAAAATCTCGCCCCGGCTGAAGTCTTTGGATCTCAAATTTGGTCCTGGGCTGCCAAAGTGGGACCCTGGACCGAAAGCGTGCACAAAAGCGCTCACACTAAGACAGCTTGCTCTGAAATTCCGATCTCTGGCCACAAGTCAGTTGCTGGCTGACGTCATGTTTGTGATGTGCAACATGCATCCAATGCATCCACTGCTTGGTTGCATTGTTACGCCGGTGTTATGTTCGTTTACGATTACAAGGCGGGGCTGGCTGCCTCTGCAAGCCGACTCTTGCTGAGTCTTGGCAAACAAAATCTTGCAAGACGCGTCGCACATGGTTATAAGATGTTATAAGTAAAGAACAGCAACCGGGCAAACCGTGAAAGCGCAGCAATGAGCAGAGCATTCGGCAGACTTGGGCTCCAGCCCCAAGCGAGTTGCGCTTCGAAGCTCTGATCATTGGAGAAAAATCGTTACTGCCTCAAGGTTGTGTGTGGTTGTTACAGGTTTGCAGCCTTCCATGCATCCTGCCTTCTTATGCTTGGGGACACTGTTTGCTGAAGCTGCAGGGGCTCATGACATGTGAAAAAGTTGAGATTGAAGCGCTAGTTGAGTCTTCTGAGTCTTCATGCGTTTGAGCATGGATCATGGTTTGCAGTTTGCTCGTGCAAGGAGTAGGAAGCATGAGCTGAATGACTAGCTAGTTCGTTCCACGCAATGTTTTCGAAATGCGCGTGCCTCGGTAAGACGGTAAGAAGTGCTCGTGCTGTCCTGCAGCATCAGCTGAGTCGGAATCATAAAGAAACCCTACGTATTCTTTACGACCCTGGGATAGTTGCAGCTCTGCACGTTCCCCTGCGGGCTTGGCAAAAGTCTTCCGATCACTCCGTTATGCTTCTTGTCACAGAGCCCAAACTTTGAGCAAGAAGCGCTCTGATCTTCTCGCCTTGATAGAATGCTAAAGTATGTATGGTTTCCTTCTCACACGAGAAAACTCGAAACTCTTGTGTGGCATGTTGTGCGGAATAGCACGACCATGCTGGTGCTTGCCCGCCACTGCTTCGCTTGGTGCAATTCTCTCGCAATTCTCTTGCCATTGAATACGGAACGTATTAATTGGAACACTCCAGCTGACCCACGCTTCTTTGAAGACTCCGCTCCTTTTTCTTCCGTGGCTGAGTTCATCGTGGGCATTGGGAGCAAGAGCGAGCTCGCTGTCGCATGGAGCCACCTGAGCTCACACCGCGGGAGGCTTACGGCCTTTGGACGTCCGGCCCCAAGACAGATAGTACAGATACCTGAATATTTGTAAGTACACAAATGGATATATGAATATACATGTATAATCATGCACTGCATAGTCATCTGTTCTTTCAAATATGTATCTTCTACGTAGTTTTGCAACATGTTGGAGCATCCTCCTCTAAAAGAGCATCTTCTCCTTCAGGTGGCTGCGCACAAACGCGCCGAAAGACGAGCCATCGAACGAGAATTGCCATGAGCCAGCTGCGCCGCGTGACTCGCGCAAGCCGCAGCAACAGCAGCGTCCCCAGAGACGAGACATCCGGAGTCTGCACATGTCAGCGCAAAAGGACAGATAGTCGTACATGTCAGAAAGCAGCCTGCTTGTTTGCACTGTCGTAGTCGAGGGCGCCATATGTTCCGTGAAGCTCAGACAGAACCCTTACCCTATGCTTGAGCAGAAATGCCAAGACGTCAGGAATGATGGGCGGATGCGTGAATAACGCCCAAAGGTTGCACAGCGATATCTTCATCAACGCAGAGATACCGACACGTGGGAAACATGCGGAGACGAGTGGCAGTGGCAAACGAGAAGCCCCTTTCAGCTGTTTCCGCTAATCTAGCAGCACTGCTTGCGTGGTTTGTGACTGATCAAGTCCAGCAGGGAACATGTGTGTCTGTTTCAATCAGTTTTACCTCGTAGCGGGCAATCAGCGGGGGGGGGGGGTGTCAAGGATGCGTTGTACTGCAATCACATCAAGACGACGCAATCAGTGCTGTCTTCAAAGGCTACTAGCAGAGCTGCTGTCTTCAAGTGGCTTCTTGGCTGAGAAATGTTTGACACATGCAAATCTCTCATTCCGCTGTCATTTCATTGAGCTGCAGCGGGCATAAAGCGAAGGATTCGATGCCATCGTGGAAATGGCAGAGGACGTGGATGCGATTTCAGAGTGGCTTCCACAACGTTTCAGAACCGAAATGAGGACCTGCGGGCCATCGTTGCACGGACAAGCCTCACAGCAAGACTTGTGTGCGAAGAAATGGCAAGGATCTCCGTCTCTGAGCTAAAAGCTGTAGAGCTTCTCAAGCTTGCCGGAGACCGAGCTTAATCAGGGACAGTTGAATACGCTTAAACAGGTTCGTAGTTCGGATGCCACATCGTCGCTTGGAAAGGTGAGAGACTCAATCGGTGCTCTCGAGTCGGACATTGACATCTTGGATGCAGCAAGCCCAGATCGCCCAAGTTGCCAAGACATTGTAGCTCTGCTCTGGCAGAGGTCATTGAGAATGGGTCGGAGGATGTCCGACATGCGCAGAGGCTGACCTGCCTCGCGATGCCACGGCGTGCCCCCCCCCCCACGACTTCATCGCCAGAGGCTTTTTGCGGAGGTTCGTCTTGGCGGCAAGAAGCTGGACCCTCATTCATGCTTAGAGGATTGTCTTGGAGAGTCTCCCACTTGATGCTGAAAGGGTGTGGCTTCTGCTGGAGAACACGGCAGACACTGAGGAGGACGCATCTGAGCCGCCTTTGCAAGTTTGCAGCCGTGCTGCTTTGAAAGACCACATTGTCTTTGGAGCCTGGAGCAGCGTCAGCCTTCACTTGCAGGACCTTTATGGCCCTCACCACGAGCTTCTGTTGAAGGTCTCAGCTGGTGCGTTGGATCGTGGCTGAGCTGCACGGTGCAAAAAGCGGCAGTGAGCATGTCTGCGCCATCAAAGGTCGGGTTGAGCGTTTGCAGCAACTGATGTGGGGCACTCGGTGTTGCGAAAGGCGAATCTGTTCGCCGGACCACTGCATAATCGGCTCCGGCTAAGACCGACAAAGAGAACCTGCCCAATAACTCAGCAGCCCCCCGCCCCCTCCCTTCCCCCCCTTCCCTGCCCACTTCCCTCCGTGCCCGTCTTGAATCATAACAGTGCCACAGGGACGAGATTTTGTCGGCAGACTAAAATCCTAGACTCTGCATGCGATTTGCAAACATTTGCAATGTAAGCCTTCGTTCCCGCATTGCAGTGTCCTGGTGAGCTTTCCATTGGCACTGCAGGAGTGGCTGGGGCCAAAACAAGATTCAGGAAGGCGCCAAATGCGCTGCACTTGACATCACGGGGCATCTCTGGATCAGTTGTCTCTCTTTTTGGAACATTTTCTTCTCTCTCTCTCTCTCTCCCACCCCCACTCTCTCCGACATGGAACATGCACCTCGCATTGCATGTTGCATACTGGCCCACCAGTAGCCCTTGGCATCACCGTCAAGCCAAACAAGCCTGGAATGCAGTGAGCGCAGTGTTCCTTATGAAGGTTTTGTTGTGAGTTATTGCCAGTTTGGAGCTGATGGCTGTCTTACATGGTTGACTATTGGGAGAAGTACTACTCACGGAGTCTTGCCAGAAAGGGCAAGCTGTCCTCGGAGGATTGCTACTGCACAGCAGAGCACCTCAAGCAGCTGCTGTTGGAGCAGAACTTGCCACTGGAAGGCCATGTGTTGGTCGTTGGTGCAGGTACTTCAGAGCTCCCGGCTCTCCTTGTGGAGGGGGCAGCTCGCGTCACGGCCGTGGATGTGTCAAAGACGGCTATAGATTGGATGCGAACGGTCCAGCCCAGGGTGCATTGGCATCTTGGTGATGCAGCAGCCATGCCCGCCTCCTGGATCAACTGCTTTGATTGCTTGATCGACAAGGGCCTGCTGGCCCACAAAGTGGCCGATCATCTCCTGGCTTCCGCTGCTCAGAGCGCTCAGAGCCAGCAAAGCGCGGAGTTTGTGCAGAGCACACTCCTGCGAGAGTACCTGCGAGTGCTGAAGCCTGGTGCTTACGCAGTGCTGGCCTCGCTAAGTCCGCTGAGCTTAAGCTTGGACTCCGATGGCTGGGTGAACTCGGGTCGGTTTCAGTTGGGAGAGACTTTTGTGCACCTGGTACGCAGGCCGCCAAGGCCACACAGACACGGGTTGACTGAGGAGGTCCCAGATGAAGAGAGGCTTGAAAGGCTACCTTCCTGGGTTCGTGGCCTCTCCCGGAGCTCCTCAAAGGTGCTTGTGCGCACTGATTCCCTGAGCACTTCCCAAAGGGCCAAGGTGGACCTGCAGGTGAGCTCTGAAAGTGCAAGGATCGTGACTCCCTGGCCCCCCTTTGAGGTCCTGGAGATCGCTTTGCCCTCCGAGCCCCTCGGTGCGTTCTGGACGAAGCAGGGCCTTGAGCTGGTGCTGAAAGATGAAAGAATCGTGACAGCGCCGTGCGCGGAAAGAAGCAACCCTCCTTTTTCCCAACGCCTTTTGTGGGTCGCCAGAGAAGGCCCCAAGCTTAAAGCTCGGCAGAGGCCTCTGCGTTCACCTCACGGTGGCGGCCGAAGCCCTGTCCTCGGCAGAGGGAGTTTCTTACGACACTTTTAGAGGTCTGGTGGCGCGGGCGGCTCAGGGGAGAGGGCCAACTCTGGGAAGATTCCGAGAAGCCTTCGCGTCCTTTTTTGGGGTCAATTGGGGTTTAGGGACTTAAAGGGAACTTGGGGGAAGGGAAGATACCGAGGCCCTGGCATGGTGTCGAAATCGGCTTGATGACATCCACGAGGAGCGTCCTCCGCGGTGTCCTGGCACAATGGTTCTCCGTGGAAATGACACGCAATGTGCACTATTGTGCACTTCATATTTGGTTCATCCTGTACCTTTCAAGATGTTGTGAGACTGTCCCCCTGTGCCTCAATACAGGTTGTCGCCGGGAATTGGCGATGGGCCCATCCCGTTGCCGGAGCGGGTCCATGTTGCACATTGCCACGTCAGGCTGCGAGCTAGGGCTGCGTTAGTGCTACGCCCTGGCTGCGCTGGGGCGACTTTTTTCCTGAAAGTACACAAACAAAGCATGGAGAAGGGGCATGAGGGCACCATACTCCGCAGGACACGGCTTTCAGCCCAAGAGGGCGGACCTGTCGGCCCAGAAGACCAGGCTCTGTGGTGATGGTTTGTCATGGCTTCACGGGTCCACTTTTTGCTTGGGCACTCGAGCTACAGTTACCGTGTGTGATTGGTGGAGTCCTGTGCAACATTGATGCTCAATGTGACAATGCGAGCCCTTCCTGGCAAGGTCGGCAGTTTTTCCCGCTCCGGCATCCTGCCCGCCGCTGCTTCACGCCCTCCAAAGACGAGGTGCGTACTGTACGTGCGTGAGGTTGGACATTGGCGAGGCTGCAGTTTGTCTGCGGGCATCCTCGTCTGTCCCCGCCAGGGCAAGAATCAGTTCTGGCACCGCCCAGACACGCAGCCAACTCTGAGGCTGCTCCCGGGGAAACTTCTGAAAGAGTTGCATATCCTGTTGCTGAAACAAAAATCGGTCGGCAGGCTTGACACCGTCATCCGTAGACAAGACGCGGATCGCCAAGAAATTGAGGTCGCGGAGGTTGTGTTAAGTTGTGTTGCTCCCAAGAAGACTAAGAATTGCCAAGAACAGATGTGAACTCCTGGTTGGCCTTGCTACTGTCTCAAGTTTGATCCAAGGCACGACCTTGTGACGTCGGTGCTCGTGTGCTGGAAGCGAGGAATCAGGTGAGGCCAGTGGCGCTGTAGCTCGGCTGTGCTGACAAAGCATCTGCAGGAGCGCGACACAACGTGTCGCTGCCGATGGGCCGAGTTTCAGGCGCCCATGGTGTTTGCCGGCATTATGTCGAATGTCTTGGCCAGTTCTCAGTCAGTTTGCTTCCTACTGATTCCTACTTGTTACTTGTTTGCATGTGAAGTCAGACTTGTGTAGCAACTTAGGCCTGACATAGGCGAAACGGCGTCGCTTCAGCGAAACCAAACCTGTTGTACCCACTTAAAACAAAGCACGAGCGCACCTTATTTTATTGGCCTTCTTTGACAAACACCTTTGCAGTGGCTGTTCGCAGCTTCGCAGGGCATGTCTGGAAGGGCCTTGGACCTCAGGTCCATGAACCCATGAACCCATTTGGAGGGGCCATTGGCGAGGGCATGTGAACGGTCGCTTCGGGAGAGAGGGGGAAGTTTGGAAATATTGCCCTGGCTTTTCGACTCGTTCCAGTAGCTTCGCAGAGTGCCTCACATCAAATTGGTGGGAATTGCCGTTGCGTGCCGGTACCATAAAGTTGCTAGCGTTCCGTATCCTACGCGTTGCGACAGTCTTCTTTAATTAACATGATGAACTTGACCAACCCTGCTGCAAGGCCGAGAGGACACATGTGACGCCAGTCTCGAAAGAGCCACGCTTCACGAGGCATCTTTGCTCAATGCTCGGAATGTCCACTTTGCTGGTCACTAGCTCAACTTTCGATGCAACTGGCGTGGCAGGCCAAAAAAAGCCTTCGCATTGTCCTTAGCCTGTGCGGCATTTCTCAGCAGCTCTGGCCGGTCTTGCTCCTAGGTCAGCTTGGCACATGCGAAACGGCCGGCATCCTCAGCTCGAAGAGGCGGGGCATTGACTTGGCCAGGCAAGCAAGAATCAAAGCAACTTGACAGGGCCTTTGGTTCTGTAGATCACAAGCATTCACGGACCATCTGATCATGCTTGCCACGAGACATGACCAGCATATATGAGCGAACTGGTGAATCAGGCGACAGTAAGACCAAGCCCATCATCAGGGCAGTGTATCTGAACATCCCCACAAGCAACTTGCACCATGGGACAGGTGCATTGGAAGACCGGCCCCACTCAGTCGCTCAAATGCGCTGTTGACTCGTGAGAAACAAGAGGCGTGTGCGTCAACCTATTTCTCTGCCGGTTTTGCACGCAGTTGCGTGCATAGTACTTTACAATGAAGGCTATTTGGCTTGAGGCAAAAAGCAAGTGACTTCGGCCAAGACAGAACGAGGGACTATCAGGATCCGTTGGCCGCGTTGTTGACACACGGCACACTTGACACCTGACACCATGTGGGCTAGAGGTGGGCTAAAGGCGACTGTAGTTTGCAGCATTGGCCACGAAGGCATCTTGCATGTGAGCCATGAGCTTGCCAACTGATGAGTTGGTGCAGCGGCGGGTCAGGCTCCTGCTTAAATCACTTCAGCATAAGGGGTGGAGGGACGGGCAGCGCACGGCAGCGCATGGCAGCGCAGGCTGTTGGCCATGCTTTCCCGCCTTCCCTCCGTTCCTGGCCGTGGGCCTCATTTCCTTTGCCGCACGTTGCACTGTTGCATTCTGGCGGTCGCTGAGTTAGCGCTGGTTTCCGCGATATCCGCGGCGCCCACAGTGCCTCGCACGGTAGAGGAGGCGCAGTCGGCGCAGTCGTCTTGGAAGACGGGGAATACGGCAGGGTGATAGCAAAGAAGTGAGAAGCGCAGACCTTTCACAGTGTTCAAGCTCGCATATTTGCTGTACAGTCAGTAGCGGTAGAAGTCTGGTAGTATTTGTCGAACGTTGCCCTCATGGCTGCACGGCGCTCATTGTTGCTAGCCCTGCTTGCATGGCAAGTCTCGGGTCTTCTGAAGCCACACATCCTTTTTGTGCTGGTGGATGATCTGGGCTGGGCAGATGTGGGATTTCACCGGGAGCAATCGAATCCAGAAGTTGTTACTCCCAACCTGGACGGCCTGGCTGCTTCTGGAATCCAGCTGCGCCGCCACTATGTGCATTCCGTGTGCACGCCAACGCGCACATCAGTTCAGTCGGGGAGGCTGCCCGTCCACGTCAACACTGGCCTAGGCCAGTGCTGCTGAAAATCTGAGCTGCATCAACTCACCGAGAGCTCAGTGGTCCCTCCTCAACCCATAACAATGTATATGCGTCCCAAGTAACCCCGTGTATGCCATTTATGTTATGTCCCAAGTTGGCCCCCACCTGCCTGGATATCCCAGCTCGCCGCTGCCTCTGGCTCAAGCAGTGGGCACGAGTCGGTCGAGACATTGGCCCTGCAGAGTGTGCAATGTCCGTGGTCTCCCGCAGCCCACGAATCGCCCGCAAGCATTTTGTGCATGGAGCAGCGGCAGGGGTGCTGCTGCCGCTGTGTCTCTGGCCAGAAGCTCCAGCGTGCCATGTGTGTTCGGTACCCTTATGAGGGCACACTGGAACAGCGTGCTGCCAAAAGGGCACACGGAGCTCTTTCTACATAATCTATGCCCTCTATGCCAGTCCGGAGCTTGGGAGTTTGCGGGGGCCCCCGCGCCAATGGAGACAGGCTCTCCTACGGCAACGCCGGAGACTCTTGTTCCGAGGATGCCCAATCGATGCATTGGGTGCACTGAAGCTCGCTCACCATCGCTCGCCTGACCCCGTTGTGGACGCCCCTCACCGTTGCGGAGCAAGCGCCAATGGATGCTCTCCTGTCTCTTCATTTGCGGCTTTCGCTTTGCCCAAAAGCCAAAACTTGCCAAGCGCGCGTGCTGCCGGTGGAGGTGCATCGGTTGTGAGACATGAGTGAGATACGTCAAGAGACAGTCTCTGATGGCCCCTCAGCATTTGTTCGGGTCCATTTCGTGCTGGTCTGTTGGAGCCATCGTGTACAGCCTGTTTCCTGGCCGCTCCTGGCCCTGGTGCTGAACAGCGGCATGCAGTTCCGCACAACAAGTGTGGAACGGTGTGTGAACAGGCGCCTTAAGGAGTGACACCCAAAAGAAGCGAAGGATCCCCTGAGAATCCAAGTCGTGCCCCTGCTTAGGCGACGTTTGCGACGATGACACGGGCATCCCATACAACATGACCGGAATGGCAGAGAAGATGAAGAAAGCAGGATATCAGACTCATTTTGCCGGAAAATGGGACGCAGGCATGTCAACCCCACGTCATTCGCCCCATGGTCGGGGATATGACACTAGCTTACACTACTTCTCTCACAAGAACGACTTCTACAACCAGGGCAACATGCAAACATGTTGTGAGTCGGACCCCTCTATCATAGACTTCTGGCGCACCAACCGCGGAGCACATGACGTCAATGGCACAGACTACTCAGAGTTTCTCTACCAAAGGGAGATGGTTTCCATTATTCAACAGCACGACCCGAGCATACCACTCTTCTTGTTCTACGCACCGCATGTCGCACATTGCCCGCTCCAAGTTCCAGAGTGGTACTACAATAAATTCAGTTGGATGTCAGACGATGAGGACCAATGTCGCCAGCAGACGGTCAAGAGCGAGCACCCCATCGATCCATCAAACCTGGCATTGGAGTACAAGTGCCGGCAGCAGCATGCAGCAATGGTGATGCTGATGGATGAAGTTGTAGGGAATATCACCGGCGCCCTGAAGGCCAGGGATATGTGGAACAACACGCTCATGATCTTTTCTTCCGACAATGGCGGGCCTGTGAGATTAGCAGAGAATGCAGCGAACAATTGGCCCTTGCGTGGCGGCAAGTACAGCAACTTTGAGGGCGGCATTCGGGCGACTGCATTTGTCTCTGGGGGTGCTCTCCCACCACATGTGCGCGGCACAAGCAAAAGTGGCATTATACACATAGCTGACTGGTACGGAACCTTATGCAGTCTGGCAGGAGTCGATTCCTTCGATGACCGTGCCGCAGCTGCGGGTCTTCCTCCAGTTGACTCCTTGAACGTTTGGCCTTACCTCAGCGGAGTAAGCTCGCATTCTCCGCGTTCAACTGTCCCTGTGGACAAGACCTGCCTCATCTCTGGTGATTGGAAGCTCATCACTGCTGCAACACAGCCTGGCTTCTGGCAAGGCCCACGTTTCCCAAACGCAAGCTCCGAGGAGTTGGCGGCCCCGGCGTGCTCTGATGGCTGTTTGTTTGATGTAGCGCACGACCCGACAGAGCAACGAAATCTGTTTCAGTTGCGGCCGGATGTAGTTGCAAGCATGTCGTCGCAGCTGGCAGAGATGCGGAAAGCGTTCTTTCAGAACAACGACAAGTTTGTTCACAGCTGCCCAGAGGGTGTAGTTAACTGCGCCTGTTGGCTGGCACATAACCGTTACGGAGGCTTCTTGGGCCCTTATGCTCTGCTCGACAAACCGGTTGAGCAGGCAGTGTTTCAAGTTTGACAGCGCGTCGAAAAGGCAAGCGCGCATGACTTCCGCCGGCTGGTACTAGCAGCTCGCCGGCCTGTTTCTGCCATCGCAGTGTCAGCTGCTCACTCTGCACTCTTGGAGGTGCTTCGACCTGCCGATGTAGACTGTTCAAATTCTCCGGAATGGGAGACGTTCCGCATTGCGGCTGCTGCACATAGCAGGCTCGGGGCCTCAGAGCGCGTTCAGGGCGGCCTTAGGTCGTTGAAATCATTGAAGTCACTGAAGTCACCCCCTGATCGCACGGCTTCGCATGCTGCATCATGCTGCCCGCTGGTGCTGCCCAGCATGAAAGGAATGGCTGGAATGTCGAGGCAAACGACGCCAAAGAGCTGGAGGCCGAAATCCGTGCTTTTCACGGGTTTGTGCGGTGCCATTTTTGAAGATGTTTGCAGGTGATGTCACGAAGGCTCGTGGACAAGTGGCGATGGGTCGTTTGCAAGGAGGCCCGTTCAAGTGTCAAGCTGCATCTGCGACTGCAACTCTGCCCACTTCGCAATGTGAGGACTGTCAAACCACCCAGCACCTGGCTTGGGTGTTTGTTGAGGAGAGCGCAATCAGCGCAGGTTTGCTTAGCATACTGGTGCCTTGGCTTGACGCTCGAGGACTGGGGAGCACGGTGCAAATCGAGCGCCAACTTCGATCGCTACCTCATTACGCACTATTTCAGGCGGCCAGTCGAACAGTTCTTCAGCTTGTCATTATTGAGCCTAGCAGGAATCGCCGCCTGGAGTTTGTGCAACGTGAACCGTTTGGCTATTGCCACTTTGGCCAGAACGCTTAGATCGACGAAGCAGTGGTAGAGGCACATCGCACCATGTTGCTCTGCATTGTGCATTTCTCTGCCCAGGGTTCATCACGGCTCTGGTGGTCGCGGCGCAGTTTGAGTTCCCGCATTCCGTGGACTTTTCCTCAGAGCTGAGGGCACTTCAGGCATGAGCATCTCGCAGCACTTTGACCTTGACTTGAAACACCAGTGCAATGCTGCATGGTACGGCATGCACCTCAAACAACATTCAAACAACTCATGCAGCTGCTATGAACTGCTATGAACTGCACCCAGGCACAGGCTGGTCGCATGCTCTTTCTCGCGCCCGGGGCTGGGGCTGCAGCTTCCATCGCTTTCCTTCTCATCGCTTTTGGCTGCAAGGCCATCGCGTGTGCAGCCCCGCTGTGCTGAGGTATATCCTGCTTGGTGACTTCTTTGCTTTTGACTGGCGCCCTGTCGGTTGTTAGCTCGGAAGGGAGACTGCTCTGAATGATGGAACGATGGAACGTTCAGGTTGAAGTCTTCCAGCTGGCCTGTGGACTCCCTGATGGTCATGCTGAATGTGCACATTGCCAAAGCCTCAAGCTGCAGAGTCTGCAGAGGCTCCTCTTGTGCGGGCATGGGGTGGCCTCGGTTCAGCTGGGGGTTTGGGGTTCCATGTCAGCGGATGGCTTTCGGGTTTTGGCGCTTCGCATAACATCGTGCAGCGGAGGCCTCGCCTTTATGGACAACCTGTTGCCGTACCCCCCAAACCACACAACTCCGGCCTTGCCACCCCACCCCCTTCACCCCACCTCTCACTGACAGTCACGAAGGCCAATCACCCACCTCAATCGGCGTTTTTTCGACAAAGTTGCGAGGTGTCGCAGCGGCTTCTCGTGGGTCCTGACCTGGAGCAGATTCGTGCGGCAGGTCGGCGTCCAGGCTCGGGTGTTTCTTCGTTTCGGGTGCTTTCCCTTCTGTGGCCTCGCATGGCCCTGCTTGCAAGTTGCCTGCACGATCTGCACGTTGCTTGCAAGTGAAGCCACACTCCGCACGAGGTTTGGAGGGGCCGGGTTTTCTTCGCTTTCACAGTCGATGGCAAGTCGCCCAGTCGTCCCGGCCGATGATTCAGTGCCGCTTCTGCTCAGCATTTCGTCGGAGGCAGGGAACGTCAGAGGATGGCAAGCAAACATCTCGCGAAGCCTGCGCGGGGTGCGGGCCTTTGACAAACAGACGCTCTCAAACTCTGCCAACATCAACGATGTCTGGCAAGTTGAGGTCTGATGTCCTTCCCGAGCTGCGTATCTGGCAGTACGACGCCCACACAGCGCTTGCTGGGGAGGCCACTGAGCCCCCAGGCCCCAAGCCACACAGAAGCTCCCATAAGCTCTGACCCTCAAAGCCCTTGCAATCTGAAAGAGTACAGTGCCTGGTACCCATGGCCCATGCTACCACCAAAGTTCCAACCCTTCAACAGGAAGATTCCATGTGATGCCAGCTTCAAGGGCCCTGACACCCCTCTCAGAGCCATGGAGGCCAAGACGATGCTGACCAGATTCGGAGATGCAATGCAAGTCGCAGCCTCGGCGAGAGGGGCAATTGAAGTTATCAGCCATGCTGCTAATTCTTTTCATGCAGAGGGAGCTTTCGGATTTCTGAGCTTCGCCACTCTCATGAACTTTGACTCCCCAGTGAATTTCAGAATGGTTTTATAAAGTTTGGGCAGGTTGGGGTTGTTGAGGTTCGTGTGAGCTTCCTCGGAAACTCCTTTCCCGGCAACGTTTGCCGGGTTCTTGGTAGTCTCCACTGCTTTGCAAGATGCTTCGGATTGTTTGTAGCAAGCTGCGGCTTCGAGGTCGAAACTATGGCTTGTGTGCACAGCCTGAAGACAAGGATCGCAGCCGCAGTCCGTCTATCTTGGTAAATAGTGTTCTTGGTAGACTGGTGATTGATTCAGCAAACATGCTCAAGAACTTACGTAGGAGTTTCAGAAACTTGCATGGCTGGCAGATGTTTAAGTGATGCATGATGCTGCTTGTCACCTTGAAAGTAGGGGGACGGTCCTGGGCGCTTGCTTGTCTGGAATTTGCCGAAGCAACGAAGCTTCACTGCTGTAGTCTTTGAGAAGTGACGCTCCGCGAACCTGTCGGAACTGCAAGGGAACACATCGCCGTTTTTTTACTGGAGGAGCTTTTGGAGGGACTTCTGAAGCGCTACTACAAGGACAAGCAGGCCCTGCTGCCATGTTTAGGATCAGGAGAAGTCAGGCACACAATAGGCTGTCCGCGCATGAAAGCTCACAGCTGCAGAGGCCTTTGCCACTGTGGCAGCTGCTTTTGAGGAAGCTCTTCGCTTCAGGCAAAAATCGACACAGACGGAGGATCTTGTTGAGAGGTCTTTGATGAAGGCCAAGGGTTCAGTGGCAGGCTGTCGCGCGAGGCGGATGTGCTCATGTGCTCGCAACCGCTGAGTGCGCGCCTCATGGCTCCTTGAGGAGTTCTAGTCCACCTCAGCCCCTGTGTGATACAGAGGTTGGTGTCGCTTCCTGTTGGGCATGCAAAAGCCGATGCTGCTGTATGCTGGGCTACCGGTTATGTGGGACTGACGCCGTCTTCCCAAAGTCGCGCAACACTTTTGAACCTGACAACCGATACCGCAAGCTAATGTGTGAGAGACTACTGCAGGACTTGCCTGAAGCCGATCGTGATGGCTGGGCGGCAGACTTTTCAGACATCTTGAGGAGCCGTGGCACTAAGATGCTCGTCGTCACAGTCACCACAGGATTGCAAGATGCGCTGTGCTTTTGCAGAACGAGGTCAGAAGCATGTGGTGATTGCGAACAGTGTCTTTGTTGCCAGCTTCTGAGACTTGCAGTCCTGGAGTGGATCTCAGGATCCCAATTTGTGCAAATCGCCCTCTGATAGGCGCGGGAGGTGCAATGGCAGTTTGGCATGCGCGTGCCGACGCTGCGACCACTTGGCCTTCACACAAATGCGATGCACGTGTCCGAACCTGAGAGGTCGTTCGCAGGCCACACTGTGAGCACATGCAGACTCTATTCTGAGGCCGGTTCGCAATTCCTCTGTTCTGGTGAGTCGATTTGGAACGAGCGGAGGGCTCTCCGACGATCCCCCAGTTTATTCACGTCTGAAAAGCATCTCTGTCAGTGCTTGTAGTGCGCAAAGCAGTCGTTGTCTGCGGGACGTTCTGTGGGGCAAGAAGAGGGAGAACTGAACTGACTCTGAGGAGTGCTTGCTCGAGAAGTTTGCAATCGCCAACAGGCACTGGCCTGCGGCTCTGATCTCTGAATCTATCTTTGCTCATTGGACCTATTTTGAAGTGAATCTCTGTGAATCTCATTGTTGCCGCTTCGGTGGTTGTTGTGGAAGGTTGGTGGGTGCCTCTTCTCAGCCGCTGAGGTTCCCCTTGGAATTTGTGCAGATGGAGTCGCTTCTGTTTCAAGAGCATCTTGTCGGGAACCCGGAGCAACCCCGGCGCATTGAAGAGACTGAGCAGAACTTGCATGGACACTTGGCAAGATTCTGTCCTTCAATGCAAGGAAGGAAGCAAGGTCACTTGCAGCTCATTGTGGCTCGAGCTTGTGTAGGTGGAGTGCAGTGCTCATGGCTTCTTGAGTCGCGCTCCATGCCGCTGACCATTCAGGAGCTGGTGTCGGAACCATACTGCCAGGGTCATCTCTTTGAGGCCCAGCCAGAGAAGCAGAAGCAAGATCTCTTGGATCAGCTGAATGCGATCGATGGCAACCTGCCAGGCCGGGGGGAAAGGTTCTGCTTGCACGGAGTTTAAAAGCCGAATGGAAGCCAAATACGGGTAAGCATGGCTCATTCTTTCGGCAGAAGCATGTCGATGTCGTCAGTTCCAGTGGCTGCAAAGCCAAAGCCCTCAGGCTTTCGGTGCAAACCCTCTGCTTCTCGAGACAGGGCCAGAAAGGGGTCCATGGGAGGTTCTGATCGGCCACAAATGGCCACAAGTTCCCAGCATATCCATGGGCCAGGGGGGTAATCCGAGAGTTGCGGTTTGTGGGGGTCAAGGGGGTCTAGAGGGGGTCAGGGAAGAGGGTGGAGATCGCGCCAACTCGGCGCATGGCTTTTTTGATGCTCTGCATTCTTGATTTGAAGCCATTTTGGCGCGGGACGGCAGTACCAGGCCTTGTCTTAGCCGCCACCACTGTATCCAGTAGGCAGCTCTGCGTAGCTTTGCGTTGCGTTCTCCTCTCCTTTGTCCTGATTCAGGTGGCGGATTGAAGGGCTACCTGGAGCGCGGTCGCGTCCTGCTGCGGGAAGCCCAGGCAGGAGTGAACCCTTTTGCTGGGCTGACGCCATCGGTGCCAGAGGGGCAGCAGCTTTTCGGGGAGACAGGCCCCGGGAGTGCGGGCTTTGATGCTTTTGAAGAGAGGGGCTTAGAGGAAGTCTCGAAGTGCTGCTTTTGCCTTGTGGCTGGCGGTCTCGGTGAGCGCCTGGGCTTCCCGGGCATCAAGATTGGCATCGTTACAGAGGTAATTACCAACACCACCTTCATCGAGCTCTTTTGCTCCTACATTCTGGCATGCCAATCCCACGCCCGCGCGGCCACTGGTGATGCTGGCTTGCTGCTGCCGCTTGCCATAATGACTTCAGGAGACACCCACGACAAGACCGTTGAGATGATGACGCAGAACGACGCTCGGACCAGCTCAGTGGACACATGCCTGCTTTGCGCTTTGTCTGCAAAAACATTTCATGTGCAAGCCTAGGCTTTCTTCGGTATGGTCGAGGGTCAGGCCGGGAGTAGTGCTGATTCCATTTGCAGCAACTTAAATGTGACAGCTGCTATACCAGGTGCACTTCTTGAAACAGGAGAAGGTACCTGCCCTTCTGGATGTTGATGCTCGCATTGCTGTAAAAGACGGCTGCATTGAAACGAAGCCACATGGCCATGGTCACTCAGCTTGATCATTCGGCTTGATCATTCGGGTGAGTTGTGAATCCCTCGTGTTGCAAAACTGCTCTTTGGCACCCGCTCCTTCCGTATGGAGGTGACATCCATGTGCTCATGCACCAGAAGGGCCTCTCCAAGCGCTGGTTTGAAGAGGGTCGTCGTTGGCTCTTTGTATTTCAAGACACGAACCCCCTGCACTTCCGAATCCTTTGCGCTGTCCTGGGTGTCTCTGCGAAGCATGGGTTTGTCATGAACTCGGTGGCCATTCCCCGGATCCCTGGGGAATCGATTGGCGGCATTTGCAAGCTGACCAGTGCTTCAGGCACGGTCATAACCCTCAACGTCGAATACAACCAACTCGAGCCGCTGCTTAAAGAGACACCTGCTGGTGGTGACGTGCCAGATGACTCGGGATACTCGCCATATCCAGGGAATATCAACGTCTTGCTTTTCCATCTCCCGAGATATGTCGAATGCCTGGATGGCACGGGTGGCGTTGTGCCAGAGTTCATCAACCCAAAGTGGGCGGACCCTGCCAAGACCCAGTTTAAGTCATCCACGCGCCTCGAGTGCATGATGCAAGACTTTCCGCGACTCTGCGGACCCAACGATGCGGTGGGTGTCACGCAGTTCGAGCGCTGGATCGCGAAGACCAGTGTCAAAAACAATCTGGCAGACGCGCGGAAGAAGAATCCTCCAGAGTGCGCCCTCTCGGCGGAGGCGGATTTGTACTCCTGCAATGTGCGACTGATGCAGCTTCTTGGTTCTAAAGTCACGAAAGCTAACTCCTTGGAGCTCGCAGCTACACAGCCCGTTCCAGTTCCGAGTGTCCATTCCTTGACTTCAGGGGATCTGAGGCTTGCTGGTGCGCAGATCGAGGAACCGGAAGAGGTGTCCTACCTGGGCATCACCGCCAAGATTGGGGCGAAGAGCCTTGGCTGCTCTGCGGAGTCTTGGGATCCGAGTTGCGATTGCTGGCCGTGCTCCTCTCAGGATTGTTTTGAAGCCTTCCTTCGCCATATCTATCGTGCAGCTGAAGAAGAAGTTGAAAGGAAAGAGTCTTGTTCCTTGCTATAGTGCTGACCGGAGTGAATCACATCTGGCGCGCTGTCAAGCTCGTGCTGAACCCAGGATTTTGATCTCGAAAAGGTCAGCGTTGGTTCTGGAAGGTGACGTCATGCACTTAACGGCTCAAGACGGAGATCTTGCGTCGGCTCTTGCCAACGGAAGTAAGTTGTGGCTCGGCGTCTTGCGAAACTTTGCTAAATGCCGAGGTTTCCGTGGAGGATCTGGAGTTGGATGGGGCCCTCCACCTTTCCGGCACTGGCTGTGCAAGAGGACGCGGGCTTTGGGCAAAAGCCACGCGCAAGAAAAGGGTATTTGTTCGAGCTATTGTGCCGCGATGAGTATGAACATTAAGTCTTAGATGTGAACAACCGGCTAAATAAGCCATTCTTCGTGGCATGGTGTTCATCCGTAAAGCAACGATGAGGACTGTTTTTTTCAGATAAGCTGTGTTTGGTAGTGTTATGGACAATAGCTACAGTGTTATATGGTATTTTGGCGTGAGCCCATGTTTTATGCAGCCGAAATGCCTCGCTGTGGGCACGCAACCAGGACTCTCAGTGAGAAATCAGGGCGCCGAAATCGTTTGCATTCCAGAAAGTGAGCTGGCAGAGGTGGACCCGTCGTATCAGATCCGTGGGTCCTCCGACTTTGGTTTTTAAGTATTGGACCCGAATGGATTCCGGCTAAACGCCCTTCTATAAGTCAGAAGACCAAACTCTCTTCGCCTACCTGAGGTATAGGGCAAACATCCTCGAAATGGCCAAGATCCACCTGGAAGGCGATACTTCCTAGGACGGTTGGCAGAGAACAGTTCTGGAGACTGAGATCCTTTCGCCGCAAGAGTCTGTGCTCACTCCGCTCGGTGCATTGTCATCATCGCCTCATCGCCTGAAGTGCTGAAGAAATGTCCGGAAGCGGTCCTGATCTTGGAGCTGGTGCTGAGTCTGAGAACCATCACGGGGGGCCTCACGTGCTGAAGCGCCAGTACGCAGGGAGCGGCGGGCCCTCGACAGGGATGGTGCATCGTGCACTGAGCTGCAGCTCCCACGGGTGCGGTTTGGGCTGGAAGGGCTCGCAAGAGCGAAAGCGGCCCGCAAAAGGGGAGAAAAGGGCTTTCAAAAGGGGGCAAGGGGTCTTGACCCCAAACAAACCCTTAAGCTCAGAGTGTCAAAGACAATGAAAAAAGCGGCCGATGGCACAGACTGCACCTAGGCCTCCACTGGAGATGATGAACTGGAAGACGCGAAGACGTGGGAGGAGCACACCGGAGAGATCAAGGCAAGGATTAATGTTACGATCTCTTTATTGAACACCCCCCCCCCCCCGTCTGTTTGTTTTCCGAGGATTTTGGGGCTGGGTTTAAACAATGAGGGGTTGCAATACGTGTTCTGGGGGCGTCTGGATCGCAAGCGTTAAAGGCTGCCTCTCAAGATCGAGCCTTGCGGGCCCCCCGGGCCCCAGGCAGCGAATTTATTGTTGCCACCCCCTTTGTCATCTCAGGGGCTCGTAAGGGGTACGGTTCCCTTTCCAGATTTGTTTTCAGATCTCGTAGGTCAGGATTTAAGTGAAGAAGCTGCTGGTTTGAGATCTCTGGCAGTTTGCAAAAAGCTCCAGGCACGTGAAGTTTTGCTTTGATCCCTAAAGGTCGCAGCAACCGGGTTCTCGGTTCTAACAGTTGCTACTTCTGGGGCAGCTTCGGCGTTGTTTTGCAGTAAGTCTTTGACGAGGAGTTCAACTTCAAGGCGACATCTCAGCCGAGTTTCATGGTTGTCACCCAAAAGCTTAGGGAATTGCCGCCGAAACCTTCTGCTCATTGAAAACGGTCTTGGACCGGGATCCCCGGCTTGCCGAATGTAAGTATTGTGACTCCGCATAAATGAAAATGATCATAAAAGGTGATCCGCGATCCGTGGCCTAGTTTAAGTACCACGACGTTCCATGTTCCAATTTTCCATCAATACACCTGATCAGCCCGCAGATCAGCCCCGCGTGTTGTCTTGACAAAGCAAAGCCAACAGAAGCTGACAGGTACCTCACATGCCATACAACAAGTTGGCCTCTCACCGTGCCGTGGTGTGCATGCCTTACGACACCAGCATCTTCCTGTTCAACGAGTTCTACTCGGCCAACATGCCTGTGTTCGTACCCGGGGACCTGTGGCGGTGGCTGATAGGCCCAGTCACCTCACCGATGATGGAGTACCGCCACTGGACGGCTGAAGAGGCCACCGAGGGCGTTGGGCCGGTTCCCACCAGCTCGCCCTTCTACGCCTCTGTCCACCAACCCATGGGTGTGGAGCAAGCGCTGGAATGGTCAATGTACAGCGATTGGGCGATGCTGCCGCACGTGCTCTACTTCGAAGGGATACCGGACTTGTTCCTGAAGCTGATGGACACGACATCCCTGCACCAGACCTCAATCAGGATGAAGGTTTTCAACGACGAGGAGTTGATTTTGGCAGTGGAGAACTGGAAGAAGCTGGTCCGCAGGCCCCAGGGCCCCAGGGCTAACAAACCTTCACCGTACTGCACTGCACTCAAGAAGACACATGAAGCCCAGACACGTAGAGACCCCTGCAGGCTGATTTACGCTGTGGGCGATGCCACCTGATAGCCACGGAGTGAGCATCTTGCCAAGAACTGCAGCTGGCGCTCCAAGAGTGAGGAGCCGAGAAGGACGGAAGGGTCGATCATGGTCGATGCTGTTCGAGATGCTGCTCTGGTGCTGTCGGGGCCGATGCTCTGGCATTTGGGGGCATCTCAGTGGCCAGTGCAAGCATGGCGCTTGGCTGCCTCCACGAGGAAAGAGTTTGAACCATCTAATCATTTTGCTGTACATAAACCCAAAGCCGGATCGCTCGCCTCTGCGGTCTGCGCATAAGCTGAGCCAGGTTGCAGCTGAGACGAAACAAGGTCAAATGTGTGGTCTCTTCATGCTTCCTCAAATTGAGGCATGTTCTACGGTGCCGCCGGCATGCGCTCGACGCAGTCGCAATTCTTCGACTTGAAATCCTGACAGTCACCATACACCCGTTCCAAGATGTGGGATTTCTCAATGAAGTCCTTTCCAGGGCCAAGTAGGCCGCAGCAGCTGTACCCTCAACTCAGATGAGTAGAAGCACGTGCCTGTCACATGTGCAAAACAAGAAAGTAAGTAGAGCAAGTTCAAGCTTTGACGTCGCAGTCCTCGTGCCAAGTCTTTCGCGGATGGACCGCTTGCTGCCATAAGCAATGGTGCGAGGACCCAGCTTTTGAGGCACCAGAGTGGTTCCAAGGCATGGGGTATTTGGGCAAGCAGTAGGATTCAGTAGGATGCACACTTTTTGCCAGTCAACAATTCTTTCTGTAAATGTCCGCGGCACCAAAGTTGCACAGCGGCGTCTAAGTGTCACCGAGCCGATCTTACATGAGGCCAGCTCCGGCTACCGAGAAGGCAGGGCAACGGCCCCAAGCATCGAGTGTGTGAACCTCAGACTTCTTATGCAACGACTCGTAGCGCAGAGAGGACCCTGGCCGACTCTTCTCGTTTCTTAGGCGCTGGCGGCCAAGGCGGCCAGGGCCAAGGCGAGGAGTTCCAGGACATCGTGGACTCGCCATATGGCGCCGTGCACGCCGAGCCGGGCAGCCCAGGGAAGACATCCCACTAAAGAACCATCTCAGGCTGTGTCTCCGACAGTTTGCGGACTTCCGTGCACCAACAGAGTTCCCGCATGTGACTTTTTTCCCGCGCCTATTCCTCTGGCTTCGGTTACGGTTACAACGGTTTAGTGCGAAAGTCCGACACTACAGCCACTCACAGCGAATTCGACTAGAGCGCCCACGTTGAGTTGATCCTCTCGGCCTGTGCCGAAGGGGGGCATTGTTAACGTTAGCTGGACACTGCGTACAGTTGTCCGAAGATGATGCGAAGCTTACTTAATATGCTTACTAAGTAAGCCTTGCTAACCAACTAACAGACTTCGCTCAACGCTGCTGGCTTTAGGACCCCCAAGGCATCTAACCATGTGCACACTTCTAGCCTTGTCAGCGTCTGTTCTTTGGAATGGTTTCGAAAGCGTCACACTTCCCTAGCGCATCCGTGTAAAGTCGTACGGAGGGCACCCTGCGGGGCAAATATCAAGAATGGTCGATGTCACTCTGCGTCCTTAATCGAATCCGTGGATCGTTGAAAGCAAGATTAAGTTAGATTCGGGTTGAGCGGCGCAGCACACTAGGTGCAACCGCTGCACTCCTGCAGCACTGCTTCTGGTTCCCCTTGGTCCTACTTCCTGTGCATTTGAAGTCTTTCAGGATGATCAGCGGCGAGGGTGAGGACGGGGATGTCGAGTGCAAGGGTGCGTAGAGCACCAGAGAGAGGAGGAAGGAGGGAGAGAATACTTGGATTTTGCAGGACGAGGAATTCACCATAACTGGCGACCCGAGCAATGCTGCAGATACAGCCTTCGACAGCCAGGCCTTCATGTTGGGCCTAATGGATGGAAGCAGAGAGGGTAGCCACACAGGAAGCCAAATGGGAAGCCTTTGTGGAGTCCATTGAGTCAATGGGGCAGTAGTGGGTGATTGATTTGTCTGGGAATTGCAATCCTTCACCCGCGGGGTCACCCCAAGTCGGGCCCGAACGTGCCCTCGCAAGGTGGAGGCTCTCCAGGATGCCGTCCTGGATGACTCCTTCCAGGAGCGACGGGGCGACCTCTTTCAGGTCTTTATGACAAACGAAGTCGCAGCCTCCGGGGCCTGGGACTCCAGTTTGTCCAATGCCCTCCCGTCGTCAAGGCTTCAAAATTAAACAGGGTTTAGGGAATGCGGAACAGGAGCCACATTGAGCCATCCCATGCCTGCGATTCACTTGATGTACGACCCTCCGACATGTTTGCAAAATCGAAGTCATCTTCACAACCGGAGGAGATGCTGAATGCGTTCTGCAGAGAGCACTGCCATCACTTCGAGGCCAGAACCTGGGGCCCTGCGAACGCTTCCAAGACGATCCTCTTGTGAAGTGTGCAGGACACTGAGGAAAACAAGCTTGTCTACACGCAGCTTTTCAATCAGTATTCGGATGCTCGGCAGATCTTAGCGTCACGCTGAGCCGTGAGCCCAAGTATGCAATCTGGAGTAGTCCCAGATGCCACCTTAGCCAAGGAGCTCATTGAAGGGCACCTGGAACGGCAAATGGTAAATGCCATCCCCGGGTGCGACTCCAAGACAGCCTGTGCAGCCTGTGCAGCCTGTGCATGCAAGAAGCAGCAAAGGAAGTACACTCTTTCCGTTCTCAGCCAGCCTGCCCACTCCATGTTGCATTCATCCGTCAGCTTCTCCATGGCCTCGTTCCTCGAAGAGCTTTCTCAGAGAGGCCCGATGCACCTTTTGTAGCAGTGAAGGGTGCATTGAGCGTTCGGCCAAGTGTGTGGATTCCAGGCCTGCCGCACTGAAGCTCTCATGTAGTGCATCTTTGATCTCAACCTTCCGTATTGTGGCAATCACTTCGGTCATGTTCGGAACAGGGTAGACATGACCGATTAGGACAACATCAGCAACATATAGCGATAGTTTTGAATTGATCCGGCGTTGCCAGGTGAGGATGAGATCGCCCCTTGGCAGCCCTGGGCGCTACGTCAGCATGCGTTGACCACATCAGCAGGGCACGCTTGCTTCTACCGCAGCCAGGGAACATGAGATTCTACAAGCTGAGGACGCTGCAGTTCTCGAGCTGCTGATCTCTTTGACAGACTTCATGTCCTTCAAACAGCAGATGCTCATGGTGAAGGCTTCCTTCACTGTTTGACTGGAGCTCTTGCAGACTCCTGCACCTTAGTGCAATCCTCGCATGGGCTGAGCAGCTAAGCGGCTAGGCAGGCGATGCCGGACTATCCTTGGCCGGGACTGCTTCGCTAATCCATGCGGACGAAGACGAGGAAGGCGCCCCTGAGAAAGAGCACGTCAGACAAAACTCGGCCGAAATTGCGAAAGGAACCGCACACGCAACCTAGGATGAGGATGTAGGGTATGTGTCGGCTTTTGTGCACAAGTAAACAAGTTTGTGCCTTTCTGACAGGCGAAGCAAGGCCGGACCTTGATGGCCTCCTGACCGTCTCCCCGGCCTCACCTAGCTCGACACTCAGAGAAGACACCTGAGCTGTCGGCTTTGAACCAGGTATTTCAGATAAGCTAGCAGCGATGCTACAACGGCGCAGCGATCTAGATATACCTGTGCGACATGAGGCCAACGTGCCCACGGCTGAGAATTCGGTTCCTGCGACGCCTGATGGCCTGAGGAAAAGTCGCGAATAAGTGGATGTTTGCTCTGCGTGCGTCACTCATGAGCCTTCTGCAGCTTTCGATATCACTAGCTTCACCAGTATGTATGGGATGTCTAGGCGTGAAGTTGTTCTAGACTCAAAACACCTAGCCTAGACTAGAGAGCGAAGACAAAGACCCGACGAGAAGTCTGTCAATGCTCGATGTGTTGCGCATGAGCAAACAGCGCACCACCCTTGGATTGCCCTAGCTAACTGGCAGCTGCCGCATGTATCGTCCACTTTGGCCACTCATGGGAGGCTTGGTGACACATTTTGCGCTTCTTGGAACCCTTCCGCTCAGCTCCCTTGCGCAGCCAAGCAGCGCGGACCCCTGGGATTCTCCCGGGCTTGCAAGCGCTGCGCAAGTCCCAGCAAGCCCAGTGCATGCGGCAACCACATCCACTTCGGCCTTAGTCATTGGAGGCATTGAGTTTTCGAGGGAAGATGACATCGAGAACATGGAGAAGCTCTCCAACCTGTTCGGACAGGTTTTTTACACTCATGTACTGTCGCCCGGGGATGCTGCTGCAGAACAAGCATGGCAAGCCTTGTCCTCCGACATTTGGACGCTCGTGCAGCATGCAATGCAGAACCCTGCAATGGCCCTTTCGGTGGCAATGTGCTTGTACAACTATTTCTGGTGGGAAGGGCCGCACAACACTGAACCAAATGCCGTTGCCGGCTATCACGCTGCAGAGCTTATGTACCTAGCCGTGAGGCACGCACGCTGTCACGAACCCACCTTGAGCACGATGGATTTCTACGTCCTTCAGTGTCACCTGCGCTGGCGCTACCTGTTGATGCTTGCCGGCGAAACGGGCCGCTACCTGGTCCTTCAGTCCAGGAGCCTCCGGCATGGGAGCCAGATGCTGTCACAGGCACGGTCTTGGTTTCGTGAGATGCGAAAGCAACCGAACGCGGAGCTGCTTTATGGCTTGAGCACCCATGAGGTCAATTTCAATATGGACTATTACCCTGCAGCGACAATGAGGTTTGGGCCCGTGTGGCATGACCCCGTGAAGGTCCTGCCCGTCGCTAGCGTCCTAGAAGCAAACTATGCAATCATCCGGTCGGAACTGGAGGGCATCTTGAGGACGGGTACGTTTGAGAATTTCGACCAGCAGACCCGGAATGCTGAGACACAATTTGGTCCCAGAGGGGATGACTGGTTGACGGCGTACCTTTTCAGAAAGGGCGAGCCCATCAAAGAGGTCTGCGCACAAGCGCCACGCACTTGCCAGATCCTTCAGCAGCGGCCGGAGATAGGCAACTGCAAGATGGGCGGGTCTGGGGCAGGGTTTTTGCGAATGAGACCTGGAGGAAGACTGAAGCCGCACTTTGGCAACGCGCCCCGGCTGAGTGTGCATCTGGGCCTGATCGTACCTGATGGTGAGATTTCAATGTACGTTGGATATGAGGAGATGAAGTGGGAGGAGGGAAAAGTCATAGCATTTGATGACACGTTTATCCACCAGGTCCTTCACAATGGTGTCGAACCCAGATATGTCATGAACTTGTGGATGTGCCATCCCTGCGACCCTTATGATGGCAAGCTCCCCGGGGAGCAGGTGCCCGAGTACTGCCACGGAGGGCTGGGGGCCATGCAGCGCTTAGGCTTGCAGCCGCTCCCACCAAAATTCTGAGACCAAAGCGTCACCCTGATTCCCGTCGTACACTACGTTAGACTACGTTCTTAGGACGGCTCCTGTTTCAATTTTGGCACTTTGTAGAGTGCGGAGGGGCACCGGTGATCCCGGCGGCATTGCCGGAGCTGCGGTGCTCCCAAATGTTCCCAACTGTTTGTCAGGTTATGGTATGTTATGGTAACCATGGTAGGCTTGTGACTCAGGCTTCCAGCCGTTGAGGACGTTGAGGTGATCATGGTGATCCATCTTCGCCCTCGGATTGCAGGGGCTCACAGACGAAATCGAATCACAGGCTGTGGCACATTGGCATCACGCTGCCCATTCACAGTTTGAATGATGCTTAGGATCACCTTCCCCCCCTCCCCCCCCACCCCTCCCCCCAAGAAAAAAGAAGAAGAAAGCAAGAACATCAAATGACACCCCAAAGCCTCCGGGACCAGCAAGGGTAGCGGCGAGGGTGGCGGCAGCAGTCTTCTCCTCATTGCTGCTGTTTTTCGTCTTCTCTTCTCTCTGTTCTGCTTCTCCTCTTCTCTCCTCTTCTCCTCTTCTCCTCTTCTTCTCTCCTTCTCATCTCCTCGCCTCCTCCTCTTCTGCTCCTCGTCTTCTCCTCTCTTCCTCTCTTCCCTTTGTCAACAAGCGAGTGTAAGCTGGGTTAATTAAGTAGTTGGAGCCTTGCAGTTCAGCAGCAAATTAAGACATGTTTTTTTGCTCATGAGATCCTCAGGTTAAGAGGTTTGTTTCTTCATGTCGGCTTGGAGTATGAGGTACGCAAGGCAAGAGACTATCCCATCAAGGATGTCATACTGCCACACTCCGTACATCGATATGGCTCAAGGCACCACGCCGCAGGATGCCATGAGGTGCACACAACGCTTCTGTGCAACCCGTCAGACACCGCTTACGTCTCCCTAAGTCGCCGCATATCATTCGCATCCCCTCCAAAGACCCCAAGGATCCCAATCCCAACACCAGCAAGTGGCCCTCTAGGGCACCCCCGGGCGCCGCTTGATTGCTACATATTGCTACATGTCTCATTGTCATGATATTTACATGGCTAAGGATATCTGCACGGACCAAGACCATCAACTAGCCAAGGTGATGGATGGGAACACGCCTTATGACGACCTTACGAGAGAGCATCTTGGATCGTACTTTGTAGCACTCATGTGCTGTCGGGCTCCAAGCAGGTCATGTCAATGTGAGCCTTACGGAGTTCTCTTCTCGATTCGAGCGACTAGCCATGAAAACGTGCCGGAAGCAGTCTGCAAGTGTCTCCAATAACTATCAGCAGAAGTTCACTGAATAGCTGCCGCTGAAGACTCGAATCCAAAGCATGACAGCCTTGCTAACATTGTGTTGGAGCAGACTGTCAGGCACGTTCAGAAGATGGCAAGATGGGTCGTCATGCTTCGAGGCGTGCTGCGTGGGATGCTGCGTAGCCTGCTGCAAGTGCTCAAGTCGTTAGAGGCAAGCTGGGTAGGATGTCTGCCTGGAAGGTGATGACGAGCGTGCAGGGTGTGCAGAGTCAAAGGCGCTGTGAAGCTGCTGTGTGCAGTGCAGTTCATATGCAGCCAACATAGCAAACATTGACAAGCATAGCAGTGCTGCAGGCGCAGGACCTGCTTCATCCTCAGATTCTGTGTCCGTGGCAAGTCATCAAGTAGCCGCAGCATCCTTGCTCTCAGGGTGCATGAAGTCATCGCAAAGAAGTTCGTGGAGAGCTTTGATCCAACAAGTCAGGGTCCTAAGTTGTGAGCATTGCTCGTATTGTGCTGAAGCCACAGAACTCCAATCAAACAGGAGCCAATGATGGCAGCCGCCGCACATGGCGCTGGCCTGAGATGCATCGTACAAGTCGCCTAGCAGGGCTCACGCATTCCTGATCTTGGCAGGCAGCAAGGCTTCATAAATGTTCGCCAATACAGAGATGCCATATACCGGCTCGCCAAAGAGCCCAAAGGCTCGGTTATTTGTTGCTGGTCGCGAGAATCCTAAAACACAATCAGCTGCTCGAGGCAGGCAGTCAGCTTGGATCCAGCAAGTCTTGCGCGAGATCGCGAATGACGAGGCTCACGGCATGCTGCTACTTGCACAAGCCTCTACTCTGCAGAAAAACTTTGTGAGGCATTCCAGCAAGAGCTCCTCGAACATGAAGCCACCTCGGATAGCTTTGCAGCGCCTTCACCCGAGTGGTCCTGGTGGCCTTCCGCCTCACCTTTGGTTCGCCTTTCATTACAAGTCCGAGGTTCACGGAAAAGATGGATGTTCTCCTGACCAATTATCTCAACGCAGCAAAGGCCCAAGTGGACGTCAGGCAGGTCACAGAACAACACCCCTCACCATTCAGTCAGAGACAGAGCTACCCTATGCACTGAAGCTGCAGTCAAAAAACTCTTGCATCATGATTGTTCTGGACGGATGTTTCAATGATGTGGTGGCAGGGAGAGTGAGCAGAATTTCTGCAAGCACGCGGCCTACAAGCAGCATACGTATCTGCTGGTGCCTGAGCTTTCACTCGTGCAGACACGTGCAGATTGCGCACTGTGCCTTACACGCTGTCTTGCAAGGCATGTGCATGAGGGATGCAGATCCGCCTGAGGTATGCGCAGGCAATGCTTTGGCAACTGCGAGGACTGGACAAGCCCCCCACGGGCTCGCTTTGCCAAGTTGGCTTTCCCCTTCTGCCAGGCAAATGCCCGCGTCAACACCAAGCACTACTTGCACTGAGTCAGGCATGAAATGGCGTGACATGGCATGAAACATGCCGACGATGCACGAAGACTCGCGTTTTGGAGGCATTGACATCTTGCGGTCTACAACGATTTCCCTCTCATGTACGGGGCTGAATGCACCATTCTGCACCCTACCATTGGGCTCGGTATGTCCCATCCAGGTCTCTCGTTTCGACCTAAGTCTCAGTGGGGCGTGGGCCTCGCCAATTTTGAGCGAGTACTCTCCAACGTGCGCAAGAATATTTCGGCGCAAAGTAGCTGAGGAAGAAGACGCCAAAGATCTTGTTGGCATTCTCCTGTCAGTGTGCACGCCTTACTACGTCCACGTTTCTTTATGTCATTTTATGTCGCACCTCATCTTGTTGTGTGTGCGTTCGTGTAGTGTGTCAAGAAGGTCTCGGCGAAGCGGCAATGACCTCGCGGCCGAGGATGCTGACTCAGTTTGACTTAAGGATCACCAGGTTCAGGTACGGTATAATTATCCATACAGTCCATACATGAAGTCGATGCCTTCCCAAGGCTGTCAAAATATGCCGTGTGTTGGAGGGCCTCTTCGGATTTCAGGCCAGCGGCTGCCCGCCACACTTGACGTGTCTGCTGCTGCGAGAAATTGCAGGACACTCGTACCCTCGTATCTCCGAGCCTACAAGAGGACCGCTCGCCAAGCACTGAGGCTCAAACGGGTTTTCTGCAACTGTCCGGCGACTAGAGCAGGGCACTGCACTGGCTCTGGATTGGGCTCTGATGGATCCTGGGGTTCAGGAGCAATTTACAGTTGCGATCTTAGGCTGAGCCTTGTCAGGTTGTGTTAGGTAAAGATTTAGGGATTTAGGGCAGTTTTGGACATGCAAGAGGTCCTCCCCTCCAGAAGCCGCGGTTGCAGGTGGCATCTGACGCTGCTGAATGGGGCGAACGAGTCGGTTGCTCGGCCTTTGGCGGTGCGACATCTCCTCTTCGACTCGTCGATCTCTCCTTCACCCGTTTTAAGAATATTTCGGAGTGTCGTGCAAAGGTGTGCCCGGATCCTGTGGAATCGAGCCATCAGATGGCAGCTGGTTAGCATTGGCACTTGGGATCTCAGATGACCCTAACGATCTCTCACACGCATTCCAGTACGATGTGAGAGCCTTCAGGGTGGGGGCTCCCCGGCCGCATCATCTATCCGATACAATGCCACTGCCTGGACTGCCTCGTTCCAGGCCCCCTGTCAGCGTGCTTGATTAAGCACGCGTGGGAACCGTTTCTTTTGCTGACTTTTTGTTTCGTAGCTGGAAACCTTTGATTTCTAGGCGCCCTCGTCAGTCTGCCATGAGAACGAGGCCAGGTTGATACGGATTTTCCATGTGTGCTGCTTCTCCCAAGACTGCAGCACGGTGCCTGAGGGTGATGTTGAGGAAGACAAAAACAGCTCTGGACATAGCTGGTGCACTCTCGGGCAAGATGCACAAAAGTCCAATCGTCACATGACAGTTTGAGGTCAGCGCCTGGATCCAACCAGAGGTTTCCAGGGGTTCAAGCGTGACAAATTGTGTCCATGCGATGAGCCATGTTCAAACAGGAAAAAAAGGAGTCCAGTGGCAGCTACGCAGTGAGAGGCTCAGCTGTTTTTCAAATTAGATCGTTTTTCTAGGTGTTGCTTTCCATGAGATCCGTTGGTCCAAGCTTCGAGGCCCGCAGATCTTCAACAAGCTGCTGGTACAGTTTGCCTCTTTCCTACTGTTCCTTGGGATCATCGCAGCGCGAGCAAGTTTGCAAGCTTCGCTGTCGAGGTTGACCCTGAAAACAAGTTCCGGGCAGCCGAACAACGGCCATATGTGCTACAGCTGCAAGTGCTGGCGTAGTTGCATTGTATGTCGCTCTGGATAAAGCAAGGATAATAGTAGCGTTGTGCGCTACTGTCGTGCAAGCCGTAAGCATTGAGCAGACGAGATCTTGTATCGAGGCCAAGCTACTGGCAATCGTGTGCCACGATGGCCAGCTGCTCAGCGTCCAATGCCGATCAGGTTCTGTGAGTTTCTGTTCTCTTTGTGACTCAGTGAGGCCTTGCCTCGCATGATGAGACAATGCGTCAGTCGGCTTTCGAGGAAAGCGCAGCATGAGACCATTCCACGGGCTCTGCACGCCACCTGCAGGAAGTCCAGGAGACAGCCTCTGAACTGTGTGCCGTCTACGAAGACTGCCACTCAGAAATCAGGTCGCCTGTTCAATATGATGTCTCCGCTATTTTGTTGCATTCGGCCATTGCCGAACTGCCCCGCACGCTTTGTTCCTTTTTGGGAAGCTGTCCAGCTCGTCCAAGTGCATTGAGGTCACACACAGTGACAGGGCATTTGTCGTTCAGGTGAAAGACCTGGCCGCGGTCCAAGACGATGTCTAAGCAATGCCCGCCCCCCACCATGGCTCGTGGTCTGAGACCCAACGTGTCCCACAATCATCTCCGCTGGGTTGTGCTGCGAGCCTGTGCACGAGCCTTACAGGGCATCTTATCTCAGAACAATCTCTGAGCATTCTGAGCATTCTGAGCATTTCTCTGAGCATCTGTGAGGTTGGCTGAAGCACCACGGAATGGGCCCGCGGGTGCCTGGACGTGAGCGGTTGCGTCGCATCTCCCAGCCGGCAGCCCAGAGAAAAACCGAAACCACTGCAGCAACGCTTGCTGGGGGCGGAGTATACTGTAGAGATCTGTCTGAGCATACTGTAGCATAGCACAGCGATGAGACATGAGCCGAGGCCGGTGGTGGCTCACTTTCTCTTGAAGGCGTGCCAGGCAAGGCGGCCCAAAGTCCGATTTTCGGGCTTCGATGCGGCTTCGCCAAGCTTAGCCAAGCTTCTGAGAGCTTCTGTTGTCCAAGGTGCACGACCAACAGTTCATGAGGATTCTGAATGTCGCCGAGTACATGCTGGAGCAGCTCGAATCCGCAGACTCCGAGGAATCCAAGGGCGTGTACACAGAAACAACATGTTAAGCCTCGGGGCAACGGACAGGGGCTCTTGCTGTGAAATGCTTTGTTTCTGCACAGGAGGAAGAAGATGAGGTGATGCCTTGGTTGCCAGGTGCCCTCGCGTCGTCTCGTTGAGTCCCGGGCTTCCTGTTTCTTGTGAGGGCGAGACCAGCATACCGGTACGACTCGGCCTGATGCCCCGGCTCGAACCTTATGTTTGAATATGTTTGTAACAACGTATATGCATAACAGCCACCAGCTACCAGGACATCAAACGGAAGTGTTTCCACTACGTCCTGGAACTTTTTGTGCCTGAGCTTCAGACGCCCCGGGTGCAGAGAACGGTGCGGTGCAGTGCCTTGTTCCCTGCTTAGAGTGCCTTTAGCATGTTCTGTAGTGTTCTAAGGCACCTTGCCAGGGAGAGCTCCTGCGTGCCCGAGGCCTTGCGCTCAGGCCATGCAGAAAGAAGGAATACTGAAGTACTTAAATCCAACGAAGAATTGCAAGGAAACGGGAGGCTTCTCTGCATCTCGCTGCTGTCACCCAGGTCGCACGCGTCCTCGCCAGGAGATGCTCCAGCACTGGCCCGGGCACTCGCGCTCCCTATGCTTCAATACATCCATCTGCATCACGTATCTTCAGCCTATCAGGTTGGAGCTCCGGACAGCTGCAGAGCTTCTTGCAAAACATCTTCCGTTCCTGTGGACAATGTGACTACACTCCGACAGCATCCCAGTCTGAGGATGAGCCACAGTTATGCTGAGTTATACTTCTGGCAACAGTTGGTGGCGCAGCTGAACACCACAAATTCAACACTGAGGGCCTTCGGTGTTGCAGTTATGCGGTTGCTGGCATCAGACACTGTTGGTGGGGTCTGTCCGACTCTCAGAGGGCCACCGCCGTTGTTGGAGTGGGCCCCCCCACCCACGCCGCCCGCCCCACCCGCGCCACCTTTAGATGAAGTCTTTGTACCTGTGCCATCTCATATTAAATTTCGGAGACTTTAAGTCTTCAAGCTTTAAGGCCTCATCAACTGGAAACGACGCGCTCATTCACGTTTCCTACTTCTCTGTTGCTTGTCGTGCGGGGAATCGCAAAGCTTGCCTAACATCTTGCGTGTAGCAAGGAAGGTGCAGAACAAGAAAGCAAGAGAGAGCTGCGTCGGCCGAAAGCAGCAGCCCATGGCATTGTTCCTGCGGCTGTGCAAACCTGAAGCGCATGAACTCTCAAGCCAAGCTCGAGCCAACGAAGGGCTCCTCGAGGCTCCCATCCGTCCAGCGGGTCGAAGGGATAACGCAGAGACCGAAGGTCCAGGCTTGTCTGTCAGCCTGATTCATCTGATGCTGTCAAGAAAAAGAGAGGCAGAAGGGAGAATGAACAAGACAGCCATGGGCGAGCCAATGTTGCCTTTCGGGGACTGGGTCGTCACGTCCAGGTAGGTGTTTGAGAAGCTTAGGCGCAGCCACGGAGGATCAACGCCGGGGCCTTGGCTGTTGGATCAACCTTCCGGCAGTGATGCCTATTACATGCGCTTGCAATCGATCTAATCAGAGCAACAAAGCATGTGCTGCATCTTGGGCGGCTGGCACTTACAAAGCCCGTTGAAAGATGTTGCAGGCAAATTGGCTATCGACTTCTTGAAGAAGGTGGGCCTCTCTTGCCAGGAGCTCGCCCCTGCACCATCCGAAAAACGCGATTTCGCGAACCTTCAGCAGTTTGCAGGATGACCCCGGGTTGAAGACGCACTTCGAGCAGGCTGCGCGAGTGTGACACGCTGTCGTGACTGCAGTGCATCCGGGGTCTCAGTCACCTGCTTGGTCAGGCCAGGGAGAAAGTAAAGCCCTTTCTCAAAAAGGTGCGGAGCTCTGGTGCCTTAAGTTTCTGCTCGCAACTCCCGCATTCTCAAGGCCACGGACTCCCCAAGAGACGGGGGCCACGGGAGCAAGGCTCGGGTCTCCTCGGTTGAGAGTTGTAGTGGAGCTTCCGTCGGTCTTTGGTTTAAGACTCCCGTCTTTTCATATGTCAGGTGGCGGGCCAGCCGCGCCCCAAGTGCGTCCGCTTTCTTTCCCTTGAGCCCACATGACACAACAAATTGGACGGCTTCAGTATTTATGCAACATATGTTGGACCCCTGCCAGCCAAGTGGGAGACCAGTCATCTTGTACTTATTATGCCAGAATCCCCCACACATACGAACAGATGCTGTACCCACCCCTCCAAAAACCACAAATTATGCCGAGCCCCCCCGCCGCCCCCCCTCGCCCCCCCCCCCCCCGGCCCCCCCCCCCCCCGCCCCCTGGCGATAGGCAGAGGAGGTGGCGATACATTCTCTACAAATAGCCAGTTAAATTCCGTTGAACTGGGCACTTCCTTGAGAATTGAGAGCTGAGAGCTTCCACATGCACGAGATGTGGTGAAGCAACCAAGGACTGTTGGCCTGAAAAGAGAAGGCCGCTGGTCAATCATGGGCAGAGCCTCCGAAAGTCCTCACTTTGTTCATCGATGCCGAGGTTATTTCGAGGACCAGCAGACCAAGAAGGCCATTGGATCCAATGTTCCACCTGGTTTCGTAGGGGCCCCCCTGAATAAAGTCAGATTGGCTGGGCTATTCAGGACACCCCGACTGTTTGGGGGGTGCAGATTGGGATCCGCAATTAAGACAAATCGTCCGGGCATCGTAAGAAAATCCCGGCCAGTGTGCCTTTAAAATCAATTGCCGTGCATCGCTGTCCCTTCTGTCCTTGTCTAAACTCCTCCCTATTAAAAGTAAGAAAATCATAGTAAACCCGTTGGCCGTATGACCAGGGCGAAAACCAGCTTCGACTGCTTGGGGGGGGGGGCACACACTAAAGCAGGTGGAACATTACTGTGGCGGTGGCAACAGTGCATGTGCAGAAAGCTTGGGCCACGCAGGTGAAACCATCTCCAAGGCCATCATCAAGCCAACCTGCACCGTCACCGGTGCCGTCACCGGTGCCGTCTCCTGCGCCAACGCAACCGGACACTAGCCAGGCCGCCAGGGTGGAATTGGAATATGTAAAAGGCAGCAAAAGAAGATGGAAACGGAAAGGTTCTCTGCCTGCCAGGACGACTTGCCCCCGCAACTTCAGGCTTGGATGCCTACGGCACTTATTTTGGCAGCTTCTTCGGTCGGCATAGAGACGTGTGAAGCACTCTGTGTCAACTGCGAGGCGCTGCAGGGCCGGTGGAAGCGGGAGATTGACAACATGACGGTCCGAGTCAAGGGAAGCATCGCCTCGTTTGGAAATGGGCAGCAGATGCCGCTCCTTGCGAGGCGAGGTTCCCTCTCCAAGGTTTTTGCTTTTGAAGCACTCTGGTCGCCCACCGGAGTCCCCCTTGGGCGCAGGCCAGACATGAAAGTGCTGCTGGGCGGCAAGTGGACCGCGACGCATCGGCCTCGGCAAAAATGACTCATGACACCAGCACAAGGTTTCGAACGATGAGGAAGAATCTCCTTTGCACTGGCTCAGGGTCACCAGCCAACAACCACAGAGGTCCGGCAAAGCTTGGGTAGGGAAAACACTTCTTGTGCATGTTCTCTGGCAAGACTGCGCAATGTCAGTGCTGCGGAGGATCACATGGAGTGGAGAACAGAATGGCCAGGTGCTGAGTGCTGACTGAGCCTACACATCCGAGGCTTGAAGTGTCTGTCTTCGATCTTACTCCGACAGATGTGAGTATCTACATCACCCGTGCATGCCTCACAGGTTATGTTCGCCTTATCAACTGGTCCTTCCTAGGTGTCTGGCTTAGAGTGACGTCTTGAGTCCTGTGACCACCAAACTTCAACCAGAAGTCAGGGGCAGGCAGGAAACTTGGTCTGCTGAGCAGGCGCTGGCAGTGGTTTCAAGCTCCACGGCGATGCGTCTTAGCTTGGGTTTGGCCATACTTGGCCAGTCCCTGTCCAGGCCGGACACGGCAGTTTTGCTCTCAATGTTTCGTTTCAACCTGACCGTCCTTGTCGCAGAACTGAAACGAGTAGACGCATGCGCGAAATTGTCTGCAGCAGGCAGTTTGCCAGTCCTGGTGTCGTGTCTTCGCGGTGTCAGAGCGTTTGGCATGGGGTTTGATCTGGTGCGATGCTGATCCGTAAGCAGTGGACGGGTGCTGATGTGCACAGCGTGGATTTCAACCACCTGTGCCCAAGCAATCCGACAAGGACCTGCGTGTCAGTTGTAAAATGTTTTAGCTTGAAGCACGTATGCTCAACACCAGCTACGCGCAGATCAGTGATTTCCTTGCTGTGTATGCAGCTGAAGCAGTGCGCATCTGACAGGCATTCATTCGTTCTGGAGCCAAGTCTTCGACATAGGCTGGGGCAGTTTCAGGTGTGCTGGGCCACTTGCAGTCTTGCCGCACCGGCAGGCAGCAACAACTTGATCATCGCATCCATGGCCTTCAATGATGAGCCATCCCCAGTGCTTTGTGCCCGTGACTGAACGAGATATTGAGGAGTAAATGCATGCCGCCTCCAGGCATGCAAGCTGCGCTTGCACTTCAACAGCAGCTCGTCGAGGTCCAGGCCAGAAAGATCCGTTTCCAAGTCATCATTCGAAGCTTAGTATCCAATCTTGGTTTCTTATTCTTATTCTTACCATTTCTGACACTCGCGAGTCGCAATTCCTTATATCACTCTTCGTCTTGTTGTCCTTCCTTGGTTTGGTATGTTTCACCCTCTATTTTTGCATCTCACTCATCGACGGTTGGACTCTTGGTCATCTTTGGTTTTGGGGTGTCTTGAGCTTGGGGTTTGATGTTTTGAGTTCCATCTTGACAGCCGCCTGTTTAACTCATCCTTGAAGACCTTCTAGGAGTTTGCCGTTGATTCATGGTCCTTTCGATTTCGACGTCTTGTACTCTTCCATGATTGGATTTCTGAAAACAAACTGTATGGTCCTGATGCTAGCTGCTGGATGTCTGGCTGCTTGCACCTTCGCCCTCCGAATTCGACAAAGCTGCTAGGATTCCATGACGTTTATGTCGCGCGGCTACGGAGACTTCGGTCCAATGGTTATGAACATGCAGCACACCACCTCTTTGCTGTCGCAGGCTCCGTCCCGGGCCGACATGTCCTCGGTGGCAGAAGATCCGCGAAGTGACGGCTGTGATCTACTGTGATCTTTGTGCTTCTGGTGGAACTTCTTCTTGCTCCTGGTGGAACTTTGATCTTAGATCGGCTCCCGGCTCCCGAGCTAAGCCGAGCCTGTTCAGTCTCGGGGAACCAGCGCATGCTCCATGGCAGCGCGGGGACAGGGCAGCTTCCGAGTTAAGCCCAGGTTTCGTTTTTTGTACGAGGCGGCAACCTGCTTGCCAAGTAGTTGCAAACTCCATGGCGGTGAGAAGCCTTTGGCGGACCAGCAGATTACGCATTGTTTCACAGACTTGACAGCCCGAAATGGGGAGAAGCTCCATGCACAGTTCATGGGTCTGAACCCAAAAAAGAGCAGCAAACGGTTCACATCCCCGAGCCACGCCTCACCACGCCTCACCCCCGGTGCATTTGCCGAAACTACAAACTGTTGCAAACTTGCAAATCTTTAGTCTGGAATGATTGCTCGTGCTGGCTCAGTTTTCAGCTTGACAAGACATGTCTTTCGATTTAGCCAAGCAGTTGATGTGATGGCAAACCCCACTGTTGATGATCTTCCCAGCAAACCGAGCAACCGCAATGCGGTAGTTTACCTTCTTTGAGCTCTGAACAGGAATGACAATTGCGGAGCTGCCCGCCCCTTTGACCAAGGGCAAGCGATGGGCAAAGCATGCTGCGGAGCGAGAGCAGCAGATACAAAGCGAAGCTATGGCCATCAAAGTGCTGCTTCCTTAGTTTTTCGGGGATCCGGTGCGAGACAGACTCCAGCAAATGCGATATCAGTGCTCTCGTGATGACTGAGTCCAGGTTGTCGAAGTCGTTGTTGCTTCCAGACTCCAGACGTCGTCCGACGTCCTAGCAGTATTCGCTTTGACATCCATCGCGGACATGCCATGAATTGTTGAAACCCTTAAAGTCTGGTAAGTCTGAAACCCGGTGTGTTCATGGCTGGGTTGGGCGTTAGTGCGGAGCAACTTCTCTCCTGCGTTATCAGTGGGATTGCATGGGCCTGCCACAGTAAGCCTTGCTGGCTTCTAGCGAAGTTGGGGACTTGCGGCCGGCAGATTGAGTTGCCACTCGCGATGTTGTTTTGCGATGGAGTCGGCTGTTTCTCATTGTTCGATTGCTTATGGCCTGTCTCTCACTGTGCACCCAATCTACTTCGAAAGTGTTTTGGCTCCGTGCATCTGTCTGTGTCCAGAATTCTACTGAACACTGTGTGTCTCTGATGTATGACAACTATGATCCAGATTGGCATGGCGCAGCAAGTAGTCGGATTTCCAACTTCTCGTAGAAAGTCCTCAATACTTCAAACTACAGGAACGCCGCCAGGTTATTTGTCCGATTTTTGTACAGTTTTGGCAAGATTTGGTGCAGTTCCTGAGGAGCTTTGGAAGGCTCGTGGGTTTTCTTAACCTGATGAGTGTGTTGAGTGCATTGAGGCTTCTTCCCGATGTGTCTGATGAAGAGATTCAGCGCTGCTTGAAAGAGAACGGGGGCAAGTCAGACCTGGCTTTGCAGCATCTCCTTGATGCCCAAGAGGCAGATCTCCTGGGAGGCTTGCTTGACGACGAGAGCCCTCCCCCAACACGTTTGCACAGGGAAGCCATGCCACAGGAGCAGCCACAGCGGCAGCAGCAGCAGCAGCAACAGCAGCAGCAGGAATGCACAGCTGCTTTGCCGGGAGAGCCTGCGACCACAGACGAAGAGGCAAAGCTTGCGCTTGACGAGCCTGCCCACCCGCAAACGGAGCAAACCGCGCAGAACGCACAGCCTCCGCCTGCATCCGCGAGGGCCATGAGCCCCCCCGAGGAGACTCCGAGCGCCCCCAAGGTTCCCAACTGGCTGCCCATGCTCCAGCCAGCGACTCCGGCAGACCTTTCGTCCAAGTGCCTCGGCTTCAGATACTCCCCGGCTGAACTGGCCTTAGGCCCCTGCCTTTGAGCGTTCGAATGAGGCGGAAGATCCAGTACGATCGGCAAACGGAGCGGCTCAAGGCACAGCCTTGGCTTGTGGAAGGTTTTGCAGCCCTGCCGGGCTATGCTCGTAGGGTCGTTGGGCTTTGTGTGTGGTGTGAGCGCGTTGTCGGGAAGCATGGCTTGGATTATCGCAGTCTCAGAGTCCTAAAGTACTTCGCAGACTTGGAAAATGTCAACGAGCAGTTGTTGCCCAGGCAGCCCTCGGCCCAGCGCCGAAGGCTGTCAGCGTCCCTTCAGCCCATGACCTCGATGTCCGAGGCTCTGGAGACTTGGCTTGTCGCTTTATCTTGGCAAATGTTTGAGCCATGTGAACCTCAATCTGCTCAGCCTCAGTGTCAACCTATCCCTGCACGTCCTGCTTATCTTGTAGATGACTGTCCAAATTGGGTACGAGACCTGTTCACTGCGTCACGTGCATTCTGTCCCATGAGGCAAGGCACGGGATGGAGGAGGCTGAGGTTCACGACCGCGTGGGGGAGGCTGACGTTAAGCTGAGAGCCCTGAGACGCTGTAACCGCAGCAACGGCAGCAACGGCAGCAACGGCAGCAAGAGCATTATGTTCCATGTAAGTCGCGTAGCCGACTCAATGCATGGATGTGTAACGGGTCATGGCCTAGTTGGCCTAATTGTAAAAAGCAGTTGATAACGGGATGGCTTTCAGCTGCATCTTGTGGCATATTCGCGCCATTTCACTTTGTTCACACGAGTGCCTGAACACGTGCTTCTGCCGGCTGTGCTGAACTGGGTCAATATGCACCCTTCTGCCGAGTGCTCTGCAAGCGCACACCTCAACGCGCGAATGATGTCACGACATGTAGCCGGAAACGCTGGGTGGTCAAACTTGAGCAGCTTTCCAAGGGCAGTCATCTTCTGGAGTTCTGGCCACACCGTGACTGAGATGCGCCGAACTGGAGTGCGACTCTGGAGCATGGCCATCTCTCCGAGTCCTCGGATGTCCTCGGCTTTCTGGCCAAATCGGCCACACCGTTGTACACCGCTGTACAGTTGCCCGGGAGTCGGAGTGCAAAAAAGCAACTGCAAGACGGGCCGCCATGAAACACATGGTGGAATCCGTGAGAACCGGACTTGGGACGTCGCACGGGGCGACTCTCCCTTCGGGGGGCTCAAGCGTGTGGAGAGAGAGAGAGAGGCAGTCATCTTGTGTCTTTGAAACGGGAGGGAGTGTAGTGTGCGAAGCCACCGCGGCGTGTTTGTTTCCACCTTAGACTGTTTCCCGAGAGAGAGGAGGGAAGGGCTCAATATGAGGGCGAGATGGAAATGCCACCAAAGGCTTCGTACGGTCGGCTTGTGTCGAGCACTTTGCCTCACTCTCAACAAGAGAAAGAGTGTTTTCTGCACTCCAATTTTGCAGTGGTAAGAGTCATGCTTCGCATCTTTTCATGTTCGGCAGGGCACGGGGACTATAGGTTGAGGGTGATTGGGGACGTTTGTCACTGGGTCCTCCCAGGCATCGCTTTGGTTACCCTCGTTTGCCATAAATGGGGCTATGCACTGCGTAGGGGCGTCAGCCCAGAAGCCCGGCCAAAGAAGGGGAAGGAGAGAAAGGAGGGCAAAATAATCACAACAATAAGAAGAGTATAGGAAGATAAATTACAAAAGCATGAAGGAAGTGCAAGAACACAAATGTGACAAGGAGGAAAGTCCATCTCTTCGCGGCTGCAGCTACTCGCAACGCACGTGAAGTGTTGTTGGTGCACGAGAATCCATGCAACAGTCCAAAGGGGCCGAACCATTGATCGACCTCCCAAGACCCTCAATGTATCTCAGATTCTCAGATTCCAAGCTTATAGATTGTAGACTCTACTCTACACATCCCTGCATTGCTTCCACCGCTTTACAGCCTCCGGGGTACTCTTGAGCCATGAGACGCCTCTTTGGCCTCAGCAAGGCAAGTATGAAGCATCAGCGGTGGGGCAAGTGGCTTCGTGCATTTCTCGGATTTGCGCCAGGAAGAGCCGGCGGCGCAAACGCAAGCACCGAGCCTTCAGGAGGACAGCGCGAGACTCATCAGCCCACGCAACGCGGATTCGTGCCCTTGCCAGGCTTCAAGCCGCATTGACGAGCAGGCACGGCGATCAGTTCTCAAAGACGGCTGCAATCTTTTTCTTGTTTGTTTTTGCTCAAAAGAGCTTTCGACTCTTGCCACATGCCTTCACTTGCAGGTGTCAAACCTGGAAGCCAAGATCTTGAAGACCGATGAGGAGATCAAAGGCTTCGTGGCGCAGGGGACCGCCAGAGGGATGTGTTCCAGTTCCCTAGTTCCCTAGTGCGCAGTCATGATCAGGAAGAACACCAGCAGCTGACACATCCCGAAACCTTAGATGAGGGCTGGGAAGGTAACAAAATTTGAAGGGGATGCGCGCCAGCTGTGTCTGCGGGTGTACGGACTGCCGTGCGGTCTCCGAAGGAGCTCCAACCCAACGGCCAAGTCCAAGGCGTTGCAGGCAGCTGGGACAGAAAAAATTGTGAGCGCGCGATGTCTGTGCATGTAGGATTAAGATCAGTATGTATTTGCATTGCTACACCATAAAGTACAATTTTCTGTTCAAACATCTATATACTTGTATATAAATATTTGTGTATATTTCAACATTGTCGTCTGTGCATTTCTACGCGTTTGTACTTCTACACACAGTTGCTTATACACTGCCGTTTGTATGTTCACGGCCCCTCATCTCACAACCCTTCATAGTGTTCCAAGCAGCAAAGTCCAAGCTGTACTTGGATGTGTGAGGCAATGAAGAAAAAGAAGATGTACGAGCAGCAGAGAGTCCCACTCTCAGCCCCAATTTCTCCTTCGAGCCTTGAGACTTCTCTGAGGGTGTGTGCCCAGGATCAGCTGCTCAGCACGCAGCATGGGCCTCAGATGTCACAGCCAGCCTTGGGCCACTGACCCTGGGCCTGGTCAGTGCACCTGATTTTCACCTGATGGCTGCAAAACCTTGAGCCTGGAGAATGGACCCTGGCTTGCTTGACTTCGCGTGGCTCTCCGTGGCTTCGCGTGGCTTGCGCAGACCTCCGCGTCTCAAGGTTTAACGTTGAGAACCTCGCCTTCCAGCAAGAGCAGGCGGAGATCACGGCCATGGCTGCATGGCTGGCATGTGTTACAGGACTTGACAGGATGCCACGGGTGAACCCGCGTCACCCCACGGCTTGGGTAGCTGTCGCAGCCTGTGCTCTTGTCTCGCCAGGTAGAGGCCATGCAGAAAGGCCACACACAACTCAAGGACCACATGTCCTCATGTGGAAATCGGAAAGCTTCGCGTTCACTTCCCACACTGTAAGTGGGAGAAGCGTGGTTTTGGAACCAAGCCTGCTGGACTCTTGAGATGGCTTGAAAAGCGATTTTGCCCGTGTCATGAGGATCAAACTAAGCAGATGGATATCGCGGCAGTCGACAAGCTAACCGACGACATGGCAGATCTGCAGGATGAGCGCTGCCCTTGGTGGAGATTTGGTAGACTCTGCCTACGACACTTTTGCAATCTTTGACACTCGCCAACGGCCCCATGCGGTCCCCAATGCTTTGCCAAGGATGAAAGCCATCAACGAGGCCCTGGCCCAAGGATCCATGGTGCCGGACGGTGCCACAGACGATGATCTGGCAAACGACCCGAACTTACCACGGAGAAGTTTACTTTGATTGGCACCGGCACCTTGTCCCTGGCGTATGTCGGTGCATGCCCAGTGTTGTGCAAGCCGAGGAGTTTGCCAAACTGGAGGAGGATACTTTGGGTTCTGTATATCTGTCTCACACCTGGCCTGAAAATGATTTAAAGAAAAGAAAGAATGTGAGGCTATGCGGTGCTGGCTGTTGCTAGGAGATGGCGGCAATGGCACTCGCTGGAGGTGCCGTCCCAGACGTTTCAACCCCAGCCGCGCGCCCAGGAAGACGCAGAGAAGAGGCAGAGAGTGTGTAAGTCCAGAAAGGGGGGGACGGCTTTGCTCCTTTCTCTCCTTTCTCTCCTTTCTCTCCTTTCTCTCCTTTCTCTCCTTTCTCTCCATTCTCATGCTCTTCAGGCCAAGGTGGAGGGCGCTGCCGAGACGGCACCAGCGCGGAAGGAAGCGGAAGCCGCGGTGCCGAGCGCGCCGCCGTGACGCCTCTCACTGCACCGCCCTTTTGGAGAGTCCCTCTCTTAGAGGCGCCTCTTTAGGCGCCTCTTTCCGCTTGGCGCCTCTGCAGTGCCTCGAAATTCGAAGGCGAACTTACCCAAGAGGCGCTAGATTTCTGTTGACTTCCCTCTAAATTACGGTCCCGTGTGTTGAACCACTACTTGCAGAAACCCTTTGTACTTAAGCCAGGATGACATGCGCCGGTGCCATCCAGAGGGCATGTTTCACGCAGGCTTTTTGGCATTTCGTTGTACCGTGTACAGGCAGTTGTCATGGCTTCTCGGAGACTCTGGCACAGCATTCTCAGTGGTGCGGTGGTGCGACTCAACACATCCCTGTATTGCCTGGCTTCTGCGCTTCATGATTCAAGTAGTCTCGCTGTGTTGTCAACCAGCTCTCATGCCCAACACACAGGTCACTCCGCAGCCATTTTCTGTTGGCCCATGAGAGGTGTCAGTCTTGAGCCTTTACAACCTTACGTAAGTTCTGCCAAGGCTGCATTGCTCTCGTCGAGCACTGCGGGATGTACAAGCCTAGAGGTCAAGCCCGGATTGCTCGATGATCTAGCCTGCCTGTTTCATTCGATCTTCATGGACGGTGCAAATCAACGGAAACACGCCAATGAGTCCCGGCGCCCGCTGCTCAACTTCTATCTTGTTTCTGTTTCCGAATGCACAACTTTATGATGGCTGGTCTGGCGAGGCCAGCGCAAGTGCCGAAGGCCACCGCTTCCACGCAGTCACTTCAATCGTAGTGGGCGTTTTAAGAAAGTTGTTGAATTATTGGTGATGTCTGCATCCATCCGTTCATGGCAGGAGCAGTTGGCGGACGCTCAGCCGCTTGGCAAGTCTTTGTGCTATAGCAACATTGCGCGAGTCACGCCAAAACAAAGCAAATTGCCGGCCTGAGCTGACATGCGGAAACAGTTTTTGAGGGACGAGTGTCGGTTTGGGGAGTCGTTGGGTTCAGAAAGTTTGTTTGAATCCTAGATTTGGATCCGCAAGGATCGGCCGGAGAGCTGCAACACTAACATTACGAACTGTCAGGCTAATCAGTTCAGTGTTCGCCTAGAGCATCGTCGGACCCTTTAATGCACGAACCATCACGAAACTGCCCCAAAACTTGCAGAGGCTTCTCTAAATCTTGGTATGGAACATAGCGAAAATTCGGAGGTGAGTTGCTTCTTTCAGATGAATACTGTACAATACCACGAGTCAACTGATCGACTGCTCAGGGAGCTGTTGCTGAGGGCGTTCCGCGCTGAGTCAGTGAGACGTCGCACAAGATTCTGCTGAGCCTTGCCATTAAGCCTTTTAAGCTGCAAGAGGCGACATCCCAAAGTCTCTTATAAACAGAGGACGGCCCGGATGCTCCGCAGCTGGGGGCCTGACATCCCTGGGTGCTCTGGTGTGCTCCGTGTGAGATTTGGTGTGATGTCGTGGGACGAACTTTAAGCCTTCAAGCCCCTGAGGTTCGAGCCAAGTGTGCAGCTGTAGGGACTGTATGCTTAGCCAGCATCGCATGGCCCTGACGCTGCCTGCAAGCGCAGCGCTGCGTTCCACACACCAACCTCGAGAACTTTGGCGGATTTCAGATGCACGCTCATGCTTTCACCTAGAATCGGAGCGAGAATGATGGGAAGAAGGGAGTTGCCAAGTAATCGAGGCGCCTCACGTTTCGGGGGCCTCTGGGCAAACCCTGTACCCACCAGCGCGTCTCGTGGCTGCACTTGTGTATTCCAAGCCGGGGCAGCAGGAGACATAGGGTGTGCGTGAGGCTCCCCGAAGCAGAGGGCGCTTGCGCTTGGTACGGCTCTTGTGGCACGGTGGCAATGGCCAGATGCGATGTTTTGCACGACATCTTGATAGGCATCATGTCGACAGCGCGGCGCTTTCCATGCTGCCAACTGTCAAGACACACACACACACACAAGCGCGACAAGAGATGACACATACGCAGCAAGACAACAATGTAAAGCTTGTCTGGCAATCTTTAAGTTGTCCGGACTCTCAAGTGCCTTCAAGAAAGGATCTGGGCCATTCAAATAGGAAGAGGCCTTTGCTTTTGAAAGCGCATGAAGACCGTGAAGTTTGCCTTTTGCATTCTTGGTGCCTTCTGGTACTGTCCGGCAGCCCGAGCCGTCGCTGTGGGCACTATCTGCCGGTAGCGTCCGGTAGCTGGAGCCATGTCAAGGTTGGAGCCTACGCCTTCAAACGGATGCCATCATCTCGAGGCAGCTTATTGAACCGATCATACTGCAAAAGTTCTCAGACATTGCGCATGACCTGCGGAACTCTAGTCACTTGCGGTGGAAGCTTGCTGACATTGACGAGTTCTGACCACGCCGTGAGGCACGTCTTATGCTGCCGCAAAGGCCACAGCCACGGTGGAAAGCTGGGAAGGACTGCGTGGCACAGACGCCTTGAAGTGCTTTGTTCGGCACTTTCCTGCAGGACTCGCCACCGAAGCTCGGCAGACCAAAGCAGGCCGGAAGGGGCCCAACATACCAAGAGCGGGGTTGGGAAGGCAAGCAGCCATGTTGCATGTCAACTATGCTGCATATCGCGCTTTTAGACTTTTTAAATTTCAGCGGAACTGCGCCGGCATTGTGCGAACCCCTGATTACCTTGAAAGTCCTCTGTGATGCTCCGCTCCGCTCTGCCTTCCCCCTCTTTAAGCACGCAGCGGTTCCGACAGACAAAAATGGGTTTCTTCATGCAAAGGCGAGCAGGTGCTGAAGTCCTGGGAAGACCGAGCTGCGGGCCTTATCCCGCACACGGATGCCAAGGTGCCGTGCCCAGGCATCAGGGCCATGATGTATGCATGGAACAAAGACAAAGAAGCTGAGGTGCGCTACTTTGGTGAGGACCGTGGCCTGGAAGCAGACACCATGACGACGCACTCGAGGGACAAGCGAGACAATGGGACATGCTGGGATATGGCAGTGCACTGAAAGCCGAGGAAGCAAACCTCGAGTAAAGATCTTTCGAGATCAGGCTGGGTGGTGTCCTTACTGCCAGCATCTCAGCGGCAAGCCCATCTATGTGGAGTCTGTTATACGACACCTTACTTTGCATGTTGCAGCACGCCCATTATGCCATTGTGAGTAGCTGGAAAGTGTTGCATGCCGAGACAAGGAAGGTCTGGCTGCTTCTCGAAGAGAAGCAGGTTGACTACGAGGTGGAGAAAGTGCCGATGAGATCCTACGGTCGCTTTGGCTTGAAGTCAATTGTGCACAGAGCCGCTTGTACTGGAAGTTCTTGGCACGGTCCAGCACCAGTGAACCGAGGTGACAAGCCCAGGGAGTTTATGGCCCTGGTTCCGCGAGGGCTTCTTCCAGCCATGGAGATAGATGGGAAGGTCATGACAGAAAGCTTGGACATTATGCTGCTTGTCGCCGTATCTCCAACATGTCCGTGTGGCAAGTGCCTGGAATCCATCTCAGCGAGTTCATATTTCTGCGACTTTTGTCTTAGTCGTTTCGCACTTATTCTGTTTACTCGCTTCCCTTCCCTTCCATTCCTCCTCTCCCTGCAGCACAGGTTCACTATCGACCCTTGGCTTTGACTAAAACCGTGTCGGTGGCATTTCGGAATGTGCAGGCAGCAGGCTAGCTGGCGAGCTTGCATAAGCCTAAGCAAACAGCCCGGAAACACCAAAGGAAGGTGCCTTTCCAGATCCGGAGAAGCCGATGCAGCAAGCTCAGAATGGCTGTAGAAGCGGTGCAGGTTGTGCGTTGTTGCCGGGGAGGGGGGGGCAGTGGGGCTTGAAATTTCAGTTTGTTGCAAGTTGTAGTATCAGCAGGGAGTCCCCAACTCGTCTCGTGGCAGCTCCATATCCGTTCACCATGGTTTGCCCGTGGTCACTTCCTGCACTTCCTTGCTGTCTTGACAGAAAAGCGCCTGAGGTTTCCGGCCTCAGGGGCGCTGCGGGATAGAGCTGCGAAGCTTCTCAGTCTCGAGCGCCAGCTCTTTGGCGCTTGGTGTTCCTACTTGTTCCGTGCCCTGGCCACATTTGGTTGTACTGTGCCAGAACCGGCTTGCTATAACCATCACCGACGGTTGACTTTACGAAACGGCTGCGGGCTGCGGCCCAATGCTAGAGTCTGCTAGAGACCTGGGGCGGCTGCGTTATGAGGGCAGCATCGTGTGGCATCGTGTCCCGCTAGGTCCAGAAATGCCATTGATTGGCGGTTCCGAGCGGGACTTCACCGGCGCGCTGGAAGCGGTCGACTCCGAGTTGGCAAAGAACACAGACTCTCGGAACCTCCTTAGTCAGATGCTTTGCAAGGCAGAAGGTCACCTCAGCAAGCAAGAACAGCTCGATTCATCCCGATTGCGGGGGGGTGGAGGCGGGGGGTTTGGTGCGGGCCCCGGAAAAGGGGGGGCGCGAGGCGGGGGCGGGGAATGGGTGGCTGAGTGAACGAGCACAGGGAATCGGTTGCGCGGGATGCTCTTGATTGATACGCCTGCCCTCCCTGGGCTACCAGCAGTTAAAGCTAGGCTTCATGCGTTGAACTGAAGCAACTCGCTGACGACATCTGCCAGGGGTCGGGATTGGGTGTGCAAGATCCTACTGGCTGCTGCTGGCTGGCTTGCCAGTGCCTCATAAGCTTCAAAGTTGTGTGGGATGAGATGTTCAGGAGTCACCCTTCTTTCTGCCTTACCAGCACCCGACCATTGTGGACATGCAGTATGTGTCCCATGTTGAGCGCGCGGTTGCGAGCGCCATGCCGAGTGGCTGCACAGAGCTGTTGGGCGCGCATTGCGCAGAACAGTGTGAATCAGATTATTGCAAACCTCCCTTTGTGCGATATGCTGCAAATTCAAGGTATTACAAAGGGTATGACGTCCGCAAGAAGTTTACAAATATCGACAAGTGGCTCTCTGCGTATGAGAAGCTGCCACACTACATGGCGACAAAGAGCGACTACTACACACACTGCTGCTGGGATTTGATGTTGGCCTTCCAAACTTGATTTTTGCGAACGCCCATGCTTGTCTGCAAGGTATGGACATTCCTCCTCAGTATGGGCCGTGCTTTTCCAATGACTCGGCCTTGCACTCAGCACATTTTTCATGTAAAGCCGCCAACATTGTGGCACAGTTGCGGTGCAGATACGTCATACGCCATCCCTTGAGGCTGAAGCAGTGCGGGCAAGAGTGCCTTGGCGGCACCGCATGGCACCGGGTTGTTCGCACGACGAGATTGCTTCGGATTGCTTCCCCGCGCCTGTGATTCCAGGAGGACATTGATCCCCAGAGCGCCAAGCTGCCAGCGCAGTGGCAAACCAGCATCGAGCCTCCGACTCTTTGCCTGCAGAGATATACTCGATATGCATGGCAGGGGGAAGTCCCAGAGACATTCATTCACCTCTGAGGACACTTGAGCAGCTCGAGAGGTCCGAGGAGGACTTGTGCTACTCCCGAAGAGAACGCAGCCGTAAAATGTCAGGGTCTAACTTATCATTGTCCTTCTCATCTTGGGCTCAAGAGCGTGTTTGTCGCATAGAAGTAGCGTGCTTTATCTTCATTTGACTGTTGTGTGTTTCCGCGTTTTTTTTCTGCATGTGTGTCTTTGTTTTGTTGTGTCCTTACTGTCTTGTTGTCTCTTTATTGACCTTTTCTGCGGTGTCGTTTGCACCCTTTTTGTTTCTTAATGCATAATGCGGGTGGGCATATGTGTAAATTTGTTCTCCCTTGCTTTTGTCTTTTTACAATTGTTGCATGTATTGTCTTATTGTCGCTGTCTGGCTTTGAACTAGAGCCATCCATCATGATCATTGTCTCAGTCACATAGACGAGTAGCTGAAGTGCAAAGCGATATGGTGAAGAATTTCTGGAACGAGAACACACCCTTGTCCGGTGAAGAAGATTTCCCGTCGCTCGAGTTGCTTCAGCCGTAATCTGAAAGCAACTCACAGCACTCTGCATCTTCGGGTCTTGGCCGGGTGCACGCTTGCTCTGCACAAAATCAAATCACATCTTTCTGGATCCGTTCTCGGGCCCCAAATTAGAGCCTGTGCTGTGGCCCGGCAATGCTGAGGCCGATGCTTAGGCCGATGAAAGACCTAACAGCCTGTTTGACCCTGCAACTGCGGAATCTTGGTGGAGAGTGCTGGAGTTGAGCGGCGGGTCGCAGAGTCCGAATTTGCGTCCCCACGAAGTCATGTGGGAGTTCACATAGTAGGATCGTTGGAAGTTGACGGCGTAGGCGTTTTCCCTGCAGGGCATAGGTTCGCGTAGGCAAGCTGCGCTAGCCACGGCCTCGAAACTCCGGGTAGGTTCTTCTCAAGGCTTCGGGCTCGGCGCGCAGGCCCGCATAGGTCAGAATTAACCACACATTGCCTGCATTTGCCTGTTTTTGCGACTAGAAAGGCGTTCACGCGTAGCCCGCGTAGAAGGTTGACAACATGGTATCAGTCCAAGCAGTCTCAAGAAAACGCTGCTCACTTACTTCGGCCACCAACGACAACGCAGTGGTTCCAAATGCTAGTGAAGACTCTTATCTCAGATCATGCCTGGACTGCGCGCATAGGAGAGCTCAAGTGCAGTCAGTGTGCCGGCAAGTTGCGAGATATCCCATCATTCACTGGGAGCCTGCGGGCCATATCTGCCCCAACATCTAGACCTTGCACCACAGCGTGCGGAGCAAGATGATTGCCGGTGTTCATGCATGTTTTAGGAAGTTGTCGTTTTCACAAGAGTGCTCATGCTTTTGCACAGCACTGTTGGAAAAGCCGGCTCGTTAGGAGTTCTTTGTTTGTTTCGGTCTTTGCATCTCTCCTCCACTCTCTCTTTACTTCTGTCTCTGCTGTGTTTCTATTTGTTTTGAGTCCTTGGTTGTGATTCGATCTTACAGCTGTTTCGCTTCTGGTAGGTTGTCTTTGTTCGTTTGTATTTGCGTCTTCATGTGCTTTTTTTTTTTTTTTTGTGTGTGTGTGTGTGTGCGGTTCTTTGCTTTCGTTGTGTATTTGCACCGTTGTATCTGTTGTGTCCGTACTTGCATTTTTGCGTCTTCTTCCGGCTTGGTTGTGTATACTTTTGCAAACTTTGGCCGGCTGTACTCTGATGTGCTAGACCCCGATGTTTGACATGGGGTTGCGTTCGCCACGGAGCGAGGGTGATCATGCGGGTCGATGTGGCAAAGTGCTGCTTTTTGAGGACTACCGGATTGAGGCGGCCATGAGGCTCATCGAGAACGAAAAGGTCGGCGACGGCTGGTGTGAAGCAGCTGAGAGTGACAGCTTATGACTTCTCATATGACATCGACTTGCCCGTCTCAGGCAGTGACCCGATTCTGCTGCCGTGCCGCCGGAGGGGATGTGGGTTCGTGGGCGCGCGGCAATCCTACGAAATGTGCCCAGATCAAAGCGGAGTGATGCCGTGTGGAAAGGGTCGCAACTTGTCGCGCCATGAGCAGGGTTTTCGATCTAAGGTGAGCTTGCAGATCCCTATGCCAGGCAGGGCGTCTGAATCTGCACGAATGGTTTCCAAGATCGCAGCCGGCCAGTGGGCATCAACAGGCAACGCAGTTGCATGTGAAGCAGGGAACTCGGCAGGCCGAATGAAGACTACTCCACCGGCGTGAACGTGGTACTTCGCTCTGTGGCCACTGCCCTTCTCAAAGGGGATCCAAACCCCGTGCGCCTCGGCACATCACCTGGAAGTTTTTTCGGTGCAAAAAAGTCTTCACCGCATTTTAGCGCCACATGGCCCGGCCCGCCTCACTCTCGCGCCCCATGCAAGAGCACCAAAGCCCGCTTATCCAGAGCGCTTTCGGCGCGCCTGCCACCACCCCCTCCCCCCTCCATCGTAGTTGTGGGGTGTAAGAAGTTTGGGGTTCGGTTTCTATGCTCATTGCAGGTCAGGGGTTTGGTCCGCGATTGATGCCTTATAGTCTCTTGTGTAAATAGCACAGGATCTGAGCAAGGGGAGAAAAGGTCGGGAAGGGGATCTGCTCGTCGAACGAAACCTGCCCCTCCCCCCCTCCCAAAAAGTGACATGAAGCTATAGCAACTGGGCTGGCGCATGCCCGGGGCTCCAGGCTGGGCGTCAAAGCCAGCGTCGAGAATGAGGCGCTTTGATGAAATTCGCCATATGCCTGGGAAGACGATGTCCTCATAAGATCTCATAAGCAGACAGTTCCGACTCTCTGACATGTCCTAGCCAGGCAAAGATGTCTGGAAAGGATCTTGCAGTGATTGCCGATTGCATCGGCTACCTTCGAGACCGTGCGTGCACCTCAGTCTGGGGCCTTCAAATGGTCTAAAGCTTGTACTGCATGCAGTGGTGAATTTCGGCCTCGCAGAGCTCTTCGCAGGTTGGATCACCCAGAGACCTCTCCATGCCCGCTGCAAAGCTCTTGCGCGCGCACTTGGCTGAAGCTGTAAGGCAGCTGAAAGCCTGATCCGGCTTGGCATGTCCTGCCTCGGCACACTGCTTTCAATTTTCGCTTGGTGGCCAAGCTTCCGGAAAAAAGAGGGCTCCGGAGTTGGAACTGGTGAAATGTCAGAGGCAGCTTCTCAGCGGGAGGCAAGGCCAAGCAAACAGATCTTGTGCCTTGTTGAGGTTTGGCCAAAGCGAACAGTCATCATCGAAGCAACTGCCTGCCCGTGGGGAGCTTGGATGTTTGGTTAGAGGCCACAAAGTCGAGCAGACCAGCGCTTTTGAATCCAGCTGCGCCGAGAGAGACTGTCAGGAGCAAGAAGGCCAAAATGGCGCTTGTGTTTCAGGCCAGATACTTGCACTTTTGATGGCTTCACAACTCGTAGAGCCAGCTTCAGCTGTGAACCCAGGTTGGATCGACAAACAGTCTCGGCCAAAGAGTCGCTGGCGCGCTCCTCAGTAAGAGATATTAAGAGCTTCGGGCAAGGGCACATCATTCTTAAAACATGACCTGACACTTGTCTGAATCTATGTTCTGGGCCACGGATGACTCGTGCGCGCGAGAACAGTCAATAGTATAGATATATATATATATATACATATTTAGATATATACGTATAGTCTTGGGTCGATTGCGACATTGTACACCTCAAGGAAGACGTGGCGCCTAAGTACCAGCACGACTTCTTCCTGACTGTCGTCGACCCGCCGCTCAGCTGCCAGAGCCACTTCGAGTGAGATGCAGCCTCCCAGTGTATTGCTTCTGTCGGTGGATGTATTGCTCATTTGTTTGTTTTTTTGAGTCTGCAGTTCAACTGTTCAACCTCGGTGGCTTGAATGAATCTGATACGCCCACTTTCAATTTTACCCGTCGTTTTTGCCAGTCTGGAGTTGGGACGCAGGCCGGCGGATGGCTCCTTCAGGGAACGCCCGCCGGCCCCCTTCTTCGCATCAAGGTAGGCTGCAGACTCGTTGGGCAGGGCGGGGAGGGGAATTCTGAGATTTTTGGTGCTGTGACTGGCGCTCAGTCACTGTGTAACCGTGCACAGGGTCGCCTGCCATGTTGCAGACTTGGTTGCCAGTCCTGTTCTCGGGTGGACCCACTCAAACGAGCGCTGCCAAGAACGAGCGTAACCGAGGTCGGCCGATGATCACGCAGCTGTCCGATACCCTGTAACGCTCTATACGACTCTATACGAGTTTATACTCTGCACATCGGACATCCTCTATAGACAAGGTCGACAGTCTAGATTTGTTCAGCCCGTTCTCCCGAAAGAGCGAATGCAAGGGCCGGCCGCAGCTTCGAAGGCAAAGCCTTGGTCACCTTAGGCACGGCGGCTGCAGTGTTTATAATATGTATATATATATATATATGCAAAAACTCTCTCTCTCGCTCTTCTAGAATCTCTGCTTTTTGTTGGCACGAACAAGTCTCTCTCACAAACGAAGGCGCTGAGTGCATGGCCGCTGGGCTCTGTGCGGCGATGCTGGGGGCAAAGATCGCCTTTGTACAGCGCTCGGGATTGGGGATCTGGTGAATGTGTTGAAGAGCCTTGAACTGCATCAAGCTTCTACAGTCCGACGGTCCAGGTCTGCGAACGGAGCCTGGAGTCCCATGTGCAGCACAACGTGCGCCTGCACGGTCCCCGGTCTCCAAGTGATGAAAGAGAACGGCGTCGGAAACACAATCTTCGGATCAATCCGAAGTTGAAGGCGTTGGCCGTTTCATTAAGGCTAAAATTATCGGCGTTAATTGGAAACGAGCAATGGAACAACAAGGACAATTAACTCTGTAGTTAGATGGTGGACTTCCGGGCTGTTCAACACCCTCTCCAGACAAACAAAAAACTGGATTTAAGTGCTTTCTAAGGGCTCGGAAGGAGACGGCTATCTCCAGAGCTGCTCCAGAGTTAATCTTTGGTAGTGCTGGCGTTGCTTAATGACGCTGAGGGGAATTAACCCTGGATTTGATTGTTTGCTTGGGGGTCCTCCAGGGGAAGTAGCTCAGAGTTTATTTGTTTTCTCGAAGGCTCCATGGCTGTTGGCTCAGGTTTCGCAGGGACACCTTGGACTACACCAAGACCAAGACGAACGTGCTCACTGTAACTTCGTGCAGCCCAGGAAGGTGGGGAACAACGGAAGGTTACTGCTGGTCTCGCCTTTTCAAGCCTTTCCCCGCCTTTCCGGAGTCTGGCTCCCATAGAGGGTCGCTCAGGTGTGGGAGTCTGGATGCAGATGTCCTGGCTGAGAAATTACAGGTTGGGCTGTCCCACACCGAAGCGGCTGTCTTTTGACTTCGCTTTTTCGAGGCACCGTCGTTGGATATTCTGGCCGGGGCCTCTAATCTGACTTTTGGAGAAGCAGCAGAATGCAGATTGGGGCCCAAGGTGCTGACTGAGGTGAGCTTCGCCAGAGTTGTCCATCGCCTGAGATCAACCCTTGAAAGAAAGTACTTGTTGTGGTGCTTTGCGAATCTGACTTGTTGATCTACTGCGTGAGGTTGGCGACTTTGGCGGGATCAATGGAGTTCGACGGGGTGAGGCCTGGGAAATGAGTGCTCTTCCTGTGCACGTCAACAGAGGTCGGGCGTGGTATTCTATAGATCTTATCTGGTCATGCATCTTTCAACTTTCAACGAATTGCCGCACTCGGGCTTCTGGCCGCCAATGCACCGCTCCTCTTTTGGAGGTGTCCTTCTTTCAGATGCTCGGGAAGCTGGCCCACAACTTGGGAACCACCGAGCAGCTAGGCAAAGCGTCAAGCCATGTGATTCTTGTGTCTAAGATCCCTGCTCGAAGCTGTGCAAGAGCGCTTGCCAGGAACCTAGCAGATGCAGCTTCAAGTCGGTGTAGGGCCCCGCTGAGTCATTTTTGCGGAAGGTGATTTGTGATCAGAGCTTCGCGATGGCAGAGGCCCGCAGAAAAGGTACATTGATGACATTTCATATGGTGCAGTCTGTAGTATGCTCTACTGCAGCATGTTGCAGTGTTGCAGTATGCTATAATATGTTATGGTATGTTGTGGTATTGTTATGGTGTGTTCTGTATGTTACAACACGAGCACCTTAGGATCTGCCTTAGAACTCGAGTTCTGGAGCGTCGGAGCCTTGCAACCGCAACAGGAATCTCCCCGACGAGCCAGGTCGGACGAGGAAGCCAGGGATGTTTAGGGATGCTATGGGATGCTTGGAGCCTGCACAGGCTTGGTAGAATTCCGTCTTGAGACCTTGCCCAGTCCATGCTCAACTTCAGAATCGACGTAGCTTTTCTGCAGTGGACAGCCTCAAGACCTCATGCCAGCATGACATGTGAACTTTCTGATCACGTTTGCCTCGCGCTGTTCGTTACATGTGTCAGGAGGGTGACGGACTTCCACCTGGGCTGAGCGCAGCTCTTTTTCTGCAGACGGAGAGTTTAAGGGAGAAAACATGGACTGGGCCTTTTCTCTGGGATTTTCTTCAGGACCTACAGAGCAGTTCTCTCAGCCCTCAGGCTTTGCCACCAGAGTGGCATGCGCGGCCTTTCTGCTTGCTGCCACAAAGTATCCCGGCAGTTGCCCCGGGCTGTTGTCTGACTCGATAGGACTCCATGGCTGCATGGAAGAGTACTCCGTGCTTCATTGTGCTTGAGTGCTTGAGTGCTTGAGGTGATCTGGCTGGAGCGTCAGGATGCTGAGGTGGTTCGGCGAAAGCCGCCTCCCATTGTGCACCGGGCTTGTCACAACCTTCCATGGCAACGGTGGCAACAGGTCCCTGAAGGCTCACGTGGCTCACCGGATGCTGTCTGTGTTCGATCCCGCAAAGGCCGAGATCTCCGATGCCTCCCATGGGAGAGAGCCTCAAACCTTGCCGAATTGCCGCCACAAAATCGCCGGCTCTGAAGCTGCGATGTGAGGCGCGTCATCCTCCAGATGTGGGTGCGGAGGGCACATGCAAAGGCAGGTTCTCAATCTCGTTTGCACTGAGGGGAGTGCAGGAAGCAGACCTACTCGTACACAGAAAGGAACGGACGTTCGTGAGCCCCTTCTTAATCATTCCTCATGTAGCTTTCCTTTGCTTTCTCTCGTCGAAGAAGATGGCATGCGTGCGTTCTGTTTTCAGTGCTGATGTAGCAGATCTGTTCTTTGATGACAGCCCTCTTCTTGGTCAACGAGTTGAGAGCAAAGAATGGTTCGCAAACAACGCCAAATTGAAGGAGGCCAGGCCTGAATCGCACGTCTCCCATGCTTGCCTGAGGCATGTATCATGAACAGAGCGCGCGCGCGCGCCCACTGTGTTCCTGCAATTTGGACCAAGCAGCGGTTCCTTTATAGCCCGTGCTCGAAAAGCACCTGCGGTCTCTTTTTCTGGCCGCATGGGCATCTGCCCTTGTTCTTGTTCCAAGCCAAGCATCGGAGCAAGTCTGGAGCTTCTGTCACCTTCGCAGGTAAAGCCCGCGCCTCAGTCTGCCCAGTGCTCCTACGGTACTATCTCGCAGCACTTGACTTCGAGTGCGGCTGGGCTGATATGCTGTGAGTGAACCGAGGCAGCGTTACATAGAGGAGCCCAAGCAGCTGCCCTACTCACAGAACGCGGCCAACGGTCATAAGGATGTTTGGGATGCCTTGACGCTGATGGATGCGGCCCTTGATCGCAGCGGTCACATCGTTCTTCTGTACTCCGGCTATGTGATCGATCCCGGTCACAAAGATCACGAGTATCAGGCTGGCTGGAACCGGGAACATGTGTGGCCAAAGAGCCATGCTGCACTGACGACCTCACATCCAGGCCCCGGGACGGACATTCACAACCTCCATGCTGCCGACATCAGCGTGAATGCCCATCGGGGCAACAAGGACTTCGACGTCCTTGTGGAGGGCGAAGAGGGGGTCCAGGTTGTCACAGACTCGAGCCCACCTCAGGGATACTCAGGCATGGCGCGCCTCTGCATGGTCTCCCCGAGTGCTTGGGAGCCACCAGATGTTGCCAAGGGCGCAGCAGCCGAGAAGCACTAAACTTGCTTAGGATGAAACCTCAGCCATCTGCCAGTTTGAGTTACAGATGTATACATCACAGCAACTTGTTTCATGAAGGACCAGCCAAGGTAGCCAGATCCTTGATGTACATGGCTTGCATGTACGCCGACCACGGCCTGCAGCTTGTTGAGGGCCAGACGAAGAACCACAGCATGCAGCTGGGAAACTTGCAGGCGATACTGCGTTGGGCTGCGACATTTCCGCCAAGTGAGCGGGAGAAGAGGCGAAACGAAGTTGGACAAAGTCTCCAGGGCAATCGGAATCCGTTCATAGACCATCCAGATCTCTGTGAAAGAGTGCTGTGGTCATAGTGTAGGAAGCCTGATGGCTTCAGACCTGCGGCAAAGAAAAATCCAAGCAAATTATTCGAACGTAGGCCTCCAATCGCTCGGTCCGTGGCGGTGCCGGTTGCAAGAGGAGCAGTGGTATAAGTAGCAATCAACTTAGAGTTGGAGTGGTCGTCTTCGGGTATGAGCAGGTTTGCAGTTTTGCTTGCCTTGGGTTTTGAATTTGTCTAGCCTTCTTGGGAGAGGTAGTAAGGTCTCATTCGGCCTGTCTCTTGCAGCTTGCACCCAACAGCAGGCCATCTCTTGCAGCTTGCCCTTTAGAAAACCAGAGGGCCTCCGGGCCTCCAGGGCCAGAGGGTGGGGAGGGGGCGGGGGTGCCATCGAACAAGGGCTTTTCAAGAACTTCTACACAGTTTTCCTTTGCGGGGCGTGGGAATTAGCTGCAAAGAGTCTCTGAAAGGCGCTGCAGTCCCACAACAGCGTCAAGCACATGGAGGCGAATCATGTGCGAAGCTCAGCTGATGCGAGACGAGACATGTTGAGCTGTCTTGCAGGCTTGATCAGACTTGCGAGCTTTGGCGATGGCATGTCAGGTCTTGCAGGAGGCCAGGGCTTGGGCTGACAGCCTGCTCCCTAGGACAAGAATCTCAGCGAGAGATAGTGAGTGAAGTGATCTAAGTGCCCTGCACACCCCAGGTGTTTCCCTGTCCCAGTTTCTCGCGGGTGGTTCTTCCAAGGCACGCTGGAAGCAGCACACATTAAACACACAGACTCGTTGAACTGGGTCGTCCGTGCTCATCCCTTGTCTCATGCAGATTGTACTTAGAATGCGGCCGTTGGACATGTTGTAAACTGCTTTGCTTTACATATTATCACTGCCATTGCAGCTTCGTTGCGAAAATAACTGCTTCTCCTAAGTCGTAGAGAGACAAGGTGCGGAAAGAGATGGGAAGAGCCACTTGTAGAGTAACTAAACTGTTAAGATCTCCTCGATGATGTTGCAACACGAATGCGGATGCTCCATTTGGCAGGCCTCCTACTCGGAGCCGTCGCAGTGCTCAACAGAAGGTGCTGCAATGGCAAGTGTTTTTCTGGAGATGCGCTCTGGCTCTGTGGTCTGATATACCTTGAACAGCCCACGCTATCTCTTTCAGAGGTTGAAGCTTAGGCTCAAGAACAACGTGATTTCTCGTGTAGCCGTCTTTTGCTTCAACCATGGCTTTCATGCAAAGGCGCCTTCCACCCTTGCAGGGGGCGTTTTCCTTTCCTCCGGTACCAAAACTGCCTCCCAGAGCAGTTTCCGTCGCTCCAGCAGCTTCTCCGGCTACGTACCCTTCGAGCTCAGCACTGCCAATTTGGAAACCCGTCGAACCTGTCGATAAACTTGTGGAGCACCGGCCAGAAAGCACAGTAGACTCCAGTAGACCTCTGGCCGGACACAGACGATGAGGAAGCATTGGCTTGGGTGGAGGAGCAATCCACAGCCAACACAGTCTTTCTGCATTTCGAAGATTCCGAGACCTGCAACTCGACTAATTGGAGTCCGCCTGGGAATGTCTTAAATTTGTTTAATATGCAACCAAAGAGTGGATTTTTTCCGGAATTCCTTGCCACGTGCTTTCTACACCAAGGTCAGCATGGCCAAGCCATCGTCATACTTTTCAGATCGCACGGTGCCATCGCATGCCCATGCCCACTGCCCCGGCTGGGGGCTCGCAGCAAGTGGACGTCGTACAGTCGCATGGGCAGTTTTTGCAGAACGTGGAGATGGAGAAGTGGCAAGAATGCCAGACGCAGCCAGGCCAGAAGCCGATGTTGTCTCGCCAGGTGCTCGAAGCCTTGATGGCAAGGGAGCAAGCAAGAGGTATGACATCTCAGCCAGCGCTGTGGGGCACGGTGGACGGCAGCCGAATCTCGGCCACCGTGCCGGAAGTGATGAAAGCGCAGCGTGCCGGTGCAACTGCCTTGAAGAAGGCAGGAGCATGCCCGCTGTGAATCTGCAGCCTTCGGTTTCCAATACCCGCCCTCGACGCAGGCGCGGCCACAAGGCCTGACGCTCGCCTTGACTGAGGCTTTTGTGAACAGGAGGGGTCTTGGCCTAAGGCTGAGCTTACGCTCCCAATCATTGTCGCCCCATTGGATATCGTGGGGCGCTGGGTGTTGACACGGCTTAGATACCATTGTTGGAGTTTGTTGAACTTGACGGCTGGAAATGTCTGACTTAGAATCAAAGATCTGAACTGGAAGACTGAACAAAGTATTGTGGCAATCTTGGTTTTTGACCCCTGCAGTCAGCAGAAGCTCATCCTAATTCGAGATGCATGAATACAATAAGAGCAACTGCCTTCTGATCACCGACGCGATAGATGTGATCCTGCAAGTGAGTCTTTAGCAGAGCTATTCCCACTCGACGTCGCACGTGCAGTGCATGACCTCGTGATGCTTCGATACCTTCAAATGAAGGGCAGGAGCCAGGCCTTGACATGTCGAGTGGAACATGTTGGAACTAGCCTGTGCATGTTTACTGTTGGTTAGAGGCTTCAGGGCAGCGGCCTATCTCGCTGCGTCGGAGGTCTACGGGCCCTCTTATGGAGCCAGGTGATTCAAACTTTGAACAGATTCATGTCTCCTCCTGCACAAACAGCCTTCCAAAAACCTGTCCTGGGCGCATTTCTGAGCAGCTGTTTGAGCACAGCGCTCCATTCCCGACCGGGAGAGTGGCATCTTTTGAAGAAAGATCCAAAATGACCGCACCCAAGTTTGCCTCACGTCAGAGGCAGACAGCCATGTTGCTCTGATGATATTGACAGTGTCATTGGGGAAGAGTCTGCTCCCCAGTTGTCATGCTGTTTGACGTTGCTGTATATGCGACAGGCTTAGCAGCCACCTACAGCAGCTTCAAGACGCCCTGACCTCACTTTAGGGTTAGAAGTGAGCCCGTGACATCGCCGTGGGCATGAGCCATCAGGAGCCATATATGAGGTTATTCTTCTAGGAAGCTGTTCGCCTGCCGAGTTTTCGAAAGACGCCAAACAGCGCCCGGGAACACAGGCAGTCATCTTTTGTCTTCAAATTCCCACTTTGAGTCCGCCATGACCTCATTTCCGCTTGCCTGGTGCTCTTCCTTTTTTGCATGCAGGTCATGCGAAAAGCGCAGGTCCAACGCCAGCATCTCTGAAAGCTGCGCACTGAGCCCCAATAAGTCAGCAGCTGTTGTTGAGACCCCCCATGCCGAAACGATGAAGTCACAGAAGCATGATTGCCGCATCCGCTTGCTGCCTTCCGGCCCGCGCTATGCTACGCTCAGGTCGTGGAAAAGGCAACCGCACCGTGCGGATCCCTAGCTCTACCTCATGTGACCAGCTAGCGGCGCGGTTGCCACTAGTAAGGGGAGGGAACCCTCCTTACCGCCGACCATCAACATGACAATGGCGCGCACAGGAAGGATCGGCATTTTCGTAGCGATTTTTAAAACGCAGTTTTGCTTGGTTAAGGCGGCCAATTCGTCGCTCCTTTAAAATTAAAGCGCTTGCACGGCCACAAAGCTGCTGAGCTTCTTCGGGGCCTTCGTCGACCTGGGCTATTGAAGAGAGAGTTCTCAAACCGAGCCACGTGCGCTGCCAATTGCTTGTTGCACTTGTTGACGCCGAGGTGCGGGAGCCAACCATTGCAGAGCGACACTCCTCGCCTCCGTACTGGCCCCTCTGCCTGGTAGCTCATTCATGACTCGACTCGAGACCGAAACATGGGCTTTCCTTGGCTTTCCTCGCTTCTCCGTTCCTCTGCTTGCAGTAGGGGGCTGAGCATTGTCCATGTTGCGCAAGGTACAGCTGCAACCGTGCGGTGTATGGTACGTAGAGAGCGAGGTCCCGCTTCCTGTACATAGTACAAGCTAACGTCTGATAGGAAATTCCATTGACGTGCATGACTTCGCCAGCATGGTGCCAACATGGCGCAGATGATGGCAGGTGCTGTAGGAGGGCTCGATGGAATGGCGACACTTTTGGGCTGGAGCCGCTGCAGTCAGCAGATTGCGAAGTAATCTGTAATCTGCAAGTTGAGTTGAACTCTGAAGCAAGCTCGCGAAAAGAGGCCATACGCATGCAATCTTGGTTCTTTTTCGAGGTCTCGCTTGAAGGGGCTCGGACTCGCGACAGACTTCCATCCACTGTCGCTGGCCGGAGACCGACTATGTAATGAGGTGCGGTTTAACTTTACCGTCTACCAGACTGCTGTCAAGAACGGAGCATGATCCACCGCGTCCACCGGCCAGCGCCACACCAACAACGGTAATAGAATACGAGCCCTAGCAGTAGCAACGCTGTGGCGACGCCCATGGCAGTTCCTGGAACCTTGCCTGAGACCATTCTTTAGCTGTGAGCCTTCGGATCCCCCCCGCATTGACCTTGATCAACCTGCTGCTCGTAATCATTCGATTCTCTTAAGGATTCCTGTGATGTCGCTTGCATGCTCCGCTGAACCTGCTTCCCTTGCGACCAAGCTTGCCAGCATGTGTAGTAGTTGTTTTCTTCTAGTTGTGCATGAGTGCGTATGTATATAAAATATACATTTCTACATATGATATAGGTTCATACCGGAAAAATGATGATGGTTCCTCGTGTATACATATCGATGCAGATTGGGTCTCCTTCGATACAAAAACAAAGCCCTACTTGACGTACTTTCTTCTGGCCGCGTCTTGCTTCTTGGACTTCCAGCCAAGCACGAAATTGTGTACCGGGCTCCAACAGCCAGTTGTGCTGGGGCCACACGTGATCCTTCACACGGGTGCGCTAATGAAAGCCATAGAGAAGCCCTTGCTGTTAGCAGAGATTCCGGGACATGTTACATCCCCGGAGCCGAAGGTAGGTGTTTAGTTCCACGCGCCCATGGGGCATGATTCCGCTGCCTGTCGAGATGTCTTACTGGTGCTGCCCCGTTGCTCCACTCTTCTCAACGTTGCAGCCGATGCGGTGGCTTCGAGCCTTGCCTGCAGACAGCGTCGAGCGAAGCCAACGAGCAGAACAGCGACCGCAAAATCAGCAGACGCTCAACACGCTCAAGAGCTTTTCGGAAGAAAAGATCCTGGACGAGGCTGGGCGCGCACGGAAGTGGAGTTCGGTACTGTCGGCGGCAGAAGAAGGAAGCCAAGGAAGCCAAGGAAGCCCTGATGGCCTAAAGGCCCCCGAAGCTTTGGATGCTTTGGTGGTGTTGTGCAAAGAGAAGCCCTCATTGTTCAAGGAGCTTGTGGTGTCGGGAGTTCCGTCGGAGCTGCGTTGGGAGGTTTGGAAGGCTGCTTTGGGAGGTCTTCGTAGCTTCGGCGGTGCTGAGGGTCGGTACCAAGAGCTTCTGTGTGAGAGAAGCAGCTGGGAATCGCTCATCGAGCAGGACTCCAAGAGAACTTTCCTTGTTTTACCACTCGAAGGGGCCAACAAGGGGCATTCACGGAGCTTGCAGAACATCTGCAAGGCCTATGCCAACTTGAGCCCAGAAGTTGGTTATTGCCAAGGCATGAACTTCATAGTTGGCCTGCTGCTGTTGGTCTCAGGCGGAGCAGAAGAGGAGACGTTTTGGGTGTTTGTGGCTCTTATGCATGACTTGCAGCTTTCCGGATTTTATACCGGAGGCTTTCCACTCCTCAGACGTTACATGGATGGGTTTGGCCAACTGCTTGTTGCCGTCCTGCCGCGAATCTCACGGCATTTGCAAGATGAGGGCATTCATGTTGAAGAGTTCCTGCAGTCCTGGTACTTGACGCTCTTCGTCACGTGCTTGCCAAAGGCAGCCGTCGTGGAGATTTGGGATGAGATTATCTGCTGCAGCGGGCTTCCTTTGCTGGTCCCGCTGTCTGTGGCGCTCCTCGAGTGCATCCCGGTCTCCTCCTCCCAGCGAAAGTTCAAGTTCCTGCTGAAAGACGTCGTGGCAAGCAAAGCGATTGCCATCGCACAGTTCCTGCGCAGGCGATGGAAGGTTAGCTGATGTCCTCTGTAGATGCCTACAAGTAGCTCCATGTAGCTCCAGCAGCGACATTCGATGACCCATGAAGGCTCAACAGTATGTTCAGTATTGTGTCCACTTCAATGAAAATTTCAGTACATTCAAAGGAGTGCGTAGTCTTGTGAAGCCACCCTGGCCAAGTCCAACCTCAAGCCAACGCGAGTTACGCGAGTTGCCCAACTCAACTGGCCAACATCCTACATCCCATCGGACCTGGCCTCCCACAACGGATCACAACGGAGCAGACGGGCTGGAGTGGGTGCAAGCACGCAAACAGCTAGAACGGGCGGGAAAGTGTGCCGCAACCCATGTGGTCCCAAGCAGCAGTAAAGGATGGTGTTTCATGTAGTTCCCGTGTAGTTCCCTACCTAGCGTAGCCATCAGCTCCCTGAGGCGCAGCCGTGAGCTCCTGGGTCAAAGCCGGGAGCTTCTCAGCTGTGCACCGATGGAGCCAGAAAAGATGCAATGCAAAGCCAGTCCATGCCAGTCCTGAACAGTTCCTTGAAAATTTTGAGCGGCCTGTCAGCTGGTCAGTTTTTAGCCGAGCATGAGCGTGCAGCAAACACGTCCGCGGCCGCAGCGTTACCCATGGTGTGTTAACCAGTCCTTTGAGGACGGAGGTAGTTTTGGATGGCGTCCCAGCGCCGAAGCACCAGAACCTTGGCATGGGTTGTTTTTGTTGTGCGGCAGGTTCAGGAAATTGTCCCGGAAGATCACCAAAGCCACAGGAGCCTATGTTGAGTCCGTGTTGAGTCCAGGAGCACGATGGTTGTCTTGCGGCCTCGTTGGCGTGGCAGTCTGCAGCTTTGCCGCAAGCTCCTCAAGGACAGTTTTTCCAACAAGGGCACCTGAACAGCAGATCTCAATGTGACAATGTGCCGTAACTTGGGTTAACTTCCTTTGAGTTGGTGTCACCATTTGTCGCCACAGAGGACCTGGGAAACATCCCGAGCCCTTGCTGCCGCAGCTGCCCCTGCAGCAGAGGCTGAAGCCCAGGTTCTCGCCCCGTGCTGCTGGAGCAAACGTACATATTCTGTAGGCATATGATCCCAGATGTTGTTTTCAGCGTTTTTGCACGTATGGACCGCTTGCGACTCACGACTCTGGATTGGGAAGGCACCTGCTAGCTGTCAGCAGCTGCAGAAAGAACAGATGGAAGCTGTTCAGACGGGTGCCAAGAAGCTGACCGCAGCCGATGTGCCGCAGTGCTCTGTGACGTTCTTGCGAGGTCACGCATTTCTGGTTGGGAGAAGGCTCTTGCCGACAGAACTCTTAGAACGTCCTGCAACCTTGTCGAGCACTCGTGCCAGGCCTCTGCCGAAGGCCGCTCCGTGTTGAGGTTCGGCAAGCAGGCCTGATGGGCCAGATGTATGCGCGTGCCAGGGTCACCTTCTTCCGTGTTCTTCCGTTCTTTGTTCCGAAGTCTTCAACTGTTCTTTGCTTGTCCTCGGCTCAGGCGTCGCAACTCCTGAACCGAACCTTGAGCAGTCACCCAGATGCAAATCATCGAGTTGAGCCCAGACTCGTAGACTCCTGACAACTGCACTTCAGTGATTCAGGGATTCACACTTCTTGCATTGTCGCCCAGGCTTCGATGCTGCAGTGAGGTCCTGGGGTTTTGAGCTGCATGTGAACTGTTGGGGTGGGCAAGTAGGTTGCTCTTCCACATGCGCTGCTGATCCATGAGTAGCAGATTGCCATGGCTTCTCCTGTGTCCCTATGTCATGTCTAGTTTCGGTGGGTACATTCTGAGAGCCGCAAAAGGAGGTTGCTCAAACCCGGGGCAGTTCGGCAGTGCGCCGTCATGGATCGAAGATCGTTTACCCAAGCATCAAGCACCCCAGGGGTAGCTCGGGGTACTCATTACTCAAGCCCTTGCAAGAAGGGGCACATGCAGCACACCTAGACCACACAGCAAGCCAAAGCCAATCCATGACAATCCCTAAGTTTTTAAGTTAGGATCTCTTTCGCATCTCGTTCTCTTTTCTTGATACCCGCGATGCAGCTCACGCCCGGTTGCTGTCGCATGGCGAGAGCGGCTGTATAGAGAGACGCCTTAGCCTCAGCAACAACAGATCACTGTTGACAGCGAGGAAGTCTGTTCCCAAGGTGGGCCATTAATTTGGCATGGGCCAGGCTCGGGTATTGCAGCGTTGCAAGTCTGCAGAGTTGCCGCTAGGTTCGTGATCATGAGTCCAAGTAGTCGTGAGAGTCAAGCACTTGAGCCGTCGAGGGCTTCACACTTGCCTGCGAACCGTGTTACTGTGGTGTTCTGGCCGGGACCTTGGTTCACCTTGGGTTGGTGCACGATGTGCTAGCAGCACCTAGCAACACGGGTTTCAAGATGTTTCAAGTTTCATGATGCATTTGGAGGCGAAGCATGCTTGAGGCCTTACCGTCTAGCAACAGCATGCTGCCGGGTTCATACCCCGATAGTGCCCGGCTCAGTGAAGCAAATCTGTGGCAATGTGGCAACGATATGCGAATTATGTGAACTGTTGGCATGCCACGGCAAGATTTGACCAATTCTGTCTCTCACGCAGCTTGGCTCCAAGGAAGCATCATGTCAAGCATCACACCTGTGGTTCAGCATTCAGCACAGAATTCGCTCTCATGTGACACGGATAGATTAGAATGATTAGAAACAGGAACGCAAGATCGCCTGTCACTCGCTAAGCGAAGCCAGAAAAAATGGAGTCTATGGAGGACCAGGCGAAACGCCAAAGCTGCGTCGAGGCTGCTTCAGGGAAGTCACGACGGTTCTTTACCGTCTCCGCTCGTATACAATTCGCCTCACGCGTTCTGCTGCAGGCGGATCTCCAGGCAGTTCGGCATGGAGTGCAAGATCTTGCTGAGCGCTTGCGAGAGGAGCAGCTGCAGCAGCAGAGAGCGCTCCTCCGCCGCACTCAATCGGTCACCAGTAGATGGGGCCCTGAAATTCGGCCGAGGGTCTCTTTCTTTTTGCGTCCGCTCATCGTTGTAGAGCTCGCTCAAAATGTGCACTGACCGCCGTTCTTGCCTCACAGTCCTAGAGCTCATTTTATCGTAGAGTGTCGCGAGTCGTGGTGCTGTTGCGGTCGCCCCAAGCTCGACATCGGCGAAAGGGAGACAACATGTGCAAGATATGCGTAAGATCTACTGCAATTGGAAACTTGCACTGCGCTGGCGCTGCTAGCTGACACCGCAGAACTTGAGGCTGTGCCGCGTGGAGCAGCAGATTTCCGAGCTCCGTGCCTTGATGGCTCGACCCGCAGAGGCCATGTGCTTCTGCCATGCCGGAAAACGAGTACAATAGAACAGATGCTGCCAAACTCGTGAGATGTGAAGAACGAGAGGCCGCTCAAAGAGTGTCATTCAAAGAAAGCGCGTGGCCCCAACACATCTTCACACGCTCTGCTTGCATGCGAGGCCACAGCACCTGCAGCCAGCACGCCTGAAGTCACCCTCGAGAGCGACAAAGACTGGGCGAGGAATTCTCTGGAAGGGGAGGCCAGCTGCAAGCGAAGCAAAATCAAAGTATGGGACGGTCATGGGTTGGTGTAAGTAGCAAGATTCGCCAGCTTCCCAGTAGCGAATGTACAGGTGCGTGCACTTCGCCTGGAGATGGACGCAATGAGCCGGAAGATTTCCGAGGAAGCTAGCTGCTCGGCCAATCCCTCGTCTTTTTCGTTTGCCCACATGCTGGCCGCCTTTCGTAATGTCGGGTGTAGGAGGCCTCAGGGGCCCTGATCCGGACGACTAGGAAGCCTTTAGGCCAACCGTAGGCGCACTTTCCGGCTGCGTAGGCCTGGCGAAAGGCAGATACCCTTGATGCAGCCTTCAGTGATGGTCTGATGCCTGCCTTTCTGGGATGAATTGGTTCGGCAGGCGCCTTGGGGCCTGAAGATGTCTTGCCGGTTCGCCGGACTAACTCCCTAAGGCGAGCCAGGGCGGCCTGTGTGCAACCAAACAACAACAAGTTCGTTGACGTTTCGTTTGATAAAGAAACCGAACAGAGTTTTAGATGGAGCTGGGCCGGCTTAGCTTTTCTTCGAGATGTTGGACTTTTCGCTGTCTCAGTGTGTCTCCAATGTCCTGGAAGTTTGCAAGACGCCGCCATCCACTGTTTTGATGAGCTGGTGCGTTCTTGCCGCTTCTTGCCTCGAGACTATCGGTGGCTTCCTATGTCCGAGACTGCCTGGCGACAGGCCTCCCAAGCCGTCCGGCACGAGCCTGCTGCCTATATTGTCTCCGGGGCCTCGTCAAAGGCTGCTTGCCAGATCCTGGACGCCAACTACTGCGCGCAGCGACCTCTCGGCCAGTGCGTCTTGCCGCGCCCACTTGCGCCTCGTGCAACATGGCTCTTAGCTCGGCCTGATGCCGCTGCCCACGTGAGCTCCTCTTTCCCCCAGCCCCGGCTCGCTGCTGCAGCTGCTGTTTGATAGCCGCCCCTTTTTGGTCGAGTCCATGATGTCGGCGACCTACACGGCTTTTGGATATTTGGGGTTTGGGTTTGGGGCTTTGTCCCGGAAGGGCCGTGGCAAGGGCGTTTCTCCCACTAAATGTTTGCCTTGCTGTACTGTTATAGGGCTTGGACGTTTTTTGTATATGTCGGATGTGGTGCCCCACACAAGCAGGAAGCATAGCCGATTTGCCTCCTATAACCTCTCCGTTTTCATACTCCATAGGGCGATCGATAACCCAGACCGCTTTTCAGCAGGACAACGTCGGCCACAGTTCAGTGGGGAGCGGGGCAGCTGCACACTTCAAATTGCGGGTCCAACTCACGATCTCTCTGGCCAATCAAGGCTGCAAATGCACATCCCTGCCCAATGTTGTGGAGTCAGTCACTGAGGGCCCCCTGCGCCTCGGCAGTAAAGCTCTGAGACCATCGCTATGTGATTTTGTTCCCTTGGCATTTCAGTTCACCATGAAGGAACGACTCGGTGGCCATCAGCAATGACATTTCCGTGCCTCGGCAGTGTTTTCGCCAAGCTGCTGGAGATCGCAAGCTTGGCACCCCACAACACACAGGCCCAGGCCCCCATTCCGATCCAAGCTTGTTAGAGCTTTAGCATCGCTTTAGCCATCTTCAGCCGAACGTCCCGACGCCCCCCTGATTCTATCGAAGAGTGCGTTGGAAAGGCAGCGAGTCGGTGGACAGCCGCAGATAGTAGCAGAGAGTACGAGCGATTCCCGAGTAAACCGTGAAGGTTGCCAAAGGATGTTGCCTACCAAGGAGATTCGCAATCAAATTGTGGAGGTGGTGCGGTTCGAGCAAGAGGCATTCGGAAGAGGGTTTAGCTTCGCTGCCCTTTCAAAATTGCCTGGTCTCAGCCTTTCGACTCCAGGCTTTCCGAGACCGTTATCTGCTGGAGGCGTCGAACTGCGCGGAGAGCGTCCGGAGCTTGATCGGTTGTGGGTTGTTAGCATTGCTGCGGGTGAGTCATGGGAGTCTCAGCAGGTCAAAAACTTGGAGCCTGTGCCTCAGATCGAATTCGGGCCAGACCAGGCTCTGAGGTTCAGGGTTTGTTAAGGCTTCGTAGTGGTTCGTAAGCCCCTCAGGCTGACCATGGGCCACGTGTCGCGAGAGCTCCAAAAGTTGCTGCAGAAAGTCGGCCAAAAGGCCAGGCCGTGCCTGCGAGTCCAACGTGTCATCAGGGTCCTTACTGATCTTGATGGTGCATTGCTTGCATTGTTTGTAGGGCCGTGGTTCAAGGTTGTAGTAGTCAGGGTCGAGGGCTGTGCGGGAATCCTGACAGGAAGCAGAAGCCCCGGCTCCTGGCGCCAGGGCCTCACAGAATCTCGCAGAATCTCAGATTTTCATGACTGGCAGGGTCATGTGACGACGATGCCAGGTTCTCTGCAGTTCAAACAAGACGACCCTTCAGGGGGCCAGTTTCTTGAAGGAGTCTTGGGGCGAGAGCCAGCGCAGTGACACCGTCAGGATGTTGTGCGAAAGTTGGGTGAACATGATCGGCAAACAACCCCTTCAGGGCCCAGATGCTTCGCCAGCCTCTCCTGGTGAAGAGCCGCTGCGCTCAGAGCACTGCTTCACGACCTGAAGTTTCCCTGCTATGACCTTGTGGGACCAAGGTCGAACGCCACAGCCCTAGGAGGCGGGCACGGGTTGCGCACGCGCCTTTTCAGGATGTCAGTGCCAGTACTTGCAAGACTGGAGGCATGCAGAGTGCTGCAACCTGCTCTCCCAGAGAGGAGCCTGCAGGAGGCCAGCTCAGCCTATTCCTCAACTGGCACCAAGTAGTAATTTACTTGCAGTATGTTGCGCTTGGTGTTCCGAAAGCTCAGAAGAGCGCTAAGGTTGCTTGGAATTTGGAGAGACATGTAATGAAAGCACCCCGTTGCATTTCAGCGGCTGATGTGGTTACATATTGGTTACATACGTTTACTGTATCAAGAATGAAGCAATGATCCTGGAGTGCATGAAAACCAAGAGCAGACATTCTTGAGGACGAGTGAAGAGATTCAAAACTAGACGGGGGATGCGTTTGTAGACGAAGAGGCAGTTTGTATTACCTGTCGTTCCTGTCGAGTGGATGAACGCAGCCGCTGAGCATAACCCTGCACATCCTGCAGCGCTTGCAAGTCATAGAACCAGTATGAAGCATGCCATATCAAGAAAAAATGTTGCAATGTTTTCGCATGATTACAACACAGGCGCGGTCTTCTGACCAAGGTCTAGAGATGTCTAGCGCGTACACTGTTTGGACCGTTTAGTACCTGAAACGACGAACGGTTTACAATGCCAACCGGAGCTATCGACAATTCATTAGACAGACCAGTTGCACGAAAGCTGGCTTCCTGGAGTTTACCCGATTTTTTCAACCTTCTTGTATTGGGACAAAAAGGCTGGGGGAAATTGGCCTGATATCTTACAATCTAAGGGGCCTGAGTACGCAATTATCGGGCGTCAGTCCCTGATAAGGTGCCCCCCCCTCTTGAACCCCCCCCCCCCCCACCTTAAACCCTCGTGTCAGAGGGCCTGCAACCGTCTCAAATAATCGAGATGCTGCAACACGGACTACCTTCGGGGTCCCAGCTCGTTTCGAAGCACTGTTAGAGAGCTTATGCATGAGGTGGTTGTTAGGCGGTGCCGGTTGAAGCCGTCAGTCGTCAGTGATGTAGCTCAACCCACACGATGATGCAAGCCTGGCCCTGGGAGGCTCTGTTCAATGGTCCAAGCCGTCCAGACCATCCAGACCTTCAGCTTTCACTTCGGTGACGTAGCCTGGCTGCCAACGTCGATTTTGGTTTCCGAGCATCAATCCCTCGCACGTTCTCAGTGCGTGAAGTGGCAAGTAGAAGACGCATGACATCTTCAAGCTGTGCCAACAATAGGCCAACAGGTACCAGCACACGCTGCTTTAAAAACCTACAGCACAAGCAATTCTATACTGAACTGCAATGTAATTAGAGTCTGCTGCCACGCCCAGCCGTTCCGGAACACCGGTCACGTATCTGAGGCAGCCGGTGAATGTTGCGCAGGACATTCTGTCACATGGGCTTTCCAATTCCAGAATACTCCAGAGAGAGTTTCGCCTGTGGTTGTCCTCAGCTGACCGTCCTATGTGCGCGAAAATGTTCCGAAGTCGCACAAGTGTTGGACCTTCGGATATCCAGCAGGCAACGAGGAAAGGGCAAGGTTCTGGGGCATGAGTGAAGCATTGTGCAGTGACCTGCGCACGGGAGGATGTCCCCTCAAGATGCGCAGCGCCAGCAATGCCGCCCCAGCGCCTTGTCTCATCTTCTCCAAGAGAAGCACTTGTGGTCGACCAGAGTCACGGCTTCAACTACGCGAAGAAGGGCGATTTCTTGCGTAATTGATGTACGGTGCTGCAGTGGCATGTGTCTGTTTGCCACTTGGCACTTCCTGCACCTCTCAGGTACAGCAACGCGCAGCCCACGAATGTGTGGCACCTTGGCTTTGGGGTCCAAGCTGCTTCCGATTGCAACATGGCATCATCTTGCCCAGCCCAATATGGCCACATGTTGCACACCGAGCAAGCCGGACTTTGCAAGCCAGGTGAACCCAGGCAGTTCCCAGGCCATCCTAGGTCTTAAGTCGTGCTAAGCCCACGGCCTGAAACATCACACGTCAACACCGACGTCAACACCAACGTCATCGTGTTAAGTCTGAGCGGTTCGCGGCCCACCGAGGCGCCGAAGCCTTGGGAACCCCTCCATCCCAGCCCAGACGCCTCCGCCGCCATCAGCGCCGATTTATTTCAGATCACGCAGCCACGAGGGTCCAACTCCATCTACACAGGAGCTTTGTCGGGCCTTCGTGGGGCTTTTGTTTCTGAGATCCGCATTCTCAGCCTCCGCAAAGTTGCACGACAATAGAGGCACTAATCGTGTTCAGCGATGCAGGAGAGAGTCGTGATAGCCACCAAGATGACCTCGCCGGTTGTGGCGCAGGCGAGCTGAAGCTTGCACGAGCAACTAGCTATAAGTCAACGAGAGCCTGCCAGGAGCAGACAACAACTCCGATGAAATCCATGCCCCGCATGGTGGCCACCCCGCAGATGGTGAAGGAACCGATTGTGAGATGATCATACGTGGTGCATTGTGTTGCAATGTGCAACCTCGCAAGCTCGCGCAAGTGATGTAACATGATGTAACAGATGTCCTTCAGGACCCCTTCAGGGAGGCCGGGGATGCCAAGCTGCCGATAGGCAGAGCTACCATTGCAGTGCCCTTCGCGCGCGACTGGAAGGGCCAGGCACCGGCCGACTGCATCTGCCTATATCTGCCTGCAACTTCCTAGCATGGGGACGCAGTATACTGATTGGTTTCGACGATGTCGCATACCGCCGTTTTTACAACAATGGAAAAACTAGAGGTCCTTTCTGCAAGTCGAAGTAGATCAGGGACAGTTCAGCGCGAGAGCTGGGGGGAGGCCATGCCACAGCTCAGCATGGCCGTTCGATCAAGCGGAGTGCCTGCCGCGCCCCTGATGAGAGTTACCCAGGCCGGCCCATTGTCTGTGTCTAAACTGCTGAGAACCAACCCAATACACTCGAGCATGCCCAGAGTTCCAGGTACAGACGCGGGTGGGCTAGCTTTGCGTTGCTTGGCTGGATCTGCATGTCTCAAGTCTCTTGCGGCAGCTCTCCAGGCTAGCCTACTGTAAATCTAGTCATCTAAGGGACCTCTCCCTTCTTTGGAAGGTAGCCACCGAAAAGCCGAGAAGCTGAAAGCGAGTAGGATCTTGGACGTGTTTGTCTTCGCCGGGCCTGCAGGTGGCTGAAGGAATCGCAGCAGCGTATCTTTCTGAAGCTGCCGGCTGTAATGGATCCTGAGAATGGATCGCTGTGCCTTCCGTGGAATCATAAGAGCCCTATCGCCGGGCGTGTTCAGACCAGGAACAAGTACAAGACAAATCTGGACCGGCAGCGTGTTCCAAGCTTCGAGGTCTGGCCGCAAATTTCTGCATGCTAGTCCTGGTAGTCCTGGTCATCCTATGTAATCCTTCCATGTGCTACCCTGGCATGCCTTGGCAGTACCAAACACCGGGTGCCCCTCTTGACGCTGCGTCCGAGAGCACGCCTGGTCTGAGGACCATACATTAATTAGCTGTATGCCAACTAGTGGCTTCTGCTGTGGTTCGCGCAGCAAGAATCGTCGCACGTTGCATTCCCGAGCCGATAGCTGAATGGCTGTCGGCATTTCTTTAGCGATCTCGTAGCAGTGTCAAGAAGAACACCAAAAAGGTTCCGCCGAGGCACCACGGTGAACACAACAAGCTTGCGAGCCCTAGCTTCGCACGTGGATCTTGCATCACTCAGGTGATGGAGCAGACAAGGCCGTAACCCTCCATGCTCATGACTGCTCTGCGAGCGTGGATCTGAACCTCGATCAGGAGGAGCCCATCTCGACTGGAAAAATCTGCAAAGAAACGGACGACAACGTCTTCCAGCAGTTCGACGCAGCCTTAGCTGCTTTAGCTTGGCAGGTGGCAGGCTCGAGGCATCGAGATTCATCCCGCTGACTTGCCATCATTCCTGGTTTGAGACCAAGGATCAGCCCAAAGAAGAGTCGGCAAGCCACCCAGCAACAGACACGGGTGTCATATCGGAAAGCCTCAGCAACGGCCGCGGCCACTAAGGACCGCAATGCTCCAGTGGAGGCGCAACCGAAATATTTTCAGCACCCTTGGATATTATGACGTATGTTATAGTTGCCTGGGATGGCCCATTGCGGCCCGATACAGCTTCGGTACAGAGTTGAATTGTGAGCAGAAGTGAACTTCCTGTGAAGCGTTGAATTGTGAGAGGCTGCCGGCCAGGATTGTCTGGGCTCTGTGTCCAAGTCGACAGGCGCACAGAGCGAAATTTTGGAAATCGTTGGAGGGCTGCAAACATCTCAGCTGGCTCCATCCCTAGATGGAGCTACACAGGCTACTCATGTCAGCTTTGAGATTTGTGGTGCAATGATGGAAAACCGCGAAGATCGTGTTTCATGGTATTCATCTAATTGGATGCTTCGTGGTCCGCTGCTAAGCTTGGTCCCACCATGCTCAATGTACTTAGACCGCCCGCTTTGAGTCTTTGCGTGTACTGGTGCAGGACCCCCGTCTGTCGCTTTCTCACAACAGTCTAGACAGTCCAGGCGCGACCTTGCTACTTGTACATCCACTTTCTTGGCAATGTGAATTCGAAACTGAGCAGAGAGACAGGAGTCAACCAAATGATGACTCAACAAATTCATGACAAGAACTTCGTAGACTTCTTTGTGCCTCGAGGCTGAGATCCGACTCGGCAGAACTGCGCCGGAAGAGTCGCCAGCATCCAAGTGGCTCCAAGTGTGCTAAGCTGCTAAGCCTGGTGAGCTGGAGCACTGCGCAGACGTACTCCACAGTCTCCGAGGAATACGGCGCTGTATTTGGTACCATGCACAGCAGCCCGAATCAGCAATCACGTGGCCGTCCCTGACCAAGCGATTCGCCATTGACGGAGAGAGCTGCTTGACCCTCAATGCAATAGACACGCTGCCTTGGTACCGTTGTGTAAGGTATTGGATCTTTGCATATTGCTGCCAGCTGGCGCGGGCCTCGGCCAAGCCTCGGCACTGCAGGCGTCTGTGTGACTTCAAGACCGGTGCTTCGTAGGGCTTCGTGGTGCAAATCGCTATGAGTTGAAGTCCCATCGTGCTACGCTGCTGCTTGAGGTTCTTGCCGCGGGCTCCCTCTTGGTCTTCCTGGTCCTGGGTGCAGTACTGTTATTGCAATCCGGGTCCCTCCATGAGGCGGAGCAGCGGAGCATTCGTGTGGCATCAGATGTGTCGATAAGATGGGGCACATGCAGCTGTCCTGAAAGGTGAGTGTCCCATACACTGCAAACATGACGGAACAGGCTGGTGTCATGCTTGTTCGCCTGAGCTGTCTGTGTTTGCCGCCCCTGATGGCATTGCCTTATGATCCGCTTGCCGGAGCTACTGGGCCTACTCAATCACTTGTGAATTCGGTGTGATGGTGTGGTCCGAGCCACAGGAATTCAAAATAGACCAAGCTTTCGAGGATGATGCCGCAGGCTTATCCGTGATGTGATCCCAGGATGACGTGGGTTCCAGATTTTGCTATGCTGGAAGGAGATGGGCGTTCCGACTGTCAAAATTAGCCGAGGTGCTCGTGTACTACGACATGAGCCTCCTCGCCAACCACAAAAGGCAGCTCAGAATTGTACCATCTTATTACTATGTACAGGCAGATTTGCATGCTCCGCATTACGAAATCCACAGCAACAAATCGACCCTGTCAAAGCAACACCATTATATCAATCCATGGTTATCCCAGAATGATTATCGGCAAGCTTGCAGGTTCCAGGATGCCGCAACGTGAAACTAGTGTGCCCAATTCAACTTCAGGGCTGGTGAGTATGCATCACCAGGGTTCACTCTTCTTGCGCTTCCGGCGTTTGCCGCACCATGTTTTCTGTGGGTTAGTGGTGGCGCACGGCGGCATCTCGCTGTTGTATCTTGTGTCATGTGGCCACATTAACATTCCATTCAGGCACGTGCACACAACATGTCTAATTTCACTTGCACCTGTGTTCCCGGACAGCTTCGTGGAAAGCAAAGACAAGAGAGTTGCCAGGGCCTCTGCGGGAATGTTGATTGCACTGTGAAGAAGGTCTGAATCTGGTAGCGAGATGCTCTTCGAGGTTTACACATTTCTGACTGCGGCAACCTGCACGCATGCTGACAGCCGCACTTGGGTTAGGCGCGGCCGCCTGCGCATGTCCCCATGCCATCTACTCGCGCGAGAACCACACATTGCGCATTTCCAGAGGATACGTCGGGGCAGCGACGCCGCATTTGTGGCCAAGGTAGAAGGTGCCAGACGGTTGTTGTTTAGTAACCATGCTCTTGGTTATGTCGTGCTCAAGAGAAGATACTGCCTTTGCCCTGCAGCTGCTGTGGGTGATGACCTGACGCCATGTGGCCTCGTGTCACTTTCAATGCTGAACGCTCGGCTTCGTCTCTTGCAAAGTCGTATGCGTGGTGACACTTGCAGCTCTTGCAGCTGAGGTTTACAGACAACTTCACATTCTACCATGAAACAGCCACTGGCTGGGAGAGGCTACGGGGTGGGAAATGAAGGAAGGTACTGCAGTGTTCGGAAAATATGTGGAGTTTTTCTGTGGATTCAGCATCGCCCGAACAAGAAGAAGAGGTTGTGCAACGCTGATGCCGGTTCTCTCGTCCGCATTTTAGTGCCCTTCAGGCTTGATGCAAATGAATCTGACATTGCCCTTGCATCAGACAGCGATGCGTCCCAGCCTAAGACACTTTGCCTTTGGCCTTATTTGAGTCGCACGCAGTAGCACAGCTGCTTGTGAAAGGTATGGGAAGATTAGTCCTCCGCTTGAAGGCCTTCGCGGAAGTCGGATGTGAGACATGATGCGGGTTGAATTCCAGTCGTGGTGCAGATTTCGTGGCTCGAGACGTTCGAGAGTCAAGCGGTTCCATCCTGGCCTTCCCCCACGCTGCAGGTCAGGAGCGTTTTTACATAGAGGAGACCGGCACCAAGCGATCGAAGAGACTTTAGCTGACAACTGGAATGGCATGGCAACCATTGCTCTGAGCCTGATAAGCCGATAAGCCTTACTCCAAGGTCGGACCAGAGGACAGACCTGGCATGGACATGTTTGGAGTTTGCCTGTGGCGAGAAACCCCTTCCTCGCCCTACACTGATCGCCACTACGCAGCCCTCCAGCACCCCACTCCACCGCCTCCTCGCCCCCCCTCTCTTTCTTATAGGGCTCCAGCACATGCCCAGACCCCACCGCCCGCTCAACTTGAACAACTCTCACCACCCCCAGCACTCACGGTACCTAACAACCCTCCCCCCCCCCCTGCAGTACCCAGAGCACCCCTCCCCCCGTGTGCCCAGCATCCCTTGTTGAGCCCACCTGTTATTTTGCTTTGCAGGACAGAGACCTGGCTAACGCCAGAATTCTTTGAGCACTGGAAGGCAACATTTCGTGATGCTCGTGTGTTACCCAAGCAAGCCGATGATGCGCAGCTGGTGCTGGATGGTTGCCGCTTTTGAAAGCAGATCTTGAGATGGAAGGTGTGGTATAGAACTCCAGTCTCCCCACATGTTCGCAATTTATGGGTGGCATCCTCAGGAGAATTGACACAAGGCGCAACTGCATTTGACTATTGGAACCGAGGCTGTCATCAAAGGAGGACTGCCTCAAGGCAGCTATAAAGTGCAGTTCCAGGAGAACAGTCGCCACCTCAAGATTGCGGAAGACGTCCCCCCCTCCCCCCCTTTCCACAGCCCTGAACTCTGAGGATGGGCCCCTCGCCTTCCCCCCTCCCCCCCCCCCCCCTTCGCCCCCCCCAAAGCAGGAGCCCTAAACTCTGAGGTCGCATTTGGCACGACTGGGGCGTAGCCGAAAAGCGGCTGATTTTCGCTCAGCGGGATCCCCGGTCTTGGAGCGAAGCGACCGAACCCTGATGACTCACCGAAAATTCTGCGCAAGCCCCAAGTGCCCAAGCCCTCAACTTTGAGCGCTGGCCGAGGAGGCATAGCCTCGGCAATCAAGGGGCCATAGCGGCGATGGGAGGTGTGCCTGTGCCCAGGGGTGTTACAGGATGTTCTGAGAAGTTGCTCAGTATCCAAAGAGGTCCGGAAGAGCCAAGTGTGCTGTTGGACGTTTGGCTTGAGTATGTGGAAAGTGTCCAGGTTATGTAACATATTCCCAGCAAGGCTGAGTTGGACCTTAGGATATCTAGTGTTTTGCCTGAGAGGTTTAGGCCGAGCAAGAGTTCCGGTGACACGGTCCCGCAGGACTTTGTCTTGCGCTGGCTGTACTGGAGGCCTCCAAAGTTGACCATCACCTTCCTTTGTGTTCGGAATGTTCTTGGGCTTGGGCAGTTGGAGAGGCACCTTGTAGAGCGTGGCTGCATCGGTACTGTAGCATACGAGGCGCTCACTTTGGCTGCCATGCTCCTGGCTCCACGGGTCTGTCGCTCCTCCAGGCACGTTCTGGCGTTTCGAGACGAACTTGCGGGGGGGCATGTGGTGTCTGTGATGATATGACATGTCGCCCCACTGCACCTCGATGCAAGAGGCCTGCAGTGCAGCCTGAACGTCAAAATCTTTGAAACGAAGGCAGCGGTTCTTTGGTGCTTGGATGTGCTTGGCCAGAGTGGATCGTACAGCGCGCTGGGCTGATGAAAGGGCGAACCTCACAAATGAGTGATGCCATGTAATACGCCGTGCAAAATATGCCGGAGAGCATTCCTTCAGGTACCCTCCGCGGTTTACTCCAGCATGCAGAATGCAGCTGCTGTCGGAAGGTAGATTTTTGGTGCATTCATGGGACTTGGGGTCACGGCTAAGAAAGCTGGGAAGGAGTACTCAGAACACGTTCAACGGCGGCTGTTTGAAGTCCCAGTCCCGTCCAAGAGTTTCACGTCCCACGCCTGAAAAAGCATCCGCCAACGCGGGCGCTCAGATATTCGAGCCAGAATTCTGTGGAAAAATGAGGTTCTTGCATGTTCTTGCACGCAAAGGGCATTCCCTAAGCCTTACACCGACGCCTAAAACCCTGAAGGGCTGCCTTGCAAGATCTTGCAAGGGAGAAGATCAGCGGCGAGACCTGTGCCCAGGAGAAGGAGGCCTCCAGCAACTACCAGTAAGACTCAGGGCTGCGATCAAGAATTCTGAGTCGAGTCGGACTGTTGAGCTGGTTCAGCTTGTACAATCATGGATAATCATGGATATTCCGCCCAGATCCTTGAGCTTTCCTCCATCGATCCTTGTGAGTTGTGAAGGGCCCTGAGCCAATTCCCTCGGCCGCGCTGCAGGGAGCCCCTAGTGAAAAACTTTTGACAGGGTGAGTTTCAGGGGTCCATGAACAAATGTCTTGGGCAAGGGAGGGGGGTGGAAGGGTTGTGGAGGGGTCCTAGTCCTAGTCGTCTTCGCGACATCTGAACCGAAAGAGTGGTGGAACACAGTAAAGGCCCCTGGGAGGAGCGGATTGGAGAGGGAGAAGGGGAGATTCCCTATGGCGGGAACTTCTGAGGCCGAAACGAGTATAAGATGATGTTTTCCCGCTGTGACGAAGACTGCTGCCGTCATGCCAGATTTGGGTTTTGATGGAGCGTGTCGATTTTCTTGAGAATGCCTTGTTCTTGACAGGGCCTGAAGCAGGAGCTTCAGAAGCAGCAGGGCTCTCTCTCCTGCTTCTGGGCGTGTGCCTTGTGAGGATCACAACTTTCTCTGATTTCTGAGGCTTCACTCCATCTTCTTGGTTCAGCGCTCTATTGTGGAGCAGGCCCGTGGTCACTGGGCCAAGCCTGCAATGCAAAGTCGCGACATGTCCGGGGAGGTCTTATTCCAGCGATTGAAGAAAGACCTTCTTCGAAAGATGCGCCGCAAGAAACGTGCGCCAGCTGTGATTTTTTTGTTTGGACTCCCCTTCGGAGCGCTGCTCAGTGTCTTGTGTTTCTGCTGATTTTTGAGCTTTTGGGACAAGGCGAGCTGGATGTGAAGGAGAAGCTGCGGCTGCTGCATGCGGCCATGGCAGACTACGACTCTCAGGTTCCTCCTGGCCTCTCCTTCCTGAGCTCCTTCTGCGCAATGAAGAGTCGGGTTTTGTCATCTGAGAGGTGGCGGAGCTTCTGCCGTTCTTCATCAGCAACACCGAAAGAGATAGGGCTGAAAAGAGGCGAGCTTCCCAAGCTTGACAGTCCGCGAGGGCCGCGTGTGTTCGTGGAGCTTGTTGACCCAGTTGGCAAGATCGGATCAAGAGCAGACCTTTGTATTGCTGCTTTGGACTTCCTGCTATGCTCTGCTGCCGCGGGTGCTGAAGCCTTTGAGTCTGCTGTTGGCTGCAGGCTGTCAGAACTCCAATGGGGAATTGCAGACACAGCAGAGGCCGGTGTCAGGTGTCTTGTGGATTGAGAGGAGCGGTCCGCTTCATGGAAGACCTCTCATGACAGGGACAAGAGATGAAGCAGAGATGGAAAATGGTGACTGGACAGCACAGCAGACTTTCAGCCTTTCAACCCTTGAGCATATGTGGCGTACGAGCAGAGATGCTATTGGACTCGATGCCGCAGTGTGCAACCTTAAGGACAGGCTGCGAAGGGCGCCTCAGCGCCAGTCCAAGGAGCTTGTGTTGTCTGCGGCCGTGAGCGAATGTACTCCGTGAGTACCAGAGCTTTGGTTTCATGATTCGCCGGTCAGAAGTGAACATGTGATAAGGGCAATTGCTTGTATACATGCCCTCCGCCCACAGACGCGACACCAGCCATGTCACGCAATGCCCTGCGTCTTGCGTAGGGCAATGTAGGGTACCATGGGACTCAAGGACCCCAGAGTTTTGGGCTCGAATAAAATCGAGGCAAGGCACCCCAAGAGCTCGGATAAAATCTGCCGTCAGGCCCTTTGCGTGCGCGCACGACATACTCTGTTACATGTCCGTTACATCCCGCCCAATCACGGGCCAACATCGTGTTCCCAGGGAACCCTGTGGAAGTAGAGCAGTAGATGCCGTGTTAGCTGCCAAACATCCTTTGGGTTGTAGTGACGGTGCTTGCACACGACGGCTGTAACAAGATGGGTGCCACAGAGGTCTGGAACAGACGGGCGGCTGCGCGGGTCGCGACAATCGGGATTTTTGACGCAGCTGTATGCAGCTACGCAAGCAAGTTTACATTGGAGTGCTGCAGGGATTTCCACAGCAGGATCAAAACTCCAGGCTGTGTCTTAACTTCCCTCCCAGGCCCACCCTGGCACCTTGGCTTGGGCTAGACGCGGGCTCCCATGGCATGTGGCATGCCATCTCGTTTTAGAGCCGGCGGCCTCCAATGGTCGCGTAGCGTGGAGAAATCCAGATAAAGTTGCTGAAGCCCGCACACGTATTTCCTTCGCAGGAATCAAAATGAATCAAACACCATGCGCAAGGGCAGAGGGCTTTCTTACTTGTTGCGGCCAACTGTTGCGACTGTTGCAATGTGGCACTCAACTGGTTGGACAAACCTCCCATTGTGTTTACTTCTGCTGGGTTGCCTTGCCAGCTTTTGCAGGACATCTCTATCTCGTTGTCCCCAGGCATGCGGCTTATGTCGGGAGCCCTGCAAGACACGGGGTTGCAATCTATCCCCATACTCTGGCGTGCTCCGGACGCCCTGCTTTGTATCATGAATTCATCAGGTGCCAAGATCAAACTGTCAAAGCCAGCAGATCGGTACTGTCTATCGGCAGCATGTGCAACATGTATCTTGAATGCGGTCAGGTTGCGGCCGTCTGGGCTTGGAAACTTTCAGCTCTTCTCTCGCCGGAAGGACTTGAGACACGCGTGTTGTCTTCCACAGACGCCACTTGATCTACTCGGCACGCAAAGTCGAGCATGCAGGTTGGACCAAACCAGAATCCCAACGAGGCCGGAGATTGCGATTCGGGGGCGCTTTCTGAGCTGCCCTGCAGTGCCCTGGAGGTTGCGCTTGGCATCCACAACGATGGCAAGGTAATCGACGTCTACAACAACAAGCCCAACCCGCCTTGTCATCCCAGCCTGTGAACCAAGGGTGACGGCCAGTGTTGAGACAAACGTGTGAGCTTGCTGCCAGTGATCAAGCTCCAGCCGACCATCGCGATCGAACTGAGCGCAAGCTGAGTGTGCCTTGTGGCCGCGTGGCCCAGAGGCACCTAACAGTCCTAACACGTGAACTTTATCAGGCACTCCACTCAGAGAAGTGTATGTAGAGTGAAGCAATGTGAAGCATCCACGCGAAGGCATCTAATATCTCACAATACGGCAACCTGGGGCTAGTTTCACTGGCAAGGTCCAGGGTGCAGACTCGTGTAGACCTAACATGGTTTCACACAGTGACTACTATTCTTTCAGTTTTTGACTTGTGGATGCTTAAGTAGACTCGGAGGGACATGCGTCAAGCCAAGTCAAAGTAGCTGTGTGCTGCTATGGATATTGTGCAGATTGTGCATGCTTGCAGCTCTGCGACTGGCCTTGGCTCCTCCATCGACTGGCCCAAGCACTCTTGCAGCAAGATCCGGGCAAGTGCCTGTGCTGCCATGGACGTGGAGGTGTGCGACACGGTTAAACATAGCATAAAGCAGCTTTTTGTCAAGCCTTTGTGTCCCGAAAGAGCAGTGAGAGTTCGCCCGAAGGACCTGGAGGCGCTCCCTGTCAGCTCTGGGGGACATGTTCTCAGCTGCGAGGAGATAACCTGCCTCCAGGCATTGGGGTCTCTGCTCAGCTTGGCTCTGCATTCTCAGCATCTTCCTGTGCCCTGAAGTGACTTGCCAGAATTCTGGGGGCATCTTCTGTTCTGTATTGCCAGGCAGGTTTGACCTTGCTCAAGGCAACTGAGAAGAACCCGGTTCCGCCCTTACCTCGTGCTTCTCGGTTTCAGTGCGCAGAAGACACCAGAAGTGCTAAGTTGTACTACATTGGGGATCTCACACGAGATGCGTCGTCAGACTCCGGAAGCTGCAATGAGTCTTGAGGTGATTAAGTTCTGGGGCAAGATCCTGGGCAAGGACAGCTACCTCTAATGTCCGTGCTCTCCAGAGTGCTCTCCAGATGTTTGGATACCAGGAGCGGGACTACTACATCGCGCGGAGCCGGCTAGTCAAGTGTCAGTGCTACGGATGCTCCAGCCCCCCGGAAGTTTTGCCAGGTGTGCCATTCGGGATATCAAGCCTACATACCCAAACAAGCGCTTCTTCTATGCTGGTGAGGACGGCCAGAGAATCCAGTCTGCGAGCAACTTTCTTTGAGCTTCACCGAAGGACTTCACCTTCAAAGCGCTTCCGGACTTGACCGAAGAGGCTGCCCACGGAATGGTAAGGAGCAGTGCCATCGACAAGTTGGGGGGGGGGGTGTTCAATCTTGTCGCGCCCTTCTATGTGACGCAACGGGCTCGGGAAAAGGTCTACTGCATACTGATTAGTTCAATTTCAGTACTAGGCTTCGCAATGGATGTTGTGTTTCTGGGCACGGGGCACCATGAAGACTCTAGACTACCCAGCCTCAGCGAAAGGCTGACATGGAAGCATCAGATCCATGAAGCCTTGGACGCTGATCCACCCATTGTGTCAAGTTGTCAAGAATCTGTCGGGATTTGTCTCGTCATGAGGTTCCATATTTCTGTTACGACATGTGGCGATTACCTTCCAAAGGGCGCTCCATATCGGTCGGCTCACAAGAGAGTGGTCTCAGGAGGTCATCCATGCTAGAGCGGCTACAGCTACGGCACGCCACCAACATGCGATGAAGTAACATAAGGCCCTCAATGTCCCCACACAATTGTTGACAATGCTGAAGCCAAACCTGATGCACTATGGAACATGGCCTCAAAAGCTCAGAAGTTCAGATGTTCAGATCTGTGCAAAGCCACTCACAGCTCGCGCTCGTCCAAATGCCAGGTTGGTGAAGCCGTGTCCATGCTCCAGCTGGTGGCTCGCTCAGCATTCCTCAGCTCATTCATTTCATGGTTGGTTCTCGTCGATCGCACCACTCTCATCTGCATTCAGACCTGTTCGAAGTTTGTACTCATGCTTGCACCCGGAATGAGACCACCCCGCTGACCGGCAATCCCGATGCACTGCTGGAATCCATGGCAGGCCTTCTGGCGAAGTAAAGTGTCAGGATTCTGATGCGCAGAAGTTGTATCCCGCAGGTGCCGAGCCAAAGGCCAGGGTAGAGAGGGCAAGTCGCCGGAAAGTTGTGCTCATGTCCTGGTGGGCTGTGTGTCGGAAATGTTGGAAGGCTGGGCCCACACTCATCGAGCTGGACAGGCTCGCACTGCTAGTCCAGGCGCCGGGCAGGGTCTGGGTGCGTTTTGGAGCGGCCTACAATGGCCCAGACTAAGACGCAAGACGTCAGCCACAGGAGATCGACTTTGACACAGCGGCTGTTCCCAAAGGCAAAGATCCGGCCATGCAAGCTCCATATGCTTACACTTTGCACCTGGCACATCGCGTAATGTAGAACTGACTCCTAGGACCGTCATTGAGATTCTAGCTGTGGGTTCTACGCAGATTCTCCAGCAAAGCGGCAACTTGGCAGGCGCCTACTCTCTGAACGAGGGGCAGGCGCGCTGCAGAAGAACCGAAGAGGGGAAGAGTGGGCGGACGGAGCAAGTACTCCTTGTAAGAGTCCTCTGTGTATGCTTCCTGGACAAAGCCTTGCTTCCGTTTACAACCAGTTTTGTTTTTCTAATGTGTGGTTCATGCCTCTCCGAAGCTAAGGTGGTGGTTCCCAACAGCGCCTTCCGAGGCCTGGAGCCCGCCAAGGCCAGTCTAGTAAGAGAGAGAGAGAGAGAGAGAGAGAGAGAGAGAGCGAGAGAGAGAAGGGGCGGCCTCCTCCTTTGGGGAGGGGCCATGCGTGCAGAGAGAGAGAGAGAGAGAGAAGCGGCGGGCCAGAGAGGCCGGGGGTTCCCCTTGGTCTCGAGGGGTTAAGCGCGCTGCAAGCAAGCAAGCAAGAGAGTGTTAGTGACAACTGCACACACATAGACACACGCTTCTGCTCTGGTGTGAGACTGCTAACTGCTTGTCCCCTCCAACTGCACTAAGGTATTCATCCCCGCAGTCGCGGCTGGCTATTCCATCCCCTTAAGAAAGGCCCTAACATTTGCTTGCTTGCTTGCTTGCTTGCTTGCTTGCAGCGCGCTTAACCCTTCGAGAGCGGTCGCCCCAAGTGGCACGCTTCTTCGGGTTTGTCGGTGTGAGACAGGGTGCTTGGTGGAGTTCGGTAGAACCAATACAGTTTTGTGATATGTAGGGCCAGTACACGGTATGACTCCTTGGCGAGCACATTGACTCGGCACCCTAACACTTGGCCACGTCGTCTGCTGAGAAGTCTCACCGAGGCGTGCAGGGGGCTCTCGGGCTCCTCAAGCCCCGTAGAAGAAGAAGAGGAAGAGAGAGAAAAGGGTGGGTGGGTGGGAGGGAGGGAGGGAGAGGGAGGGAAGAGAGGGTGACAACACAAAGATGTGTCACCGACAGACATCGTGGAACTCGGGCGCACTCTGCGCGCGGGGGTTCAGGGGTAACCCTGGCCCTCAAGCCCAGACGAAGCAGAAGAGACGAAGAAAAGAAGAAGACGAAGAGAGAGGATGGAAGGCCCCCGCGAAGTCTTCGACAGACAAACCAAAGCTTCACGAAGGCGACGTCGCTGCAGAACTATGTCCACTTCAGACCTCCGGCGAGCGTCTGCTCTTCAGCATTCTAGCGCAGAGCATCGCAGAGCCCTTTTTCAAATCTCCAAAAGCAGCGCTGGACACTGAGGTCGTGAGCCTAAAGGCACAAGCCTGCAATGATGTACGGGCCCTGACTATCCCATCGCGGTGTTGAGAGGACATTCAGGATGCCATGCAACCTCCTTTTCCTTCGCACCCAGTTGGAGTTCCAGTCCAACTTCCTGGATTTGCTCTCCGATGACTTGCCCAAGGGGTGCTGGGCTGTGCGGCAGGAGACAATGCTAGACGGAGCGCATTTATCTTGGAGATCTCCACCACATTCCACCACTGCCAGGAGCCAGAAAAAAGTTCTTTGGTCACCTTACGCTCACTGCAGCTGCCTGAGACCACCCTCTTCTAACTTGTTTGGAAAGCAATTTTCTGGTGCTGACACTGTAGTCACTGTAGTCAAGAGTCTGAGGATGTGGCCAGGCTATTCAGCGTTTCACGTGCCTGGCACTGGCAAGCGCTTGGCTCAACGCAGGGTTTAGCCAAAACGACAAGCGCTTTGCTGAAGGTGGTTTCTTTCTTGAGGTTTGGGAGCGTGTACTTCGGCTATGCTTCCAAGATAAATGACTTGGCCTTCCTTCTTTAAGGCAGCGCCGCACGGAGGTTTCACAAGGATGAACCGCAGCCGCATCCCTTGGCAGAGGTACCAGACGCTTCCTGACCACCCGAAGATCTTGCCAGGGCCGAAGGCCAGAAGCTCCGGTGATAAAGACCCGCGAGAGCGAAATACGGCTCGGCTGCACTGCGTCTCTCTTGAAGGACACCGTGCTAGTAGTCTGTGTTTTTTTTTTGCACTGGCGCAGGCACAGGCTCTCACCCAATGCAACTGGCCTGAGGGACCGGTGAAGCTCACATGGTGTCCGGAGCTTAGAGACAGGCCCTCCTTTGCCGCACAACATGACATCGTCTTTGCATTTGTGTGCACCGTGCACATGAGTGTTGTTGGAAGTTGGAAGTATGCGGTTCGATGAAGGCCTCCGTGACTTGGAATTCGAGGGCCAGACGACTGAACCTGGAAAAGAGCAGAAGGAGACGCAAGCTGAAGCCAGCTGCTCCAGCATCTTTTCGCCTGGTTTACACTTGATTCTCCAACAGTTGCACCGCAGCCACCGCTCCGATGAAGAGAGAAATCTAGAGCAGGCAAGTAAATGCAGCATGACTCAGTTGAAGATGCATACCCGTGCCTCGCACAGAGAGTAGCTAACTGCGGGATACGGGAGGCATGCAACATGATTCTGTAGTTTTTTGCTATATTCAGCGAGCTACGCATGGGGCATCACAAGAAACGTCTGAATAGCCAAGAAGGGATTCGTGTACGTTCCATGCATCGTAGCTATGAAGCGTGGCTACGAAGACGCCGGTGCCTTTTCAGGCATTGCATCCTTGTGGGAGTCTTGCGAGTCCTGGGTGTCGGGGCTGTGGTAGGTCTGGAGCTGTGTGGAACCTCGTGTAGCGGCGTAGCGGAGCCTAAATGATGAGCCTACATTGGGCCTTCATCGATTCTCGGAAGGCGCGCGTCGACGGACTGCTGAGGGCATTCCCAGAGCCAACTTCGGCCTCAAGGTCGGACGGGCCGGACATGGAGGGATTGCCTGTGTGCCACGTGTGCCACTCGAGCCCTTGCTGATTGTGTCGGACAGTCGTGTGGCCAGCCCCAAACGCTCAAAGTGGAACGATAAGTCTGGTGTCGTGATGTGACTGACCTGTGAGGCGTTGCTGCCAGATGCATTTGCCAGCTTCCTCCTCCGAGAGCGGGGCCATGCCAAAGAACAACTCCAGGAGGATGGTTGATTGTAGCGACCGTTGTGCTGCGACATGTCCCGACCCTTGCAAACGCCGCTCACTGGCCCCTGAGCAGGAATCTGGAGCACGGCTTATCTTTAGCAACAAGGGCGACTTCTTCCCAGACACGCTGCTGCGCGTGCTTGGGGAGCTGGCCTTAGCTGAAATTGACAAAATTGTGACGAGCCTACTGCTCCTGGAGATGAAAGTGCTGCAGCATCTCTCCTTCCCCCTCACCCACACTTCACTAAGCCGCTAAGGTGTTCGCCGACACATCAGAGGCTGTCAACGTGGCCCTAGATCTGATAGTCGGTTGGAGGCCAAGCTTTCAAGGTCCTAGGCGCATGCCCAATGATGCCCAAATGTATCAGCACGTGAGATGGCGCCAGTGACTCTGTGATGGTGCCTAAATAAGGAAGGATGAGGGAGCTGGCCGAGGAAGACCCGTCTGGAGCCTGAGAAGTCCGTGCCACCAGTGAAGAACCAGGACGAACGATCTCGAACACCACCAGCCGGCTGTGAGATGCTAGGCAAGGAGGAAGGCTGGTCATGTCAAAGAGTCAGAGTCAAAGGGTGTGCACGGTGTGCATGTTTCGGCTTTGGTTTTTTTGAGAACTCTTGCAAGAGGTGAGTATGTCTTCCGAGTCATTCTGCCACGCGACCTGTGCCTGTCCAAGATTTGCTGACCTTTGTGCCAAGCCAAACAAGAGCCAGTTTGAGTCATTGAGGACTGGTCTCCTCATTGGCAGCCAGGGGGCCAACATCAAGCAGCTTCGCCGGGAGAGTGGTGCCAAGGCAGGTGAACCGAGAACTGAGAGAACTGAGAAGCACATTGAAATCATGATGCTTGGTACACTGGCGGTAGATGATGGGTTTTGAGACTGCGCAGGTTTTTGCACGACTTGGCAGGTAAAGCCAGGATAAGCCAGATCGATTGAAGCACCAGAGTCCGATACGATAGATTTCCGTGCCCGCGGCTTTTTCCCACTGATGTGCTGGCCCATTTAGGGTAGTTGCTGGATGCCCATCCGTGCTGGTGTTCTTTGGTCCCAGCTCTTGTGCCGTAATGCAAGATGAGGACTCGGGTGTGGAGGTGGCAATCACGACAATCACGGGCCAGTCGTGTGTGGTGCGTTTGCAGGCGACAGCTACAGTCCAGGAGGCTAAGCATTCCATCGAAAGTGCACTGCCGGGATTTCCCGTCATTGAGCAACAGTTGCTACAAGGAACGGCCATCCTTCCAGATGATTCGCGACCATTCGTGGAGATAGCACAGCAGGGCCTGGAACTGCTTGTGCTCCGACAGCCGCGCATGAACCTCAAAAAGTTCATCTCTGAACATGGGTACACTGAGAGCGATGTCCCCGCATACCTTGATTATCTGCTTCGTGAAGCTAGCCGAAGAGAGGAGCCCAACGTGTGCCTTGAGATCATCTGTCATCCCAAGTTCAGTCGCTTCGAGCGCGAGGAGCATCGTAACAATGAAAAGGAGCGAGCAAGCATGCTGCTGAGTCTTCTCCACCAACCCTTGTTTCCAGCATTCGAAAGTTTGGTACAGCATGAAGGCTTCGGACAGATACCAGGGATGCTGGACGAGGCTGCTGTTGCGCTGCATTCTGCCGCTTCTGCTGGCCTTGCCCAACACTGCCGATGTCTTCTCGAGAGTCCGCACTTCCAAGCCGCTGCAAGCAAGAAGCCTGGGACCTCCTCCACAGCCCTTCATCACGCGGCAAACGCTGAAGTTCTTCGCGTTCTTCTAGATTCACCTACCCTGGCAACGGCTCTGAATGAGCAGGACCGTTTCGGGTGTACTGTTCTTCACTATGTGACAACCGAGGAGATGTGTCGCATGATATTAAGTCAGACTGTGCTTGCTTCTGAGTTTGTCAACAAAGTGGACTTCTCTGGCCAAACAGCCCTGCACTGTGCGAAAAACGCGGGAATCAGTGCAGCACTCCTGGAACACGGCGCGCTCTGCTCCTTGAGTGTGGCAGACAATTTGGGAAGAACACCCCTTCACACGCTCGCACGAAACGCCCCAGCTCTGGCCACGCTGCTGCGCTTCAGTGCTGCTGGAAGTGCTGGAAGTGGAGATGGTGCCGAAGATGGCGCTGAAGGTGCCGACTTCGACGTCAATGCCTTGGACAAGAGGGGCCGTACTGCCCTGCACTATGCCACGTCAGAGGAGGCCTGCGCACTGTTATTCCAAGCTGGCTTCGGGGCAATAAATGCATTGGATGATGTTGGTATGTCTGCGCTTCACACTGCCAAGAACCTTGGAGTTGTCCGGGCAGTCGTGGAACACCCAAAGTTCTTGAAACTGAACGCGATTTGCGATTTCGGTATAAGTCAGCATTCCGACTCTGCACTGTCTCGTGCCGCTAGCCTTGGTGATAGCCCCCTGGTGCTGGAGCTCCTCCGACACCCAGGCCACGACCTGCAATCCCTGCAAAAAGCAGCAGACTTTGCGCAGGGGTGCACGGAAACTGCATGCCAGGCACTACTAGCAGCACGAGACCTGCAACTCAAGCACGAGACAAAAGTGGAAGAGCAAATGGCCTCAAAAAGTCGATGCACTCTGCTATGAAGGCAGCCAGATGGATGTATCTGGTGAGCCCGCTGAGCGCTTCGTTTGGTGAGCCGACCCGACAGTCGCAAGGGGCTCATCTACCTTAACTTTTCAGTTGAACTGTTGAACAATGTTTTTGACAAGCAATTTAGCCTTGTCTTTGGTTGTTGTCGTCATTGATCATTGGTGATTCCCCTTTCTGGAAGACTCATTCAGCGTCATTCAGGATTTGATTGGTTGGGGCCGTGCGGTACCCTCTAGCCCTGTCGGGCGAAGATTCATGTAAGGGTCCAGAAAGCTCAATCGTTTGTACAGTCGAGAGCTGCATGGGGCGAGTGAAAACACGTGCAGCAGAGTGGCTGCATAGAGACTCTGTGATGGTATGGCTGTGTGATGGGCTGAATGAATGCCCGGAGCCGTTGGCACTGGAAGCTGAGCTGGCAGATCGTCATTCGGGATGACACCATTGCTGGGCTCGCCTGTCTAGCTTTGACATTCACCTTTCGGATTCTTGTAGTTGTAGTCAAAGCATGTCTCAAAGCTTTCAGAGCTCAATTCCAGGCACCGCCTGGCAACCCTCAGCGGGGTCCCTGAGAGCATACTGGAGGCGTTGCTCAGCCCTCATATGAAGCATGTGCGGTTGGGTGTAGAGCTAGTGATGCATGACGAGCTAAGGCGTCGCATCACTGACACCATGCAGCAGGAGGCTGGCTCCGACGAGGCCCCGAGACAGTGGAAGAGCATTTCCAGAGCTCTGAGCTCTTATGGCTTTATGATCCTTTGTGCTATTTTTGCTTTGTTCACATCATCACTGCTGCATCCTCTCCTGGGCCCTGAAGTTCCAGCAGTACCTCCGGGTCATCAACTTCAGTGAAGCCACAGCTCACGAAGGCATCAGCAAGACAACCCAAATTGTGCCGACAGTTTTTCGTCTTCAGTTTGGACTTGCCATTGCACCGAGCTGTGGACTTGTGTTGCAGGATCGGGAGGCGGATGGAGCTACGATGGCCCAGGCTCCGAAGAGCGCTTGAGACTGGACAATTGACTTGCCGGCTGAGTTGTACTGTATCTTGAGTATCTTGAGCCGACGGTCCAGGCAAGGGCGGCTTTCGGCAGCCTCCTTTCCGATCGGAAGGGAAGGCGCCCAATGCTCTAACCTGCTCAGAACTTTTGTTCCCTTGGCTTCGCGCAACATTGTGCCGTTTCAGTGGTGCCTGTTTCGGCAATGGGTCTCATGCTCAGTGTGGACAGCGTGCAGGCACCAGTTGGCCTCGATCTTCTAGGGGAGGAGACAGTCCTGTGCCAGTTGCAGCTTTGGTTTGTCTGAAATGTCTCGGATCTGTCACGTGTTGCCTTGGTGAGCTTGAAAGGACTTGGCCATGTTGCCACGCGGTGCTGCAGAGTCTGGCTCCTAAGGGTGAAGCGATCCTTGGCTTGTCTGGTGCGTGTGTGCGTGTGCGACACATGAAGGATGTCCTACTCCGTGTCCTGTGCGCTTCCAGCAATGGCCACAGCTGCTTACCTATGTTCGAAGGCTCTAAGAAAAGTGTGGCAGCATACAGCAATCTCCTGTGCAAGGGTCAGCTGGTTCCGGCTTTGATTGGCAAGGCTGGTGAACTTGTGAGGCCCGCGTTGTCGCATGCATTCAGAATGTTTACACAGCAGCTTCAATTTGTTCAGCTTGCCTGGTCGGTTTCTAGTCAGGAGCATCGAAGACAGGACGGGTGCCAAGATCGATATCTCCCGCGATCCCCTCCCTGGAAGAGATAACCTCAGGACTTCACACGGGAGTGGGTCGGCCGAGCATCGTGGCATTCCAAGTCCCCGAAATGTACAGGAAGATGGAGTGCATCGGACCCCTGCTCAGCATCTACGCGGCGCATACACTGATGATGCAGCGGCTTCAGGCCAAGCGACAAACGGCATGGCTGGACGTGTCCATGTGTATCAAGCCTGTCATGCTTTCTTGGAGGAGGTGGAGCAGACGCCACCACCGGCTAGGAGCCTGACTGCAGAAGATGCCGTTGGTTCTGGCTGCTGACCGGGCTCCGTTCAGCCAGGAGACCTGACAGATCAGAGCCTCACCGAAGTTGGAGTGGGCATCGCCGCAGTGATGCTCGACATTACTGTGTGATGAATGACAAGAGCCTTTTGCTGTTCACCTTCTAGTTTGAGCCACATCGATCCGGCGCCGTGCGATGACACTTGCTGAGTAGGGTTGGCCAGCTTTCAATGCCTGAGGACGACAACGGCAGCAGTCGAACCGAGCGTCAGAAGGATGGTCCCGCTGCTTGTTGCGAGCCGCCACACCAGTCTTGACTTTCTGCAGCTGAGACCTTCCTTCTGATGCAAGGAGCTTGAGGCCATGGTTGCAGATTTGGAGAGGAAGTGCGCCAGCTGAAGAACCACAAAGCGTGCATGTTTTGTTGTGTTTCAAAGTGCCTTACAGAGCCTCTTGCCAAGCACTCAGGCTGTCTGAGGCCCAAGGAATGCCGTGAAAAAAACCCGTTGGAGCAAGCGTGCTGCTGAGGAGTCAGGGGTTGGTTCCTTGTCGTTGATTTCACATTCCTTTCTTTCTGCCCTTCCTTTCTCACCTCCGAGATGATTCCCCGAGGCAGCAGCTGGTCTGGCCGACTGCGCGGTGAAAGGATGTGCAGTTGTTGCCGAGTTGTTGCCTGCTGTTCCGATCTGCTCCATGCCGTGCCCGCTGTGCTAGTTGTTTACTACTACATGGTGCGACAGTGCAATCTGCCACAGAGTCGAGACATGTCAAAATTTGCGGGTTGTAAGTTTGCATACCCGGCTGCTCTCGAGCTCATGAAATCCCATTAAAGCTGAGAGACAAGTTCCATCAAGTTTTGGTCTCCTTGTCGAGTGTGACGCTGTTTGCGTGCACTCGGCAAGGCCAGCAAGGCCTAATGATTCCTAATGGCAGAGGCTTGTAGCGTCCACTAGTGGTCCACTCAAACCATATCACCATACCCAGACTTAGAAAGTCATAGCAACACAATAAAACACAGACAGTGTGTCTGTCAGAGTGTGCATTTCTTAGCTGTAGCCGCTGTTGTCGCCCTGGGCGGCATGGAGTCAGACGACCAGGCCCCCGACCTACGAAGAGATTAGATTAGGAAAGTGTCGGCTCATAAATGGTGGGGCGAGGGAACTGCAAAGATCACGTGGATGTAGAAAGAGCTGACAGCATAAGCAATTAGGAACCACGTCATGGATCATCAGGCTCCACCAGGAGGGCCGGACGGGGCGGAGCAGCCGGAGCAGCCGCCGGAGCCACCGCAGCCACCGCAGGCGGAGCCACCGGGAGCAGAGCCACACGAGCCACCGGAACCCTCCGGTTCAGATGGGAAGCCTTCGGCTCCAGAGCCTCCTGTGGACGCTCTCGCCACGGCGGAGCCCAACACGGAGCCCAACACGGAGCTCCCGGCGAGCCCTGAGACTGAGGGTCCCGCCCTGGAGGAGGGCACGCATCATAGCTGAATTTATGTATTAGCAAGTCTTGCAAGTGCGACTACACCGACTACGGAGCTGGGTATGATGAGGTTTGTTTCGATGACCTGACAGCCATGTGAATCATGTGAGCAGGGGTAGAAAGTGCACAAAGCCGGATTGCACACTCCCTTACATCTCCGCTTTCTATGCTAGCTCAGCACGCAGAAGCAACAGCAATCCCTCCACGTTTTGAGGCTCTTGGCCTCCAAGAGCCTTACAGGATGCCCCTAATTCAAGATTCCCCGCCTGCTTCCCAGGGCTTAAAGAGGGCCTCGAGTTTTAAGGCGCATGGTTTACACAAGGACCGCTACGTTTTAATGTGCATGGTTTACACAAGACCGCTACTTGCTTCAATGTGAGAAGGAGACGAGAATGCAGCAATGCAGCATAACCCGCTTTTAAAACACTGAGGACGCTGCAGGGAGCCGAGGCCGCTCAGCCGGAGATGGAGGCGCAGCCCGTCGAGCCCGGCGGCGAGCCCGTCAGCGAGCCCGTCGGCGAGTTTGGGGCGCCTGGCAGCCTGGAGCCAGCAATGGCACCTCCAGCGCCGGGAGGAGCACCGGACGGTGAAGCCACAGCTGCAGCGGAAGCCCCAGCTCCAAAGACCGAGCCCGACATGAACGGCGAAGCAACCCACTCCACACCCGAGACTGGAACATCCGAAGCTGCCGCGAATCCATCGAATGGAGCTGATGACCCAGCCCAGGCAGCGGCCACCGATGCAGCAGCAGAAGCACAAGCAGCAGAAACACAAGAAGCAACAGCAGCGAAAGAAGCAACAGCAGAAGAAGTGCCGGTTGAAGCAGCGACGTCAGCTGATGCGGCGCCTGGCACAGTGGCTGAAGCAACGGCTGAAGTAGAAACATTCCCTTCTCAGACTCAGGCTCAAAGCGAAGAGCCACCTGCCACACCGAGTACGGAGCATGTTGCCAAGCCTGCCAAGGCTGAGCAAAAAGGTGAACAACCCAAGCCAGCTGCCCCCTCAAGAAGCACACCTTCCCAGAAACCCAGCTTGCAAAGATCTGGTAGTGCTCCCCCAGCTCGAGGCTACCAAGTTGCGCAGGCCTACAAGCACTCTATTGACCTGCCCCCTCGATGGAGCATCCGTCCTAAGACGAATTTTGGATCTCCGTTCAAATCCTCAAAGCAGGCGGATGAAGGCGGCATGGCGCCTGACATGAGCTCCAAGTACAACGAAATCAGACCTCGGGCACCAGCCTACAGCATGATTCCACGGAGCTCTGGCATCACCAAGACATCAGATCAGCCGGGGCCGGGTGAGTACGCACAGCCCAGCACGCTCTATGGCTCGCACCCGCAACTACCGGTACCTGGCCGGGTCTGCAAATCAACGCAGCGCCGCACTGGACCTACGGATCAGTTGGGGGAGATGAAGAACAACCCGAGTCCACATGACTATGACATCGTGTGCTCAGGGCCAGACAAATCCCACAAGTTTGGCCGTGTGGATCAGGCATCCGCGCCAAAGTTCACGATGCGCGCAAAGGTTGCTTTCGGATCCCAGTTCAAATCGTCAAAGCAGGCGGAAGAAGGTGGTATGGCAGGTGACATGAGCTCCAAGTACAACGAAATCAGACCTCGGGCACCAGCCTACAGCATGATTCCACGGAGCTCTGGCATCACCAAGACATCAGATCAGCCGGGGCCGGGCGAGTACGCACAGCCTAGCACGCTCTATGGCTCGCACCCGCAACTACCGGTACCTGGCCGGGTCTGCAAATCAACGCAGCGCCGCACTGGACCCACGGATCAGTTGGGGGAGATGAAGAACAACCCGAGTCCACATGACTATGACATCGTGTGCTCAGGGCCAGACAAATCCCACAAGTTTGGCCGTGTGGATCAGGCATCCGCGCCAAAGTTCACGATGCGCGCAAAGGTTGCTTTCGGATCCCAGTTCAAATCGTCAAAGCAGGCGGAAGAAGGTGGTATGGCAGGTGACATGAGCTCCAAGTACAACGAAATCAGACCTCGGGCACCAGCCTATAGCATGATTCCACGGAGCTCTGGCATCACCAAGACATCAGATCAGCCGGGGCCGGGCGAGTACGCACAGCCTAGCACGCTCTATGGCTCGCACCCGCAACTACCGGTACCTGGCCGGGTCTGCAAATCAACGCAGCGCCGCACTGGACCCACGGATCAGTTGGGGGAGATGAAGAACAACCCGAGTCCACATGACTATGACATCGTGTGCTCAGGGCCAGACAAATCCCACAAGTTTGGCCGTGTGGATCAGGCATCCGCGCCAAAGTTCACGATGCGCGCAAAGGTTGCTTTCGGATCCCAGTTCAAATCGTCAAAGCAGGCGGAAGAAGGTGGTATGGCAGGTGACATGAGCTCCAAGTACAACGAAATCAGACCTCGGGCACCAGCCTACAGCATGATTCCACGGAGCTCTGGCATCACTAAGACATCAGATCAGCCGGGGCCCGGACAGTATTTGCTGCCGAGCACGTTGCTTCGTAGCATTAGTCATTTGGTTTTGGGCTTGGTGAGGGACATTATTGAAGAACTGCGACATCGTCCTAGCACTATATACTCGTAGCATGTAGTCTTTATCGTGACATGAGGCAAGGCTGCACCACACGCTTTTGTAAGGCTGTATGGGAGCCACCCGCAGTTGAAAGTGCCCGGCCGCGTGGCCAAGACTACATCAGCATCTCGGACCAAACGAAGCCGCTCCATAAACGTCACCGCGTATGCCAGCGTGTGCTTGCATCACTTTGTATGAAGTCGCAGCATGGCATTTGTCTCTTACTTTCTCTTACTCCCAAGGACAGGTTTCCACCTCCCAAGGCCTGGAGCTTAGCTGCTCACAAACTTTTCCGCAACTGCATCTTGCGTGTCCCGATGCTGGCATGCTCGTACTGATAGAGTCGAGCACTAGCACGCAAAGGTTTTGTGTGTGTGTGTAACCTTGCTGAGATGTCTTTCAACATCGCAAGAAAAACTTAAACCCACACCAAGGAGGACAACACACCTCTCTGAGTGCGGAGTGCTACTGAGTGGCAGTCCTGATAGTTGCATTCTGCCTGCAGTGTAAATCAGGCGCATCGGCAGATACTCAATACCCAGCACTGATTCTGCACAGCAGGCAGCAGCAGCTGACATCTTTGCACGTTATTGCAAGGCAGCCTTCGACTATTGCGGAGGGCCTTGTGGCAAGAAGCTAATGAAACCGGATGCGCTGAGCTTCTCAGGCAGTTCTGAGTTTTTCCAGATGCGTCCCAGTCAGCAAAGACGAGCCCAGAAAACTGGCCGTCTTCGTTGATAATGTTGAGATGGTGGAGAAAGCACGGGTCGGCTGTGGATCTGTAGCCTGGGGGCCACTGGAAGACCGTAAAGAGCACGCTGAAACTTCATGATCCCTGCCACTGCATGATTTAGCTCATTCAAGACAAGTCAGCAAAACAAGCATTTAACAATAATCTGGCAGAATGCGCGCATGGTGCAGTTGCAGAACAGGGCTCGAGGCATCGCAAAGAAGTAGGTGCCTCAATCCCTTATGGCCTGAGACAAGGACTCGTCGCAGAGCACGTCGTCCTCGTGCTTGCAACTGCCGCGTTGAAAAGCCCTTCAAGTCTGCTTGCCAGGAACATAGATTCGGGGCCTCTCAGTCATGACTGGGCCGGAACCTTGCCGTGATTGTTGCAAATGCACACGGCAACGTGCCGTGCAGTCTTGCCTCGAGGTCAATCGGTGAGATGGCCAGTCGCTACCCTGGAAGACCGTGCCGTCCACACCATCACGTCGCGTGGGGTTCCGTTGAATCCATGGGAGTTTCTCTTGGGGCCCAGGCAGGCTCCTGGAGATGCCCCGGGCTGCTGCCTCATTTCCAGAGGGGCATCAGATGCATACTTCGGAGATCATAGGAGAGCCCGTCTCATCCGGCCTAAGCTGCTTTCTTCCGGGCTCCTTAGTTCTAAGGCTGTGCTTTGCCAACGATGCGGTGTTCTTTCCATCCTGTCACTGTCTGCACTACTGCGACTGAGGGCACCAAGACGCCGGGATGGATGCACACGTCCTTCCAAGCAAAGGACGCATCGGTGCGCCATGCAGAAAGAAGTCTTGACACGTTTCTTTTCCTTGTCACTGTCGAGGTGCAGATGCCGCCTGTGATGCCCTTGCCACCGCCGCCCTCGGCTGCTGCTGCCCAGCCGCTCGACTGCATCGCCTTGCCCAGCTTCGTTTACTGACGGCACGGACACATCCTAATATGAATGATTCAAAGTATGGCAGCGGCTCAAAACGTTAGGGGCTTGTAACGGGCGCTCACAGCGCGACAAATGGTTTGTAGCCAAAACTGGTTTTTGCGGCAAGCCTCTTGCGACAAGGCTTGCGCGCCCAGAATGCCGCGCGACAAGGGCTTGCAGCAAAGCTGGCGCGACAAGGGTTGTAACAAGGTGGGGGCCGACACCCCGCTACAAACCGGAGCTCTTTGCTTTTCCCAGCGGAGTGTCTGCTTTTGACTATGCGCCCCGTTTGCACGCCCCCCCGCCCCCCCAACTTATGAACTGATCTATGCTGCAGATGGTTGCGTTGCACTGAATGCAACGGCTGTGGTTTTCCCTCGAAGCCGTGTGCCCACACTGTAAGCTGCAAGCCTCGCACCAAGGTGGGCCCAGCATGCTTACACGGCCAGCACACAGGCATGGGCGGCATGGGCAGCAAACGGAAGTCATTGAAGTCCTCGCTGCCACCGGAAGCCACTGTCAGGCGGCAGCGGCCAAGGCTGCAGCAGCCAAGGCCGCCGAGGTGGCAGCAGCGCAAGCAGCAGCTGCCCAGGCACCGTCGGGCAGGCTTTGTATTTAGGTAGGTTCTAGTAGATGTTCCAAGGGTGGCAGGAACCCATGCCATTTCTCGAGAACTTGCCATGACTTCAACATCTACATCAGAAGCAGTTTACGATCCCGACCACCATAGTTATTCGCTGTTTCGGGTGTGTCCATCTATGCAGTGGTATCTTGGTATGGGTCTTGTCCGTCCAGGCTGCCGCCACTCAGGCGCAAGTAGCACAGGTCAGTGCGCAGCAGGTCACGCGCTGAGAACAAAGCAACTCGAAGCCAGGGAGGTTCTCAGTGTTGTGACTTCAGCGTAGCCCGGAAGTCGAGGCTGCAGCAGCGCAAGTGGCGCAGTCCTTGGGTCGGCCGCCTCGGCTCCTGAACCTTTTGAAGCTGTAAAACACCTCCTTGTGCTCTCTGTCTCAGCACTTGTGCACTGCCGGCTTCAGGCTACAATGTGGCTCCTGTCGGCGTTCCCACAGCGGCCGCCTATGGGGACCGTTCTGGCCAAGGGAATCCCGTACGGTGAGAGCGATGGAGCATCCGGCCCCCTTGGCAGGATCTTCCGTCTGCGGCACCACCGTATGGTCTTAGCTCTCCCAACCCCATGCCGGCCTCACTGGCATCAATGCATCCGTTTGGCCGCCTTGTTTCAGCGGGTTGCAGCATTGCCGTTAGGCTGGATGCAGTTTGAACTGGCCAGGCTTTGGATTTTGCCGGCGGCCTTTGTGGCCTCTTGCCTCGAAGGATCACAGATTCTGACGCTCATTTCCTGCATGGGTCTCAGCTTTTGAGTCATGCACTTTGTAGGAGCACGGCCTGGAGCAAAACCCAAGCCAGGGGAGGTGCTGTCTCTGCACTGGTGCCAATGACGTCATTTATGCGACTTTGTGCTCGTGCGTGCCATGTTTTCCCTGCCTGCAGTTCTTGCCGTCGGTTCCCGCGGACTTCATCAGCGAAAGCTCAAAGACGTGCTTTCAGCAGTACTCGAGCTGGGGAGAAGACGGTGCAATGTAAAGGCGCCAGGAAAAGGAGCGAGTGAGGCCCTAGGCAAGATTCTCTCTTGCGCACCATGTGTGAGTATCAGCGCAAGACCGGCATGTGCCCCTTGCTGCATGCCTAATTTTGCATATTTCTGTGCGTACCCTTGTGTAGAGACTAGCCATCTGCCGCAGCGCCGGCCGGAAAGCGAGATTGGAGACGTGTAACGTGACACAGAGGGGGTGGGCTGCATGTCGCCATGGCCTGGCTCTCGTCCTTACAGATTGGCCAAGGCTGCTTTGCTGCCATTTGCTGCCCACTCATGTTGTGTTCCTTTGTCTTCCCTTTTATGCCGCAATGCAAAGCAGAGTGCAGGTTTGGGAGCTCTGGAATGCGCCAATCCTTGAAGCTTGCTTTCCGTTTCAAGCAGGCATTCAATCTTCCTTGCCCATGCCATGACGCATAGACTCGGCATAGACCTTGCGCTGGAGTGCTGTGAGATGCAGGCGACGAATACGATCATTGCACCACATGTGAAGAATGGGGATTGGCAGAAGGCACCTTGATGTGTGGTGCTCGATGTGCTGGGGTATGCTGGAGCCGAATCTGGCAGGCCTTTCAGATCCTGAAGGTGCGACTACTAGCAGTGCGCTACTGTAGCAAATCTAACAACCCATTTGGCAGCCACGCGTAGCGCTCCCCGAAGTTATGCCAGGACGCCGGGCGCGGTGCCGATGCAGGGGCCCTTGGAGACATGGACGGCGGTGCTGTCGATGGACGAGAAAGAGCCGGGATTCTGTGTTGACAGAGGTCGTGCACTTCACGTTGGGACTGCGGTCGTGCGTCCGCAACTGAGTGGCACGTGAAGTCCTTGACACCTTGACATGTCACGAAGCACATGTGCATTTTTCAAAGCTCGACAGCCCATTTGCGGCAGCCACTCACTGTTTGCTGAGGCTTCAACAGCTGCATGGGAGGCGGAATCAGCCAGTGTGGAGAGATGAGAACAACCTGTGGAGCTGTGTTAAGCCGTGTGGCATACCGTGGATTTCCCAACGACGCTGGCAAGACGGGCCTTCGCATGCAGGTGGCATTGTCAATCCTGCCCTGGATTGCTCGCTTGCGTCTGAGCCTTGCGCTCGGTTCTAAGAGAAGGCTTGAAGAGTTTCATACGGAGTTGCAGGGAGGGTCCGAGAGCATTTTACATGGGGGCTATGGGAGTCCCCATAAGGGAGCCCCTCTGGCGCCATGGGAGCCTCCGAAGCATCCCTTGAGGCCCGGACCAGCACTTCTTCAGCTCGGCCCTGACCGTTTGCAGCCGAGCGGCTCGGTGGAGAGAAGCCCAGGCCTCGGAGGACGTTATAAAACGAAAATGGTTGGAAAATGCACTTATGTTACATGCGGCTGCGCTCCGTCAGGTACTGTAATGTATTAGTGCTGTGCGGAAGCATTTTGGTGAAGGTGTTTGGTCGTTTGGTGCTACTGCTGGGTATGACGGACGAAGGGGGCAGTTGCATGCTTGAGGCGTTGGCCATCCTTTCGCAGAACCCTGTGCCGTCCCTGGCCACGTGCCAAGACCGGTTGATTGTCAGAAGTCCTTTGCTTGGTAAGCGCAAACTTCTGACAAACCAGGTAGCACACTCGGCGGCAATGGCTGCGTGCGAGAAGGTGGTTGTTCGAGCATGAAGCATACGTCAGCTGGCAGCTTTTCACACTCTGAGTGAACATCGAGACTCATTTCTCTCCAGCAAGGCAGGCAAGTGGAAGATGGTGCTGCACATGCTCTCCTACCTGACCACGTTGCGGTTGCAGCCGGACGGCATGTGCGCTGTGTGCCTCGTCCGAGATGGCAATCAGCAGTTGGGGCAGGATCGTATCGCCTTCACTTCATGTGTGGGTGCTGGGCTCTGCTGCTGTGCGCATGACAGCGAGGATTGTGACAAAGACGTTGCACTGTGCCAAGGTGCCATTGAGAAGATAGGCCTTTGGCAAGCAGCACTGCAGCTGCTGGAGGAGAATTGCTGACACGTGACACCTACACATCATTCGCACAGTTTCTGGAGCGGTTTAGGAAGTTTGAACTGGGATGTCGAAGGTCCACTTAGTTTTGCCCTTGCCTCTTGGCAAGAAGCGCTGGACAAACGCAGAAGAACCTGCTGAAACATTGAGTGGAGAATCCTTCAACCCAACAGGAAGCAGGTGTGGCAAGCCCTGGCCCTAAAATCACCAATTGAGTGGGAATGGCTCCAGCACACCTTGAAAGCTTACGAAGAAGGGCGCCCTGAAAGTTCCTTACTTCAAGCCCTGAAATATTTGCTGCCCTACAGGGTGCAGCAATCGAAGGAAGCCTCGGAAGGAGCAAGAAGCTTGGAAAGGCCGAAAGTCATCCAAATGCAAGGAGTGGTCGGCAAGAGGCACTTAAACAACAAAGCTAGTGATAGTAAATATGTCAGGGAATGCCACAGGTGCGAATAAACAAAAGCCAGGCACAGCCAAGCGCACTGCCCCCGGTTTGTCCGTGTCGTGCTTGTGGGCCGATCCGATCATTGTGCCCCAAATCTTCAAGCTCGATAGCTGATGAGAACAGTGCACCCTGCAGGATATGAAGGGTTTCGCCTTGCAGGCGTGCAAATGGGCAGTGATGAGCGCTCGATGTTTTCAACTTCTGTTGGCCTAGACTGTCACAACACCAAGAATTGGCGAGGCTGACGTTGTCAACATGTCCGGAATACTGAGCGCCATGGAAAAGGGACACAGGTGCTTGCAACTGTTTGCAGCTTTTCGCAGGTTGATTCTTTCTGTAGAGTAACCGGCAGTTTGCACACACCCCCATAAACAGACATGCGGAGGTGGAAGAATGCACTTGCGCTCGTTTCCGACATGACTCTGAAATCGCTGGAGCCCTATGCGTGCCATGCCATTGCCAAAAAGTAACCCAGCTGAGAACTGAGTTGGTTTTTTCACAGGCTTCGGCCATCCACTATCAGCTATTCCGCGGTCATCAGCGCATGCGAGAAAGGCGACTTCACACCGCCCTTTCGGCCTTGAACATGTATGCGGCCGTCGCATTACAATCACAATGGAATAAGTGCGTGGGCCTGCCAAAGGATAAAAGCTCCGGGTGAGTGTCTGCTGCGCAGGTCAAGTCTGGGAGCAAGCTTTGCACCTCTTTCAGGAGGTGCGAACCTGGCTGGGGTCAGTGTGTTCACATCTTCCAGAAGCTTCTGGTTGGAGTCTTCATTTTCTGCAGATGCAAGCTTGGACTGCGGCAGAGGCGTGCAACGCACGAGACAAGTGGTGCCCTGAGGTGAGAGACTACATCCCCCTGGACGTGGCGATTATGAGTGCAGTGACGGCAGCCTGCGATGTGGGCGGACGTCAGGCACTCATCTTCTGACATATGTCACCACAGGCACGTGGCAGTGGGTGGCCTTCTGTAGGTGTTTTGGTGAAGTAAAAGTGGGACTATGTAGCGAATAGCATTGAAGGTGAAAAACTTGTGCTGGAGTACCCAGTCACCTTCCGCCAACAACCGAGGCTGGCAAGATGCGCTAAGCCTTCTTCAGGCTACATCTGCATTGTCTATCCAGGCACCTCCTATGTTGCGAGTGTCAGCAGGGGGGGAGGGGTGCAACAGAGTGGGGATGCTGCAGGGTACTGCAGTGTTGTACAACGCCTGCATCAGCGCGTGTGGCCGTTGGCGACTAAGTGACTCGTGCACAAGATAAATTTATCCACAGACACTCGTGACCTATCTGGTAAGGATCTATGCAGTGGGAAGCTGCGCTCTCCATCTTGCGATCGCAGGCCCATCGCTGTGGATCCCAAGCGCATCACGACTCGGCTGCTGGGCCTGTGCTGAGATCGGGTCCGATGCGACCGGCCGGAACTGCGCTGTCCAAGCCTGCGCGGCTGCCAGAAGGTTGCGGACCCCAGCAATCACTGCATGAGATGGCATGGCAGCCTCCTCGAGCCATGTCGTTCTGCTCGTCTTTTCGGTACGAAGAGATCCGAGTGGCCCATCAGGTGGTCTTTGGCTGCTTCACTGGTAGAAGGCGCTGCTGTGTGCTATTGTGTGTCCCAGCACGTTGACGTGACAACGGTGGAGATGGCAAGCTCAGGTTGCCATCACAACACCACACTGTCTGTTTTCAGCTGAGACGTTGTGAGTGCTGCATGTTGTGTTGCAGTATGTTGCAGCTACGCCGAGGTCGTCTTTGCAGCATGCCTGGCTTGTCAGAGTCCAAGGTTTGCAGAATGCTTTCTGCAGCTGCTTATTAGCAGACGCAATTATGGCTTTGTTGTTTATTTTGTCTACCGTTGTATGTCGGAAGAGTTTCTTTCAAGTGGCGAACGCACGCACATGTTGTGATGGCTGCAGGGCTGCACGCCTGTTGCATGACTGTAGCATTCTGTAGCAATTTTCCATGTCGTGGTTTCAGGGCCTGTGGCAAGGAAGGTTTTGCAGAACTGGCCATCTCTTCAGATCTCTTAGCGCAGGCTCTGAAATCAAATTAGAGTTTACATATTTGCGGACATCATGCCATCCTGCAACACCACGACACTGCAAAGGCGGAAGTGTCACTCCTGAGGTCAACAGTTGATCACTGCGCGAAGAATGTACTTTGCGTGCACACCTCAAGCACGCGCCAGCTGAAAAGCCAAGCTATGTCAAGCTTTGCTGGAACTGTTCAGCTGTCGCGACGATCGTTTTCAGACAGATGAAGAAGACCAAGGCTGCTGAAGTCACGGAGCAAGTCGGAAGAGGCCGGCTCATGTGCAACCTATGCTGAGTGCAGACAAAGATCGATGCACGAGATCCAGTCCTGCTTTAATCCCCTTGATGCCAGCACCTCCAAGTGAAGCGAAGCTGAGGGTCTCCGTATGCCTGCGTATTAGTTTCTAGCAATCAGCCAGCGTAGTCAATCAGAGTTAGAGTAGCGCATGTTTTCTTGTCCCAGCACAGGAGGAGATTCTGGTGGAAGGTTCGCATCGGCGTGGTGCTCAAGCTATCTCGAGCTCCTTCTGGGGCCTGTGAGCGTGAAAGCAGTCGTCTGTGGTCAGGTCCCTAGCTCAATATCCGCGCCGTGTGGCGAAGACAGAGGCCCTCTATTTCTAAAGTCCAGCACTTGCTGTCTTGGTGGGGTCAGTGGGTCGGCGCATTAATGTGTTTAAGGTTGCGTTTAGAATTTTCTCTGCGTCGCTCCACGCCTCTAACATCCCACGAGGGGCTGGCAGAGGTACAAGGTCAACCAGCGGTCAATTCTGCCCAGTATCAGCCAGCAGTTGGTGAGGTTGATAATCAGTGCGTCACCACCGGCCTCACACGTGGTACTCCATGGACTGGAGAAGGGATTGGTGCAGTCAGGCTAATTATTGCATCTGTTCCCAGAAGCTGGTGGTCGGGGATGCCGGTGGGGAGTGGTTCTGGTGACATGGGTGACCGCCCCCCAAAAGAAGAAATGGGGCCAACGGAAGGTGGTGGGAATGCTCCCTGTAAACTCCTGGGCCCGACGCCTCAGTTAACTTTGCGACCAGGCTGTCGGAGAGCCGATGTCTCCAACATGTGCATCTCCGAGCAATGCCATCATCTTAGTTGTTGTGCAGACTCGTGCTTGCACAGCTCGCAGATGCTCGGAGCAGTTTGCCGCACACCTTATAGAGACCTTTGCAGGTGTCTGCTGCTGTGGCTCGGAGACTTCTCGATGTCCATCGGCTGCGGTCCACGTGATCAACCACGGCGATGTCCTCGTGGAGCTTGTGAATCTTCGTTTGATGTTCGACATCAGCACCTGCTGCTGTGATCTACACAAATACGCCAGCACGATGGACATCCTTCATTTCGATTTACAGAGCTTTGTCTGCCGAGGCATGGGCATGAATCATGACTGACCCAGCGTATCCCAAAAAAGCATCCAATCCAACACGCTGAGATAGCCACAACGTTGGATTGCATGCTTTATTGGCATACGCTGTGAGTTCTAATTCGTGCTCGCGCGTCGGTACGCCAAGCACTCTCAAACCCTGCCAGACTCGAGGTGGACGGTGGATGATGGGGTCATGTAATAGTGGCAGAACTCCGAGCTCGAAGTTGTTGAATCTGGAAGTTCTGGACGAAGTAAAGCTATGCGAGAGCTCCGCGACTGATGCGCGACCGTGCTGCCCGTTCGACGCAAGCAACTGAGCTCCTCGCAGCAGAATCTTTGCCAGCTTGACAAAGGCTACGAGTCACACGGCATCATCCGTTTGCTCAGAGGCCACTGCAGTAGCAGTGCCCGTGCTTGCACTCTTACAGTGCGCTGAAATGTCTGGACACGCTGCATGTTGCATTGGCCTGACACGGCCGCTGTGCCGTCTCGCGTGGTATGTCACAGTCCAAGCCTCTTGGCTTAATTGCAGATGTGATTCAGAGAATGCACCCAGTAGCAATGCAAGACAGGCTGGCATCTAGCTCACTGCACAACAGCTAGCGTGCACATAAGATGGCAGCTAGCGTGCGCATAAAGTTTGCACACATGAGCTGTGGTTTGCAGTTTGCAGCATAGTCAAATATCCAATTGGCTGAGCCAGTCGCTCAGCCGCTCCATGGATGGAGGCGCAGTAGCAGTGGCCTGTGTCGGTGTGTTGAGCAGATCTCTAGTACTCTGTCGAGTAAGAATAGAATCTCAGCAACTGTACTGTAGCCAGATCTTGACCTTGGGGTTTCGATATGCTGAGCCCCGTTATGCACTCACCGATGTGAACCCTTGCTGCGATGCCAGGTACATAGCATGGCGTCCGCTCCTCAAGGTTTGCTTCGACGAAGCGCTATCGACTGAACCCGACTAAAGGACGAAGTTCTGCGGCCAAACCGTGCAGACGGAGCTGGAGGCGGAAAACATCCCAAAACGTCCGTAATCTGTCCGCATGTGTGCGAATGTCTGGGGAAAATGCATTGATTTCAGCTTACAGTATCTTTCTTGCCTGCTCAGAAGCACTTATCCCCGGCAGGGTTGTGCAGAGGTCGGATAGTCTGCCCCCCCCCCCCCAAGGCCCTAGAAAGCCTCCTCAATGTATGGGATGTATAGCTCTACGTCCCTTGCAGGCCATCATTGCCGGCAGCCAGCGGCAAGTTGCAGCTCGCTGCACGTTGTACTGCACTGGATTGGTCGAGGTCCGGCTGCGTGCATGTCGGTTGAGTATCTGTCGGTGAGAGTGAGGCGTGTATGTGCGTGTATACACTACAGTGACACTACAGTATGTACAGCATTTGGGAAGGCCGCTCGTGAGGACGAGCGTCAGCAGCTTCGCGACAGGCCTCACATGGCCTGAAGCTGCACTGCACCACATGTCATGTAAGTCATGTACGTGTCATTCACCACATAAGCAGCACTCGGCAACTTGCAGGCAAATTGCTGCAGGCGCTGACTCGGGAGGACACCGTGAGTCGACCGGTGATGGCTGCAGCGAATGCAATTATGTTGTAAGGAGCTTGGACGCGGGGTGCGGGCCTTGAGCGGGATTGTGTCCTTCGGAATGTTTAAAGCAGAACGCACATCCGAACGATTCACCGTTCATGTTTATGTCAGAAGTCTTTGTGTCGAGCCCTTTGGCAGCTGTCTGTTACCAGGTTTCTTCGGGGACAGCTTTGCTGCCAGCCGTCCCGCGCCAGAGGCAAGCTTGATTACATTGAGTATGTACTTTGCGCGCAGCAGTTGTCAGCGCTGGCCAGTGGCAAGGCCTCGCAGAAGCTGGTGCAGCAGCCCACGTTGGACAAGTGCAGAGCAGATCGCAAGATCCTCAGCGTTGGCTGCAAGACCGTTGCAGAAAAAGGGGATGTGTTGAGGCACTACTGACAAAGACTGCGAATGGATCCTGCGAACAGCCTTCTCCATTCGAAACAAGGCGCGGGGATACTGAAGTTGAGTGAGGAGCCTTAAGCAGGATGAAAAGTCGGATGAAAGATGAAGCAGCTCTCATGGAAGTGCAGCCTGGGTGCAGGTGATCCAGCGGCGGAGGGAGAGTGAAGCCCCACTCTTGGCCTTCGTTCGTTAGTTGAATCGAGGCGTCCCCCCAGTCGCTGGAGTCTGACATCTTTGGCAGGTCGACGCGGATGCCGCTGAAGAGGCAGTCGCGCCTTGGACAGGTTTGGACAAGAGATGACAACAGCGGATATTCTTCCGTGGTTCGAGTGTAAAGGGCAACAAGATTCTTAAGTAGCATGTTGCAAGAATGCAAGAGTATGCAGCTTGGGACAGAAGGCCTCAATCTTCAGTCGGCGCTGTCAACGCTAAAAAACTACGTGGAGTGTACGAGCGTCAATGGTCAGCTCAGTTTCCGGCCTGTAGCCACTGCGGCCGCGCAAAGGCCCGCAGCCGCGCAGTCTCCATGCGACTTGGAGGAATTCAGGTAGGGCCGCGCGGACTCTTGCAAAAACAACATGAAGCAACGATCACAACAGTCAGTGAACAGTCCTTAACTTAGATGGATGTGGGTGAATGTGGGCGAATTTGTGTTTTTCAGAATGCTCTCACTCAGGAGCAAGAAGCAGGCGCCGGCAATACTGGATCCCAAGCTTGTCGAGCAGCTGGCTTGGACTTTCACAAAGTATCGACAATGGACAGAGCTTCGTCGATACGGTCGATACAATGTACCATGGAATGTATCATATAACAATAGAACAGAAAGCATATGTGACACATACATATACATGCGAGAGGCGCGAGAGACTGAGCGAGAGAGAAATTTATGTTCGACATGAGCTCCCTCCCCTTGCCTTCATTTACCTGGCAGCTTGCCTCGGCTCAGGGCTGTGTACAAACTGTCTTGGGGTGTGTCCCCTTGTCGGCCTGAGCATGGCTTTGGAACCGCTTCTGAGCGGCCCTGATGCTCGTCGAATGTAGTGGGTTTGTCTGGACTTTCTGGCTTCGACCCGCGGCCCGGCAGACGTGGTTTGCATGTCCGACGTTTTTGCCCAGGCGCGGACCGTGCAAGTCTTCAAGTCTGGCAATTTGGCACAGCAGGCAGGCGCCAGTCACATCGCGATGATATTGCAATGCGGCTAGGGGATGTCAACTCCCTTTTTCTGTTATATGTCGGTGTGCTCATTGGGGTCTTGCAGTTCAGAACAGGGCCCGGCACTGATCAAAACTGCTCGAGCTGCATTTTAGAGGATGCAACAATGGGGTCTTGCAACGCTTTGAGGCTCCGCGTTGGGGTATTTGCATTTTGGGGCAAGACCTGACACTGATCCAAGCTGGCATTAAGGTCGACATTGATAGGGTTGTGAAGGCTTCCCAAGATTCCGAAGATCCCAACCACGCCTGCCAGAATCAGCGCTGACAACCCGGACTTGCGGTTGGCAAGACATTTCCCGGGGTAGTTGTTGTCAATGCAAGAAGTGGTCTCTGTCGCAGGGTTTGGTCCATCAGGCACACACACACACACACGGCCAAACTCCTGACTCGTGTCATGGATCGCGACCAAAACAAGCCTGACCGGGCACTTCTGTTCGTGGAATACAGGTTCCCATGTGTAATCGAAATTGAGCATCTCCTTCAGGATCTGACATGCATGCCAGATTGATTAAGATGGCTCGAAGCATTGGCTTTCTGAGGTTGTCTGGTTTTTGAGGTTTCAGTGGTGAATATAAAAAAGTGGCATGCATGTTGGGGTTTCGTATCTGGTGATGTGTATTCTCTTTACTTTCTACTGCTGTGTAGATCTTTGCCTGAGCGGCGTCCACATTGGGGTGATGTGTATGTCCACGGCCTGGTGTGTGTGTGTGTGTGTGTTCACCCCTATTGTTGATGACTGCACTTCAAACCCCTGCCTGCAGATTGCGCTTTGGCTTCCTCCAGCCAAGCTCGTCGCGTTTCGTCGACTCAGCTCCTGCTGCCACCAAATCGTCAACGACCTGCTATCGCGCCCTGATGCAGACTAGGACCTTGATGTCAGGAGTTTGTTCTTGTATGTACTTGCGCACTAGAATTGCAGCAGTGGCTCTACGACTCAGGTGCAATGAGGCCTTGCGGAAGGTAGCTGAACACAAACAGTAACATTTGTCGTTGTTCTGCTGTGGACAATTGTTAGCAACTCTAATGACTCTAATTCCTTACTGCAGCTGCTTCCTCTGATGGTTCACTTAGGATGTGGAAGCTGCATTGGAAGACATCCTGCATCAAAAAGACAACCGTGTTTGGGTGGGAATCCGTGTGCGCCCACACAATGCAGACGCTGCGTCCTTTGCGGTGGACCGCCGGCAGATCACGCTTTGCTTGCCATCGTCAAGTACCTCAAGCATGGCCCCGGCTCCTGCAGCGTCATTTGTCTTCAACCGAGTCTTCGACCGTCAGGCAAAGCAGACGGATGTGTGGAGCAGCCTCCAGGCCCCTCTCATGCGCTGCTTTTTGCGCCGGGAGCATGCCTGCTTGTTCGCCTACGGACAAACTGGATCTGGCAAAACCCACACCATGTTTGGGGATCCAACCTCGCCGTCTGAGTGTGGCCTGGCATTCCGTGTCTGGGCTCGGTTAGCTTGTGTTTATTTTGAAAAATGTGAAATCGCCGGCGAAATACAATGGTCAAACAAACACCCACTTCCCCCACCCCGCCCCCTAGCCCCAGTGGTGGAAGCGTTCGAACATTGGTCTCATTGTTTGTACCTGGTTGTAGAATTTCCGCACCTGCCTGGAATCCTTGATGTACAAAGCAGCGTTGTTGAAAACCTTCACGTGGCTGCCGATCCTCTGGCAAATTACGCCGAGGAATTGCGGAAAGCCTGAGGGAGCTGCTTCAGCCCGCTGACGCTGCATCGGTGGAGTTTAGTTTTCTGGAGGTTTACAACGAGCGGATTCATGTGCCTTGCCTAGAGTCCTAGAGGGCATGTCAGGGCGGAAGCTCCAGCAGTTCGGGAAACAAACGAGCTCAGGACCTCCTCGACAACTCTAGAGTGTGCGTGCTGGCAGGTAGCTCTGGCTGGCAATTGGCTCTGTTTTCAGTGCTAGTTGCGATATCAAGCTATGATAGCATGATGGAGCCCTCGAAGAAAGCGGCGCCTCCAGAGGCAGAAACAGCCACAGCAACAGTTGCTGATTCTATGAGGTTGCGCCATGCACTCAAAATAACATAAGTCGTCATGTGTCCACATGTGCCAGCACGGCCTGATGACGATCTCGAGGTGAAAGAGAGGAGCTGGCACCGGGAAGCGCATACTATGCTGCCAAGCGCGGAGATGAGCACGTGGTCGTGCGCGGGTTGACTCGTCGGAGGCTTCCGGGCATGTGTAAGACCTCACCTGCAGACTACCCTTGATCCCACACCACACCTTGTGCCGACATTTATATATTTCCACCTGCTGTTGCGCCACAGGTGCAATTCTGACGACCTCACCGCGAAGGTGTGACATGCTTATCTAGCCTACAAGAAGTGTGATTGCACATCAGTGCATTGTTGGGCAATGCCATTGAGCAAGCTTGAGCAAACGGTTGTGTACCCTTCTCTTTTTCCGTCAGATCGGCGAGTGGTTGCTGGAGGGTGCGACCGCTCGAATCGTTGGCCGCACCGCCTTCAACCCCCGGTCGAGCCGAAGTCACGCAGTCCCTTGGAATGCAGTCAGTCTAATTGCATTCTACTTCTCACTTTGACGTGCATTTGAAGTTTGATCTCAAATTTCCGAATGATCTCTGTAATCTCCTTCGGAAGCCTTCTCTTCAGACCGCATAAAGTCTCCAAGGTGGCCACGATCCATGTCTGCTGGAAGAAAGATCCCGACAAGCCCGCGCAAGGAGGCATGTGCCTGCTCTGGAGCATGGGCTCCATTCCTTACTACTGCAACCTTGTCTCGATTAAGATGAGGACGAGAGACACGACTGCACATTGTGGATTTGGCCGGGAGCGAGCGGCTGGGAAGCCTAGCAAAGATGCATATTTCAAAGACGATCTGGGAGGTTGTCCGGGGGGATTTCTCTCGAAGCCCAAAGGTCGGGGCAGTATGCCATAGACGGTGGGCAGCTACGAGAAGGCGGGACATCTTCTGCCTTGCCTGCCTTTCTAGCTTTCCGAATTTCGGATACGAACCTCAGAGCTTTGCCAAGGCCACCAAAACGACAGGCCACCAAGGGGAAGTCACCAAACCGTACGAAACATGATCACCAAGAAGCACCCCCGTAGCGACCAAACAAGGCACGGGTTGGGTTGGGTAAGGTTGGCGATTAACTTAGGTGGGCCTGGGTTAAGTTGCTGCTGGAGCGCTGCTGGCGCTTCGTTTTTTTTCTCTATTTGGTGTTCCTTGTGTCGTTTGTTGGCTGGGGGGTAGGCAGGAAGCAATCATGAGAAGGGCAAGGGACCGAGAGAGGACAACTCTAACTGCCCTACAGCCTCGACCCGCTAGAACCTGAAACTCCAGCCCTCTGAGGGAAGTAGCCGTTCGCAGCCACGCTCCCTCAGACCTTCCCTAGGCTTTGGGCGTGGTGGTTCTTAGTAGGGAACGAGGGAATAAGGCACCTCAAAAAATCCCTTAGAGGGTATATACATGGAGACGTAAGGTACCCATCCTACTAAGACCCAGTAGGTTTCATCCACCTCTCAGGAGCGCACATCAATCTCAGCCTTTCCACCCTGGGCCGTGTGGTTGGTGCTCTTGCTCGCCTTGGACCAAGTTTGCATGAGCTCATGACCTAGCACTGCAGCTGTAGCACGACTCAGCTCCGCCACCAAACATGTCTTTTCTTCCGGCTTTTTCTGCTTAGGCGGCCAAGGGGAACATGTTCCTTACAGGGATTCGGCACTGACGTGGTTGCTCAGCGATGCTATCACCGGCTGCCATGCCAGAGCTTTCATGACGGAGGGCTTCACAACGTCCACAAATACAAGCGCAAGAGCTGTGAGAATCTGCCTCAAGAGAGAGAGAGAGAGAGCGCGAGAGAGAAGAAAGAAGGAAAGAGAGCGAGAGAGTGTGCGTGTGTGTGTGGGTGTGTGTGTGTGTGTGCGTGGGTGGGTGGGTGGGTGGGTGGTGTGGTGTGTGTGTGTGTGTGTGTGTTGTGTGTGTTGTGTGTGTTGTGTGTGTGTGTGTGTGTGTGTGTGTGTGTGTTGTGTGTGTGTGTGTGTGTGTGTGTGTGTGTGTGTGTGTGTGTGTGTGTGTTGTGTGTGTTGTGTGTGTTGTGTGTGTTGTGTGTGTTGTGTGTGTTGGGTGTGTTGTGTGTGTGTGTGTGTGTTGGTGTGTGTTGTGTGTGTTGTGTGTGTTGTGTGTGTTGTGTGTGTTGTGTGTGTTGTGTGTGTTGTGTGTGTTGTGTGTGTTGTGTGTGTTGTGTGTGTTGTGTGTGTTGTGTGTGTTGTGTGTGTTGTGTGTGTTGTGTGTGTTGTGTGTGTTGTGTGTGTTGTGTGTGTTGTGTGTGTGTGTGTGTTGTGTGTGTTGTGTGTGTTGTGTGTGTTGTGTGTGTTGTGTGTGTTGTGTGTGTTGTGTGTGTTGTGTGTGTTGTGTGTGTTGTGTGTGTTGTGTGTGTTGTGTGTGTTGTGTGTGTATGTGTGTTGGGTTCTTGCGTTGTTGTGGGCTTGCACGGTTTCCTGATTCGTTGTATGTGCGAGGATTGCAACGGTGCAGCCCGAACATGCCGCCGAGACACTGAGCACGCTGCGCTATGCCCAAGCGCCACCAAGCCCAAGTAGCAGCAGTTTGACGAGCAAGAGGTGGTAGCCACAAGTTGCTGGAAGATGCAAGGTACTCTAACCTGCAATCCGATTTGAGCACCAAAATCCCACGGTTACGTGCACAAGTACGATCTCTTCTCTTTCAAGCCGAAATGGCCCAGCATCTTGACTTCATCGGTCATGCTGACAAAGACTTGAGCTGTCTGGTGGCTCTGAGACCTTTGAAGTGTGATCGCGCTGCCAGCAGGCGAGAAGTCGAACTGATGTGCGCGCAGATCAATGAAAATGCCAGGCAGGGTTTGGGTCGCCCATTGTGTGAGCGTGTGCGCATCCTTTCAACTGTTACTTGGATAAAGTGGGATAAGCAGGTTGATGTTGTTGCAGCTGCACTCTTACAACTACGTACTTGTGCAGCTGCGAGACAGGATTGGGAAAATGAACCAGTGGGATCGCGAAACGCTGAAGAGTCGAGTCGTCCAGATTCGTCGCCATGGCGAGGAGCTCCTCGGTTGACATCTGCATTCGGGTTATTTTGGTGTTGGAGATTCCGGGAATAAGGGGTCGAGTTAAATCCAGCATTGACACGCAGCATCCTTCCTCACTCTCAAATGTTCCCGGTCAGAGAGTGAGCAGTCGATCTTAGTCTGGATGTGAGATGCCATGCTTAGTAAAGTACTCTCCTCCTGCCTGACGGATACGTCTGCTTCATTGGAGCACACCATCAACGTAGCCTCATTTCAATAAACAGTACATAAGTACACAGTCGGCTTCTTTGTTGGGCATGTGATATGGGCATGTTCCTTCAACGCTTGTGGCCTGAACCGATGTGTGCCGGATTGTGCCAAGGCACTTCCGATTGCACCCGTATTTGAAGTGGACAGATGTGCACGACACCAAGGCACAGAAGAGCATGTGACTGGTAGCTAGCGGATGTGACAGAAAGTGTTGCCGTACTTTTTCTTACTTGACATGACTTGCACTGTGAGATGTTCGAAGCTTACCAGTTCCAAACTCGAGGCAAAGTTGAACCAGATAGGGCTGGTGGAAGAGGTCTGTGGATGCCTTGGTTGCAAAGCATTCTCTGGTTCTTTGCTCCGGCAACGGCGCAACAGCCTGAGGTTCAGTTCCCCCAGTCAGGGAGTCGGATAGCCAAAGCGATGGTCGCAGGATTCACTTCCGAGAAAGCTCCTTGGCGGCTCTTCGTGTGCATGTCTGCGCCTTGTTTGCCACGCATCTTCGCAGCTTTCGTCCAGGCTCCGTTAATCCTTCCGCTTGCGTGCGGGTGGTGTTCACAGGAAGGGGCGCCACTTTCCCACCAACTGAAGTCACACCTGCCGTACATCATAACCGTGTGCAACAGAGCCTGGCTTCAAGTGGAGGAAGGTGTAGGAGTTGACATTTGGCTTGGGTCCCCTGAGAGGAAAGCACGGCCACCAGTCAACGCATCTGTGGTTCCCTGAGGACTCCCGGGCTGACAGATGCACTAGTGAAACCAAGAACTCGTTTCATGCCTTCATTTCAGGGCATGTTTTCTAAGTAGGTACCTTTGGATCCCAAAGCATACAAATGAGATATGCCGGTTCCATCTGAATGAAGCACAGGACTCACTGGAGGACGTGTCTCCGCCAGTGCAGCTACAGGAATTGCTCCAAGCCTCTGAAAAAGCCGATACTGCGGCTTGCCTTGACTGGCCCTTGCTCTTCGTGAGAGCTCACTTTGTCCATGAGTGTCAGATAGGGTGTATAGCGGCATCTATTGCTACCACTTTGACCGAAGTGTTCTTTACGTACGTATGTGTCTATGCCGAGAGGTTTGTGCTTCACTGCGGGTGGGTAAGTAAACTCACGCTTCCAAAGCTTGATCTGCCTCAGGCTTTGCAGCAGAAGATGGCCCAGCTGAAGAGTGCACAGAAGGCGTTTGCTGCCCAAATGCAGGAGTGGACGAGCTGACCGTTTGAGCAAAAGTTTCTGAGTGCCGGTTGACTGTTTATACACATGGAGTTGCGCACCCGCTGCTGACTCCATGCCAATCCCCTGTGGGCACCTGGAAGGACATGCGGATTGTATGTCCATCGTGCACGCCTAGGTAGAGATGTGTCTAGAAAGCGTGGAAGGAGAGAACAAGGTAATCCAACTACATCCGCCGAATTATCCGCAGCTTTCGGCACTTCCTGGTCATGCAGCTTGAATGTCTTCTCCCTGCTATGTACAGTGTGCAGGTAATGCTGCGTGGATGTTAAAAGCAGACTCTGCCTCATGCAGACTCATGGTAACAACTCAGTTGCAATTGTTAACATGCGTCAACCCGTTGCCAGCAAAATCTGCTCGGGCATGCATAGGGAAGCATCACGGTTGAAAACGAGGCGAATCAACTACTTCCGACGAATGGTGCAAAATGCCATCAGACTTTGGCAGGATCTGCCCGGTCAGGGCTCGCTTCGACATGTTTCGACAATCGTATGATGACACTGCTTTCGCTTGCAGGAAACACTGCTTGATGACACTCCTAGTCCCCCCCTCGGTAGTGACTGCGTTTGTGGTGGCCGAGGGGCATTGATGCCATGCGAGTGTGGGAGTGCTGAGAGCTCGCGTCTACAGTCATTGCTTCAGGTCTATCTCGAAGGGCCGACTGCCAAGTGCACACAGCATTGCAGAATGCTTTTAAATTTTGCTTCGGAGCTAGATTTTACATACTTTACGCGTCTCTTTCAACCTGTCATGAGGCAACCGTCTGCTCGGGAACGCTCCAGGCGAAGTCTAGACAGAAACGAGAGCACGTGCAAAACAATTGACCACAAGCCCTGCACGTGATCGATTGTATGTTGTGGTCCAGGCAGGGAAGCTGTCGTCCAGGACGGCCTCAAAAAGCCAGTAGCTGCTGTTCGTTGTTCAGCGATTGAGTCCAGCTTGATTACTGGACATGTTGGATTGCTGACCGGAGGACTGACGTGGACATCGAGAGCCCACGCGCCGTGCCCTCCCCAAAATGGATGGACTTGTGAGCATGCTGCCCGCTGGTGCTCGAACTTAACAAACATAGCACAATGTCGCCAATGCAATTTTTTGGTAAGAAGAGATATGCTCCCGTCTCAGGCAGGCGTTAAAAGTCCGTACCGACACCTTATTTCGCATGCTTCCCAGCGCACCTTAGCGAGGGAAGCAGCTCGAACGTAGACACGAGCATGCGTCACAAATATTCGCAAGTCACTACAAAAATCGGCGAACGGAAGCTCAGGTCCAGCTCGACGCTCTCTGCCAAGAACTTGGACCTTCCACCAGAGCCCGGTGACAGGCAGCTTTGTGCAGCTTCGAAGACATGAAATCTGCGCGTCCTGAGCAACCCGAACTGAGGGCATTCACCGGGGCACAAAATCACATTGGCTTATCATTGATTGAATTGACAGGACCGCCGCGTCATCGGTCAAGGCTGGGAAACTTCCCGTTGTGAGGCTAGTGGCGTCGTTTAGCAGTTTAGCTGTTAGCTTTTTGGGTCGCGCTTTGCCAGGCCCCCCCTTAGCCACTTGATCTATCTTGATCTATCCATATTCTGCTGCAAGTCTCCTGCTTCAGCATATTCAGCTCTCTCTGTTACCTCTTCCTCCTTCCATCATTTCCCTCGAGTCCGCGACGCCAAAGAGCCGCAGGGAGCTCCATGAGGCAACTGCAACGTCCCGACACATCACGTTTCTTCTTCATCTGCATCATTTGCGCGAAGCCTTCCTGCATGAGGATCTTGGGCGGGAGCTGGAACAGCTTGCAAAGGATCTGCGAAATGCTCAACCCTCGGCTTGAGATGTGCTCAGTTCACGTCTGAAGATACAATCCTTTGAGGCACAGATCATCAAGTCCTACTGAGACGGAATCTTCTGGACTTCGAGCGCACCAAGGCGCACCACAAAGATAGAGTAAACACAAATGGCCTCCTCTGCACAGCAAGATGCTTAAGTTTAGCCATGCAATTTGTTTCTGATCTCCCTGTCAGCTCCTGTGCGGCAGGGGTTGGTGACATCATCTTAGCCGCGAGATGCGTGCAGCATGTGCCGTTTGGAGAAAATGCGCAGCGACTCTGAGTGCCTCACCCAAACAAACCTGCCAGCACCCAGCCGGGGGTGGTGAACGATGGTGAACGTCTCCTGGGATGCTGGGTCTCCGGGCTGAGGGCAAGGAAAACAGGACATGGGATTTATGGCATTTATGGCTTACCACTCAGCTGACAAAAGATCTTCTTCCATGAACTAAAGGAAGGCATGCATCTCCCAAAAGAAGCAGCGCAGAGTTGGGACCTTCCTTGAGCAGCTGCCCATGCAAAGAAGCATCGTATGCAGCACCCGAGGACTGCAGCATCAGCTTTGCAAACATTTTCAGAAAATCACCTTCAGATTACACGTACCATAGAATGAGTACACTTACAGGACCAGCACAGCGACCTCAGTGACCTCCAATGGCAGCCTTGTTGTCAAAGCCAAGTCCGACGCTACAAAGCAAGTCAGCATGTCGCAGTCGCACTCGCTCGCTCATGCACTGGTCAAACTGCCAAGCAGCTCAGGACGCGCAGGATGTGCACTTACAAGGCCGCTGCAGCATTCGGCCTGCAACGGAGTTATTTTTCGGCTTACATTTCTTTTGGTGAGCAAACTGAGTTCGAAAAATCAGGGCCCGAGGCCTCAGATGAACAACTCACGTTTCCTTGGCAGCCTGGCAGGCGTCGAGCAATCTCAGGTATCGGTGGCTTGCTTGTGCTCCGACTTGAATCTGTGAGTTCTCTTTCAATTAGTTAACGGGAGCAGTTCTTTCATGCCGCGATGCTCCTGGCTCAAGTCCCTGCACAGTCGGTGGATTTCATTCAACTTTTGAAACATCCCATAGGCGCGTACGTTTGACAAGTAGTTCTGCAACGGTTCTGTCAAGAAACAAGACCAACGCGTTTTTTCCAAGCACAGCGCTGAACCATGGTCCTTTGCTTTCAGTCTGGCAAGCGCAAGCGGCTGGTGAAGGCAACACAAGCTTGACTAATGCAGATTCAAGAATGGCCAAGAGAGTGAACTGCGGAATGCAGAGATGTTCACACGAGCAGGCCAAGCTGGTTCACGTAGTTCGACATGGCGAGGCCAGGCGTCAGACTCAGAACGATTTTGCCGGCGTTCACATCACATGCAGGTGTAACATCGCAAAGATGTGGTGGCGTGATGTAGTGAACACAAGCTTCCGCATACTGCGGCAAAATGGTATGTGGCCCTTCACGCGCAGGCACAGCATAACGTGCGAGACAAGTACTTGCACCTTATTTGCATTTAGCTAGTCCAACTTCCCCAGTGACGAGCTCATGGACCCAGCTGCGAGGTTGAAGCATGATACTCAGTTAACGAAGCGGGGGCGTCGCCAGGCCAGCCGTGTGATGAACATCATCTACGTAGTCTTTAGGTTTGCTGGCTTTGCTGGCAGGCGAAGTCCCTGCACACTCTGCTGCCCAAGCTCAAGGCTGAGGCCAAGAAAGACTTGCAAAGCAGTTTCACAAGCATCGTATGCAGCATTCTTAAGGGTCTTGTCTACATAGATCTGAGCTGATCTGCAAAGCGCGGGCTCCAACTAAAGATGCATCAGCCATGGTTCATGCAACATGTCCATGGCTCGTATTTTCATGAGACAGAAGGCTTTTTTTTGGCTTGGGAGCCCTCGGGGGCCTTGGGTGTGGAGGCGTTCGATTTTGGTAAAGCATTCGTACCAGGGGCTTGGAGGTGTCCTGTATTGTCTGTTGGAAAGGCATTAGAAACCAGGAAACAGAAAGAGAACGAGGGGCCTGTGCTTCGATGTTTGGCGTTTTCGAAAATGCAAAGTTGGGGAAAACTGGCCGAAGGGCCGAATACTTCGCCTCTGAAAATCTTCGGCGGTTGTTTGACGATTCGGCCGGTCCACAGAGTTCACAAGTCAGCGCTGCTCCCACCTGAAGAGACATGCCACGGTAAGATCAGATTGCCCAAAGTCAGTCGAAAGCAACAAGGCACTGAAATGTCACTCAGGTTTTCCTGTGTTCTCTCGACGTTCGCAGGAAGTATAGAGGATAGTGCTTAGCAAAATGATCCTTGCAACATGGCAGAGATGGTGAGACGTCCTTGTGGAGAGGTTGCCATAACATCGGCCGTGCTCCGTGCTTTGCAGACGACACGCTGCATGGGTGCCGAGCCCGAATGAGTCCGTGCAACCCTGGCAAACCTTGGAAGTCAAAGCAGGGTTCTCATCCTTAGTCTTTTGGAGTCGCTACGCGGATCTACGCGGCCCTCGCCTGGCCCCGGCCTGAGGAGCAAGTGAGGCAAAATGAGGGGAAGCTGGGAAAGAAGCTGCAGGGCGTTGGGCATACATGGCATGTTCAATGCCTTTTTACCACAAAGGGAAGAGATGTTCATGATGGTTGGGTAACCACAAGAAGGTTCGACCGAAACTGCGCCGTAAGTGCTGAGTTTTCCTACGCCTTCAACTTCTGAAGACACCCGGTAATTCATGAGAAGAATCCTTAGGGCGTATTCTTAGCTATTGCCCAGGGACCTTCTAACGGTTTGCTCGGGTCGGGGTGGTAGGCTATGGGGGGGGTACCCAGTTCGGACAAAAGAAAATATCTGGTAACCACAACTGCCGAGGAGGATTAGGCTGCGGTTGGTACCTGGGCACTTCATGATACGCCTGAGAAGCCCAAGGGCCTCGGCGGATTTAGAGTAACTAACATCCCGGCAACTTTCTACAGTGACCACGACCTCCGGTCCGTTTCCATCAGCCCATACACCGGCTTTGGGTAATTGAGGCTTTTCGGGCAAAACAGTGGTGGTCCCTGAGGCCCGTCAGAGTCGCACATCAGTGCAGCGGCAGCAACTTGAGGGCTGAGGACAGCATGACAGAGGGTGCTTCTGGAGTTCAGGCGCGGGAGGTGGCCGGATGGCCTGCCAATGCTCCCATCGATTCACAGCGAGCGGTCACTGGCGATCTGGAGAAGCTCAGCTTGCATTATCAGGCTTGCAGCTGTGTCAGTAACTTCCCGGGAATGCTCACCAAACGTACAGATGGTTCAGTTTTTGCTGCACCGGTTCTTGGGCAAAGACCAGGCAAGAACATGCTGTTCCTTTCCTGACAACTCCCAAGTTTCATATGAACATGAGTCAAAATTCGCGGCTCGAGTTCTTAGAGACCAGCGGGACAAACTGCCAAAACTCTGTCAAACGACGGGACCACCTCAAAAGCGACGCGCCTGACACGCGTCCACCACGTTTTAAATGAGTTTAGACGGGCTCTTATCCAGCTTCATGTGCTACGCTCACATCTAAACACAGGCTCCGCAGAATGTAGGCGATGGCTGCAGGAAGATGAGTGTAGAGCAGAGTCTGCGGCTCAAGTTCACGTCAAGACTGAAGGACAAGACAGCTAATCGAAGGAAGCCTGTTGCCGGCAGTAGTCAGGCTGCCTTTCAAGGCTCTCCCGACGCGTTTTGAGGTCGCCCCATTCCAACGCAAAAGAGAAGGAGAGTCTGATGTTGTTTTCCAAGCCTTGGGAACCATTGTGTGTCTTCCGCCAGACGCGTGGCAAGCCACGTGCCTTGTTCGCGCCACCCGCCAGAAGATCCCACGTTTCCGTGGGCCAGTTTCCTACATGGCGTGCCCCACAGATATCGGATATAAGGCACATTTCAGATTCATCCGCACTTCTTCATGTGCAGCTGTCGCCGTAGCAGCAAATTCAATAACTTCGTTTGACAGCTTGCATCCTTGCGTATGGAAACTGCAGTCTTTGCTTTAAGACCCAAACAAGTCTTAGCAGAGGCATTGCAGGGGTGCTAGTCCGGCCCTGTCGACCGCGCTCAGAGTGGACATTTGGCCAAGGTCTCAGTTCGGTCGGTATGATTGGTCGCTGGCGGCTAAAGGCCCGAGATATCTTGCTTCTGAACGGTGCAAATGCTTATTTGTCACCGTAGCTGTCAGTGCTCCAGGAAGTCGGCAGCACAATGCCCAAAGATGGGAGCGCCTCGTGCAGATCAAGGAGACACGGCGTGCTTGTATGTCTATGTGAAAGTGATGAATGGCATGTTTGTCCTCCTTTTGCAATGGGCATGAATGTGTGCTTGCACAATACAGCTGCGTGCCAGGATCGTGCACGCCGCCTGACCAAGCTCATAGAACGCAGGCAAGAATCAAGCATCTTGCTTGTGGGGCTCCAAGGAAAACATGTGGCTAGTAAAGAGCTTGCAGTGACAAGTTGCAGTTTCAACGTCAACCACACATCAAATGCCTCATGAGTCTGCTGCGTTGCTGGTTGTTTTCTGGACAACCCCTTGCACGGGTGCATCGGCGCCTGTCGTGGGTTCATCGGCCACTGGCCACTGACACTCTGGTAGTTTGGACATTGCTGAAATTCCAGGGTTTCGCTGTCCTAGCTTGGCATTGAACATGAGCCTCTAGAGTCTCACTAGAGTGCACCCCCCCTATGGCCTTCGTTGTGTAGGTGGAGAGGTCTTAGCCGGCGACGGCCGAAGGAGCTGACTGTGACAACCAACGCTTGCAAAGAGGCAATCACCAGAGCTGGCCGGCAAGGTTTCCGATCAAATGAACCCTACTGTTCAAACAGACCCGTGATAGCCGCTGGCATAACGTCACAACTTTCCAAGCCCGATGAGTCACATTGACCAGGACTCGCACAGGCCACATGTCACGACTTTTTGTCACGCCGGCAAATTGAAAGCACGAGGATGCGAAAACCCGGCGATAGAGCTGGCAGTTGCAGTCGCTACTTGAAAATGCACGCCTCGTGGCATGCTCACCATGCTCATGGCTCCGACTTCTTCAGCGTCATTTGGTTGTTATTGCTTTCTGAGTGCTTCTGAGGTGTCTCATGGCGAGTTTCTGCAGCATCTCACGAGCGACAAGTACATGCAGAACTGTTCTCCGAATGCAGTAGAAGATGCATGCAATCTCTTTCTGCAAGAACTCAAGATGTCCACGTTGAGGCGAAGTGCGGACCTATGCAGTGTGCGACGGGAAGTGGCGGCGCTTACGACGCACGAAATGCTCAGTATGAGTTCAATGTTGCAAAGATTCCAGGCAACCAAAATTTGCCGGAATGGACATCTGCTTGGCTGAGTACATCCTCAGCCCTCAATCCTTCTTGCTGGTTGCTCCCAACCCCGCTCGTCCAGGAAGTGTTGATGCCACGCTCGCACCTTAGCATGAGGCAGCCCTGACTCGAACAGAATCATCAACTTACGTGGGCGTGCGACAATCATTTGCCGGCACCCCCCGTTTCCCTATGGGAAGGGAGTGCGGGCACGAATTCATGGGCTCAAGGTCGTCTGACTGCCGTTTCAAGGCAAGATGCCTGCGGTCACAGCCATTTTTGTGAGAGCATCGTTGCCCCAATGCCATGTTCATACTCTGGGTATTGGTGGGCAATGACACCCAAGTGGCAAGAAATACCTTTCATCGTCTCATGGTGAGTTCTGTCCGAAGCCCCTGGCAGATAACCATCGAAACACGTTCAGAGAAGCTGGCTGAGGGGTATTCCTTTTTCCATGCCACTATCGATGTAAAACTGGGTGATGCTGTGCACGTCCTTCAGCCTACTGCGAGCATGTGCGCCCAAGGACGGCTAATGCAGAGAATGAAAGGGAGATCCCATATCTTGCAAGGTCATTACGTCTACTGAGTCTACTATTGTTCATCAGGTTGGCGCTAGAATATCTATTCAGGTTCGGTGCACCAAGCACCGCAGAAGCGGTCCTGGACGACATTTGAATCTTGAGAGGCTGAAGAAGCAAGGCGAAGCATGTGTTTCTTTTGTGGTTCTGTTTGTCGTGACCGTTCTTCTTTTGTTGGAGTTTCTCATCCTTCCATGTGCGCTCGGCTCATGCACACCTGTTCGGAAGTTAATGCAGCTGCAAAAGCAAGACAGTCCAATGTGCGAGAATACAAAAAAGATCAAAAAAGCGTCACAGATCTCAGCGGTGCTCAAAGGGCGTGCCACTGCATGACACGCGCAAAACTATGCTGCGCTTTTTTCTTATGCCAGAACATGTTCGTCCTCAAGCACCTCCGGAACTTCCATGAGCTGCTGGGAAGCACTTAAAGCGACAGAGACACTGTTGTGATTTTGTTGGGGATATCTCCAGCCGCAGGTATGACACCAAAGGTGCGGGTACCATCTCCATCCCGGAGATGAAGGCGGTCCTGCAACTTGCGCCAGTGTGGTCTTTAGCAGCACAGTGGCCAGGCGGTGCTGAGAACTACCACCATTGGCCTGACGGAGAGGGAACTCAAGACTGTGCTCAAACAGGTCGGAAGCCAGTGGGTGAGGGCTGTCAAAGCTTTTGAGTAAGACGAGTCATACAGATGAAATGTTGCACCTCCGGTCACCTCCCTCCATTCCACATGCGCCATCGGCCATTACAGTAATGGTTCATGATGTCCGTTATTTGGTCTGCTTCACGGGGCGAGGGTGAGGCGCAGCACCGGTTCATGCACACAACTTGAAGAGCTGTTGATTCGTTCAGGGTTAGTCCGTAGACGCGTAGCTCTCGGCATCTAGCGAGGGCGCGTGGGGGGGGGGGGAGTCGGGCCGTTTGACCAGGCGTGAGGGCCAACACTCGTAGTCCAGAAGCCCGTGGACACACCTCCCCAAAGCCATCGCTTTGTACATGGTATGGTGGTGTTTTGCCTGCAAGGTGGATGCTGATGGAGATGGGTCTGCCCTTTGGCTGGCATGGTTCATGAGTGGTACATACAGTAGGTTTTGTAGTGTTCACCTTAGGTCTTGGAGTTCAGATGTTGGAGATGTTGCCAGGTCAGTTTCCCAGAGTACCTGCGTTTGGACCCTTCCTCAGACTTTGGAAGATGCTGATGGGACGACAATTGGAGGTCGTCAGGACAATGCTCTTGTCTGCGCAAACCCCGCCTGATAAAAATGCTGCGATTTGCAAAGAGCAGCAGTGAACAGCTATGGCATTGTGTCGTTTGCTGCCGTCAGAGGCTGAGAAATTGGCAGAGATGCAGCACAAGACAAAGGCATCCTGAATTCATGATTGCTTGCTTGCACTGCATGATCTTTTTGCGGGGAGCATGATCCTCGTATTTGCACATTGTAGACCCACAGCACCCCCGCCCCAAGGCTTTCACCAGGTCTCTAGGTCATTTCGTCATGAGAGACTTGCACTGCAGCAATTGATTTGTCTGGTGGCATACAGTTGAGGGAGAGGCTCTTGTGTGTGACTCTGTAAGTTACATGAGTGCATTGCGTTGTGCGCCATCAGGGCAAGAGTTCGCGAATCCCGCGATTGTACTTGGAGCCCACCGCGCTCAAACAGAAGCTTGCCTTATTGGGGTCCAGGGCGACAAGGGTGTGCTGTGGGCTAGATATTCTGGACATCTTGCGAACTGGCATCCCACTTGATTCTTGGAGCTAAATTTGCAACCTCGAGCTTCAAGCTCGCGAACCATCCTGAGCCCCTCAACTCTCAAATTTTTACATTGCGCTTGAGTCGGCGAGACACCTACAATCTACAATGGCCCACAAGTTCTTCAGGAATTGCCTGCATGAAACCAGTGAAAGCAATCGTGAAGCCGGATTGTGCGAAGCTGCAGTCCTGCAGTCCTGCAGTCCTGGAGTGTCACCTCCTGTCACCCCAGTCGTCACGTGCATGTCAGGATTTCGGCTAATTGCAACACATGTTGCAGCTACACAAATGTTACTGTCTTAGGTACACCGACCTGTTTGAGGGGGCTGCTGGGGAGGACGGCGCAGTCAGCCTCGGTCAGCTTCAGGACGACCTGGCGCGTCTGCTTTTTGGGCACCCGTTTACTCACCATACTCCCGCATGTCAACGCCATTCCCAGTCGGAGTGGAGAGGACTTCTTGCAGCAACACAAGATGAGCGTCAGCGAAGACCGCTTGACGAGTATAATGAAGGAGGCCACGGTTGTCAGTGTTCAACGTGTGTGTGGCATGGGACTCGTCCGCACGGGTTGATGAGTGGCTGGCTTGTGACCTTTAAGGCAAAAATGATATCGAAGTTGTGTTTGACGTGTTTGTGTGCCACAAGTGCGACCGACTTGATGCACTAGCGGAGCCTAGCAGAGTCTAGTTGAGCCTAGAACCCCACTGGAATTGGAACCGTTTTTGTTGCATTGGCGAGAGGTGGACGACGATGACAGTGGTGTCTTGGAGCTGGACGAATTTCTAATGATGCTGGTCAAGGCTGCTGTCTGCTCAAGTTGCTTCACACAAGCTTGGACCCATTTCTTCCGCTGGCAGGCTCTTGGAATCAAAAAACGAAAGGCGCACCTCCTGCATTATCTGAATCTGCACTCTCCACGCAGGGTTTCGGGGATCTCATGGACAGCTGGTAGCTTTACAAGATGTGGATGGCCACAGAGCCAGGGGGCCCAAATAATTATTTTTTGCGGCCCGGGTTGCGGGCTGGGATTGCGGCTGGTTTTTGGCTTGCAGATTTGTTGTGGGCTGGGTTGCAAATTTGTTGCGAACGGTTTTTTGGATTGCAAATTGGGTTGCAGGTTTTTTGCGACTTCGGCTGCAGATTTTTTGCGAAATTGGTTGCGAATTTTTTGCGATTCTGTTGCAATGTTTCTTGCAAACGGTTGTTTTTGCTTATTAATTTAATAGAAAGCCCATTGACAAAACCCGAATGGTGTCTTTTCTGCCTGGCCGGGCCGTCTGCAAAAAATCTGCAAGCCGGCTTGCAAAAAATCTGCAACCAAAGCTGCAATGCTCCAGGGGCCCCGGGGCCCCGTCTGCAAAATCACGAAACCCCACATCTGCAAAAAAATTGCAACGAATCTGCAAAAATAATTATTTAAAGAGGCCTTTGTGCTGTGGCCAGATGCGATTCTTATAATGGTAGCTGGGCTTTCAGCTGACATGCCAGGTGGGGCCGGACCAGAACCCGGCCTCGCAGCTTCGCCAAGAGGGCTGGCGCGCAGCCTCAGCTTGCGACGTCAAAACGCTCCCCTTTCAGTGCATCCAAGCAGCTCTGCGCAATCTACGTCGTAGAAAGACAGCCGGGGGTTGGGTAAGCTTGTTTTATTCTTGCACTTTGTTGAAGTGCGAAGTACCGGGAAGTCGACGGGTAGCAATGCATTTGAGCTTGGCTTTGACCTTGGAAGGGCATTGGGAGAGCTGCGGAAGATCGGCTACGACTGTGCCGCGCTGCGGGAGGCATGGCACAGGAGGTCCATGGCAGGGGCAAATTGTCCATGTTGTGCTTGCGAGCAGTTGTGAGGCTGGCTTCAGCGCAGCAGATCTCATGGACGTTTGCACCGTGTGCCCGGCAAGGTTTGCTAAGTTTTGGCACCGTCATACAAGCTGACGAGTTTTCTCTTGATGGTCAGGCTCGGGAGCTGGCTTCCGGCGGCGTGCCTGTGCACCTCCGCTCAGAGTGCTGATTCTTTCTCCCAGTGGGTTATTGGATCGTAATCAGCCCCTGTGTCTCATTCATGTATACTGTATACCCTGTCCTTCACACGCACAGGCGCGCACACGCATACGCAACACATGAGGTCCGAGCTGCTTGCCGCAGGCATCGCTCAGGGGACAGATGTCATTGATGTCATCATGCACCCACAAATTGCTGCAGCAGGTTGGGACTGCAGACATGCCAAAGAGGCAGGCCTTGGGACAGCAACTGCTAGAGCACTCCATAGCACTCCCAACCAGCACCTGTATGACTCAAGGGATGTTGCTTGAGCGTGTCGTGCCTCTGCTGTCTGATGCTGCCATGAAGTTGGCTCGGCTACGGCGCCTGGTGTTCTATTTCTTTCACCACCATGATACTACAAGAAAGCAGAGTTGCAGGGTGTTACAAACATGACTAGCCAGTGACTAGCCACCGATACGTTTTGCTCATGGGGAAGGAACCTCATAAGTGAAAACAACAAGTCACACCACGACTTGCACGAAAGAAGGTTCACATGTGCTTTCGGCAGGCAGTCGGGCATGAGTACATGGCACCTGCTGATTCACCAGAGGTCCAAACTAGCTATATAGGCACCGCAGGCAACACAGGTACCAACTGCAGCATGGCAGTAGCAGTGGGAAGCCGCGTGGCTCGGCACCCAGATATTGATAAAGCCGGCGCCCGATGACGCGGCTCCAGAGACTTACCTCGCCCTCCCACATGCTGCACGAAATGTCGCAGTTCCCAAATACTGCCAGCATGGCCCCTCCTCTGCGTCTCATCGCCGTGCCTCATTATCATGATAGCATATGTTGCTAAGCACCGTGTGAATTAGCACTAGAGCAGGCCAGGACTCCCGCAACACCTGTTCCAACTGGAAGCAGATGTATAAAACATTATAAAGCGCACTCTGTCGAACGGAATGGAGGTCTGTGTGACTGTGACTGCCAAGCAAGCTATCATTTGATGTTCATGGCCAAGGTCGTCCTCGACGGACGTCACTTTGAAAGGTTTCGGGCGGGAAACACGGGCGTCTGAGCCTCAGAGGTTTCATTTAGGTGAATGGGTCAGAAGGATTCCTCGCCAGAGTACAACACTAGGCGGGGCACCCCACTCGTACCTTCTGATAGTCTAGATCACTGAGACCGTCCTGGATGTGGATCGCGAGTCCGGATGTTGCCGGGTGGTGTTCGACGACCGCCCTTCAGTGCGCAGCGCTTGAGAGCGATTCCGCATTCAAGCCCGACCATCTGCATCAGCAAGGTACCTGTCAAGGTTGCCATCCGTCCAGCCGGCACTTTGGTCGTGCTAGATCGTGCTAGCTTGTCTACGACTGTGATATGTGTGTGATTCAAAGAGTGATGCCAACGTAGACCCCAGTGTAAGACCATGACAGGGTCCAACTGAGGTCAAAGCAAGCAAAAAAAGGGGCAGAGACTGCACTCTTCCCCAGGAGGGGCACGGGATTGGGACCGAGGCAGGAGCGCGAGATATTTGGGACATTTGAGTACATCCCCCCCCCCCTTTTTTTCAAAAGAACACGAGGAGCAGAGCCGTCCCCAAGCTCTCCCGCTCTCGCAGAGGAAAGTCGCTTTTGTGTCCCTGATGCACCCGCTCTCACAAGAGTTGAGAAGTGTGAAGCGGGGAGCGACCACGCAATGCTCACGGGACGTGGGCGAGAGCGCGACTGTCACGTCGGACGACGTCGCGCCAATATCATCAACACCTCGGACTTTATGATAATGATAAACCACAACCCCCGAAGCCCGGGTAGTTGCTTGTCAGGAACGATCTTGACCCAACACCAGCGCCTCGCGGGGCGCTGCACGTGCACAGCACCCTAACCCTCCTGACTCTGCATGTCGGAAATCATGCAAAGAGTTTGTGTTCGAGGACTTCAGACACATGAGACGGCCAGGACACTTGAGAGCGCATGTTTCCGGCACAGCGTTGCCACGCTTTCCCGCATTTGACCGAGCCAACAAGGACCGGAGCAAAATAGAATGAACTAGAGCAAGTAGAGCAAAGGTGCAGCATCGAGATGTGAGGCAGGATGAGGAATCAAGGTGGTCGTTTCCGGAGTTTCTTGGGGAATTCTGCCCTTTCGCCTATCTGTCCTTCCAGGAGCTGTCTGGAGAAGACCAGGCGCCTGCTCCCAAACATGTCTTCTGCGGCACATGGCTCATGACGAGCAACATGGACTAAAGGTGGCAACATGAGTGGACTACAGTGGGTCTAATTTCGCAAAGAGAAATTGAGGGCACGTGCTTCAGGGAGCCGGATAGACTAAGTGAGACTAAGTGACTAAGTTGATTGCGCTGCAGGCCGCGGATGCCCTGGCAGATGCTATTCGAGCCTGTGCCGAGGTTGATGGCTTAGGTTTGATAAAGCAGTGTACCAGAGCTTGCTAAGTACCGCTAATGACTGCTAATGACTGCTAATCGCAACTTCTCATGCTTTGTCGCACTGAGGTAACCTCTTCGGCGTGCGCCGCAAGCATGATGGAGGCCCATGGTGGGATCGGGGGGAAGTGGAAAGCCCTCGAAGTCCTTTGGGTGCGAGTGAACGAAAGCTGTTTTGAAGCGGGGTGGTTCGGCATGCTTGGGCACCCGGCAGGTTGTTGCGGCGAGGCAGGACCTGCAAAAGCTTGACAAGGACTTCTTGTTTGCTGCCTGCAGTGGGCTGAGAGCTTCTCATGGAGTGTTTCCCGGGCAGGGAACAGGCGCGGTGAGTCAGACTGTGAACCGGCTGTACCCGCGCATCCTGAATGGATGCTTGTCTTATCACATCTTCAATCATCTTCATACATCCTCGTGATTGTCTAAGGGTTCTAAAGCCCACCTGCAGAGTTCGAAAGGACTGGCTGATACCATTTCGCGAGCAGCTCGCGGGTCGCATGTCCAGGTCGGGAGTTTAATGACTCGAGCTCTGGATCTGAAGCGCTCCTTTGTGCTTTCAAGTACAGTGACAGTTCTGGATAAGAAAGCGAAGAATTCCAGGTGAGGCTACCCTGGAATTCTCAGAGTAGAGGAGCACGTTTCAGCCAGAAATACGACCTCACACCCTCAAAGCACCGTGAATTTCTGAACAGTTTTCTTATGTCCAAACTCCTTCATGGCCGGGCCCGAACCAAGCCGAAGTTAAGATAGTGAACCCCTCATTCTCCTAGTATCCTTTGGGCCTGAAAATGGCTCCGAAAACCCTGCCCAAGCCCCTCCCGACAGTCCCAAAAACATTTCCAACATTCCAAACCCCCCCCCCCCCCAACCTTTCCAATTCCAGGAGGCTGACCCATCAGCCAATGAGGGAATGCAATTTTCAGGTCCAAAAACAAAAGCCCCTCATTTTGTTCGAATTAAGAAAATGAATCCGTTATTTTGTTTAACAAAATGCGCCCCTCACTTTCTCATCGTCCTCTTGGGCTTGAAAATGATTCCGGAAACCTGGCCCAAACCCTCCCAAACCCCTCCCAGACCTGCCCAAACTCTCCCAACAGTCCCAAAAAAACAGATAGCGGCTGAAGGTACTGCACCCTAAAGCTCTTAACTTCCAATCCTGAAATAAGGAAAATTCGGCCCCAAATCTGAAGGCACCAATTCTGTCACTGTAACTCTAAACCTAGGCAGTGTATGTAGGTACAACCAGCCATTTCTCTGGAATGATCGTGCGTCTGCTTTTGGCTGGGATTCTCACCCCTGCGACCAGGTTGGAGCAACGTGTGCAGGCCAGATCCTGATTTGCCTCCCTGAGGTGTTCATTCATACTGTAGTCCACAGTCCCCCGAGGTTTGGACTCGTGGGTCCTTGGTGTTCCCTTCAAATCTTGAATTCACGTGCTTGCAACCCACATTCACTCCAGCAACAGTCGACTATTCAGGCACTGGATGAGGGCTTGGCCCGCGCTTTGCCAAAGGACAGAGGGAACCGAGACAAACTCCTCTTTCAGCTTGTTTAGCAGATGCTGGATCCTTCAGAAGCGGCTTCATGCCCCACAGTACACCATAGTACACCTCACCCACCCATACCTGCGCATAGTGCTTTCGCATGAAGGAAGGTATTCTCTCGTAAACGCATGTATGCTCAATGGCCACGCATGGCCATCTGTGAGGATCGCGTTGAAGAGCAGCTGGCACACCGAATTTCCAGGCTGGCAATGTCGTGCAATGTGCTGCTCTTCGACCTGAAGGGTACAGATTCACATGGACTTACCGAAAAGAGAGAGAGGGAGAGAGCTTGAGTCGCGCAGAGAAGAGAAGAGAGACTCAAGCTCCCAAGTGAAGTGAAGTGAAGAGAGCTTCAGCCAAATCCGCACAACGGCATGGCCGGGAAGCTTCGGATGTAACGTCCGCAAACCGCAGACAGCTTCACACCGCCACCAACGCAATCACCACCGCACAGCAGGAGAGCACGCCTCCACGATCCCACAGTAGTACCGTCCGTGGTGAAGCGGATGCACAAGCTGGTCCTCCAGCTTTGAGGCTACCTTTCTTCCCTTGACCCTTCACTTGTCTTGGTTGTGGGCTCGATGTGGCTCAGACAAGTAGAGGGTTAATGCTTGAGGGCTTATGACATTGCAGTTGCACGTCTAGACACCTCGGCAAACTTGTCTTCATGGAGGGCAGGAAGCATTGCAAAGCTTTCTATAGAAGACTCATACGGCACATGCCATCCACAATGCTTATGCGGAGGATGCCCAACGATGCAGCATGCATACAATGAACACTACACATGAAAGCTTGCTGCTTGGCAGCTCGATCCAAAACATCGAGAATTTGTGAACATGCAAGCTTGCACCAAACTGTCTTCACTGATATGGGGAGAGCTCCATGTGCTTAAGCCGTGACAGGAGAGTAGTCCAATCCGATTCAGTCGAAACCGATGTGAGCAACAGCTTTGCCAACCCTTGCAGAAGCAGTGCTGCGCCGCCAGGCTGGAACAATTGCAAGTTTCGCAACCCCTGGACAAAGTAGGGTTTGGTGGGACGGCCTCAGATACGCTTGCAGAGGAGACCTGGGGATGGGCGATCCAAGCAAGATTCCTTGTTGTACGCTGTGGCCACACGTTGAGATACGCAGCTTTGTACAGTCGCGAGCTACTGTACTTCTTGTTCACAAATCCCGTTTTTCAACGTGCAGCGCAATATCAAGAGCATACTGTGCAGCAGGAAAGAGGCAGCTGTCTAGTCCAGATCACCTCAATGAGTCTACGGTTTTTGCAAGTCTTAGCATCAGCATCACAAGGATCGAATGCGTGCCTCAAACACATGGCGGCAGCAGCTTCACTTTCGAAGGTTTGGGCTCACTGTGCAGAGGGTCTGTTGGTGCCTGGTGCTGCTCTGGTTCCAAGCTCGAAGTGGAATGGCCAGCTTGCTGGCTTCCAATGTGCAACCATGCCGCTTCTCAGAGCACGCCAATTGGCTTCTACCAGGGCACCTCATGATCGGCCATGGACCCAGTCACTTTTACGTCTGACTTTGGTGGTGCCCCTTGCAAGCAGTCCCGAGATCTCCTGAGGCCGCTATCCGTACCTGAATCCCGTCTATTGCACGTCCCAGCAAGACGCCGATGAGCAGCTGCGCCACATGCTCGGAATTGATAGCAGCATGGCAGCAGGATGCCAGCAGGAAGGCAATTTAGGAGACCTAGGCAGCTTGCTGGATGCTGGCATCACCACCTTTGTCTGTTTACAGTGCCACTGGCAGCACTTGGATTATTTGGGAAGTTTGGGAGGTTAGGATGCAAGGCGCAAGGGCAGCGCTGACATGGCTCAGCAGTGGCTCAGCTAAGGTCCGAGATACCACCACAGGTTGGCCCTGGATCGGATTGGCCGGATGGTGGGGTTTCCGTGACGGGCTTCCCGGGGTGCTTTCTGCCTTATGCCGCCAGAGCCCAGAGCCTGGCATCGGGCCTCCAGTTCTTGCAGCCCGAACAAACTTAGCCACATCACCTCAGGGCCATTCAGGCATGTTCCGAAATACCTTGCAAGATCAAGCGACTAAGGCACTGCCCCATACAGGACCGGTCTTCACCAGCAACGTTGGCAGAGTGCGTGAACTTGCTTCTCTTTGCTCCCTGGCCGTGTCACAGGACTTGAACACACCGCGGTCACAGGAACTTTCCGAATTGGTGGGTGAGCTCACGCGACGGATGGAAGCCAACGAGGAGCACCTGCCTTTTTTTGTTTCTTATGTGTGCTGTTTTTCTCCGTGCTTACGCCACAGGTCATCTACCTGCATTGCTGGGGCGGCCGAGGGCGCAGTGGTCCTGTCCTCGTCGCTCCTTGAGATAAGCTCACGGGAGGCATGTTCCGTTGCTTTGCACTTAAGGTGTAGTGGCGGCCTGTCTCCTCGGAAGCCTGTTCCGCGAAATGGCACCCGAAAAGTGTTTGGAGATGGTGCAATCCGGCTACAGCTCCAGGCAGCGACATTGGCAAGATTTGGCAAGTTGTTGGTGTTGTTGGGACTACCTTGTGATTGCTGGACTACCCGTTTTGGAGGGGGAGCAAAGCTGATGTTGGGGCATTGGCCTGGTCTCCGCAAACTGACGAGCAGCGTGAATTCGTGAGGTTGTGGCTGGCTCAGCGACGAGCAAGCTAGCTTTGCACAAGATACTGTACCTTAGGCGAAATGTTCCCCAAAGATATGGGCACGGCACCAGTCTGTTTCTTGATTTAAGGGTGCGAAAGAAAGCGTCTCGAGCTGGCAAGTGCAGCACGGAAGCTCCACGGAAGCTCTTGGTCTTTGCTCAAATTCCGCAGGACATGCGGCAACAGCAGAGAGCCCTTCGAGAGCTGAAGTCACAGCTGGGCACCCGTATAGCATGTGCAACCGATGCAGAAACTAGAGATTTCCAAATGTGGATCTTGCTTTAGCGCTGTTGGTGTTACCGTGACTCTGCGGAAGGTTCGAGCGGAGCTTAAGCCACTTAGCAGAGCAGCTCCAGGACTGCTCTGACTGCTCATTCATCGGGCCTGGAGAGCCACTGAGAGTCACCAAGACTTCCGGGGAGGTCCAGAAAAACCTCGTGCTTGCAAGTGCTGCAGGAGGTAGCCAAATCTCAGAGCCGGCTTCAGGCCGAGATGCATGCAGCGCAGGCGCGTGCTGGCATGCACCAAGGGCACGAAGGGAGTTGAACTCAGTTCAATTCTGAACTTCTCTTCAAGGCTCCTCGGCACATCGATCCCGACTACGGGGATGCTTTGAGGTCCGAATCATCTGTGAAATAGACATGAGAAGCTCAGTCGGGCAAGAATCAGGACGCTGACTGGCAACATGGAGGACCTCAAGACCTTGATGGACCCGTGCTCAGCGCATCTCAGCACCATTTGCTTCGTCTTCAGCGGGATTCTGGCCAGTACATTGAGTCTGGTTTGTCAGGATCACTCACCATTGCCATCGGCCATGTCCCATGCAAGTTTCTCGACTGCAGCGGAATTGCAAAAAAAAACGGGCAGCCATTTTCTTGTCATACATTTCCCGTACCCAGGAAGTACGACGAACAGTCCGACCGCAGGCCAGCATAGCTACGCTTAGAGACCGGCGCGGGATGCTGGAGCATTTCCTGCATGTTCTCAAAGAACTCGAGTGCATGTAGTAGGCAGTTGGTTCTTGGTCATGTGTGGCTCTGTGTGACAGGGACACCCAGTGGTGCAGCCTCGCCGCAAACACTCAGGATGGGGCGGGCATGGATTGTCTACATACATACGAATCCGTTGTATGTGCTCGATGCTTTAGTGAAGACTATGCATGTAGTCAGTACTACTGCACCTTATAGAACCATGTATTTAGCGGGTTATGTATTCATGTTTGCTGCCTAGGTTTGGGGCTCCGAATGTGATGTGTACACATCCGAATCACCTTTATCCTTCAAGCTCTGGATATATTGTTGACGCTACGCTACGCAACAGGCCTCGGCCGGGAGCTAGGTTTGTTGGGGGTGTTTTTTGGGTTGTTTTTTTTCTTTTGTGTGAGTGTGTGTGTGTGTGTGTGTGTGTGTTGTGGGCTGTGGGCTAAGGGGTTAGGAGGCTAAAGGATGTGTAAGAAGCAAAAGAATTAACCTCAGAGTCCAGAGGCTAAAGGATGCGTGAGAAACAAAAGACTAACTCCCACCCGTGCACGCGGCTGCAGTTCACGTTTTCTTTTGCTATGGTACCACGTTGGCGAGAATGCATGCTCGCATGATGGGATTTGGACAAGATTCATAAGTTTCGAATCTGTCGGTGATTGCTACTGAAGAAGGGTGCGGCCTGGGAAGGAGCAGGCCGCATCTGGAGCCAATGGGGCGGGGGGGGCACAAAACAATGAAGTCCCGCCTCAAATGCCTCCGGTGTCAGTCAAGCCAGCAGCTCTTGTGGAGTCACGGTTGCCGTTTCTCCCCCTTTCCCCCCCCACCCTCCCCACCCAGCGAGCTCATAACACTGGAAGGCCGGCAGCCTCTCCCGCAGCTTCAAGCACTGCCACATTCCGCTTCACAAGTGCCCAGGCCCTGACATGTTGTTTTGTTCCATAAGCCATAAACATGAATGGGCGCACTCCGCTTCTCGGGGGTCCTTGTCAACTGGCACTGTTTCCGCGGCGGGGAACTTGAAATTCGGGACCCCCAATTTTACACAGAGATTAGGGACCGGGATTCGGATGCGGCACGGGTTTGTCGCAAACACGGGTCAGGGTCAGTTGTTCAAGGTCGTGCAAGCCTTGGAACCCAGGGAGATGGTCTCTTGGTAGCCCATGTTTTGTTCTCCATTGCTCGTACTTGGGTGGCTCGTGGGACGCGGCATCGCGCTTTTGGGGTCTATGGCCTCGTTTGTAAGGTGCCCTTAGAAGCGTGGAGGAGCTGCGTAGCGAACACAAGAATACCCTCGGGACCGTCTAAAGTCCAGCCCATGAGAAGTTTTGGGGAAGTTCTGGGGCTGAGAGAACACACCCGCAGGGACAGGGGAGGACCCTCGGTGGCCCAGCTCGCGCCTATGTACCGTTGGTCTGCTAAGTTGTGCTTGCATTTGCTCGGCCAGGCAGTATGTCTGAAGTGCGGAACCCCGCATGCAGCCGATGCGAAGTTCTGCCGCAAGTGCGGCCAAAAGAGAGAGCAGGCTCAAAGAGCAGCGCAAAGCAGCCATTGCTGCTTTCCCTATGTTGTCTATGTTGCATCTGGAATCTGCGCAGGCATCCGCGCAGGAAGCCCTGCCGACCATCGAGGTGTGGCGTGCGCTCGGTGTCTGAGCTGTGATCAAGCAAGCCATCATCCCGTTTCCGTCGCTTTGTGGGATCGGCAGGCTTCACCTCCTGCCAGCCTACTGCGCTCCAGGTCGGCGCGAACAGAAGATGAACGTTGTTTCCTTCGGTACGCTGCTTGCACTCCGGGGGCTGGGGATGTGGATTGTCGTGCCAGCAGCACGCTCAGTCTCCACACTCTAAGGGACTTCAGACAATTTTCTCAGAGGAACACTGCATAATGAGATTGGGGGCCCGGGATCAGGCTTTCAGCTTTTCGGGCAACTGCATCGCGGAGTAACCGGTTGAACAATTGTTTGGGGCCTTTTGAAGTGGTTCAGAAAGTGCTGTGAGGCCTTGAAGTTTCCAGGCCAGTGCCGAGGGCTCCACGCCTGCTCGCCTTCTGTAACGGATGGGTTTTGTCAGGGCCCCCGGCCCTGAAACTTTGCATTATTCCCGGTATCCTGAGCATGATTTTCTGAAAACGTTGCACAATAGTGGACCTCCATACTGAATCGGTGACAACACTGCAACTTGCGTTGACCCCGCAGGTAGAGAACGCCAGACTTCCGCGTCACTTGTCCGAGCCAACAGCAGCCTCCTGGCGCATCTTGGCGCCGTGCGTACCGCACGAAGCCTGCACGTGCAAAATACTCCGGGTTGGGCACGGTGTGTGAAGATCACGCACCGGCTCAGAGCAATGCTGACAAAGCAAGCAGACCTGGCCAAAAAGAAGTCCGGCAGCATTCCTGGCACGGAGCCATGGACTACATATATGCAACCTCTTCACTTTCACTACGCTTTTGTTGGCCTCCGCTCACAAGGCAGGATTCCACCTTGCTGATCTGGCATCCGCAGGTCCGCGCATACTCTGCAAATGTAAGACCGCATGAGTATCTCTGATTGCTGTGGGAAAGAAGGTGCTTCCATCAGGAACATGCGGACTGCTGGGCCCAGTCCTAATGCCAATCTCGAGCAAATCCTCCCGGGATCAAGCTTCGCGCATAGGTTCACCGACGTAGCCTCCGTAATTGCTCTTCGAAAGCGGGGAGCACGCAGCCAAGATGCTTGCTGGACACTTCTCGAAGCCACTGGACTCATTGAACCCATGTGCACCCTGCCTTAGCATGTCTTTCTCAGGTGCAAGCTTGGAAGCTGAAGCTCGGTGCCTCCCCTACCGTAGTGGACGAGCTTTTTCGTCATGGACGTAGACAGCACACAACGCAGTTTAGCTCTGCTGCCGGTAGTTTCCCGTTGTCGGCCAGTGTTGTTGGCTTTACGTCTGATCTCCCTTTTGCTGCTTCCTTGTCCTTCCCCAAGCAGAGGCGGCTTCACGCTCTCGGACCTGCGCAGCGGAGGCTTCAGTTGATGGGGAGCGCCTGGGGTTCGAGTGTGGAAGCTTTCATGCGGGTTGCTACGAATAAGAGACTGTTGAGACTTGCTGCGCAAGCTGCCTCCTTCGCTCGCAAATCACTTTGCAGCCCTAGCATGCCCTTACGTTGAACTCCGAAATGATTACGTTTCCGGAGGCTCGGAGCTTTTTTGCTTCGAGCGGCATGGAACAAAGATCAATCTTGGACCCTTGGGTCATGAGCTTGGACAAGCATGTTCTTGCTAGCCGCCAACAGTGCCTCCCATCTTGGAGCTCCGAATGGGCCCAAGCTGATCACTGGTCGCTCTAGCTGACCCTTCGGCGCGTACTTTTGGGAGGCTACTCCAGTGCCGAGCTGCGCTTGGCAGGCTTCTCCAGCGTAGCAGCCTAAGGCCTGAGGTGGTACAGTGCTGAGTTGCATGCAGTGCGGGGAGATCTACGACCTGCGACTGCGCATGCTTGATGCCTAGGCTAGCATCGCGGCGCTGGAGAAGAACCGTGCGTGGGTCTATTGCAAGGCAAACCCAAACGGTGAGGAGTAGTCTAGCTAGCTGTAGATTCGTTCCATCGAAATCCGGTTGATACCATACTGTTACTGCCTGGCGAGTACTTGCTATAGTGATGCAGCTTACATGCGACATGAGAACTTTACACAACGCGCGAAGGCAAATAGTGCCAGACTGCACATCGCAGTTTACCACAGGGTTCAGCCGCACCCTTGATGCAGTGTACCTTCACGTAGAACATGGAAGACCTGGAGCTGGGCCGGTGCGTGAAGATCGCGCACAAGTGCGGACTCCAGCCAGAAAGCTGAACCAGCAAAAGGAATTCCAGCATCATTCCTGCTGGAGTACACGGACCGACCGCAAAGTCTACACTTGCCATGCGATGTGCGCAGTTCATGATGCTTGCAGGTTGCCATCAACGACACATAGCCGCCTGTGCATGCATGCAGCATTGCATGCAGCTACATTTGAGTCATGTGTGGGTAGGAGTCATACGAACAAGCAAACATTGCTTGGGTCGAGGTGCGGTTGTTCATGCGGTCATTTCATGTGGATGCCAGCTTGAAGTTTGAAGATCAACCTGCGCTAGCAACAGGCCCCCCAGAATTACACGTGTCCCTGTGTTTCCTTGCAGCCATTTCCGGCTAAGCACATCCCCAAAGGGGATGTGCTGGGGAAGGCTTCGTCAGCACGTTCACTTGAACGCTCCTAATTCATGGCTTCTGTGACAGCGGTGCACGGAAGCACGTCGTGCATGCGTCCATAGCAGCGGCATGCAATCTGCACAGAGTCGATCTTTGCCAGATCTGCGAGATGACGACAATGAGTTCAAGAAGTCGGGCTTCTTCGCTTTGAAGCGGTCCTCCAAAGTTCGCGACATCAACCTTGAGGAGATCAGACAAAGGCGGGCTTCCATCCATCATGGGAACAAGAAGAAGCAGCAAATGGTGCAACAGGAAGAGCAGGAGCGCTGGGAGCGACGGCGCCGCGGCCTCTATGGCCTCAGCAATTCCGAAAAAGCCTGCTTCGCTCGCCCGGTGCCCGCCGCACCGGAGGCCCTTGCCCGTATGAAGGATGAGAAGCGCAGTCTCAGCAAAGGCGAAGGCTCCGTCAAGGCTCTGCGCTCGGACGGGGAGGAGGGCAGTCAGAGCCCCAAGATGCGACGCCGCTACGCAGCGCTGGTGACCGAGAAGGCAGCGTTGAGCTCAGTGGAGATGACGGAGGAGGCCGTGGAGTGCATCCTGAGGCAACGTGGCGACAAAAGTGTACAATGTTGTACGGTGTGCCGTTACGTTGCTGACCCAAACTTGGGCACAGGCTCTTTGGCTGTAGGGCCACATGAGGGCCTTCGTAGAATGTAATGTAGTGTAATTCAGTGGAATGATTAAGATTGTAACGTGCTTCCAGCCTTGCCACAACCGGTCTTGGCCCTGAGGGTCCTCTTCCCCACCAACCCTGTGTCCATGGCCCGGGTCGGCAGCAGTTACCGGCGCCAACGAGGAGTGAAAGCCTTGGCCTTCCAGGCAAACAATCCTTCGTTGAGCGTTCCCGTTCTGCCATCCATCAACGCGCTGAGCGATGATGGCGCAGTGAAGCGAAGCCTAACAAGCATGCTGAAGCCATCCAAAGACCGGCAGTCGCACGAGGCTCGGGATTTCAAGGCGCAGCCACTTTCTCCAAGATCAGCGCTCGAGCAGTCACTGAAGAAGGCGGTGTCGGGAATAGATGTGGCACAGCTCAAAAAGATGAGCGACCTATTGAAGCGAGAGCTGAACATCAAGTTTGACGCTCAAGACTCATCAGCGCCGCGCAGACAACCTCTCTACGTCACTCCAGAAAATGCTGGAACGAAGCGGAATAAGGATGTACTGGGCAGATCGAAATACGAGGCCAGCAGCGTTGCCGAGGTTTGGGAGAGCGCAGAGCAGCCTGATTTCACGAAGAAGCCGGTTTTCCACAGGCTAAAGAATGCGGCACTGCTTGTTCGCAAAATTGGAGACATGAGCGACGAGCTGAACAAGGAGCCTGCATATTGTGAAAGTCTTGCAAAGATTTGTAAAGGTCCGGTACTGTAATGGCTGGCCACTTGGAGTGTTTGATGCCTTCATTCGTTGAGGCGCCCTTGAGGTGTGTAGTCAAGGATACATAGCATAGTGATACTCGATCTTCCTGAGAATCTGATAGTTCGCTTGCTGCGCGGCGTGATGTTCTTGCCATGCCCTGGTTTAGGAGTCCGGAGAACCTCTTGCGTTTGCAAAACGTTTGCAGCCTGCCCCCCTGGCGGATGACTGCAACTTTTCCCTGAGAAAGTTTCGCAAGAGGCAGCTCTTGGATCCATGATAGTCTCGCATTCTCCTGAGCCACGGCGTTGCAGGCTCCTGGGCAAGCATGTCTGCCTTGCCGACGCTTTCCGATGCTTGGATCTGAATGTGAACCAGAAGCTCGGGCCGGAGGCATATCTGGCATATCTTGTGGCATATTTCATGGGCAGCACATGTCGCAGCACATGTGGCAACTGGGGCGGGCGATGTCTTGCAATGCGTGCAGGAGTGGGGAGCCATGTTTCGCGGCTCCGGCCTGGCCACTTTCCGCGAGGCTCTGGCGAGTGCAGACCTTCTGCTTCTTCATGCTATCGAGGACACCAAGGGCACCAGAGCTTAGGCTTAGATGTTGTGCAGGCACGCATCAGCTTTGAGCTTCTGGATTTGAATCGGGACGGTGGCTTTGCTGCATGGGTCTGTGCTTAAGTCTAAGTTCGTGTTCTAAGCAGGGTGTAGTTGTCGGTCCTCGGATACTTTGGGCAGGTTGTTTTCCGAGTCCGGGGGACGCATCTGGGAAGTTCTCGGACTGAGAAGGCAGTTTTTTTGTTTTTTCTTGGGGGGGGGAGCGGGGGGGAAGGGGGCGTGCCTTGGAACGAATAGAGAAGCGTCAGCAAGACTTCGAGTCCTCAAGTCTTTGCATATCTTGCCGAAGAACCTTGTACGGAAGTCTCCCATGATGCTGTCGGCTCTAAAGTGAGGCCGCCCTCAACACCTCAAAATACTTCACAACCCCAACGAAACCCAGCAAGCTGCCCACTGCAGGCAGTGTGACTTTGGCCGAGTTCCAGGCAGGAATCTACATTATTGCATGACAACATGATTGCAACATGCCTGAATATCAACCTGCCGTTGATGCAATGCAAGCAACGTGCAGACCGTGAAAATGTGAGGCAGCCCTTGAAGGCGTGGCTGAGATCACTGGGATCGATGGACTTCGAAAGCGATTGGTGTCGTTTGGATACACCAAGACTATGCAGGCCTCAACGCAGCAAGTGCTACCCATGCAAGACTCGAAGACCATGAAGACCCTACTCCCAGAAAGCAGTTCTCGAGAGGCCTTGGAAGCAATGGAAGGAAATGGATTCATCAATCCTGCGAAGCCATTGATCTTGGAGGCACCTGCTTTCCAGAAGCTTGGGCTGGTGGCGGGTGAGTTTCCGTCAACTCTGCGTCAACTCTTGAAGGAGTTCGGTGCTGCTTTGTGCCATGACCCTAGCTTGGAGCAATTGCACGCTGAAGAACATGTGTGAATGCATGTTGCGTATCGCCTCTCTGGAGCATCGGCAGTTTTACTTTAGGCCGCATTCATGTCGTGGAGTTGGACGAGCACCGGGCAATCTTTGCTCCTCGACACTACGGAAACTGCGCGGTCTAACTGGGAGTCTGGTGGTCTAGCGCGCAGGCTCTGGGGAGGTTGGAGATGTGGTAAAGTACCATCTGCTACCATTGTTCTGCGCAGTGATGCTCATCTGTCGCCAAGTCTAAAAGTAGCCTCGTGCAGTTGTCTGTTGCTTTCAGCAGGAGCGATAAGCCGTGAGTTTCTCCTCGTGTCGGAGGGCATGGCTTTGTGCTCTACTAGCAATCCTTCAACGCAGAAATTAAGCCTTCTACGCTGCCTTGCTGAGGACAATGTGAGAGACAGTGGAGATCCCGTCAGTAAGGCGGCTGCTCCAAGCCAGAGTGCTCAACTGTTATCGCCAGGACTTGATTTGGAGGGTCGATGGTATGAGCTTGCGTCAACACGCCTATGCGTGTGCGGGCGTATAGACTTTGTTGTAGTCTGGCCCGGGGCGCATCATGGCGAATCCTGTATCGACTTTCGATTCTTAGCAGATACAAAGGACCACGACGGATAAATGTCCTTCAGCTAGATTTTGCCGAAGAGGCATCCCTCTTCGACTTGGTCGCGGCCCTCGGAGCCGTTGGTCCATCCCTGCTCATGGAGGACATTGCCGCAGGCTTAAGCTGTTGTTGTGGCTTGCATGCGTTTGCATTGCCCATCATGGCCCCATCGCTGACCATCACTCTGCCTGCTTCAAGAAGTAGGTCTGTAAGAAGGAGTGCGCTCTGCACTAGCACTGCACCAAGGCTGAGCGTGCCCGTCAGAAGTTCGGAAACACCGACGCAATTTGGGAAGGCGGCCTGACCCGCACCATTGTTTCTTCTAATTCTTTCATTTCAATTTCTTCAGACCTGAACCAACCCCGCAGGTCACCATGTTTCAGCGAAATTGGCGCAGAAGCGATATGTTTAAACAGCTGGGTTTAGGCTGGACCATGGTGGTGCGAGTTTCTTCGCTACACAGACGGTTAGGGCGTTATGAGATTTGTGGTGGCCGACTCGTACCCTAACAGGAAAGACCTTTGATCTTCGGGATACTTCTGGCATTTTGAGGTTTTGGACATGTTCGTCCTTGTTGGACCCTAGGAAGATGTAGGAAGAGTTGTGGTATCTGTGTGATTTCAGCATCGTGCGTTTAGCTCGCTTCTCATGACCAGGTCTTGGGCCAGGCAGTTCAAGCAAGGAGAACATTGAGCTAAAGGCTCTGCCAGCACATGCCGGCAATCTGGAAGCATCTCCGATGAGATGTCGCTGTCAGGTGTTCGAACGAAAGCTCATCGACCGGCTGGGCTTGGCCAAGGCGGCCGCGCAGAAGGCTCCAGCACACGATTGATGCTTTTGCTCTATTGATACAACTCCTGCTCCCTAGGCTTGTCGAATCTTGGACGTTGATGATGGCGGGGATCTTTCACGATCTGAGTTCTCAGACCGCAATGTACCTGCAATCCTGACAAACGTATGATTCCAGAATGCCACCCTGCCCCACCGGGCCGATGTATATGTCTGTGTCTGTCTCTGTGTGTGTGTGTGTGTGTGGGTGGGTGTGAGTGTGTGTGTGTGTGTGTTTTTTCGGTTGAGTGTTTTTTCGGTTGTGGTGTTTCTTTCTCTTTGCGTTTTTGTGCATCCGAGGCTCATCTCCGCCTTGGCGCTGTCCAGACCCACTCTGCACATGGAAGACTTCCGGCGAAAGGCGGGGCAGAGCAGCGACATCAGAGGATCTTCATGGATTTTTATTCGAGTTGAAATTCGGAAAGATTGCCAGAAGCGACCGCTGCAGGTTCAGCAGCGCTATCGCAGCATCGAGGCGATCTTCCGAGAATCCTTTGAGCACCTGGAGAACGAGGATGCATCCACTCTTGCCCAGCATTATCTGCAGACAACAGCCGTTGCAGCTGACTTGGGCAGGAGTTGAACAACGATGACGACATGCGGCGTCTTGGGTGCAAAGGGTGAATCTGGCATTGGGCGCCCTTAACCGCCTTAGCCTCCTGAACCTCAACCATCTTACCCAACAGGCGCTCAAACCCTGGACCCGGAAACTGCACGCCTCCCCCTTCAGCCTCCCCAAAGGATCTAGACTCTAGAGGCTCTTCCCGACTTAAACCTGGTCATGCCTTCGCTGTTTCGGGATTCCGGAGGCGTTATTTCTAAAGACAATGTCCGAGCGAAAATCTGTTGCCGCGCCTCTCAGGGTTTCCCATCGCGGGTTCAAATAAAAGTGAGTTTGACTTCGTTGGGTCACGAAAGCTGGTCCAGCATTTTTCAACAAGACCGACCGATTACCACCTGTATCAACAGATGCACTCGACCCGACTCGTATCGGGCGCAAGCCAGGTTGACCTGCCCGGAGTTCGCAGAGATTCTGGAGGAACTGGACTTCAGCAGGCTATCGAAATCGCAGCATAGCATCACTATGCATCACTGTAGCCATCGCTTTAGCCGTGCTGCACTGTCCTGGCGATGCTGTTGGTATGAGGCGGGAGACCAGCTACCTGTTCTGGCTAGCCGATGCAAGCGGAACAGCAAAGCTGACCCTTTACGAGTGCCTCACTGTGCATATAAGGATGCGGGTGAGCACTAGGACGTTCCAAGATGCTTCAAGTCGCCACAACGCGCCACAACACCATGGACATGCTTTAGCAGTGGTCAGGTCAACCTCTGCCTGGAGCGTGTGACCAACCTAGATAACCTAGCATTCTGTCAACCGACCATCCTGAAATGGACCGTCAAGCCTCGGCAAACTGCAATACACTGTAATCGTGGTAAGCTATGTAAATCGGTGCCTGTTGGTACCCTGGCGCAAAGGTTCTTCCGCGGAGTGAAGCTCTTTGTGCCCAGCTGCGTGGTCGAGGGCATCCGCCTGCAGGTGAGGACACTGCATTACACTGCTCTCGAAGGAGTAAAAAAAACTTGCAGACCGAGCAATGAGAGCAATGCATTCATTGGGAGCAGGCTCTGGTCCATCATCGGCGGATTGCCGATCTCTTCCGCAACTCTGGGGTGGCCTGGGATCGGCGTCTGAACTGTCAGGCACAGGTTGCGGAATGTTGCAGAGTAGGGGGGTCAATTTGAGAGCAATATGCAGGGGAAGCTAATCTGCCCGCAGAAGAGGCGTTCGCGCAGCTGTTGTGCAAGCTGGATGTGAAGTGTGAGGAGCGAAGCATCAGCATGCATCTGCTCTGATTGATGATTCAAATTGATTCAAGCAGCTGAAGTTGAGAACAGGGCTCTGCGCTCATGGATAGGAGCCACAGCTGATTTTCGACTTCTTGGATGTCCGCAGCTGTGGTAGCGTCTGCATCAGCGAGGCCAAATTGAGAGCCATCGCTGAACATGTGGCTGCAGTCTCTCCAGCACCTTCAAGCCTTCACACCTGAAGAGAAGCATCTTCCTTCATTCGGGATAGCCGGGATTGTTGGCTCTTATGACGTCGCGCGTTCTTGCAGGTGGTCTCCTGTTTGCAGAATCTGACGCCTGGCGTAAAGGCCTGCCTCCCCATGTGGCCCACATCCCACTGCGCATGTTGTGAGTTGATGCGCAGTCTCATTTCGAATAGCATTATAGTCCTACATGACTGCAAGAAACAAGCTCGCGACATGCGGGTCCGCGTCATCGGTGCCGCATGCAGTAGAATAATGTACGGTTACTACAGCAGTAGGGAGGTTCCACAAATGACAAGGCGCAGGGCAGTACAACTGGTGTTCCATGCACAGCGTTGGCTGCAGGAACGCTCCACATCACAAGAGTCTGACAAACGGGTTGAGAAGGACCGCGCAGTGCAACAAAAGTCAAGGGCTTTCGCAGCCCTGCTATCCAGGACGTTCGTGCAGCCCTTGCACCGATGCACAAGACGGTGCTTTTCTCAGCTTCCGGCGAACGGACGCAGATGCAGGGAAATCGGAATGCAGAATAGTGCAGATGTGGATATTTGCAGCAGCTGCCTTCAGAGGTCACCGAGCTAAAGTCGACTATGAAACGAGACCTCTCGGAGGACCTGTAAGCTGTGACAGCGAGCATTCAGCTATTTAGCTGAGCTAAGCTAATTTTGTTTATGAATGTTCGTTGAAGCCCGATTGCACATCTGCGCAACTGCACAACGACTACAACGACTGCCCAAGCGGTTTTTGGGTCACAGGATGACCACCTGCACGTTGTGGATCGTTGTGGCACAGCTTGGGGCGATGCGACCATTAGATACACATCCGTGTGCTATTTCATGCGCTTCTGGCTTGAGCCAGGCTTCCTTTGTCCCACCAAATTTTTAGATGAACTCCCCACCCTTCACCACCCTTTGGGGATGCATCGTATTAATCCCCTTGCTGAAGCTGCACGCATGATGGCAAGGCCTGGTGCAATTACAGTACGATACTTCCTCGGGCTTTGCAGATTTACGTTGCAATCCGGAAGCCATGGTTGCTTCAGTTATCTCTCCGAAAGTGTTAAGGAGGGGGGAATACCATGAAGTCATCCTCAGGCTTGGCATTGCTGTGTGTGGGAACAGCTGTGCATGCTATTAGCCTCAGGACTTTGGAGCCATCGACATTCCCATCAACTATGTAGACTGTACCAGCTCGCTGCACACAACAAAATGGCGAGCTACACACCATTTGCACATGGTTTTGTCCGTTGCTTGAGGCACTCACGCAGCACTCCTCGCAGAGGAAGCGAGCTATTGCAAGGACTTCGCTTCTTGTCCGCGATCTCAAGATGAGCTTCTTGCAAACAAGCTCGTTTTGAGAAGGGCACGGAGCACAAGAGTCCTTGCCGCGCCAGATGCCAGCAAAGCCACATGCTTGAGTCGCGCGGCTCCGATGTAAACAAGCAACTCGTAACTCGCCGTAACTGATTCACGGCCTTCCGCGGGCCGCCTTGTGCAGACAGGCCTAGTGCGCCGGCTCGCGACATCACCGCGCTTGCCAGCGCAGGCATTGCGACTCGGTCCGGCAGCACAATTGCAGAGCTGGATGACCGCCGCTGCACCGCCACTTTTGCGACCTCGGTCAGCTTGGTGCCGTGACGCCGTGCCCTCGTATCCTCGGACCGTGATCTGTGAGGTGTCCATGTCCGATGCGTGGGCACAGACAGCGTACGTGCCACAACAAGCCAGGGAGTTTCCTTGTTGCTCTTCGTTGCGCCACTGCCGAACGGTATGCGTGTTCTCTTCTGTGACACATCTCTTAGTTGTGCAACAGTGCAGCATCGGATGTGCTGCACTGGTGCATTCTGGCATTGCAGCTCTTGCAAGTAGTCATACTGTAGTCACTTGCATTCCACTTGCCCAGAAAGCCGCGAACATGAAGAGGTTGGCGCTGCATGCTAATTGCATGCTGCCACTCAAAGACTTCCAAATGCATGGCACGCAGCCATTTCACCTTTCCTTTTTGTCGCCAACCTGCGGCGTGCACACGGCCGAAAAAATAGCAAACCTTTGCAGATGGTCATGACGCTGCGCATCTCTGCACCATTCCAGGACGTCGGGAGGAGAGTGTCGATGTCGGTCAGCCCAAGGACGTTCAAGTTCTGCAGGATGTTACGGTCTACGATGTGTCTACGACGTAATTGCGTTGGCTTACATATCATCCGAAGCATAGCAGGGGCTGTGAGGGTCTTTGCTATTTTGTTGTCTGTTGTTGTCTGTTGTTGTCTGTTGTTGTCTGTTGTCGTCAAGCTGCTCGACTTGCTGTCCATTTTGTGATCGTTCGCTGTTGACTTCGCTTCGTTGGCCTCTCAGGAGCCTGCATCCTCCAGAGAAGCACTGGGCTTACAGCCACTTTCCGGAGCTCACGGCTCATGCGATCAACCCTTGCTGCGGACGCTTGCACAGGAAGGGTGAGAAGGCGGAGAAGCCCGAACTGCAGGGCTCTGCGGCTGTGGCAATTCCGGCCGTCGTCTGAGCCCGAACCGGACTTTGAGCATGAAAGACTTGCATGATAGATCATGATTCGGTGTTTATCAGAGTTCTGTTTATGGCTTCAGTTTTTTCTGGATGCCCCTCCGTCCGTTGTCTCGAAGCATCCGCTCGCCAGCCACAGGGGCCGAAAGCTTCCGACATCCCTGCCGCGGTCCTGAACGAGACGTTCCACAGGTTCCTTGCAAAACGACCTGTTATACATCTCAGTGCATCTTATACATAATATGTATATATATATATATACAAATTGACAAATTTACATATACCTGTGTGTATATATATACACTAATGAAGAATACATTTAATATAGTATAAACAAGTTAGAATAATACAACACAATATCTGTTATAGCTATCTCCACATAGTACACAGACACAAATATAATATAGTATTATATTATTCCATGTCATACACAAATATATGGTTCTGTGCATGGCGCTGCGTGGGAACCCTCGGCGATTCTTTGAGAATGCCTAGCAAGCGACAAGGATCAATGGCGCGCCCGAGGGACGGAAGAACAACCCAAGTGTTACAGACTACTGTGGAAAGAAGACTGTGGATACTCGGCTGCTTTCAGTGCATGGTCGTATGAGCATTGAAAGCACCCGATACTGCTGTAGGATGGGCTTTGTGGATACCTGAAGTCCACGAGCGACATCTTGGAGGCTCACAGGCCGCTTCTGTCGCATCACTACAGCAGGACAGCTCCATGGGGCGGGTGCTTGGAGACTGGATTGGACGCGCAGCATTGCAGGACGGATTGGCACAAGAAGCAAGAGAGCATAAAGGCTGTGCTGAACCGCCGCATTTAAAACGCGGTGGGATGGCCGTTTCACAGGCCTCAACTCTCTAAAAGAGTTTGGCGATGAGGGCCACAGCGTTAATGAAAATTAATTGTCTAATTTCGCTCCCTGAGGCGGGCTGTTACAAAAGAGGCGTACGGACATGCAGTTGACACGTGGTTGAGTCAGGGACTGCAATAGCTCCTACCATGGTCAATTGCATCATGTGGCAAAAGGCAAAGGGCCAAAGAGAGGTCACCGTCCCATGTTGTAGAGTTACGTCTTTGTTGGGCATTTCCGGAGTGCTGATCTGCCGCAATCCACGCTCAAAGTTCAACATATCTTAACATGCAACTGAATCGCCTCCAGGCACTGGGCCCTTCAAACCGGGTGAATCGGCAGAGCATATCTGGCCGAGGTCGAAATTCCATAGACCCGTAGCTACCGTAGTAGTCTGCATGCAGTCAAATGAAGTTTGCACATCCGAGTCAGGTGGTCGACAGGGTGTTTCTGGAACAGCCCAGCACAAGGTTGTCTAAGAACAGCGGCTGTAAGCCTCGGCTTCTCAAGCCAACGCTACCCTGCATTGTCAGACTTGCCAGTTTGTGCTGCTGCAGAACATGCAGCGTGGATTGCGGCAATCCCTTCGCCAAGCCATGGAGACATGTAGAGGGACCTTCAAAGCAAGTTGACGCCGCTGGAGGCAAACATAGAAGGCTGGGTCTTGCTGATGCGCTGTGCCTGACGACCTGCTGATGATGCTGATGTCGACAACGATGACATAATACGCTGATGTTGCGTGTCGTCCTGCAACGATGTGGGCAGCGTACAATGTGACAGCTGCATCTGCAGGCGGGAAGTATGGCTAAACAGGCGGAGAAGAAGAACAAGGACTTGATGTCAACGCAGGTGCGCACCCGAGTTGGAAATGCTACTGCTTGGAACAGGGCGTGACATGTGTGGTGGTGGTCGTGTTTGCCCTATTTTGCCCTGAGGTCCTTCTGGCGGCATCCGGCTTAGCAGAATTCTACAAGTACTTTGACCAGGCGATACGGGAGAGATCGGAGAGAGAGACGGAGCGGCTGAACACAAATGGGTTTCAGTTTGAGATGTGTGAATGTGCGACTCAGTGGTTTTTCCGTATTTGTGAGAATGAGCTACATTGTTAGCAGCTACTTCCTACATGGCTGATTTTTAAGGTTGTAATCTGTAAAGCTTCCAGTAGAAGAAGACATGTATCTAAGACGTCAGAGATGTCGGCTAGCCGCGAAGCGACGCAGGCAGGCCACTCCATGTTCGACGCTATGACAAAGATTAGCGATCTCAAGGTGGGGGTCTGAACCTGTAAGCAGACGTCTTGAACGCGGCCGCAGGTGTCTGCCCGAAGTTAATAAGCTGCTGGCAAGGTGGAGCAGATCCTGCTGGAGGTCGAGGCACGCTGCGGCGTCACCTTCAACGCCGCCGTACGAATCAGGCTCTGGAAGGCAGGCGCCAGTGAGTCCACACAGAAGCACGATGTGCCATGATACATCACGAAACCGTTTGAGATTGTTTGCCACAGGCTCTCACAGAATTCACAGAGCAAGCATGCACGAGGCGCTTCGCTACCAGTGGTTCCGCGGGCCAGGCAAAGGTAACCTGGCTTTGGGACTCGCTCTGCGGGGACTTCACGTCTAAATCGTTCTGAACGCCTTGCCTTATCTGTCAATGGGTCTGGCCATTTATGGCCAAATCGCCATTCTCAGTCAACCGAGGCATGAAGTTCGTAGAACGCACGGATGTGCCACAGCTGCCCGGGCCTCGTGTTAGACAGGGGTCGCGCGCAGGTTGCTATGCTTGATGAAGCATGAGCCCTCAGGCACTTGCCTCCTTTGGAGTGGCAAGAGCAGGACAGCAAATTCAGGCTGCCACATTTTAGACTTGCGTGTCATGTTTGCTCTGCTTGGTGGCGGTGTCTTGAGCCATCTCTCAGCAGCCTGCAAGGTTTGCCGATCTGGAGTCTGACCGGCAACGACAGATTGTAAGTGTCTTGTCCTGCTTTAACGGAATGTGATGGCATGTTCGAATGATGTTGGTGCCAACAGCTTGCCGGCATGAGCACAGCACATCTCAGCAGTCCACTGAAGGAAAAATCAAGCAACTGGCGCCCGGTGAAACCGGCCAATCCCTACAGACCTTCCAGTTTGAAGTGCTGGGCCTACTTGAGTTTCCTTGAGTACTGCAGTGTTCCAGTCCCGTGGTGGCTCAAAGGTTTATACCCGCACTCCCGACCTCATCTACGAGTATCGAGACTTGGAGCGGTGCGTCCAGGCGTGATTTCGACAGCTGCAGTGTGGCTCTTCATTACCGAAGCCGGTCTTCACCCTTGTTCGTCCCGTTTGTGTCGAGGTGTGTCTTTAAGAAATTGTCAGGAGTGGGAGCGGCGGAATCCGCGATCGATGATTCAGGAGGACACCGTACACCGGCAACGGCTGCAAACGCGACAGTATGCGGCGGCGTTTAAACGGTCTTCGAGATGTTCTGAAGCTTTTGACAGGACATGCGGGAAGAGGTTATGCGTATGAGAATGAAAAGTGCTGCCGACATCCTGCTTGTCTGCTTCTGCAGAATATGGCATCCGTACTTGAATTCTGTGCCAGGTTGTATCGATGCTGCGAATGCAAGCATTGCGCCACTCAGCTGCATGCAAGCCCTCCCCAATATCTCAATCAAGCACGACAGCAAACACATGCCTTGCGCTTGGAAGCGAAGACTGACTGCGCCCAGCCAAGGGTAAGGAAGGCGCGAGCCCACAAGTTGAAAAGCTATGCGTCCACCCTGTTGCTGATTCAGCTACTTGGAGTGATTCCTGGCCTCCTGCATGGCATCAGTTGAAATTGCAATGATTGGCGTCTGCACTGAGGCTCGTGATGTTCTCACTGTGTGTCTTGGCTACTCTCTGGAAGTCGCCGGCTCCACTTGGCATCCTTGGTCGGTGTCGATGCCCAAGGCGTGGCCATGCTGCTAACAGCCTTCGCTTCGCTTAACAACACGCCGCCTCAGCCCTTCGGATAAATTGGGGTTTGTGGGTAGGGCAATTGCTATGGTGCAGGGTAGGTAAGGATCCAGCTCGGCCATGGGCCGTTGCAAAATTTGTATCCGGTCTTCGATTTCCCTTTCACGGCAGATGTATCTGGCTTTCATCCAACTTGTTCATTCATCCTGTAAGTAAGTCTTTTTAAGCGCCCGCAGCTCCGCTGGTAGCACCTGGTAGGGCTCAGGACAGGCAACCACACAGACAATGACGCCGGAACCTGGTTGATCATGCTTGCAGGACTGCCTGCTCTGCATCCAAGGATTCTGTTCACATTCTTCTTATCCAGATCCCTGGCTGAAATTGTTTTGCCACGGGCTACTTCACGACACTTGTAGATACGAAGACACCTGATCTCCTGGCGAGGCAAGCAGTTTTTGTCATCTATGGCGACGTTGCCGCAAGATACAGCTGATGTGCTCACACTGCGACAGTGACAAAGCAAGTCGTTGAAGTCTCTTATGCAGATCACGTTCTTGCACATCTTAGGTATTCTTTACAGCATCGGTTGTGGCAAACGTCGTTTCAGAGCGTGCGCGGGGAGATCCGCTCATCCGCGAGCTCAGAAAGACAGTCTGAGCCTTCCAAAAGCTTTCTTGTTGTTCTTGCCGATTTTGGTGCGCTATTGTGGCCTTGCAAAGTAATGACCACGTGTTCATTCATACACATTCGGTGAACTCTCAACCAAGGTATTGAGCTGCGAACGGCTCATCGAGCGAATTAGCGACTCAACACAAAAGTCACTTACGCCTGTGTGGGGATAGCAAACGCCAAAACTTGTGCCTTCGTGGACCTTGATGTTAATGTTGGACCCGCTTGTGTAGGAGCCCTCTGTGAAGTCAAGTCTTCCGGTTATTCAGGATTGGGGGACTAGTCGAGTTGTTGGCTTGTGAAACACGATTCAAACCTTACACTCCTAAGCCTTCAACGGCTATCCTGCACCGCCTGCAATTTGTCATTCTATGCCACCAACAAGACGGTCATGAAAGGGGTGGCCAGCCCGGACCTTGGATTGCATAGGCTTGGATGTCAAAGGCATTGCCTCTTGATTGAAGGGGCAACACTTCAATCTCAACTCTTCAGAGTTCTTCAGCCCTGTTGGCTTGTGGTTTCAAAGGCAGAATTTGGCTTAATTGTTGACTAAATGGCTAGCCCCTCAAGATCTTGAGGCAATAAGCCTTGGAAAAATCCCAGGCTTTGCTTGGCCTGTTGGCTGAAAGCGGGAATGGCCGTAATCCCTTTGGCGGGGAGGGGGAACACTAAAGACGGTCCTAAATCCCACAACCAAATGCTGAGGTGATTTTCGCATCGCCACGGAGGAGTTGCGCCTGCAGAAAAACGAGGCTCCCAAGAGACACTTCAAAGCCTAAAGGACGAGTGCAGAAGCGGCATGTAACCGCAAGGCTGGCAAAAAAGGTGTTCCTGTTGGCCTCAACCTGAATGTTTCGACAGAGAAACTTGGTTGCAGAGCTCAAACAACTCGCGCAAGAGTCTGAAGCTCGCGATGCATAACATTCTACTGCTTCACCGAGGGGCAAGAAAGCCGAGCAGCAACTTGCCATAAAAATTGCTTAACCTCAACTCCCTGCCGCTGTTTGTGCTGCAGTTCATTTCTGTCTGTTGGGTTCAACCTGCATGCTGATGAGCCAAATTAGACTACAGCCAACTCTGGCAGCTTAGTGGCAGTTTCATTGCAGATTATAAACTGTGCTTCGATTCCAAAGGCACGAGGATGGTGATGACCCGAATCAGGCCGGGCGCACGGCGCGGACGGTTGGTGCTCTCCTTTTGTGGTTTTCTTTTTGTCTCTTTCGTCTTGTCGAGCGGAGTTGAAGACTTACGAGAGGTCCGCCAGCGGGGAAGAAGGCGGCATGCTTTTGCTCTTTGCTGTTTGGTGTGTCATAGTGTCAATTTCAGAAGCACTCCGCATGGCGGCACAACGGCTTCACAAAACAGTATTGTGCGGGGATCGTACAGGGATTCACCATGAATGTTACTGTCAGGGGCAAGAAAAAGAAGGAGCGGCCCAAAGATGAAGCCCTGCAACTCTGGGCACCAGATGTCTCTTCACCGCAAGGAGAGCTGAAAGAGAGCTGACGCACAGGACAGTGCAAGGTGAGCCATCATACAGGAATGTAGCATGCAAGATTGATAGAGAGACTCAGCCTGTGCTTAGGCCGGTAAGTTGGATAGCTGCCGGCTCAGGGGATCTTTCGCTACAGACCTTTCTCCCGCAGTCGCGGCTCTTCCACTAGACGAGTGCCCGCAAAGCTTTCAGCGTGAGGCTGTGCGAAATGACTGTTGGATGCGTGCGAGCGGATGCAAGGTCAAGAGCTTCAGATGATGCAGAAGCAACTTGCGCAGAGCTTCAAAAGACTGGACGCTGCGAACTCGGCAGTGCAGCCGCAGAAAGGCGCATTCCCGTAATTTCACGTGTTTCCAAACGTTCACGGAAGGCTCCACCAGAAGACTTTCAGCGGCCCGGCGGTGATCGCATGCGAGCTTTCCATCGTGCGCCCTGCAGCAGTTTCTGTTGCCTTGTTTGTTGCTTCGAACAGCCGCAACTACGATCAGCTACGTGATGCGGTGCTGTGAATTGCATTGAATGGCTAAGATTTTCTACTCGTTTGCCTACTCGCATGCACGCCCGCAGAAAAGCTCGGCGGCGTGTCGGAAGACGACCTCTGCGTGCAGATCACAAGCAAGCAGCAGAAGAGGCGTCAGGCAGGCATCACACCACCGCAACTCACAGAGGGAGCGGGAGTGATCTGTACTGTAGAAGAAGAGCGAGATCTGATTTGGCCTGCGCCGGTGCGGCTGCGTTCCCGCCAGGGAGTCTGGAGTGTACAGAATTGCGCAGAAGGAAGCAGAAGAGAATTGAAGAGATGTGAGTTTCGGCAGTTGGCTTCAGGCCTATGTGGAGCAGCTGAAGGAACAAGCACTGGCAAAGCTTCCGAAAAACCCTCCACCGCCTGCCTTGGCCATGCAGTCTGCTGGGCAGGACTCCGCACATGGGCACAGCAAATATAAGCACATATCACTGTATGGGCAGGGTAGGCCACATCATGTCACATCTGACATTGCAATCGTTGCAAGCTTTTCTCTTCTGGCTTTTGACCAAGAAGCCTTGAGTTGCAGGATGATCGTCGTCAAGCACGCAGAGCCCAGGCAAGCATGGGCAGCACGCAGGCCAGCTCAGACTGCGCGTGGCTGTTGGCATTGTGCCCACTTCGCACACATGCCTCGCCTGATTGCAGTGACAACAGCCGCGTGATGGCATGCAACCCGTCAGGCGCAAACCATCGGGCGGCAACTCACGGATCAGCCCTGAACAGTTCGAGACAGCGAGTGCTCGAACTGTTCGAAGCCTTTACAAATTTAATGGCAGCCAATGTCTGAACAAATCTTAACCACGGGGCAGCTGGGGTCGCTTGCACAGTTTCACACGGGTCTCACACACCTCGTACAGTATGTGTGCAAGGTGTCAAAAACCATGAAGGTCTGAAACCGCAAGACCCCCATACGGATGCACACTCTAATGCCCGAATGCTCTGAAGCGCCAGAATGGGACACGTGACGTCGAAAGACCCCTCGAAGCTCTAAAGCCATTTGCGAAACGAGATTCTCCATATCATGCTTAGCTGTGCCAACACTTTCACTCACACAACTCATCGCTAAAGCATTAGACACTGTGTGCAAGGAACTTAAGTGAAGCGGTCTAGAAAAGGTAGTCCTTGTTTTTTCAAGATCTCCAAGACCCTAAATCCCACCATAGACCTGAGCTTCTTGAATTTGCCGAGTAAAGCGTCACTCAAATCCTGGACGGCCCTGAAGCACAGATTCATAAGGAAGATCAAAGCGGCGCAGCGCCTGAGATACTAAACATTTCTAACTGCCTAAAGCAATCCACTGTGTCCATGAACGTCCTTGTCAACTACACCTCCCTCTATCCTTACACCTCACAGAGCCTTGCTCCATGAGTATTCAACCTCTGCAGACATGGCGTGCCGATACTAGTGAGTTTCAAGGCTTTAGGGGCGACACCCATACTAAACTTTGAGTGATTTCTTGTGAACCACAGTGAAGCACACTCCACGCATGAAAACAGAACCTCCGCCCTGCCCAAGTTTCTGTAGGGATCGGAAGGGTTTTGGGGTGTGGAGCATCTAAGGTTAAAGTATCTATGATGGATGCTTTCCGTCAGGGGATTCCAACCACGGGTCGGAAATTGGACCCAAACATGGAAATTAAGCTCGAACTTATAGGCCTTATACTTACGGTCAATCTTCGAGACAGAGAGGAACGAAGAAGGAACATAAAGGAACAAAAGTTAAGAATTGGTTCGATTTTTCGCAGCCGAGAAGCCACAGCATGGCACCTGTCGGCCTCGGGCTCTTGGGGCTGTGGACAGTACTTTACTTACTGTTGCGGATCGTGGCAGTCGTGGCAGACGAGTTTGAGGCCGTGACTCCCAGAGACAACATGCAGACTGCAAATGCGCAAGGCGAGTGCCACTTATCAAATTTGTTCCTGCACTCACTGGCCGACGACGACGGGGCAGCGAAGCCCATAGATGTGCGGCCAGTGAGTGGACAGACGCAGTCCTTTGAAGCAACGCTGGACTACAGCATGGCTGGATTTCACATTCAGGCCACGGCAAGTCCTCCGGGCGCCTGTGAGGTCAGCGAGATGAGCACAGCTGCCATCATGCTCGACCCTGGAGATTTTACTTTGGCCGAAGTCTTCGTAACGGCAAAGCAAGCTCAGGGAACCAGCCTGAAGTCCTTGAGATACCTGGTAAATGTGTCCCGCCTCACAGGGAGCGAGACCGAACTGGGACACGTGGCAGTCTCCGGAGCATACTTCGTGCCGGGCTGGAAGCCTGATGAACGGGAGTACACTGTGTTTCTGAACCTGGAGGAGGACCTGGTCAGGTTTAACTGCATCAAACTTGACAATGGCCAGGCCCTGGAAATGACAGCAGAACTCGAATATGCAGGAACCCATATTCAAGCGAGGCGGCTGCAGGCGCTTTCTGAGGCTCCGGCCAAGAGCAACACAGTAGGAGAAGCGCAACGCGTGGCCTCGCTGTTGATGACCACACTCGATGTTGGCCACAGCCGCGTGGTGCAGCTTCAGGTGACATCCGCTGACCGATCTCGAGCAGCGAACTATTATTTTACAGTTCAGCGGCCAGCCTGTTCACAAGAGCGGCGGTTCTTCGACGGGACAAGCAAGGTCTGTACGGATATCTGCAATGAGGGTTTCTATGGTAGCTCTGCAACGGGACGCTGTACACGCTGTTTGGACCCCCACTGTGCTGTGTGCGTAGGAAGGAACTGCTCGCTGTGCTTCGACAAGTACGAGCTTCAGAGTGGTGCCTGTGTGTTGAAGGGAACTGGCAGTGGCATGGCTGCCTTCAGCCAGATACAGTCGGGTGTTACAAGCTATGCGCAGAAGCATCAAGCCATGATGGTGATACTCGGAGCATCTTTGGGTGTTATAGCTTGCGCTTGTGCAGCTTCCATCTTCTGCGCTCACGGCAGCGTTTTCAAGCGAAGGCCTCGCTTGCTACAAGATGAGGATGAAGATGAGCTGCAAGACTTCAGCTACCGAGAAGATTCATACAGGGCTTAATGTGGGTTTGACGCCCATGCGTCCTATGCTTGGGCCTTGCTCAGACCTCAAGAAAAGGCGACACATTGGTCACGGTGAGTGCAAGACTTGGATTGTAATCTTTGAGACCGGCATACTGCAGGTCACGGCCTGACCGTTCTAAAAACCTCAATAGACTCAATAGGAAGAACATCTCACGACGAAGAATAGTATCGGGTTGCAAAATTTGTCAAGGCTGTGTTTTGGACAGGGCTTCTCTTTGGGTGGGGTTTGGGCTCCTTCCCATAAATCTCACTGCTTCAGCTGCAGACAAGCACCAAGACTACCAAGACTGGTTCGAACACCCCGGCCATTTCGCCGACTTACCATGGGTTATCGGTTCCGGCTAGGATGATCCAGAACAGTTCAGACAACGAACTTTCTAAAAAGGTCGTGAAATCTGTGATCAGCGTCAGACCAAGGTACAGGCAACCTCAAAGCAAAACGCAGGCACCCCATCGTAAACAGAATGCCCTGAGGTGTAGTTGTTCGAGTCAAGGCAAATAACTAACCACAGAAATGCAGGCTTCTGGAGCACGCAGGCGCAATGCTTCCACGGCATGCTCCTGCGCAGTCATTGCAGCAGTCCTTTGTTTGCTGCTGAGCATCTGGCACTGCTCCGAGACAGCTTCCTCACCGTCTGGCTTGGAGAAAAGCTTCAAGCGCCTACTGACACCTGCTGAGCTTCTTCGATCTTTTCCTTTGCCTTTCACACTGAAAAAGTTTGTCAATGAAAGCCGGGCCGAGGCGGCTGCCATCTTGCAGGGTAGGGATGATCGCTTGATTGCAGTCGTGGGCCCGTGCTCCATCCACGACCCGGAAGCTGCCCGGGATTACGCCCGTCGCCTTCAAGAAGTGAAGGTAAAACTGCAAGACGATCTACTCATCATCATGCGAACATACCTGGAGAAGCCACGGACCAGCGTTGGCTGGAAAGGTTTGGTCAATGATCCCGACCTTTCTGGGGCAGAAGATCTGGGAAGAGGCTTGGCACTGGGCCGGCGAGTTTTGCTGGATATGAATGCAGCTGGGCTCCCGACTGCTGTAGAGTTTCTGGACCCCATCGTTGCGCCCTACATCGAGGATGCAGTGAGCTACGGCAGCATCGGGGCCCGCACGGTCGAAAGCCCCATCCACCGGGGCTTGGCGGCGAGCCTGAAGATGCCCATGGGCTTCAAGAACACCCGAACAGGCTTGCACCTGAGCCGTTTGAGCCACAACGTGATGTGCGAGTCCCAGGTCCCACAGGCCCTCCATAGGCCTCCAGAAGCATCGATCCCAATCAAGACAAAGATCTTGCGTTGGCGATTGTTCATGTGCTGAAAAATAATTTCTCACACGCCGTGAACCACTTTACAGTTGAGGTGACATCCAAAGCGCGGTAAATGCCGCAGTGGCAGCATCAGCTCCACAGAAACGGCTAGCTCCAGACAGCCGCGGCCGCGTACGCATCATTCAGGCGCTTCTGGCATGTGCCAAAACGTACTGTAGGCATGTAGGCTTCAGCGCATGCGGATTGGAGCACCTATGCAGCCAGGCTGAAGGCAATCCCGACGCACACATTGTGCTGAGGGGCGCCGAGAGTGGTCCCAACTATGGCCTGGCCCCGTGAATACTCATGCTTTACACATCTTTACACCACTGCCATGCGTCTATACTTGTACGGATGATCACTGACAGAAATGCACATGGCAAAGCAGACAAAGCGGTCGCTGTTTCAAGCGCCTGAGGCGAGGCCTTCGTGACAGAAGCCAAGGAAAGGCTAAGCAAAGCCGGTTTCCGCTGGAAGCTCAGCGTCGTGTCGCTAAAAGCGTCATACTCTATGAGACCAACGGCTGACCATGTAACCCTCAAAATCTATCTGGTGAGGTGGTGATCTCCAACCTGGGGAACATAGTTTCAAATTAGTTTGAGCCATTCTGAGCCTGGCTTGGCACTCCTCAGAGAGGGGAATCGTTGCCACCACCCATCGTGATTCGTAGACGTGCAAGGGATGTGCCTTGCCGCTGAGGTGGTGCTCAGATCATGGTCGACTGAACGGTCCTCGGCTGCTTCTCCTTTCTACTGCGAGTGGGAAGTTTGACCGGCAAGGCTCTCATGGCAACTCGGGGAAGAAGTATGAAAACGAGGTGGGGCCCCAAGTGTCCGCAGCTCCAAGAAGACAGCAAGGAATCACGGAGACCATTCACTCTTCAATCTTTTATGTTAAGACCCCGAAGCAATTCTCATGCCAGGTGGTGGCTTGCAGATCTGTTGCTGAGCAGGTCCTGGTTCACAAGCGTGTCAGTCCGGTTTCGGCTTTGACTTTGGACACAGTATGCACGACCATAGCAATAGCCGCGAGACGCGCAAATTCTGGGTTGTGGCCTCGGCCCTCCGTGGCAGTACGTGGGTATGGGCAGTACATGTAGTGTCAGAAGGCTCCAGAGTGGGCAGTGGAAATTCAGTGTGATTGCCAGGTGGCCGCCGGTAACACAGCAATTGGTGGCGCAGAGACCTTAAAGATCGTTGCAGTGCGTTGGCTGTTCGTAGCATTCTTGCAGAGACGGGTCACAAGGCTTGCACAGGATGGGGCATTCACAATTTAGTGGCGCTGCTAGTGGTTTGCATGTGTTTGCGGTATATAAGCATCAGCCTGGCTCGCAGCATACCAAGTCCTCAGGAGAAGATTCTGATTCCGGCACTAGGCGTTCTAATGAAGTCAATAAAGAACACATCAGCCAGTACGTCCAGCCGAACCTGAAAGGCGATGCCCCCCTGTACATGCTTTTTTTAAGTCTAGCCATAAGCTTTTAGACGAATTGCCTTGCAGGAACGACTTTGGACGAGTTGTCTCACTGCGAATATCGTGCCACGCGCAGCTGTCAGGTTCTCATAGAGAGCTTCCTCGTCGCTGGCAATCAGAAACTAGATCCAGGCCCGAATGGTCGAGTGGCGAGTGAGTGGAGAGGGCTTCGCAAAATACTTTAAACTTTAAAGTAAACTGTAAAGAAAGATTCAGAGAACCGCCCAGATGGACTCATTTGTGACAGTTCTGGTTGCGAATGAGCGCTGCAAAGCTCTGCGTGTGCAGAGGCGTCACAAAGGTGAAAGACCTTCAGTACGGCTGCAGTGCGATGGCTTCAGTGCGTTTGTCTGCAAAGTTGCCGCAATCCTTGCTTCCAAGAGAGGCTATCGGCAGAGGATCAGCCGACGGAGAATACTTGATGAAACAATGCTACCCAAACACATGCTTCCACAGAATACGGGTTTGTTTGCCAGAATGGAGTGAAGCCATGAGAACACTCTCTGAGGTGACAGACTCCTGCATGGACTTCAACTCCACCAAGGCATCTGGCAGTGGAGGGCCCATGCGAGTACTCACACAATTTCATCCTGCGGGAGCGTGTAGCGAGAAACACAAATGAGGAGATGCTTGCCTGTGAAGGATCTCCTTGGTGAGTTGGCGGCCGCCGTCGTTGCGAGACGCGCTCAAGTATCGCAGAGCTGGAAAGAGGCCGCGGACTACTATTTGCTTAAGAACCTAAAAAAATAATGATCCCTACAATTAGTGCTCTTATATGGATTAATGGTTCATATTTTGGGGGGTTCTTACAAGTAGATGAGTGCTGTGAAGCGCTTCAAGTCGGGGCTGCCTCGCCTCCTCAGGCTCGGACCAGCGAGCCCGCCAGCGCACCTTGTCTGCACTTGGGGGTTCCATCGGTGGCAAGGAGCTTGTGAGGCGAGCACCTTACAGACTGCCTAGCCTTGTCAACTGAGGCCTGATACCGTGGCAGAAAACACCCGCCGTCCTGTTAAAAAGCGTCGCAAATGGCAAATCCAAGCTTTTTCAGGAGCTCCGGCAGGTCAGGTATATCTTGCATCCTGAGCAGCAGCAACAAGTTGCACGTCTGTGCGAAGCCATTCGGCCGCAGCAATTTTACTCGTAGAACTCATGCTTGAACTCATGGCTACGGGCTCAATCTCAGCTAGGCACTAGCCCAGTCTCGGTTTCGCATTCTCACGGCAACTTGAGCGCTGACAAAGATTGTGGGGCAACCCGAGTGCCAGATATGGGAAAGATCAAGACAAAGTTGCCGAGGCAAGATGCAGGCGCGGGACGTGTCGAGCTAGCTGCGTTAGCTGCTGTAGCGGCCAACCTAGCCTAGCCGGGCCGGTGGACCTCGAACATGGCTCCGGTGGGGGGGATGGGCGTGTCACGTGTTCCCCGTGTTCCCGGTTCAAAGTAGATTTGCCTGGGGAGGCCAGCCCAACACTTCGAAAGGGGTGAAGCGCCGCATCGGAAAGGCCTTCCTGCAGAGCTGCGGCTTGTGATCAGAGGGATCAGAGGGATGCGGGCGTGGGCAGGTGGGCAAGTCCGGCATGCAAGGAACCTTGAAGGCGGGGGCCAGAGGAGCACCGAGAGGTTTGACAAGCAGAATTTGATCCTGAGCTGCCGAGGCCTCAAAGATTGCGCTTGAAGCGGCTGCCGGAGGCATCGCATCGGATGGGTTCTTCATAGATTGTTCGATGAAATAACATGAAATAAATATTCCAACATTACCAAACTAGAGCGGTTCTTGGCTTTCAATTACGTATGACCATGGGCTGAAGTGGCGTGAAGCGGTACATGGGATGTTCAAAGTCTTTGCATCGGTTAACCAAGGCTGCTCACGTAATTCATGATGTCACTCGAGGCCCTCAGGCAAGGCGCGCTTTGGTGGCTGCTGCTTCCTCGGCGCGAGTCAAGGGAAAGGCCCGGAGCACAGACTTTGCTGCAACATGTTGCAACCTTTGAGTCCCCAGTGCCGCCTCAAGTCGAGCGAAGCCGAAACCAAAAAGCGACCTTCCGCATTCAGGCGCCGGCCGTGCCACAACGATCGGGGCCCAGGCACTGGTTTGGCTTCTGGTTGGACAACCAGGATTGGCGTAAGCAGTTCAAACTACGCATGGCTATGCAGAGATTCTGACGAGACATGAGAAGCCACCAAGTAATTCAAGTATTACAAGCTGGGAGCTGGTGAACTTCCTGGCTTGACTCTAGGCTTGGAAATGCGGTTCTACGATTTGAAATGAAGACTTGCACAGCTTCCCTCCAATGCCATGCAGTCCTGGACGGCACAGGCCCAAAATGAATGGAGTGCCTGGCCTACATTCTGTTGAGTGCCTTATAGGGTGTGATCCAGGTGTAGGGTCTGAGACCCGATGCATCCTCCAGCAAACTCGACTTGGATGGTTTGCAGATGTCGGAAGTAGTGATGACTGGAGTGAGGCACGAATGATGCAGGAAATAGAGGAAGCTCGTGAACACGCTGAGAAGGCCTGAGTCGTCGCGAATGACATTGAATGAAGCTTAAGTTCCCGTTTTTGCATCTTGTGCCACATGTGCCAATGGCATCGCTTCGCAGCTGCCTCGCAGGTCGCTGAGAAGGCGAAGGGCAAGCTGGGCATCCTACCCCACCCTGGGCCAGATTGAATGCTGACGGTGTCTGATCATGTTTGTTGTGCAAATTGCGGTCTCCAATAAATTCTGAGGTCCAAGAGACGACGGCGGACGGGCAAGCTTTCGCAACACAGCCAGCAGGTGAGGCGAAACAGTCAGAGTCAGCCGCTCAAAGCAAAAGTAGGCACTACATGTTCGGCAGAGGTTCTCGCCGCTTTCAATGTCCGAGCAGTCCTTAGACTTGGGAAGCAGAACTTGACACCTGGACTTCAAAGCTGCAAGCTGTCAGCCCAGCATGCTCAGGCTCAGAAGCGCCGTTTTTCCCGAAGCTTCGGTGATCCTGTTGCCTCCTTCGCACGTTTCAGGGGTTCATTGATGACAGCGTATTTAAATACCTTCGCTCGTGTCTTGCTTCTGCCAACCTGAGACGTAGCGGAGGTGTGTTAATGCACAGCGGTGCCAATACCACTTGACAAGGCAATACTACCTGTATCAGCATCTCCATGTTATCGACAACGAGCATGCCAATCCACAGCCCTGTATTTAAATTGGCTCCCACCTGCCGCAGTACCGCGCATCCCACTGTGATCAAAGTTTGAGAGCGCATGCAAGTGTGAAGTGTGAGGCAGCCTGGAAGAAGCAAGCTCTGTAAAGCTGTTGAGCTTCCCGCTTTTGCATCATGATCTTGGCTCTGTTGATCTGGACATGCAAGCATAGCGGATTAGGAGATGTTTGTCTGCTGGATAGCCTCATTGAGAGAGTATCGTTCGACGTGTTACACGGAGGGACATGAGGATGGAGGACAGGAGCGAGCATATGTGTCATGTACTCTTCCTCTTCACGACCGATGGCAACCGCGAAAGATTTGCCAGATGTGCTTGACGCGTTCTGCCTTCGAACGAATGAGGCCCATGCTTTAATTGCACATCCATGCCAAGTACTCCTGGATTGAGTGTGTCTACTGGCCTCCCTGCCGGGCGTGTGTTGGTTCTCTCCCTGATGTGTTACCGGCAGGATGCCGGTGACGACTTCAGCCCCAAGCTGACGGCCATGCTGCAAGGCCATGAGATCAGAAGGCGTTAGGCAATCGAAAGTACCATAACTACCACAACCCTCCGGTCCACCGTGAATCCGATGAGCTGAGGACAGTGCATGGACTGGGATGAGTTGCCAGCAGAAAACGATGAAGGTCGGCATTCGTGCGTAAAAGAAGGCAACAAAAAAGAGGGCAAAAGACGAGTGCCATCTGAGGATGCGTTGAGTACAAGTGGCGCCTCGGCCCGGAGCACAGCCACAGGCCTCTGTGAATGTGGTGACCGTCTGTGGTCAGTCTGCGGTCACTTTGGTCCTGCTTTCATCCGTTTAGTTGCTCCTCGCCTTGATAGCGAAGGCGGGTTGATCGACTCGCGACTAGACCTCAGAGCAGAGCGACTAAATCTCGTGTTGAGCGCCAACTTGCCAACTTTCGCCAGTCCAAGCTTGAACTCCTCCCCAAGGACACAAATGAAATTTCGGCTGGCAGAGGGCAGCAGCCCTAAGACCCACAAGAACCCAATGCCACCAGATGCCACCGCCACCAGCCCAACACGGCAAGCTTTGCCTGAGGCAGCGGCAGAGCCTTCTACTTGCTGGGTGTCCGTGACTCCGGCTTCGCCGAGGTGAGAGAAGTTTTTGTGTTGCTGTACGTGTTGCTCCAGTCGGTGGAACCGGAGTCGATGCGGCTTTAAAGTTCATACCGTTCATACCGTTCTTGGGCAGGGCCTGTCAGCCAGAGAGCACTCGGAAGCGGTAAGTGTACTCATGGCGGCGGCGTTCTCAGCTCTCAGCTCTCATACTCCTTTTTGCACTTGAACTCGTGCTGATTCCATTTGGAGCTGTGCGCGAGTGTAGGCTGCTGGTGCAGCTGACTGCATCCTGCTTCTGGAGGCCCTTGAATTGAAGGGCAGATTTTGTCGAAGTTTCTCCGTTTCTCCGTTGGCAGTGTTATGCAGTGACGTCAGATGATCGTTGGCACAGGCCCTGGGCTGTTCCACAAGATCGAAGAAGGGCAGGCCCGATTGAATTGAGCATCCTGTCCCGTTGTGGCAACATATTGATAATATCGGCAACATCGCAACGGGCAGTTTTTGAGTAGAGGCGTTGCTCAGTGTGGCGGCTGGAGCAGAGGTGGCAGATGCAAGACTCAACGAGAGCTGACCTGACGCATTGAGAGGGCAAAAGGGGGCTGAGGGGGGGCTGATGCAGGCACGCAGCAGTAAGGAAGCTGTCAAAACAGCTGCACCTATGCGGGTCGCTTGCCGTTGCGCCCTCAATTTCTCACTTTACTTCCTCTTCGACCTATTTGCTCACAAGTCAATTCGAGGACTCCCTGCCACATGGAAGATGTCGGATGGAAGTCGAGGCACCGGTTTCCCAGGCTGGACCAAGGAAATCGAAGACATACATGGATGCCTTCAACTTACTAACCCGCACGGCTCTGCACAGCGTGCCGAGGACTTGTGCGAGCTGCTTGCCTTTCGGAGTGGCCAGAGGATTGCCCCCAGTCAGAGGTCGTCACATGCTTGCGACATGTTCCGCAAGAGTGCTTGCTGGCGCAGGACACAATGAGCTCCAAATGTCGTGGCGAGGTAATGGAAGGCAAGTCTCCCGCGTCGTCGCGCAATGTTGTCGATACAAAGTTTACTTTCACTCTAGGTGTGGGAGCCCTCAAACACTTGATCTCAAAGCTGCAAACCAAACCATGACTTGGGGGCCTCCATGGTCTCCAGCTCTTTATGTTGTCCTCCGAAGGTGCTCATACGGGCCCCAACCTCCACCCAGTAAAATTTCATGACATTTTCGCCGATGTTCGGGGGAGGACTGGCTAGTAATATCTAGTAATCTAGAGGCTGGATGGCCAGTGGCCTCGAAACTGCTGCTGGCAGGTATACATCGCATGGATCCTGGTAGGCCATCTCTTCGACGATG